TCATTTCACATTTAAATAAAATAGCTAAATCAACATTTCTATATAACATTCAACTCTAATCGGTTTTGATTATAATTTATATATATCTGTCATACTATTAATGATAAATTATATATTTTTTTATTAATAATAAATTATAAACAAAACCATGTGATATAAAGTAATCTATATACAGTATAATACAGGTATATATATATATAACTTTAATATAGCTATTAATATAATTTTTATTGAATTTGCAACAAAATTATATTTGTATTACGGTAAATATTTTTTGCAATATACAGTGAATACTATAGTATTATAATAATAATTGTAGTTTTATAAAATCTTTAAAATAGATTTTTATTTTAAAAAAAGTATATTTATAAACATAAAGACAATAACTTTTAGTAAATTATTTTATATTCAAGTACTCACTACAAATTATATAGTATAATATACAAATAATCAACTAATTTAAAAATAATCCCTATAGAATGAAAAAACATTACTAAAAACTTTTATAATGCTTTTTTAAAAAGATATTTTTTGTTTTTATTTTTTTATCGTCCAACACTAAAATAATACATAAATCTATGTTATTATAAATTTGTTTTATATATAAGATTTGGATAATGTATTTTTTTCAAAAAGCAAATAAAATACCATATATTATTTTTAGAATATAAAAAAATAATAATAATACAGAAAATTATAACTAAAATGCATTAGAATAGATATTGTATAACAATGTTTTTATTATTATTTATTATTATTATTATTACTATTCATATTGTATTATTTTGTATATACAGTAATATCATTTGTTATTTTAGAAACAATTTCTGTATAACAAAATATCATAGCAGTCTTGAATAATATGTAACTTTATTATTATTATTATAAGAGTATTTATTTGTTGAGAAATATTTTTTTTTAATTAAAATTTAGTTGTAAATGTTGTAAATTACCAGCATATATAGTAATTTACTTTATAATAGATTACAGATTTTGCATTGCGTTATTAAACTTGAAAGTTTCAATATATTGTGCTAAATGTCTTATATTGTATGCCTATATTTTACTCGATTAATGATTACAATATACCGGTAACAATGTATAGTAATAATATTTATAATATAGAGTACATATGTAAATAAACTTGATTTAAAATTTGCTAATATATTAAATATTTATGACAAGCCATGCGTTTAAAATTATCACAATTAACCAAATTTATCGAAAGATAGCTCAAAAAAGTGTTTACACTATAAATATCAAACATAAATAAATAATATATATATACAATATATTGTCGAAAAAATAATTTATTTAATTAATAGACATTAATGTGAGTATAAATAAATAAATAAATAGTTTGTCTAATATTTTTGGGTTAAATCCAAAAAATGTTGTGACAAATGACACCAATGATAGTAATAAAATACTATTTAATGGCCTACTCTTTAAAAACAAGATTTACGATATTATTTGTATTTATTGTTTGCTATCTGTTGTGGATTCTGTGGAGCTCTGGTAGCTTTGAGCACTGGTAGCTAATTTATCTTTATTTGGTCCGGAACTACTACTACTGCCGCCAAAACCATTTTCCGACGGTATATAACAGACACAACACGAAGGGAACAAAAACTCCGACAGAAACGGACCCTTATATGGATTCCACGGGTCAATGACCAACAGCTTCTGGGTGTTATACCTCTGTCGACAACTACTATGATAACAGGGAGGTATGAAATTACAGTATGAGCCGGTGCCGTGTCGACAGATCACTTCCGTCACGTATTGTTGATAAATTTCCGTATTGATGACGACCAACCATCTACCATTGGTGTTTTTTGACCACCCGGGCCTTATTATTCTAGTAACTGAGTCACATACCAGTCCACCGCTATTGTCATTGGCCAGTGTAGGCATAACTTGGACTTTAAGATCTCGGAATAGCTTCTCCAGCGGCCACTTGTAATATTTGGTTACTTCGGTCACGACTTTACTCGGATAATCTTCTTTATAACTGCAATAATATCGTCCGTATTGAGCACATGTCGGTGCTTTGGTCGTTCCGGAAGGACTACTGTCCTCATCATTGCTGTCATAGTTTTGTGTTCCTCCGTTGCCATCGTCTTTGTCTTCTTCGTCATGACTTTTATGCAAATGACTCGACTGACTATCAGATGGTTTGATATTAGTCGTACTTTGCAGTTGTGACGGGTGTTGTGCTGTCCTAAACCTTTCGGCTCTGAGTGCTTCTGCGGTTACCATTTCTTCTTCATTATTATTATTATTATTTAAATACTTGGCCACCATATTACCCAAATATGAGCTTTCATTAAAAGTTTTGAATCCTTCCTCACCGGTAAGCCATGAAGACATTTGAGACAACTGTTCGTTTCGTGTTAACTCATCTTTTGCTTTATTAATAATTAAATATTAAATAATAAAATTATTTTATATAAATAATGTTATGTCAAATATATTACCAATTTTGCCATAAATTTGTTGAATAAAACGATCACTTTTGATGGCCTCCAATGGTATGGATTTGTTTTGTACGGACTCTACTAAAGACCTAAAATTGTCGCCGTTTTGTAGTTTACCGGAAAATGACTGCGAATTTCGTAAATAAGATGTATTTTCATGTGATATGTCTTTACTTTTTGATGATTCACTAATTATTATAAAGTTTTGTATAACATATATAATGATTAATAGGTATTTAATAAAAATGTTAATCTTTGAATTAATAATAATGTTGTTTAAGATATAATTAAATAATCGATTAATGCATTTATAAGCCATTACTTAGTCTTATATATATATCTAAAAAATACACAAAACTAATATCAAATCAATACTTTTTCACAAATAAACACAACTTTGGACATGAATTTAGTTTCTAAGTTAGATATTTTTAGCTATAGTTTGCTTTTTTCGACAAACGATATACATATTACAGGTATTATAATACTGTATAATACATATATAATTACAAACCGGTAATTATGTTATGCATTCACTGGTCTTATGAATTCAACTGTTAATTTTGAAGTTCATTACAAATATTTAGAAAAAATAGTTATAGTTTTTTGTGTGTATTATTTGTTTTTTAAAAAAGTGTTTATATTTTAGGCTTACATTAGGCAAAATAATATTTGAACACTTTTACACATATATTATATTTGTTTGTGAACATTAAAATTGTCAACAATTTTTTTATCAAGATTTCAACTTAAACAACAATAATAAATAATAATAATCGCTTCAAGCATTTCCGTATAGTAGAGTAAAATACAAAAATAATATATATATTTGATTTTGATAAGCGGTATCATCTGATTCAGTCAACCAAAACTAAATATAGGTCTTGAAAAAAGTTTAATTATTAATTAAAGGTACCAAAAGTGGCGCTTAAATGTCACTTATGTTATCTGAATGATATGAAATCAAAATAATTATCACTTTTTTGAAAGTTATTATTATTTTTTAGTTATTATTATAAATATATTGTGTTATCGAAATATAGTACTGTAGAATTGTTATTATTATTAAATATAATGTATAAAACTAATAAAAGATTGAATGATAATTATTTTTTTTTAAATTATATAATGTCTATTATGATATTAATTAGTTACTAATAACAATATATTTTTATATACTGTACATTTGTATACAAATTTTGTAATGTATAATTTTTAAACTAAAATTGTTGTACAGTATATTATATAAATATGATATACATATTACAAATAGATATAAATTACAATATAATGTAAATTTATTACATCTACAAATTTTTTAGCTATATTTTAAATTAAAGTACAATTGTAAACACTATACAGTACTATTGAATAATTAATGTCTTATAAATATATGCCATTCAAAACTATAATCAACATTATTTAATAATTTATATTGATTTATGTTATAACAAACTGTATTTATTTTACTTGAGTCAAAGTTAGACTTAGTTATAAAAATAAAAAATAAAACTTTAATAAAATAATTACAAGTTGTCTAAAATTAATATTTTGTTTGTTAATAAATAATATATTTGACAAATTATTGATGTTACTTATTATATGTCACAATAATTAGAGCTTAAATATATGTACAATAGTTTAAAATTTACATAATTAGATGTTTTAACAAAATACAAGCTAACAAATACTATACATAATTTGGTTGTAATTATAACTATAGATTTTTATTTTTTATGTTCAAATAGCTTATATTTTGTAATATACATATAATACAAATATTATTAATTACAAAGATTATAATCTTATATATTTTATTTCAAATAAATTCATTATACTGTATATTAAAAGTAATATAAAAAACATTTACTAAAAATATTTATTAACTTAATAAAAAATAATTCATACGTTATATATACAGATATTAAGTAGTGGATTGTTACATTTTAATAATTTAATATTAAATAAACTGTACATGATAATTTATTTTAAAAACCTGTAAAATACTCATAAATGTATGGCATTTTAGTTATACTTTTTATTTTAGTAAAAAATCAAATAATGATATAATTGAAAAAAAACATTATTATTAGTAAAGCGAGTGGCGATTGACGTAATTAACAAAAACGGACAAAATGTTACCAAAAAAAAGTTAAATTTATTAAAACTATATCAATATCAACAATAATAAAAACATTTTCATTTTAATTAATTAAATCATATATAATGTATGATATTTTTTAAATTATGAATAAAATATGAGTAGTTTTTTAGATATTAATTATTTAAAATTAAACGATTAAGACATGAAATTATGTTTATATATATTGATTCACACCTTCTTCCCCAACCTTTTCACTATTTCTGTTATAATTTGTTAACTAAATAAAAGTTAATATTATATATAAATAAGCGATTAGTTTATATAAGTTTTATTAATATTTAATTTGATTTAATAATATAAATATAATTCATTTCAATGTCTACTAACAGATGTCGACAAATATGTGTTGTATTAGTGTTGATAAACAATACAATCACGTGATGTATATGAATGGACACAATGACCGGTCGATCACTTGATTTGGTGACCACTTTGATGTCACCGCATGTTTGACATAATGTCTATCATTGCATTGAAGCCACGGAAGAAAGTGGTCCTCAAACTCGATGGCGTTCAACAAATGGTAAACAAATTGTCGGTGATATTAGTGATTATATAATATTTTTTATTAAGAAATGGCCAAAACTTTGTCTGTCATTGGATGAGACAATTAGTACAGACGGTGATGACGATGGCGACCACAGGGACAACAAATTGACGACACAGTCGACTGTGAAGAAACCGGCAGAAGTCTGTGACAAATGTGTTGTCTTGAAGCGAATGGTCTGTTTTAAAGATATAGCCATCGAGAGGTTGACCGACGATAGGGACCAATTGAAAGTGAAACTTACGAAACACCACAACAAGAATATTGAGCTAAAGCTTAGACTTAAAGGACTTGAATCTCAACAAAAACAAGAAGTAGAAAAAGAAGAAGAACAACAACAACAACAACAAGAAAGACGTTTTAATTGTGATAATTGTATGAAAACTGAACTTAAATACAAAGATCTTATCGCCACTAATGAAGAATTAATGGCAATTAATAGACATCTGAGACAACATTTGGATCATTTAAGACATGTATTCAACGAGTTTCACAACAATTCCGGTGAAAGTACGGGTAATACGACAGCTCTTAATGTGACTTCAAGTACATCCACTACAGACTCAACGACTCAATCGATGTCTAAGACGTTAACTCAGTCTAAGAGTACGTCAACTGATCCAATAGTTATTCAAACAAATAGTAATACTAACGCTGTTTCATCCATAGTTGATGATAGTGTGGAACTGTCATCAATTGATAAAAGTTTTGAGATTTGGTATAATAAATGATATCAAAAGTGTTTTTAATCACAGGATTGAACAAAACTTTTATTTTTTATTTTTTCAAATATCACTTCAAATAAGAATTTTTAGTATTATATTTACCGTTATATTTATTTACATTTTTTGCTTATATCTAATCATTTATAATACTAAATTATTATATATTATTTTAAAAATTTAAATGCATTTAAAACCTGGTTTTTTTAGTTTTATTTAAATAATAATAATTAGCAGTTTTTTGTTAAAATCAAAACAACATTTAAATTATTGGTTATATTATTGTTGAAATAAGACTTAATTTTATTCTGTAGTAATATAATATTTAATTATTAACTATTAATCTGTTTAATGACAAAAATCACTCTTAATGTGAATTAAATAATAAACTATTAAACATTAAAAAATCTATTGAAACACAGTATTATTTTTTTAATTTGAAGTTAACTTCAAATATGTTTGACTAGATTTTTTTAATTTGACTAAATTTATGGTAATAATGATAGAAATGTGTGGTCAAAATAGTGTCATTTTGTGTCATCACTGGTGAGATGTCATATGTCTCGTGAGATGATGTCTTTCTCTGAACGTTTCATTACATATATTACATCTGAGTTTTTCTTCCCTTTTCTTTTTTATGGTGTCGCCACCAATAGTGGTCTTATGGTGAGATCGCATGTGATAAACCAAATCGGATGTCATACGAAAAGATGCGTTGCATTTGGCGCACCAATTGGTTGTCGGGAATGTCAATGCGGCCAACGATGGCGGCAAATATGGTAACAAAGTGTTAGATACCAATGGTTTACTGTGAGTACTAGACAATGATGTGGGAATGGTTGCAGTGCTGGGCATTGGAAATGTCATAGGATTAAGCAATGAATTACTGGCCGCTGAGGAAGTGCCCGAAGTTAACATTGAAGTAGTGGCCATACGTTGATAGAGTGTGGAGAAGTCGTATGGATTTGTTATTGAATTAATTTTGTTGTCAACTTTCTTGAAAGCACTCGACATCATTGCAGTGGACATCATATTACTATGTGTTTCAAGTGATGTAAGACTTGGTTTACGTGATGTAAGAGTCGGTGATTTTGGCCGATGAAAAGCACTCGAATCGATGACCATTTGATCACATTTTACCGATTCATGTGGCGATAACTTATTGCGTTTAGTGCCGGGAAACGACTCGTTTGACTCTTCTCTTACAAGAGACGCGATATCAAAGCCACGCTTTTTCTTGGTTATTGGCTTTACTTCAGATGTCGATCCGTTACTCGTGGAGGTTATGCCAGTAGTGGCACTGGATTTTGAATCTGTGTGTCGGCTATTGTTATTTGTAGTCAACGGTATTGAATCAATTTGAATACGTTTTGGACAAATGCATAATATATGAGTGACCACACAATTGCTGTATAGAAAGACTTGATTACAGAGCGGACAGAAATATCTGGTGCTTCCGTTCAGACAACTGGACGAACCACTGGGCAGTCGGCTCTCCAAGTCGTGGCTAAACCAGGCGTAGAGTTTGCCTGTTTCTGGTGGTGTTTGACTGTTAGACGAGTCGTTATTTAGGTTAATATCACGCATTGCTTTGAAATAAAAGTTTCCGTTTTTGTAAATTACTTTCAGATTTTGTTCGCCAGAATGCCGTGCGATCTCTACTTTGGCGAATAGTTGATCCATTGGTGAACTGTTTGTGTTATTATTATTATTATTATCGTCATTATTATTAGTGTCGCATGACTTGAGTGATAACCAATGTAATGGATTATGAAATGGTCCAAAAAGCTGTCCTTTCGATATGTTTGTCGTCATAGTAGTCGTTATGGTCTGTGACGGACTGTCGATGGTATTACCGGCATCTGATTCACTTCCCTCAGTCATTATGATGTAATTATTGCCACAATAAATATGATTATAAGAGTGGTTTCAAATAAGTCGCTTAAACAGCTTTCATCTCCCTTTCCCTTTACTAATTCATTTCATCTGAAACTAAGACATAAAGAGATTGAGAGTTATTTATGATATAAATTATTTATTAATCGATAAAATTCTTTGATAACAACTATAAGAAGTATATATAAATTATATATAAAGTTTATATAAGTATATCTATTAAGAATATTCTGTTTGTTCAGACATTATGTTTGTGTCTCTCATATTTTGAAGTCAAACGGCAAATAGTGATAAGTTTTGTGCTCTCAATTTATTCAGCAAATAAACTCAACAATAACTCTCAGTCAACTATCAGAGTATTTATATAATATATAAACATAAATATAATATATATTTATATTTTCGTATATCAAATATGAATAAACTTCTAGTTATATGATTCACAAAAATCTAACGTCAAATGCGATAAAAATAAGTTTATGTATAAATATATATAAAGTATATATACATATATACAGTATATATGACTCGATTATGTATATTTTATATATGTTATATAATATATACACACTAGTATACTATTCATTAGGAGGCCAGGCATTTAAAGGCGAGGGGAACGGGAGAGAAAAAGTATAGACGAAGTCGAGCGCAATATACGAGTGAATACATACAGTGAGTACTTTATATATATACCGTATATTGTAAAATATATACAATATATATGATAGCAAAAAGCCTCTGCATTGGTATATACTGTATATATATATATATATAATGGCAAAAACACGATGAGATGCTCTCATCTCTTTCCGCTCCGATTCCTTAATTTGCATTTCAATGTAACATAATGTAGCCTTTATGCCTACCATTCCATATTGACAACCAACCAGTGCTCTATTGTCTACTACTATACCATCACCACTACTACTACCCAAATATCAAGATTAAACTGCTTAGACTATGTATACTATATATTATACATACTGTATATATATTTCCCATTTCTTTATGATTAAACAGAGGCTTCTACTCAATAATGAATTGCAATTTTCATCAATGGGTGACTCGATTTTAATTGCTTTTTATATTATACTAAATAATAACAACATTTGTTAGCTATTATTTTAACATTAATATGTATTTTGTAACAGATATTCATAAATATGTATAACAAAACATAAAATAATTAGTCAATAATTTCAAACATATATGAATTTATTAGTTAATCACATATTGTTACAAAACTATATTTTGCATAAATTATTTCTTTATAAACAAAATTCAACAAATGTTTTATTTATTAATATCGATTAATATAAATTTTTATTATTTTGAATCATTTTTTATTTTATACACAAATAGTATTTTTAATAATGATATATAAATATTTTATATTTATTATTATTATTTTATTTTACTATATTTTAAACTTTAAAATAAAAACTTGAATAATTTAACTTTTAACTTAATTTAGTTTTTCTTATAAATTATTAATTTTTTCACTATATTAATCAAATATTTACTATTTACTTTTTTATATGTTTACTAATAAATAAATATTAATAAACTTGAAAAAGTAATGTAAAAAATGTGTAAAATTTGAAAAACATTGTTGACAACATAAAAACTTATTTAATTTCCAGTCAATCTGTAATATTTATTTATATAACAAATAACAAAACATAGCATTTATGTCAACAATAGGGTAAAGATATTCAGTGTTTGACAGAATAACTAAATAAAAATAGATAAACATTTAATCCGCGAAAAAAAGAGAGAAATAATTAATTGAAAAAAAGGAGAAAAAATATTGAATGAAATGAATGACTGAATGAATGGAGAAAATGTTTGAAAAGAGCTTTTATGAGATGAGATATATATTGTGTATATAAAAGAAGTTAATGTGTATAGCATTAGCTGTAAAGGCAACCAATTTTTATTATTAAATTCAGTGATGAAAAAGAAGTTGTGACTTAAAGGCCAGGACAGGGAGTATACAATCTGTGTCAGCTCTCTCTCTCTTTCTTTCTCTCTATCTATCTATCTATCTATCTCTCTCTCTCTCTCTCTCTTTCTCTCCCCTTCTCTAAACACTGAGATAACAGCCCTAAAGCGTTAAGCACTTAAAGCTATTGGAGTTTAAGTCCGAAATAAGCTTAAAGTGAATAAAACTTGACATCAAATAAATGTGACATCAAATCCATGCAATTTTAGCAATACGTTTGCCAATTTGATACACAACTATTTGGATGTCTTTAAAAATAAGTTTAACTCTTATAATATACAATACAAACAAACTTACCCAATAAGAAGTAGTCATCAAGTGATACATTTCCAAGTGATATAAACACATAAACACTATAAAGTTTTATGTACTGTCGATACCATCCAATGAATATAAGGTAATCAATAAAAAGATGTTATGATAGAGACAGTGACAGGTTTTTACTTCAAATGTGTGTTTCAACGATGTTTTGAATATCTTATGGATAACAATAACGATAACAACTTATAGACCCAACAAATGCACAAATAAAGAGATGATGACTGACTGAGAGTTGTTAGTATAGCGATGGATGAATAGATAACTGAATGTCTGTGTGTGTGGAGAGGCTGAGGATGAAAGTGGAGACGAGCTTAGACTGACTGAGAACTTGGAGAGTGGAGTCGACTATATGTGTATATCGTTGGAGAAGCGCAATGAGGAGGAGCTGTTAGGAGTTGTGAACCACTCAACTATAATACTGTATAATAGGACGACTGCTACTAATTCCCAGTTATTTTGTCGGATTGCCTGCCATTCCCCACTCCATCACCACATTTGCACCCATTATATTGATATCACATTATTGCTACGGTATGCTAGACATCCCAAAAAACACATTACCAGCACTACAGTATTGTATAGTATATATATATATATTATATTGTATATTTTGCAATCAAACATATTATTTTATTTTATTTAACTTATTGTTTATGATAAAAACAATTTTAATTGTAATTAGATTGTCGAGTAATTAAATATTAAAATTTTTAAATTAGTTTCAGATAACAAATATAAGCCAAACCCCATTAATTTTTTTTTATATCATTTAGTGATAAATTATTCACACAAGAGTTTAGATGATAATGATTTTGAATGATTGAAAGCATTTGCGATAGAAATATATGAAAATCAACTGAGATTTAAAACATGTTATTATTATTGCCTTAAGGTTTATGTACATACAGTTGTTATACAGTTATACTTATTTATATGCATATAGTTGTTATACAAAACAATCAATGGGAGAGAGAGAGAGAGAGAGAGAGAGAGAGAGAGAGAGAGAGAGAGAGAGAGGAGATGTTGGATGTGTGGAGGACTAGTAGTATATGTGAGATATAGAGATGAGTTGATCGCATGGATGAGTTATGTCGGAACCAATTTTCTTATTTCCCTTTCATTTAGTTTCAGTTAATCTTAAGCCTTATAAAATACTGTACTATACTATATACTAAACTATCATTTTTTTATGTCGATCCCTTATTTGATTAATTGATGCGGATTTGCTTCAATGCATTTTTGTGCACTACATCTGCGACAACACAACATTGCAGACACAATATAATAAAATAGTGGCAAACATTTGGGGCACATCTTCTCTCTCATTTTAATTAACAACTTAGCCATAAATCACAGGCTTCTCTATAACACATCCAACACTACCGGCCCCAACAGTTATGTTATGTGTGCACACAATGTGCGGTCTAAATGCAAAAACCACTAAAAGCATTGTCAGTAAAAAATGTTTTTTAATATAATAGAAGATAATAGTGTTGTTCAGCGCCTAAATGACATCTGTTTTAATCAAAAACAGTAGTTTTTTCTATGGTTTACAATATACAGTATATATATATTATAAGTTTATAGTAAACACAATGTTCTATGGGTTGAAGTCGATTGAAATAATAATAACAAAAAAGTGATGATAACAGTGATTGTTACTAATGAGACACTATTTTCTTATCGCTGCTTAAAAATGGGCTCTTTTTTAGGACAAAATATAGTGTGATATGTCATATACGGCTCTTAAATGAATACTTTTTAATGTGATATTGTGCTCACTTGTATAAAAACAGATATATATATATATATATATATATATATAGAGAGAGAGAGAGAGAGAGAGAGAGAGAGATCAATGAAATGTAAGTTTGTGTTTGCTTTAGTTATTTGTTGAGTGGGTGAGTGAGTGAGAGACGAGTGAATCGATACGAGAGTTAGTGCTAACAAAATATCAATTGCTTAAAGTGGAAGAAACGCTGAGATTTGAGTTGAAAAAAGAAAAGACAGAAAAAATATGAGATTTTATTTGTTTGTGAATATATGTTGTTATATGTATGTGACATAAGCACTGGCAGACAAACTGTATGGATGACTGAATTTTCTACTATATGTCCACTACTACTATACTTTGTACTATCAGTACATCACATATGCTCTTATATAGAGAAAAGACAAGATTTGTTGGCATATAAAATATGAAGCCCTGTAGGCATAGATATAGCCAGAAAAAACTATATATAAATATAATATAAGCAATAACTGTGTATTTTATATGTATTTGTAGTTAAAGCGTAAGGATGTCTACTATCGGAGCACTTGGAGTCAGAGCATATCAATGAGCGACAAATCGATGACCGACTACTGCTATAATAATGTTAGGCAAAAATAGATCTACTGTTTAAATACCATTGACTCACAATATAGATGTAGTTTGCGTTGATTTTTGATATTATTTGTAACAAATAAAATATGAAATTTACATGCAATGAGATGTTCAGTGTGTATAAAGCTCATGGAGTAAAGCTTATACTATCATAGAGAGCACAGGGAGCACAAGTCGCTATCGAGGGACGAATTTTAACAGATGTTTTCAAGAGGACCTATTGTACCGACAGATGTTTTGTACTGCACTACTTGACTATATGTTTGGTTCAAACAATAAACAAAATTGGCTAATATTATCAAATCTAATCAATACTGGGATTTAAATTAAAAGCAAATCACATCTCAAATAACTTGTTTTCCATTCAATGAAAGACTTAACCAAATACTCTTTAACCGCAAACCTATGCAAACCCTATAATAATGTAATTTATTTTTTATATGTATTTATATAAAAAACATTTTGAATGTATATTACAGTAATTTTGTCTTATATCCGGCAATTTATTGAATGTTTGTTTTTTATATGAAAGACAAAAACATCGATTATAGAGAGTCTATCAGTCTCTGTCAGTGTCAACGGGTGGTCAATACCAATGATCTTACAACTAGAAAGAGAGAGAGAGAGAGAGAGAGAGAGAGAGAGAGAGAGAGACAAAAACACATATATAGACAACAAAATATAATTACCATTTATCTCTTTATTTTCTCTCTCTCTCTCTCTCTCTCTCTCTCTCTCTCTCTCTCTTTCTTTCTTTCTCTCTCTGATCAGGGATTTGTAACAAACAGTATTAATACCAGTGTTTATAGTACTACAACATTATTTTCATTGCACTGATGGCAATACCCTTATATACTGTATATACTATATATATAAAGATAATATAAAAACCGAAGAGTAACTACAACTTTGACAATACAATGAAGTGAATGAATAAGAAATAAACAATAGTTACGACAATACTCAGTGATCATCCAAATGATGGTGAAGTCAGCAAACAATGTTAGTTGTCGTGAGCTAACTGTTTGTTACTAAACAATCAGTACATTACAAACATCATTGACATCATCCGCATTATCCCTATTGTAACACTTATAGAGAATCAATGGATAAAAACGGAGAGAAAATTATCGGAAAAATGAATAAAAAACTATAAAAACCTTAAGCAATACTATTCAGTAATGTATTGTTGTGTCGTTTTGTTTGATTTTTTCTGGTATTTAGTTTAGTTTTACTTCAATTTGTTATTACACTAGTATTAGTGTATTGAGTTTAAACTCTATATGATATACAATTTAAAAGGAAATATATATATATATATATATATATAGATATTAATGGTTTTTCATTTCTTATATAAAAAAGTATCCAAAAAAAAACGATAAGTTTGTTGTGTTGTTTAGTATGTGTTTTTGTGTGACACTCAATATTGATTAGTTAGACGATTGTCGTGTAAAAAGACAGATATATAGCTGCAGTGCCATCGATGCCATCCATACAACCAAACATAACTCTATAGAGACAATACTGTTGTTCCCAATGTGTTGTTACAAAACACGATTGACACAAACGTTTCGTAAGTCTCAGTAGTTTCAGCTATTTCTCGGCATTTGTTTTGTTATATATAGCGCTTATTGATCACCAAAACATAATAGCAGTTATGGGGAGATGAGAGAGACATAAAAATAAGACATTCCTATGTTATTATAATAATATGAATCGACAAAAACTATGTGACAATCATTTTATTCCACTAACAATACATCTGTTTGTCAATGAAAATACAAACAATCAAAAAACAAAATGTTTGACAAACTATTATATAGTGAATGAATGAGAGATGATGGGAGAGAGAGAGAGAGAGAGAGAGAGAGAGAGAGAGAGAGAGACTCAAAGATTTCGTTTTCATATAAATTTAATTTTCAAACCAATTGCTTAACACTTAATATCTATATATAAAATATATACTGTGAAATACTCACACATTTCTACATTACATTAAATTGCAATACATTACAATTGTCTCTTATATAATAGCATATCGACTATTTTTGTTTGTTTGTTTGTTTGTAAAGCACAAACTTAATATAATTATAGATATTAAGTGTAATCACTTAAATTGCTTTTTTGTTCATTAAATTGACAGCTATTTTTTAATCATATAATTAACGTAATTGAATGTTTTTGAACTTATACTTTGAAACAATTGAGTTTATTATAATTAATTATCATTAAAATTAATTCATTAGGAGATATATTTTATTAGTTATTTAAGAATAAATTAGTAGAGATTATAATCGATTTTACATTAATATTTAATTGATTATCTATTAATATACAATGTATACTAACATAATTTATTATAAGTAGATATTTATTTCTAATTTATTTGCTTTATTGGATAATCAATTGTAGATATAATATGTATTCATTATATTATTATACTGTAGTTATAGAGTAGATATATATTTACTGTAGATTTATATTGATAGTGTTATAAATAGATTTTTATACAGAGATTTATTTTGATTTAAATCTTGTATTTACTGTCTTTACAGTATGTATTGTTTGACACCACATTTACATAGATATTAGTCTATTTAACGTTCAAAAAATTACAAGAAAAAGATTTTCTAGTGATGAGAGAGAGAGAGAGAGAGAGATAGCAAGTGTTTAATTTGCAATTCATGTCATTTTATAGCCATAAGCTGAGAATAGTATCTAACATTTTGTTAAGATATTTGATTAAAAAAAATTGTGAGACAAATGTTTTGATTCACATTATATCATATAATATTATATAAAATAAAATAGAAAAACAGCACAAAAAATGGTTTCAAATCTCTTTATTTTATTATTGATTTTGAATAACAAACAATTTCTTGGTATTTATTAAAGTATTAAATATCAAATTTTAAAAACATTATTCTGTATAAAGAAAATTATTATTATTTATAATGTATATAAAATTATAAAAATTATAATATATTCTGTCATTAATATTTGTAAATCTAAAACTACAGAAAATTATTTAAAATATATCTAATTTTTGAAAATATCAATTAAAAAGATCTAAATAATGTATTATTTATCACATGACTTGTAAGTCATCTCTTTAGGAAAATGGGCACCAATTTGTTGGATCACTTGCTGTGCCGCATAAACACCACTTTCCACACAAGTTTCTAATGGCTTATCACTAACTAACTGAGCGATATATCCGCCGACAAACGCATCACCCGCACCAATGGTGTCCACAATTTTACTTTCTTCGACCACCGGTACAGAGAATTCAAGAACTTCGGAACTGCCAGTCGAGGCCACCAAAACACTTGCCGCTCCCTGAGTGTAGACCACCTTTCGTCCGGTTTTCCGATTGGACTTCAGATTAGCGGTCAGTCTTGCGATTTCTTTTATGTCATTTGTCTATTAGTTGAATAAATAGTTACAATTGAAAAATCACTTCAATGTTCATACCTTCCATCCATTCAATTCTGCAAAAGCGGCCGCTTCGGTCTCATTGCCGAAAAGTATGTCTACATATGGAAGTACTTCAAGAAGTTGTTTGGAAAACACTTGACTAATATAAGGCGCCGACAGATTCATAGTAAACAGTTTACCGTCGCTGTTGTGCACATGTTTGGCCACCAGAAGAATCGATTCGGTACTAACCGCCAAATGATATCCTGTCGTATAGAATATTCTGGCCTTTTCTACGTAACCGAAGTTATTGCGTACGTGTTCAATGTCAAACTTTTGGGATGCGCCCAAATAGGCCACCAAAGATCGGCACGTGTTGTTGTCTGATATGAGACACGCGCACGTGCCCGTTGGCGTGTCGGCATCAATACGATAAACGGTGTTGAGGCCAACTTCATGCGAGTTATTGGCCATAATTTTACCGAACTCGTCGTCGCCGATACCGCCCATGAATGTACAGATGTGAGTCTTCTTTAGCATCCATTGTATGGTCCGCAATGTGTTTTGACAACTGCCGCCGGCTATGTATTTACATTCAAACTGTGAGACCACTTCTTTGTAGAGATTCTCGTGAGAGTCATCCGCCAGAATAGCATCGTTGGCCTTCAGTGACCATTTCTTGAGGAAGTCATTATCGACCGAACAGGTGATGTCCAGCAATGGGTTTCCCAAACCAAATACTATTCCTTCACTAAATAACAATTTCCGGGAAAATCGGGTTTTAATTAAGTTATGATAATATCATTAAATAGTATTATATTTAATAATAAAACACAATATTTTAATTCATACCTTAATTGAGACATTTTGATGATGCAGTCAATTATAGAAATTTTTATAAACTATTTATTAATTATTGGAAAAATGACAAAATGACATTGCTAATATTAATATATAATATGATAAATGCTAATTATTTTAGATTTTGTACCATGCATATTTTATTATTTGTGTTTACATCAATAACGTTATAAAATACTATAATATTTTGGATTTATTTAGCAATAATAAACTAAATTAATATTTAAATTAACATAAATTAATAATTAGTATTTTTTTTATAAAGATTTTTTTAATTTCAAATTAACAAATGATTAATAAATTTATCGGAAATTATTTGTTATTTTTTTTTGTATATTAATAATACAGTTGTTGTGACAAATCAATGATTGATGCGATCTATGGGACAAATAGTTGATCACTAGAGACATCCAAAGCCATGAATTTGTAGCAAAAGATATGAAAAGTTTATTTGCAATAGACTTGAATGACAAAGACATTTGACATTTGAGACAAACTATTAATTTGATTGTATAGTTGAGAACTGTTACTATTGTTATGATTAAGAATCTGATGATATTAACTATTAATAGACTAAATATTTGTTGCGATAATATTTATGAGATTTTCTAATAATTAAAAAAATTGTTTATTTTTTGTTATTTTAAGAATATCAATATAATTATAATAATATAACTGTAAACATATTCATAACTTATAAAACATACAATATTTATATTATTTATATTGTAGATTTTAAAAATATATATATTCCTATTTTTTGAAACATAATTTAACAAATTATGATAATAGATATTTAATTATTTATACATTATATCTATTATGCTTATTTTAATAAAATACAATAAAAATTTAGTTTCAAAAATTATAATCATTATTTTGATTTATAGTTTAGTTTTTATTGCAGACCAATATTTTTTAATTGTTTAAATATTATTAAAATCTCATAAACCGGTGCTTAACCTCCAAAAACTAATAATTTTCTTGAGTAATCAATTATGTGAAACAATTGATTAAAAATCTCTAAGTTTAATCTATTGATAATATAATTTTATGTTTATAATCACTATCACTAACTAATGTATTTTATAACAAATATAATTATAAGTTTGATTGATTTTGATTTTTTTTTTTCATATAATTTACCTGTACATCTATAATAATTTATTATTATAAAACTTGATTTAACTTAACTAGTTTTTACAAGTTGTTAGTGATATGAATAAGAGTTATTTTAAGACATTTAATTATTTATGCAAAAATTACTTAATTAAAAATTTTAAAAATTGTTTTTTTTGAAAGTGTGACACAAAAAAATAATATATTTTCAAATAATAGTAAATTTATATTATGCATCTATTTGCAAATACTGTATTATTAAACAAATAATTTTTATACCTTTAATTAGTTATATAACTATTTATGAATACGAATTTATTTATACAACGATTCAATACGAATAAACATATTATATTTAATTTTCTGATATTGAATAAATATTATATAATAATTATGTGTTTATCCCACACTTGCATTTAAAATTACAGATATATTTAGTACATTGTATTTTAAATGCTGTTTATTCATTTAAAATTACTATAAATGTTTTTTTTGCAAACCATATGTTTTCAAAAGTAGCTATTTTGAGCCAAAATTTAATGATTCAGATGAAAATAATAAGCTTTAGTTATTTTACATATTATACTATTATTATATAATTTTAATATAATAATACTAAAAAATATTTTACAATATATTAATAATATAATAAGTAGTGTTGAGAAAGGGGTGTGTGAGTGATAAAAAAAATTAGTAAAATAATTTATACATTAGTGATGTGATTACAGGCTTATCTCAGGTAAAGCACCCAAAAAAGTGTTAGCCCTGTGCTGCAGAAATTGGATCGATTGGTTCAGAGCTCGTGAACCCTGTCTTCAGCTTAGATGAGCTCCCACTTCGTGACAACCGGTTCTTCGGCTCACAAAACCGGTAAAACAATCAATTATTATATAATTACTCAAAACAGGCAAATGTCTAGTACTATAAATACAGTATTATACCTGTACTGTACAATAGGTATGGTATATGACATACAGTCAATTGCACGACTCGATTGCCAAATATATTTACATTAATTATTTGACACTCAGATTCCCAAACATTTGCTACAAATCGTTGCACTTTTACTTTTTCATGTGTTTAAAAATAAATAAGTTTTTTAAATGTCTAAAAAACTTTTTTTTGTTATAATAAGCGTTAATAATAAAAAACATTAAATTCATAATAAAAAAGAATAATATTTTTTAAGTTACTATTTTGTACCGCAATATATTGTTATAAATTTGTTCAAATGTTGATATAATTTTGTTTTTTGTAATAATACTGTTATATCAGTTGTATCTTAGATCTATTATTATATGATAACATTTATATCATTTATATACAACAATAATAATCTCTTAACTATAATCTAATATATAAAATCTAATAAAGTATAGCTATTTTTTGCTGTTATAAAAGCATTGTTAAATAAAAACTTTTGTTATGATTGAATTGATATAACGATTTCCTTAAATATATATTACAAAAAAACTTAGATCGAGAAGTAAAAAAACTTAAACTATTTCATCGGTAGGTGTGAGCTGTTTGTGTGGTGGATGTCTGTGCTCTCCAGTGTTGACGGATTACTCTAAAACAGGACTCCAGTGAACTTTCCTCTCATTTGGGACACATATGTAAGGACGGACTGGTTGTGATTTCATGTATTTGAAAAAATTGTGAACAATTTTCTAAATTAAATTTCATTTTTTTTATTGTAATACTTTTTTGTGTAATTAATATTTACTAAATGAATGGAAAATATTTGGCACAAATTCATGTCAACCAAAAACATTTAGTCAATAACTTTATTATTAATAAACAAACTCTTCCTAAGAGACAATATCCAGAAGTCATTGCACTTCCGGACGACAAAATCACTGTAACAAAGACTGAGATCATCTCTGCCACAAATGCTGAGCCTATCAGTCAATGGTGTTGGTGTTCGAGCACTGGTATCTCAAAACAGTCCGACCAATGGAAGGATCGATCGGTCAATAAGCGACCGGTTATCCATTCGACACCCAAACCGTCCAAAACTAATTGTTTTATATGTGACTCCAACAGTGAAATCTATTATAACGTGAATACCAGTGATGATGAATGTGTCGATTGTTTTTGTGAAACATTTGTCAAATCAATGTTTTGTATGCTTTTAAAGCCATATACCTGGTGTTTGGCTCCTTAAATATTTTTTAATATTTTTATTTAAATATTACTAATCTTAGAAATTATATTTATAAAAATATAAGTTTATTAGTTATATAAACAATATAAATTATATATTTTAATAACATTTTTATAGTAATATACTTGTATATATGATAGTATATAATTGTTTTGATCTCAATTTTTTTTTATAAAATAATTATAAATATTATATTTTTAACAAATTTTTAATATATATAATTGATTTTTTTGTAATTAAATATAATTTGACTTGTTAAATTTAAGCTCATAAATTTTAATATTAATTTATAATAATAATAATAATAATAAACTATATAAAATAAAACCAAAAAAATTATTATTCAATTTCATCAAAATTACAAAACTAAACTCAAATATTATGACATAATCTATTTATGTGGTATATTATAATACTCTATAATTATGACAAACATTATTAAATCGTGAGTTTTATGCACAAAAAAACTAATGGTTATATCAATTATAATTATGAACTATTTTAATTGAATCGGTTTGTAATCTTAAAATAAACCTTTTATTGTTAAGATCATACAATGACCCCTTGTATGTGTGGACACAATTTTTTATTAACCGGTTCGGCAATAATTTGAATATTATTTGAATAATGTATTAGTTTTTTTTTTATTCAATAATTTAAGGAATATATACATAATTTTGAGAAAAAGAAATTATTATTTTTTAATAAAATTGAATAATTTGATTAAACAATAAAAAACAAGCCATACATATGTAAAGATAAAATTTACATAATTTTCAATTATAGGTTTTTAATAATTCAGTTTAAATATTTATATATAAATTTTGTTAAAATACTGTATAAATAGATTGTTGTTTAATTTAAATAAATATATCTAAATTTTAAACTGATTACATTTTACTAGAAATATGTTATATATAATTATATAAATTTTTGTATGATTAAAATACCAGGATCAATTTTTTTAAGATAATAATCGATAATATAGTAGATAATAAAGTATATATTTTATTTATATTATCCGATTAATAGTTAATAATAAACTACATATAAATAAATGTTTTATTTAGTTTTATGTTTAAGTTTATAATACAGTATTTAATTAATATTAACTATAAAATGATTGATCAAAATGTATGTATTCCTCGATTATATGAAAAATTCTAAATAATCTCCAATTGATTGATAGAGACATCTATTAATTACTACAAACACTTGACAAGTGGTATACGTGACTAACGATTGTGACCTCAAAACTATATTACAATTGTTTGACATAAATAACAACAACATGTGATTGTTGTCAATCAACTCCCCGTTTGTTTGGTTTACTAATAATTACCTAACAATTGATACTTGAATTTTCAAGCAATCGATTGTCACTACAAACACATTATTTGTGTGACACGTGTTTAAAGAGACACTCATATTATTGAGTGATTTAATAGACTCTCTCTCTCTCTCTCTCTCTCTGTATATAAACATTGAGTATTAGTTGACTATTATTTGTGTGGTTTTGTTGGTTATAATCAACAAAATCACTAAATAATTGAAATATTAATTATTATTATTATTGTTATTATTATTATTATTATCAATATATTATTATAATTAATGTTTGATATTATTTTTATATTTATATTTTAAATCAATATTTTATAGTTTATTAATTGTTTTGATTTGTTTTTAACGGTAAATATTGATGAATAAAATATGATATGTTATGACAATAATTGTCCTAATTTTTGCAAATATGTTGACAGATATGTATCCCCGGATGAGTCAATACTATCCATCAACGGTTCCACAACAAGATATGATTTCCACCACTAGTCACACAAACCATTTAAATCCAAGAGTTATGTCGGCAACGGTGTCTCAGCCCATGAGTACCGGTCCCTGGGGTTACCCACCCGTAACTCCGTGCTATCAGTACATCCCAAAACCCTATCCGTCGACATCGACATCTGTCTTACCATCAAATGCTGCCACTGTTTCGTGCAATCCTTTGCTTTCAACTGTAGACAACAACCAGCCGTCTGTCTTAGACATAGGTATCCCATTAAATGCTTTTAATGTAATTGTTATTAAATGATAATTAATTTTAACTTTTATAGGTTCTTCTTTTTCTTCATCGACAAGTGATTGTAATAAATGTAGACAAATATGTGTTAAGAGTAATATTGAAGACAATAATGTATTGATGAAAGAGTTGATAAAGAGTTTGGAGACAATGCGACAAAATCAGGAAAGATTTGAGACAAATGTATTGACAGAAATGAAACAAATGAAAGAAGTGATGTCTGATCTGAAGTTAACTTTACAAGAGCTTCCCATAAGATTTGCCGACGCTTTGACTCAGGGTTTGGAGTCAGTAAACAATCCATCAGATTGTATATCCATTAATTCAGAGCCTGAAATGGTGGGCAGTATCAGAAAAATCAGTATTGCGGACGATATTGAGACAGATTTCGTTGATCTATCAAACGATAAGCAAACGACCGAAACTCATGGCCACCCGAAAATGGCATCGACAGCTATCTTCGAAAAGTTTGTTTTTGACACGAAAGCACCCGTTGTCGACAAATTTGCTGTTAACTCCACACAAACGCCACCAACAGTGGAAAAGTTTGTCTTTCCGTACGATCCGAAAGTAGATTTGAATGTATGGCTTAAGAAAGAAACCAACGATTGATTGGCAATTTGCAGACAATGAATATTAAAATTTAATTCAAATACAGTATATCTTATTAATATTTTAAATAAACTATTTCATTATATAAACAATTATACAAAAATTATATGTATAGAGAGATAACATTATATATAATATATACCGTATATATGTATTAACAAAGAGACTGTTTTTTATAAGCTATCAAAATATTGTATTAATTTGTTTAAACCAAACAAATAGTTGTCGTCGAGACCGTCATTTGGAAAGACATGAGCGAAGTCTATCATATTGACCACAGCTTTACTTTGATGGCAATCGTAGACAAATAACAAAGAACTGGATATGAATTGCCATTTGTTGTGATTGTAATTATCGAACCACTCTTTAATGACTTTCATTTGACGCGAAAACTCACGAATTAAGGCCCTATTGTTTTGAACATATAATACGAGTGCTGATGAAAATGAAAATAAATGTTAGTCGATATGGTTTAGCTGTTATCTAATATATCTTAAGGTAACCTTCGCCGACATTATGAGGAGTCAGTCTTATGCCATAATCTTTCTCTTTGATCACATAGTTGTTGTCTTCAGGCTTATAGATCTGTTTAACAAATTGTCAAATGGATTAAAACAATTATTGATTCAATGAGTTTAGGTGTAAAAGCATACTCTCATCCCAAGAATCCTAAACCCAATGTCACTTTGGAACCGGTATTTAGTGATTTCACTTAAGATCTTTTGTTCATTAGCTTCCAAGTCATAAGTTTTGGCGCCGATCTTAATGTCCAACACCGACGGATTCTTCATACCATTGCTGATGTCTGTAAGTCTTATGTATTTGCGTCCCGTTTTTTGGTCGACAAATATACCATTAAATTTTGGTACAAATTGTCTTAAATTTTGAATGTCTTCGCGGAAATCGTTATCCGAATCCCAGATCTGTGAGTATAACCGAAACTCGCGTTCACTTCGTTTATCACAAATAGGTTTCAGTATATCTTGTGAGTGACGGTGTCTTAATAGCGCCAAATTGTTTGGCGAAGACCCGAACCGATGTCCGGCCACTTGATTGTCGAGCGGATCGGTTCCCACCGGGAAGTCGTCGCCAAACGGATGGTTAACAATATTGTCGCCATCGTCTCCCTTGTCGTTGTCATTCATAATTGTCTTGAAATAATAAATGTCTTAACTTCGTTGGCCACCATCTACTGCACCATCGCTGGCATCGATAGCTATGTTTTGGACACCAATTGGTATACTATCGACAATATATTCAACACATTGTTGTTTGTCTCACATTAAGTGTTGCAACAAATCTAATCACAAATAATAAGATAAACGTTTGAAACAATCATATGATGTGTTTGTCACCAAATATGATGACTAAATGCACCAATAAATCAATCAGACAATCAACTAATCAATTGATATTTTCATATTTATAACAACCTATATAATCAATGTGTCCACCAATTAATCATCAAAAATTATATTCAAATTTGTTATTACTTTAAAAAATTAAATTAACAACAAATTTGTTGGACAGTACCGGCAATCCCGCATTATTTGGTCACTTTATGTACTAAATATAATATACAGACAAACTGTTTATCACAAACAACGTTAAGACATATACTGTACAGTATTATAGCTGTATCTAAATTGTATGTATTTTAATAAAAATATCTATAAATAATTTGATAAAATGTTTATTTTTTTAATTGACATAATATAATGATTATTAAACATATTGTGAAAACCCACGAATTGTTAATTATTTAGCTTTAGTTAACTATTACTGGTTATAGTAATTATAATAATAAAAACTTTGTATAGATATTAACTCAAATAAAAAAATAATTTTTATTAAAAAACTCAATATTAATTATTGAACAAATTTGCTATTTTTTATCCATATGTATTATAAAATTATTAAAATCTAATAATTAAAATTTAAAGTGTTTGAGCAATAAGCAAATTACTAAAAACTGTATTAATTTAATATTAAATCAAAATTATAGATTTTAATTGAATTTCAGTATAAAACATTTAAATATTGATTAGATTACTATACATATGCTACTAACTAATTTTAATTACCGGTACTAATTTTATATTATTTAATATCTATAAATTTTATACTATACTATACTATAGTCTATAGTACAATATACAAAAAAATAATCACAAATGTATGTATAAAAAATTAAATTTGACTCAAACTTTATTATTATTATGCGTTTCGTATGATTCTTATATTATTTACATAATTATTATGAAATAAATTTATTCTAAAATATTATATTTATATATATACTGTCTATAAAAAAAAAAATTCTAACAATCGTTATTATTATCATTAATTATTATATATGTTTATCATAACAAAATAATATAGTTTTCAAAACTTAATAATTATAATTAAAAAAAACCTAAATTGTTAAAAATAAAAATATAATTCTTAAAACTCTTCATCCCAACCGGTCATGTCTTCGGGTGGATCACCTTCAGAGTCGGGCGGGTATTGATCGAAGTTTGAATTGTCAATTGCACTTTGAATCTAATATTTATCAAAAAATTAAATATAAAAGATTATATTTATTAACAAAATTTTTATTTATAATACCGTAGGCACTATAGGCGGGCGAGGATTTAAACTACGAGTTTTGAGTCCTTCCCAATTAAATCCATCAAACCATCTATAATAAGCCAAATAAAATACATTTAATCAGATTTTCAATACTTAATAAATGTCAATTACCAGTAATTAAATTGTAAATATTATTTATGGCTTAAATTAGTACTACAAATATTATACAGTATTTTTCATAAAATATTTAATCTATTAAATAGATTTTAAAATACTTTATTTTATATTACTTATGTTTTTTGATGTCTTCAATACCACCCTTTTGGTAGCCCAACCTTTCTGCAGGATTATCGCGACATAACTTTTTTATAAGGCTCGTAGAGTTACGAGATATACAACGGGGAAAGTCTATGGCATCTATTCCTCTCAATATTATATTATATGTCTTCATGGGATCAGAACCGGTAAACGGTGGTCTAAAAAAGTATCATAAGATATAGTAATTTAACAATAATATTAAATACAACAATAATATTGACTATTGTAACTCACGTTCCGGTAAGCAATTCAAACATAAGTACACCTAAAGACCAATAGTCAGCTGCAAATGATTTTTTAGATTAAATATATATATATATTCTAAAAATAGTGATTTTCAATTAAAATTACCAGAATAATCGTGTCCCCGATTCAATATAATTTCAGGCGCAACATATTCGGGACTAAAACAAAAAATAAATATACTTTTTATGGCAATTAAAGCAAAACAAGACATATGTTACGTACGTTCCGCAGAAAGTCCAGGTCTTCTTTCCCGGCGGTAACAGACGTTTGGCAAATCCAAAGTCTGTTAACTTTGCGAAACCGAATTCATCTAAAAGCATATTTTCGGGCTTCAGGTCTCTGTAAATAATATTTCGAGAGTGAAGATAATCGAAAGCCTCGATAACACACGACACGTAAAATCGGGTCGTCGTCTCATCGAAACTGCCCCGATCTCTGAGTATTGTCCACAGCTCTCCTCCAAGACATGACTCCAAAAGCATATATAAATATTTGGCATCTAATCATAAAAAACAATTAATAAATTAAATAATTATTATTTTAAATGTTTTTTAATAACCTTTGAATGTTTTGTAAAGTTTTACAATAAAATCGCAGTTGGATTCCATCATAATTTGTTTTTCACTTAAGATGTGTTGTTGTTGTCGGGTCTCAACTATCTGAGCCTTTTTCATCACTTTCAATGCAAAACTCTGTGACTGATTGGTGGCCAGTGTGACCAACTCGACGCGACCAAAACCTCCAACACCAAGAGTGGCCACTTTCCGCAAATCAGTCAATTGTATGTCAGCATAGCGTTCATTCAATCTATGTTTATATAGTGATAACATTTATGATTAAGTCAAACACACAACTAATTGACAATAAATCTTAAATGATTAGTAAAATTCAATAATAAGAGTAAGTTATACCTCCGATATATAGTCTTCACATAAGACAAGCAGCAAAAAAGTAATTAAGTAATGTTTATGGTATTAGATATTAGTTTGAAGAAAAAATAAACAAAAATTTCTAATAAAAACATACCTTCTTCTCTCAACAACGTCTTCGTCATATTGTTTAGTCTTAATTTCGTCTAAATTACTCATAAATTGGTTAAATAATCTGATAATTAAAATAAATTACAAATAATGTTAAACACATGGCTTAAAATGGTGTGTCTGTAAAATCATACTCTCTCTCAATGACTAAACAGGTAACACCAGTATCCGAATCAGCGATAATATTAGCGGTGCGGACGTCATCCCCTTGAAGAGCTCTTTCGCCGAAATAGTCGCCCCGACCTAATGATCGGATAAACTTTTCGGGAACATTGATTTCCATAGCATCGCCACTTGTATTCTGCGATACTATCTCTTTAAGAGTTACTCTAACTGTTCCTCTAATTATTATAAAGAAAGTGTCTCCACGTGCGCCCTGTCTTATAATGTACTCTCCTTTTTGGTAAGTGTTCTGCAGTTAATAAAAATGAAAAATACAAATATTTCACTTTTCATATATTAAACCTAATATTAAAACAATAATAATATACTTCTTCGAGAACGTCGACAATCTTCATAATGGTTTCATCGGGAAGTTTGCTAAATGTCGGAACAGTTTTAAGAAATTCCGTATATTCTTGTTGACGAATAAGACCCGTTCGCATCATAATTGTTTGAAAACATTGTCTTTCAACGGCCCATAACTTGCAATCGGTTGATGCTATTCAAGCAATATATAAAATAACAATAAAATAAAGTAAATATAATATAATAATAAAAAATTATTTAAAATATAAGTAAAACCTTTGACAGTTGCAGTTCGGGTACAATTGTATAGTATTGCCAATTCGCCGAATAGTTTTCCCGGACCCATCTTTGACAAAAATTTCCCGCCTTTACTCACTTCGAGATATCCTTCATCAATAACATAGACAACTGATCCGACACTATCTTCTTGTATAATAAACCGGTCTTTTATATGTTCTTCTGGATACATGCAATCAGTGATCTCTTTGATCTGAACCTCTTCCAAGTTTTTCATAAAATCATTCTCAAGAATGGCGTTCGTTATGAGCTTTCGGGAACTGTTAGAAGTCATGAATTTATATAAATATTTTGATAATGTTTGACATAACGTAAGATCTAATGGTTTGAGATTTAATTGAGACAATGAATTGAATAGATATGTCATGGTTTGTATTGATTTGTAAATTATGTATTCAATAAAAATAAAAATATACTTTTTATATTACTATATCAAATAGTATATAATTTTATTATCATAATAAACATGTTTCATATTTTTGTATAATAGAATCAATTTTTAAAAATTAATTGTTGAATCAAGATATTTATAGAATATGCATCTAATTTTTTATAAAGTTTATTATCTAAAATTTTTTAACAACATATACACATATACTTTTAGAATTAATCATCTAATCAAATGATCTAAAATTAAAATTATGGTAATTTATCAAACAATTATGTAACAAAATTTACATTTATAATATATTGCAATATATAAAAATTATAAAAAATTATGTCCACACATTAGTCTTAAGAATATAGGCTCTGTCATAATAACTAAAAAATTGTCAATTAATTTATATACTGTACCGCTATATGTCATTTAAATATGTCAATCGTCGTCTAAATCTTGACAATAGTTATCATTCATAAAAATCAATTAATTCATCATAAATTAAGAAATGAATGGTTCAAAAATCGAGGTAAGCATATGACGGATATTGTTTCAAAGGTTAATATATACAGTCGTAAATCAATACAAATTATTTCAATTTCATTTGCGATAAGTTCTCAATATTTCATTATTTTTTTTATTAATATTTTAGTTATAAAATTACTACTCATAACTAAATTGTATAACTTCTAGATAATTATAATTTTAACTAAAAAAACAATGAAATAATTTTTATATTATGTTAATTACTAATATTAAAATATTTTAAATATAGAAATGACACTTTTAATTCAATAAAATGATTAAATTTTATTATAGTATAAAATAGAAACTATTCATTTGTTTAATTTTGATTTGTTAAAAGATAGACTAAATTATTCAAAAAACATAAATTTAAATAATGATAATTAAATATATTATAACTATTTTTAAAAATACTCTTAATTAAACAATTTATAATACTGATTAAAATTAATCAAATTATAATGTTATTTAAATCCAAAGGTTATTTTACAATCAATTATTATATAATTTTGTTGTAAAAGCATGGTAACCAATTTTAAACTATAATCAAATTATAAAAATGTATATGTAATTTTTTTAATTTAGCATAATAAAATCAAAAAATTAAAGATTTATTAATAAAATAATTTTTAAACTTTTAACACAAACGCTAATATAAATGAAAATAAATTATAAGTTAATATAATAAATATTATTGCTAATAAGGTAAATAAAATTATTTGATTATTTAAATAATTAATTAAACAATGTTATTTTAGAGTTAATGCTATTTTTAACGAGTAATAATGTCTATTCTAATAATTGAGCAAGTTCAAAATATAAATAATTCAAAAATTCAATCTGTTAATTATCATTGACGTAAAAATAAATTTTGGTCCAAAAATAAATATTTTTCTTAGTTTAACATATGCTAAATATAGTAACATAATTATCATAAAGAGTTGTAAAGTTATTTTGACAACAAAACAATCTTAAAGATTGACAGACAATAAAAATACTTATGTTTTATCAATAAAAATATTATATTATTTCATTATTTTTTCTGCAAAATACAGCTCAGACTCTCTATTAATATAAATGAAAACTATAAATAATTTGTAATCTTTTTTTGTGATAAGTATATTAATAGTTTTATAACATCTATTAGCTGATATAATACAGATTTTATATAGTGTATACTTTAAATAGTATAAGTGTATTGATCAAGGTACATAATATTAAATGCTGATTGTCAATTTTTAAACAATATTTTAAATATATTTTAAAATATATAAAAATAATTTTCTAAATTAGTATCTATATAAAATTAAGTATATTTAATAATTATTTTTAATATTTTGCGATAGTAACTAAAATATAGATTTATAATAATTATTTACTATTATTTTCCCTAAAATTAATTAAATTTGCATAACATTTAAAATAACGTTAAAAATATTATAGAAATTTCATCAATTATAAAACAACAAAATAAACAATAATAATTTACATCAAGTTTTATATTTAAATTAATTTTTTAATAGTATAATAATACCTTAATATCAAACTTTGTCTAATAAAGTTAATTAAAAACTATTTTAGAGTGATTAAAATTTAATCATTAAATAGTATTGTAATTAACTGTATAAATAAGTCTGTGATTACTTTAAATATTATAAACTCAAAGCTATTTATTGTAAATTGTAACTATTATTGTAAACTAAAATTGTAAAATATTGTGTATTAAAAGAGATTTTTTTAAATAAAATTATATTCGCAAAAACTTTCTACAATGAAATAAATGATTTAGAGAAGTATACTAAAAATAAATGATATGTTATGTATTCAATTGTATTCAATAAGAATTCAATGCAATATACACTATGTTTACTGTAATTCTACGAAATTTTGTTAACAAAAAATGTCAAACAAGAATATTCTTATAGTATTTTATAGTAATCTCTTATAATATAAAATTATATTTCGTGGAAATTTATTTATAGTTTAAATCATAAAAAAGTTTAATAGACTTTTTTAAAATTAAAATTTCTATTATTTCAACACGTGTGCTTGATATGTAATATAATAAACTATAATTCATATACCGTAAGTTTTTTATTTACTTTATTTATGAAATTTAGTATAAAAAGCAAATTATTAATACTATAGTTCTATTGATATTTCAAGAATTATTAATTATTTCTCAATTAACTCACTTTAAAATATACATAAATAGAGAAAAAGTTAAATATTTGAATACTTTTAGATTATATTTATTATCAAATCAAAAATTCAATGTCAAACAGTATAATGATATACACATTAAATTTGATAACCACATTGAAAATTACTTTTCATAACACAAATACAGTACAATATTTTGATTACAAATGACTCCTTTTTTCAATATTAAATATATATTTGGATTATAAACATTGAAAAAAAAACTTTTGTAAAACACTCCCAATATGTAAACAATAAATATTTTAAGCATATATTTATTTTAGCTTAATGTTAGACATAATAAATTTAAAATATTATAAAGTTGTAAACTTTATGAAAAAAGTTTAGCTTTTTTCAGCAAAAAAAATTTTCATAAATGATTAATAAAATCAGGAAATGGGACTAAAATTACTAAAATTTTCCTTATATTATATTTGCTTTAGTTTTTATAGATTATTAGCAATAGCCGGTTTTTAACTAACAAAAAAACGATTTAGTGTAAATTAATTGACTTTTTAAAAAAGTAAATCATTTAGATATTTATAAATCAATTTCTATAAATATTATATTTAATTTTAATGTTATTTTCAAGTATAAAAATGGATTCAATATACTGTATATTGATATATACTTGTAAATAAAAAGATAATTGTTAGCTAAAAATAAAATTATATGATATACTTGTGTTAATAAAATAGAATTAATATTTAGAGAAGTTTAGTATATTTACAATAACTTAATGCTTATAGATATGCAATAATCTGTATTAAACTTTATATTTCTATAAAATATCTGATATATATTTTTTGGTGATATCAATGCTATAAACATTATTAAACTTAAACTTTGCGATTATTATTAAAAACATTTTTTTAATCACATTTCATATGATATATACAAATAAGTTAAAACTAAATTGAAAGTCAAATATGATATACATCTTTATATATCTTCTTTAACTAATTATAAGAATATTGTAAATGAATTAAGAAAAAAACAAAATGTTTCGCAAACTTCATAAACCATTTCATATAATTATAAAACAATAAAAAATCAAATCAAATGACAACTACTAACTGTTCCGGTTTCGGGTATTCATTAAACTTGCTTTTGATCAGCTCTTGATAGGTCAATGGATTCTGCGGTTCGGCGGATATACCAAGCAATCGGTTTTTTCGTGGTCTCAGATGGTTATTAGGGGCCGATAGTAAGCCATCGCCTTTTGCAACAGAGAAGACACTCTTGTATTTATCCAATTGTGATCTCAACTGTTGATTCTCTTCGTCCCTATCGTTCAGCAATGTCTTCAACTGTTGGATCTCTTCATCTTTTTCATTCAACAACGTCTTCAACTTTTTGATCTCCTCTTCATGTATGGTAACCAACACCTGTAGATCCGAATCGTGGCAAATGGTGGTCATCGCGGAAGACAACAGCGGTTAAACACTTAATAATTTAATTTTAATTATCAAATTAAAAAAACTTATTAATTAAATTACAATACAATAACAGTTATAAACAACAACAACAACTTTTTAACAACAATTTTAATACATTTGACTTAAAAATTGCACAAAAATGATAATCAAAGACACCATTAAAAAAAGTCACCGGATTTTTATTATTATCACTTGAAGTGGCAATCAATGCAATCATTCATCGCATGAATTATTTTAAAGATAATAACAGAATTAAATCATATGTTTCATCAATTGGTCTTTCATTAGATGGTATATCAGATCATTTGGTGACCATTGCGTGTGATTGCAATTCAATCACTTATTCAACCATTTGTTGCACACATTTGTTGAGACATACATAGACTGTACTGCAATATCTATGGCTAATATTAAAACACATTATATATGATATGCAGTCATATGAAAACAACAAAAATAAAACAACAAATAACTTCAATATAAATTAACAAATATAAGACAAGTTTGTTAACTATATATACATATACAGTATATATACGATAGTAGATATAAAACCCGTATTAATTATTGAAAAATTTAATATTAAATTATATTACTATTTATTTTTTATCACTATTAGTATATTATATATATATCCTATGTGTTTATTAAATGTATTAATAATAATAAATATTATTATTATTATTACGAAATATTGTTTTCATTGTAGACTTTTTTTAGATGAAAAACATTTAAACCTTGTATTGCATTGCAGTGAATGCATACATTCAATACATATATCAATGTTATAGACATTTCTATTATTAAAACTTTACTGTATATTAAAGTAACGAATAATACACTCATTTGTGTGCTTCACTTACGACTGTAGCGACACATATACTGTAGTACTTATAATAATAATAATAATAATAATAATAATAATATGTTTATTGTATGAAATGTTTGGTTAAACATATGAAGCAAACAAATGCCACTCAATATATTGAGACCCAAAACACTGCAAACGTTGCAAACAATTGACTGATTTGTGTCTTAAATGTTGTTTTGTTGTGTCAGTCAATGACTGGTCAATCAAAAGGCATCGACACTGCAATTGTTTGGCAACACTGTTGATGACATTATCACTGTCTTCAATGATGGTGACCACCAATGAGTGTCACCACTATTAATGGCTTTAAAACAATGATCACAAAGAGTTAATTATCACCAAAAAAAATATCTTAACAATTGATTATCATTTATGCACTCATTTTATGAATTGATCACTCATTTCATTTGATTTTGTGGTAATTGTTTGTCATATTTGTTAAATATTTCTTCAGAATAAAGAGTTTATCGATGATTACAATGTATTCAATGATAATCTGGTGATTGGATCTGTTATTTGTGTCACAATTAGCCTATCAATTGGTCAAACAAAATGAGTGAATTTCAATGGTTTGTATTGTTTTGATGTCAGACTTTGTCTATTAATGATATCAATTGAACATTTGATGTCCAATAGGATGTACTCTTTGGTGGACTCGTCAAGAGTGTCGACATTTCTCATATCAATGTTACTCATCGTTTACGGCAGCTTTCGGTTAGTATTTAGCTTTTGTGGTCACAAATATTCAAACAATTGATTCATATTTGTTAATGAAATTGTTGTCTCAATTAGATCTCTTAATATGGAAGAAGAGGCAAAACAGAAAGAAAAAGACACTGGTATTCAAAATGCTGAAAACAGTTGAGTATATTTTAAATTTAACTTTTTTTTATTAATTATGGATTTAGTTTTTTATTTAAAATTGTTATTATCATTAAATGGTTAAGCATTTGTGGTAATTTCGATAATCAAAATAATATTAAATTTGTTAATCTGATTGACATTATAGACGTACAGACATTGGACACAATGCAGGCGTTGTGTCTACCATTAGGAGCCTCTGTATCACTACTCATAATGTTTTTCTTCTTTGATTCGATGCAAATGCTATTTGCCATCTGTACGGCCGGTAAGTTAATTTGACAGTCATTTGCAGATTGTCTTGAAGTGATAAATAATTGAATTTCTATTACCTGTTAAACAGTGATTGCCGCCATAGCTCTGGCATTTCTATTACTTCCAATGTGTCAGTACATAATGAGGCCGTGTACAGACAAAAAGAAGTTTGTATTTAATGTGTTTTATTATAAATTAATTGGAACTAATGATTAGTGATTATCTTTTTAGGATATCATTTGGAATCTGTGGCCGTTTTACAGTCGCAGAGTTAGTCTCATTTTGCCTTTCGGTTACAATAGTCTGCATTTGGATCTTAACGGGCCATTGGCTTCTTATGGATGCAATGGGAATGGGTTTATGTGTTGCTTTCATAGCCTTCGTACGGCTACCGAGTCTTAAAGTGTCGACACTTTTATTGACTGGTCTTCTCATATACGATGTCTTCTGGGTCTTCTTTTCGTCATATATTTTCAGCTCTAATGTTATGGTAAGTCATTTGTTATATAATATGTTTTTTAAAATAAAAATAAATATTTATCAAATTTATGGATTTACTTTAATTTTAGTGTTTTTAGAGTATTGTATTTATTTATGCTATTCATACCCATTATAATGATATTTTATAACCATTAATAATTAATTGCTAATATTTGAAATTACAGTAATTACAAATAATATTTAATTTGTAATCAATTGACATTGTTATTCATGTATTTAAATTGCAGGTTCGGGTGGCCACCAAAACAGCTGATAATCCGGTCGGAATTGTAGCCAAACGGTTGCATTTAAATGGCGTCAAAGATCCGCCGAAACTTTCACTTCCGGGAAAACTAATATTTCCGTCGATGCAAAACTCGGGACACTTTTCTATGCTAGGACTCGGAGATATTGTAATGACTCGACACAATTGCCATGAATTGCTATTAATGTTTATTTTTTATATTTATTTGCATTTAGGTTATGCCCGGTTTGCTGTTGTGTTTTGTATTAAGATATGACGCTTACAAAAGAGCACAATTGAATTCAGTCGAAGCGGGGGTTCCGCCACCCAATCATTTCAATAAAATTACATATTTTCACTGTTCACTGATTGGATATTTTTTTGGTACTTAAAAAAATATAAGTTATAACTTAAATTGATATTAATTTAATGATTTTGATTAATAACCAAATTAATAGGTTTAGTAACAGCTACCGTATCGAGTGAAGTGTTTAAAGCAGCCCAACCAGCGCTTCTGTATTTAGTTCCCTTTACATTACTTCCATTGCTGACAATGGCTTATATCAAAGTAAATTGCAGATCACTATTGAATGACAATAATGATTAAACTAACAAAATAAACATTGATTTTTAGGGTGATCTTCGACGCATGTGGTCTGAGCCGTTCATTGCATCAAATCTTCCCAAACATCTGGAAGTATGATAATAATCAACAATTTTTTTTTATAATTTAATACAAATATATTTTAAACAAAACATACACTCATCATGACTGTGAATCTCTCATTAAATTTGTAATATAATTATAAATCATTAGACCAATTGTGAGTCACATCTACAGATAAAAAACTATTATTTAATTAAGAGATAATACGTGTGAAAAAACATTTATAATTATTCACAGATAAGTTATATATTGTGTAAATAGTTGTATTTTACAAATTTATGATATGATAATACTCTCTTAAAATTAGTTTTTAACCAAATATATTGACATTATTTTATACAATGAGACATATGATATACTTATTTGTAATATAGATTTTTATGCTTTTATTTAAAAAGAAATTAGTAAATTATGTGAGAATTAAAACTTATTACAATATTTAAATATATTATACAATATATTATACATAAATATATTATACAATATATTATACATAAATATACCTACAAATTATTATTAAAATGTTTTTTATTTATTTATTAATTGCAAATAAATTGAGTCACATTTATGTTATACAAATAATTTTAAGACGACTTTTTGTCTTTTAAAAAGCAAATAACTGTAACAATAAATTCACAATTTTCTTAGAGATTGATAATAAATTTTAAAGAGTTATATTATTTTAATAAATATTCTTTATTATAATTATTTTGATTTTGTTTAGGTCAACGCATTGTTTTATAAATTTTTATATTATCATAAATACTATAATGTATTTTTCTTATCTATACGATAATTTTTAAATTTTATTATTTATATTTATTATAACAACATTTTTTAACAGTTCAAAACAATATTATTATTAACCGATAGTCACCAATTTTGAACAACATATCTAAATATTTTGTTAAGCGCTTACCGGTAATCATATATTTTAATTAATATCATGTTTTTATCTCTATTTTTAAACTAAAATGAGTAATCAAATTTTGATAAAACGAAACATGTATGTAATGATAAAACATTATTATAAAAATTTAATGGAAATATCAAATATACAGAATTTTAGATTTATTTTTAATAAAAATAAGTTTACATTTGCATTAATACAGTATCTTAATAGTATTGTATTCAATAAGCTTTTTAAAAAAATAAATTATGATTCAACGAGAACTGGATAATTTCAAATAAAAATAAAAACTAGATGGATGTAATTCCCTTGATAATTTAAAAATGTTTATAATGAAAACAATTAAATTAAATAAAGTATACTATTTTTAGCAATAATAAATTTTTTAAAACACCGATATGTTATTTGTTGCACAACTTTTTCTTAACTAATAATTTTATTATACTTACGTTAGTTATAATTATTTTTAAAACTTAATCAATATTTTATACATAAATCTTAAATTATGACAAATTTTAATCTATTTTATACAATATTTTCTATCAAGTTTTCGGAAATGTTTTATCTAATAAATTATTTAATCTAATATTATGCTTATAATAATTTTTCATAAAGTTTGCTAAAAATTGGTGGCCATTATTTGATTAGATAAATAAATTGAAATATTAAGTCAAATAAATTCATGTGAGTCTAGACTCTAGACTGTAGACAACGGTAATCATGTCATATAACAAATGAGTTCAACGATGGATACTATAGTAATATCAGTACTTTTATATCTGCAAAATCATATTCAATAGACAAATGTCTAAAATACTGTACCATACGGTATAATATTAAAATATATTATTAGTTTATTATTAATATATTTGCATAAATTTAATTTGCATCTAATGTAGAGCACAGGTACTTTGGATGTTATTAATGGGTTAATCTTATAAGTGATGTTAAGTGACTAAAAGTAACCATCACTTAACTATTATTTAAACAGAATCAGTGATGGCTAACACCAGATAATAATAATAATGTTACTTAATTTATATAATTTATTAAATCTATTGTATAAAATAAATGTACACCAATCTCATATGCTTCACACGTTATTTAATTTATTAGTATTTAATATATACTTTATATAAATTAAAAAATAAATTTTCAATATTAATTAAATAATTTTATTATTGACATAAACATCTTCTAAAATGTAACAATATTGTTATTTTTGCATATAATATATTATATACGATTGATAATAATTTATTTAAAATATCATAGTTATATTGTATATTAATTAATTTGTTTACTATCTAAATAAAATACGGTAATGCAAACTCATTGAAGTATAGATATATTGTATTTAAATAATATAAATAAAAAATGGTTGAAAATAATTATAAAAGCGATGTTTTGTTAAGATAAATGTTATTACACATTGATTTGTTTACAATTTAGAAATATAATTTAAATCACACATTAAATGAATGAATAATTTGAAAGCATTTCATGTATTTGAATATAATATAGGAATATAACATATCTTTGCCTTCATATGGAATGCATTGAAAACTTTCATTAAAATTGAGTTTTAAAATCAAAATAATATTTGAAAATTGTATTAATTAAATAATTTAAAACATAACAAATAAAAACTTATAAATCAAACATTTCATCTCAAACTCAAAAATTAATGAAAGACCTGATTATTACAATAAATATCTTTTTGAAGACATTTATGGTATTTGTGGCATTTGTGCGAATTTAATCAATCCTTCAATTAATACAACAATCGGATTACAATATATATATATATTGTAATTAACTAACTCAACAATAAGTTATGACTCGTTTATTGTCCGATTATTTTATCAATTATATATTATTAGTTTTGAATAACTCTTAATATCTAATTGATAATTTTAATACCGGTAATTATAATGTAATACCGTTAGTGGCGTTCATTATTTTTTAGTAAATATAAATTAAATAAAAATTATAATTATATTATTTTTTTTGATTAAATTCGCATTTAAATAGAATCATATATTTCATATAATTTATAATATAATATAATATATATATATATATATCATTGATAATTAAAATTAATAAAAATAATAAATTTGTTACAATAATATCTATCTTAACATTTCAATAAATTTATATCAACATAATTTGTTGGAATCATTATTAATTTAATTAAATTTTAATATTAATCATCATTTTGTGTGCCTCTTACAGACCCCTGATTTCGTTGCTATAAATATATACAAAAATATAAATCAATTTTATTTTTGACAAAACAAATAAAAAATGAGTGCAAACCTCATCCAATTCGCGTTTTGTTTTGTCTTCTAATTCTCTAATGTCAGCCATTGTTAATCCGTGCCATCGGTCTAACCAACAAAACACTTGGCGATGAAAATTCAAAAATACTCGCCTTTCAGTCTAATGATGCCATTATTTAAATAAGAAATTATAATTATTATATTATTTGCTAAATTTATAGTTAAAAACAAACCTTTTGAATAAATGACTCCACTTTATTTTGAAATCCAAACCAAACAAATTCAACAGTCACTAACTTATAGGCGCACATCACTGGTTCAACCGTATCCTAAATTAACAAATATTAAATAATATAACAAATATAAAATACAATAAATATTTATTATTAAATAATTTACTTATTGGACATACCTTCCAATTCTTGGTAGTTAATGGACCCCTTCCTGTCTTCTCGGATGTCACTCTTGTTGGATCTTCAGATGGCTTATAATCCTAAAAGAAATTAATACAACAAAATACCTGTAAGTTATAATAGAGTCAAAAAAAACTTTCAACAATCAATACTTTGGTCAAAACATTATCATTGGCGATGTCGATGAATACTATATCTCTTTGTTTCAGTTTCTCGGGTGACAACTGATGGGCATTCTCTTGGTTTCCCCTATCGGGTGAATGCATTGTCTCAATAGTGATATGGAACTTGTTCTTCATGTAGTCCGGGTTCTGATTATTTAAGATAAAAATACATAAAATTATATTATCTTTATATGTCTTTAACAACCGGTAATAGGCGTATGATATATGCAAACAAACAATTTGTTTGTTTAAACAAAAGATTAATAATATGTTGCATCAAATTTGTGGCAAGAAATCGATTATTAAAGTAAACTAATCGATACATACAGTGATAACAGTCTTGCAATAGGGATATGCATTCCACGCTTCTTCGTGTATCTCAAGTGATCCCTTCGGTGCCAACATCTTCACAAACCCCGGGACTTTGCTGTCAATCAAAAACAAACAAATAAACTATAATTTATATTAATTCTCTCATCTCATTCAATACATAAGCAATATATATATATATATATATATTTATTTTTAAAATAAGTATCATTAAAAACAGAGGTGACTATAAAAATTTAGTCGTTTATAGCAAATATTGTATAATATAAGTTACAACAAACATAAAAACGGGATTAAAATCTAATTACAAGTACTAATACACAGAGGATTTATCCCTTTCTAATCCCATTTTTATATCATTAGACATTAATGATTAATGATATGGCATTAAATAAATCGACTTTAAAGTCGCTGATTATCGATAAAAAAAATTGAAATTAAAAATTCAAATAATTATCACAAACAACGAGGAAATATAAAATAATAATTGCCTTAATATGAATCATCTAATTTTTGTTTTTAATAAATGACATTACAATTTAAGTTTCACTATTGAAAACCTATTTTCCTTAAAATAAATAATATCTTGATGTTAATGGTGTATAGTATAGTGGTTAGGATAATGTCATAATGTAATACCTGGCCAAATGGTAAATCTTATACGTGTATTGGCCTTTACTAAACTTTCCGCCCAAAAGTGGATAGTTATCAAAGGGTTCATTGCGGAGCACTTCGACCCCCTCTCCACCTCCCGTCTCATTTTTGGACGCCTCGGCCACAGAGTATAACTGTCCGATTTGGTACTGAAATCATCAGAAATTATTGCACAATAATTAATCATAAAGTGTCCAAACAATTGATGGTCTCATAGACCGTGTTATGACTCACCTCTTCAACGGTCAGCGGAAGTACAACACGACTGAAATTAATGGATAAATCAAATTAAGAAATCAAATCATTATTATGATTGAAATGCCGGCAAAAATCATATCAATTATATTATTATTTGTTGGCATTACTACTATTACATACATATATATATTATAATAAACATGTTTTCTCATTAATAATTAACAATATATTAAAATACTTACAACTCTTTGATTAACATTTTTATTTTGTCGCCAAAAAAATAAAATAAATAAATAAATAGTTGACTAATTTAAATACTGATATATGTATATATGATAAACAAATTCAACGCAAAATTGTGGTAATTATTTAAAACAATAATCAATTAAATGATGAGTTAATTAAATACTGTTGTGTGAACTCAAATGTGATGATAGTATACAATATATGTAATGTTTTTTTATATGACACCTAAAGCCAAAAGATATCGTTATATGTGTTTCACACAAACTCTACTGTAATGTGAAGTCAAGTGTTTTTCATTTGGTATGGCATTCATAGCACTCTCATTGCAAACTCATATAGACTTACTGTAAGTGTCGACTCCGAGACACTCACTTTCACTGCACATACACTTCAATGAGAGACCGACTGACACACACAACACATACAGTACTACCAATAATAATTTGACAATACTTTGTATGCCTACAGTTCCCCATACAGTGATTGTATAAACGGCCGCATCATTACTAGAGTATAATATACAGGCTGGCTCATCAGGAGTTATTTTCAAAATACACCACTTATTTCAAAAACTACTAATTATATTTTATTTTAACAAAAAATATTATAAAATATGATAAATGGGATTACATATTTTTATAAAAAAAAATTTTAAAATGGCCGCCTTTAATTGCAATTAAATGGCAAAGTCAGGTGTAAAAAGTCGAAATTGTCCTTATTTATTATATTTTGACTATCACGCGACCGCTACATCCAGAACCTGTCGCCATATGATGTGCTATTAGTGACAAAGAAATAATTGGGCCTATATTTTTAAGAGAAATTTGTGATATCAGAGATCTACAGGACTTAAATCATTGTGCAGGACATAAGGTCTGCTGAAGATAAAAAGATTGCTTGATTGTTACTGGTTTAAACAAGATGGTTCACGACCTTACAGAACACAAGATATCTTTGAACAACTTAGAGAGTGTTTTGGTGATCGGATTATAGGTTTGGATGCGCCCAAGAAGACTGGCGGCGGAAATGATTTTACCTCCATATTTACCCGATTTCAACACGTGTGATTATTTTTTTTGGGTTTATTTTAAGATATGGTTTACATATCCAACCCTCAATCTATTGAAGAATTCACAAAAATGATTGAAAGTGAGATACGGGCCATACAGCAATATATGAAAGTACGGGTAACATCCAATTTTGTACACCCAACTTTGCCATTTAATTGCAATTAATGGCGGCCATTTTGAAAATTTATCTAATTAAAATATGTAATCCCATTTATCATATTTTATAATATTTTTTGTTAAAATAAAATATAATTAGTAGTTTTTGAAATAAGTGGTGTATTTTGAAAATAACTCTTGATGAGCCACCGTGTACTACATTTCCCCATACATTATACAATACACTCACTAACACACATTCACAGCATTACAATACAAATACATTACTTCTAATTGAATTTAATTGCTTTGAATTAACTATTTTTTGTCTTAACTAATAAACTTATTGCTATAGAAATAATTTATATCTTTTTACAATTATAATTACAAGTTTATCTGTAGTGATGTATACAGTTTAGTATTATATAGTACAACATTTCTATGATTATAATACATAATTTAATAATAGAATTCTAGTTTTTTATTATCTAGGTAAGACATTGCTAAATTAATAAAAATTTATTTTAAAAATATATTGTAAAAAATTATAAACGTTTTATAGAATAATAATATAAAGGAAATATGGAAATTTATAAAACTACATGTATATAAATTTATATATAATTATAAATTCTAATATAATGCTAAAAATGTTAATTGCTATCAAAGTATTGATACAAACAAAAAAATAGGTTTAAACTTAATAAACAGTTTCTCTAATAGTGTGATAATTATCTTATTAATAGCTTTTATTTTTAACATATAATTGCTATTTAATTTATACAAAACTTATTGATTTATAAAACAATAAGGTTATATAAACAATTTGTTATATATTTAAATTAATATATATCTCAATAAAAGGTTAAGAATTGATATCAAATTGAATTGCAATTGAAATTTGCTTTTTGTTATCAAAAATTTGATAAATGCTTTAATTAGAACCAATTGTATTATTAATTGTGTGGCAATCAATGTTAATCATATAATCAATTAAAATAAATGATTGACAACAGCGAAGCCATGGATTGGCGCATGTATTCAAACACTTTGATCTTACATTTTATGTTTAAAATGTTCAAAAAATAACTTTAAATTATTTTTTCTATAATTTAGATACTAATTCAATATTAAATTAGACTTTAGTCTCAGTCTTTTCATTACAGTATATGGTTTATAAATTTTACTACATTATCAAACATAGCAATTAGTAATATATTTATATACATTTTGTTAGTATTTTGGTGATTACAATGAATGCTACATAAATTTAAGCAATCAAATTTTTGCAATAAATTTATCTCAATTATAATTTATAAACAATAAATTAAAAATTTTTAAAATAATATTAAATATGAAATATTTAAACCTAGTCATTTAATCTAATATTATTTTTTAAAACCTAGCTATTTCTTTTTAAATTTCAATAACTTATTTACTAAATTGTTATCATTATCTTATATTTTTAATGTTATTTCATTTTTGAAAAAAATCTAAATTAAAACTAAATTAATTTGAATATGAAATATGGATTTCCATAATAATAATTATTAAATTAGTTTACTATTATATTACATGTAAAATACATTATAATAATTGTTATAATTATTGCATTACTGTATTCAATGTTTAAATACCACATCTGTTGTCAACACATGTGACATAACATATGTAGTATTGAACTACAATAACGTCATTAAATCAATGATATAATTGCTATAAATTAACAATAAAAGGGTTTTTTAATATATTAGACATTATTTATAATTATTAAATATTTAATAACATTTATAATGCAATCATTTTTTTTAAAACATTTGAATTATTTTGAATTCTGTTTTCAAAACTAATATCAATTAAATATTTTATTTTATTTTGTTATGAATCGACTGTTGACTACATTGTTGTCATATAATAGCCGTAAAAATGTCGCGAAAACAGTGTTTATGTCCACCGAAGTGGTCAACAAAGTGAAGACATGGACGCCGGCAATGATGCGACCAATTTGTTTGATGACTTCGGTTAACAATGACGACAGTGTTTGTTATGGCCATCAAATGGTGTCCAATCAATGGTGACAATCAAACACTTTTTGACCACAAAGTAGTGATGCAAAAGACATGTCAACAATCGGAACTAAACAGCGATAAACAGATATAAAAGTCTATGAACTGATGGTTTTACTGCCAGTCTTTGAATTTTTACTGAATTTAATTTAGTTTAATGAAGACTTTGAAGATGTGCTTCATTTTACCGACAAATTTAAGATATAAATACATATCAGAAGAAATACTTTTTATATTTAGGTTTTGTTTTTGATTTTAAAATAATTTATATTTTTTTTTGTTACAAAATTTTAATAGTTGTGTTGTCTTACAGAGTGTTTACTCAATAATATCTATTGTTGTGATTGTCGAGGATTTCTGATAATTAAAATATTGTTAATCTTTTTATTTGATATAATATTAGCAAATAATTGAAACAATATTCAAATGACAAGATATAGTTAACTAAGAGATTACATAAAAGTTGTTAATTGAGTGTCCATTACATCACATATTATCCGTAGTCTTATTAATCCTTTATAAATGTTTAATTAAATTGAATAATTGTTTTAAAACTATTGATAATAAATTGATAACTTATTTATTAAATAAAATAAGCATTTAATTTGAGACATTGATTGATAAATATGTATTGTATAACCGGTAATACAAAACAATTGAATTTATTAGTCAAGTATTAAGATTGTTATTTAATTACCGGTAATAAAAAAATATACAATGTTTGACATAATTTGACATTTTTATGAAACGATATAAAAGCTAAACGAAGAAAAGTTAATTTATGTTTAATATTTAATTAAAATTAATTTAATTATCTATATTTTATGATTTATTAGCTTACTGTATATAAGAATATTTTTATTTTTCTAATTAGACAAAAAAAATGAATTTATTAGATTAAGTCATTACTAAAATTGTTTTTTATTAGATTATACTATATAATTATGTATAAAATATTGGTAATGTATAAAATATTTACGAATAAAAATTTATTTATTTACAAAACTAAACTGAAAGTGTGGATAACTTATTGCTAGACGACTGACCTAATCATTAAAATATCTGTTATTAAAGAAATGATTTGTTGTTTTTTTTGGTAATAAATACAAAGTTTGTATAATAAGTGTAACATTCTGTATATACATATAGAGTATTAAATTTATTCAATATTAATATTAAATATCAAAAATTTGGTTCATATAAAATAAATTATGATAAATAATAGTTATTATACGTTTCAAAAATTTATTAAATTAGTTATATATTTAAATTTTTTTTGTATAAAGTTTTTTACTAAAAAAAATTATATTCCGGTCAAATTAAATATTGTTATGATATTTTCAAAAAAATCTAATTATAATGACATCAATTGTTAGACAAGTCTTTCAAATACACAGTTTATTATATGTATAAAAACATAAATTATCTCAAATAAACTTTTGTTAATAATAAGAATATAAATGATTACATTTGAATATATATAATAAAAACCCATTTTTAAATATAACAAAAATATAAAAATTTTATAAATTAAATCTCATAATACATAGAGATGGGCAAATAGAAAGTTTCTAATAAATTTCCCTGAGAAAGTTTCTAGAAAGTTTCTCAGGAATAAATTTCTATAGAAATTTAATTTTTTTGGTATACTATGGGATCCCCATATCTATAGATATTGTAAAACTATAAATATATTAATGAGACACTACTATACATATAATATTATACTATATAATGTAGATTACTGTACAAATGGGATACTTATATAAATAATTATAATTATTTAATAATAATCAGTTTTGTAAATTTTTTTTCACCATTTTATTATATAATAGTTTTTAATAAATAAATTTTTACTTTAATTAATAATTAAAATACTAATACTAATATTTAAATATTACTTATAAAAACAATGTTAAAGATAACAAATATCGAGAAAACAAAATTAACCATGGGGATCCCATAAATAGAAATTTCTTTTAGAAACTTTCTAGAAATTTCTCTATTATTTTATAAATTTCTCTTTTTTGCCAACACTAATAATACAGCTGACAGTATAATATATTTATAAGTGATTTGGTTTTTATAAATCTTTTATAAATTTTTATATATATCTAACATTTATAAGTACTAACGTTTATTTGTAAGCTAGAAATATCTTAAAACTACAAAATTATTTAAATTCTCAGTGAAATAATATACTAAATTAATTTAACATTATCAAATAAATTATTTATGATAAATATGTGCTTTGAATTTTATAAACAAAATGTAATTTATATTTATTTCTATAAATTATGTATTGTGTATATAAATAATTTACTGGTGCCAATCATTTGTAAAAATAAATGCTTAAATAATTTATACCTTATATTAGCTATAATTATTTTTAAAAAACTTGTAAAAGTAATTTATAAAAATGAAATTTTAAAATAAATTTTAACAAATAATTTTTTGTTACTAAATGTTATAAAGATAAGTATAATATTATAACTTTGTTTTATTTATAGTTAAAATGTCTAAAATTTTTGTATTTGTAAATTTCTTTAAAATATATTTATTTATTGTATATAAATGTTAAAAATGTTTCTTTAAAGATAGTTTATATAAATAATTTAACTAATTTTGTTTAAAGTTATTGATTTATTTGATTAATTTTCACAAAATTATTAAATATATTAACTGAATTTATTTTAAAATGTTTTTTTTATTTTGTTTGTTTATATTAGTGTTTATATTACTACAGCATTTAATATTAATAGTGTATAAACAATAAAAATAAATAAAATTGTGACTCTATTTTACATGTTTTAATTTATTGTTAAATTATATTTTAATTGCAATAACATAATTTACAATATTATTAATATACTATAAATATATAATTATTTACAAGATTACATATATTTATTTAACCAAAAACAAATTTAATAAATGTGTATTTAATAAATTATACAAATATTATTTTTTAAATATTAAAACAAACAAATCTAATAATAGTTTTTATAATAAATACATATTACTATATTGTAATTAACTATTACATACACATCAGTAATTAAATATCTATATACAGTATTAAAGTATAATGATCTTAACAATTAATTTTTACAAATTAGTACACATCATAAATGTGAAATACTATGTATAAATAGTATAGATTGAATGAAATAATATATAAATTTATACTGTATAAAAATGTAATAACATAAATATTTTAAGTATTAATTTATTGAAATCATTAAATATAAATATATAAAATGTTATATAAAATAAATGACTATATTATAAAATTTAAAAATTCAACAACAAAAATAATATTATGCTTATTGTTCAGTAATTAATTTTAATTTAAAGTTAATATATATATCGTAATATTTATGGATATATATTTATAATAGTAATAAAATATCTGTTAATTGATTTTATCATAAAGAAAAGTAAATAATCTCTTTAAATATTTTATCTTTAACTATAAAAATCTATTAAATTTACTTAACAATTGAAGCAAATAAATTGCAATCTTATTGAAAAATCTCATAAACTAAACGATAATTTGATGCATTCATTCACTTATTCATTTGAATGGTAATAAAAATCAAAACATAAATAAACGTCTCATTTGAGGTTTTATTTAGTTCATCAGTAAATGAAATTCAAATATGATTGTGCTTTTGGTGACTAAAAATATTGTACTAAAATTAATGAGATATTCATTGAATACATATATTGAAAAACATTTACATCATTCAGCAGCAATACATACCAATTTTATTTACCAATTAATTTTCTATTATATGATATCATATTTGAAAATAATAATCTAAACAAATATTTATTAAAAAAAATTATTACAAAAATAATAAAAAGATTTAAACCATTTGTTTGACATTATTATTTTGGTGCCAATAGTCGGGCTGTGAATCTATTTTAGTGACATTAAACACGACTTTAAATTTCAAAGTAATAATGAATTTTTAGTGATTTTTAGTGATCACTTACAGATTTAACAGTAACTATGAAACAGTCATCTCAGCTAACGGTGCAGACTCTCACTTTCACTATCTCTCTCTCTCTCTCTCTCTCTCTGTGCGCACAAAAAATTTTCCTCCAAAAGATTTGTGTCTTTGAAATCACAATTATAACTTTATATACATTATATTTATATATATATTATATGTAAAACTTATTATATGAAAATCTATTATATTATATCAGTGCCTAATTTACTCCCAGAAATTTATTTATGACTTTCAAAAAGGCAACGCTTTGTGTTTAAAATAAAAATTTTTAAATACTTTCATCATTTGTGAGTTTTTGCAGGTTTTCTAAGTGAGTGTTCAGTCTTTTCCGTCAAAAGATTTTATGAGTTTTTTTGGGAAAGTTTTTGCAAAATGTTATCTAATTTATGCCGTTTTCACAAATCAGATCTGAATAAGATTTCTGTGTTTACATAATAATAACTAATTATAATAATAATAGTTAATAATGTCTTCAAATGAAACAGAAGAGAGTTCATCATCAAAGAGTGACGACATCGACAAATGTCCGCAAATTTCAGAAAATTTGTCAGAAATAGCATCAAAAAGTGAGTCTCAAATAAGTGGCGAACATTTATCGGTCGATCAAAGCGATCAAATGATTGGCAGCACATCATCGCCAACAACACGACAAATACCACCAGAAAGTGAACCACCAGTGAGTGCTCCTCCACGAAGAAAGTTTGTCACACCGGCATCAATGCGCAAGACGTGCACTGATTGTAATGATAACACTACTGATCCACAAAACCATCTTCAGTGCAATCAAACACCAATTGACGATCCATTGCCAACAAGTATTAATGATCGCTTCAATAGTAGTAGTGCTCATGTATTAGCCAAATGTGAAGAGTCGTCGCCCATCACTAATGACCAAACAGCTAACGATTTGGTCACACGTGTCGACCATCAATACAAACAAAACTTGTGTGCTGTTGATGATCATAACCCTAGTATTACATGTGATGTTAATGATAAAGATATATTTGATAAGAGATCTGCTAACGTGAAGACCAATCAAAATGATTTGAACCGATTTCAGAGACAACTGATGGATGCAATGAGACGTTGGAAGAATCGATGGTTTACTTCAGATACGGCAAAAGCCAGTCGACGGCGAAGATTCAATCAAATGATTTATTATTTAAAAATATTTTTGACTCATCTTTTCTCAACCACCGGACTATGTCTTCTAGTTATAGCCTATTCATGTGTCGGAGCTCTCATATTCACGTATCTCGAGTCCAAACACGAAGAGATACTAAGACTTCGACTGAAGAATGAAATCGACAGACATCGCTATAATTTTACTGTTGAGCTCTGGGATCATACGGATAAACTCAATGTTTTATATCCGGAAGAATGGATTAATCGGACCAACGATAAGCTCAGGGAGTTTGAGGAGACTATTGTAAAAGCTGTTCGTGAAGAGGGATACGGAGGGGTTTCAAATCAATGGACGTTTTCCGGGGCTTTACTCTACAGCGTAACTGTTATCACAACTATAGGTAAGATTATGTTATATATTATTCTCAATATTATATACTGTGTGTTAAAAAATACAATATATTTGCTAAAAATCCCTTACAGTTATTCTTTACATTTCTATATATATTATATTTGTGTGAAAATGATTTTCAGAGAACTAATATAAATAAATAAAAACATCAATAATATATATATACTGTGTATATATTAATATATCGTATATAAGATTTACAAAATATAAAGTATAGATTATAAATTAAAGCCTGGAGGCCTAATATACATATAATATAATGTATACAAATATAAGTTAGTAGACACTGAAAAATAGACAAAAGTGGTTACAAAAATTTTATTTTTTAGTATCAGTATTTACACTAATTTTTATATCTATTTAATACAAATTAATTTATATTAATATTTATGTTATTAATTATAGAGCGCATTAATTTTCATAATTTTAAAAATCATTTATATTAATATTTAAATAACTTTATTTTTAATCAAATATTTTGTTCATTACTTTATAAACCTGCTAATTATTATAATGTCTAATTTTATTTTAATAAATTAACATTACAAATAATTTAGGTATAATATTTAAGTAAAAAAATAACTAATTAATAATTACTAATTATATCAATTTTATTTATTGACAGTATTATATACTGTAGTGTTTTTTAGATTTCAGTAGTTTATTAAAAGTATATTAAATTAGATTATTTTTTATTTTAGATAATTATTTAGACATTTACTATTTTATAAAAATAATTTTTTTAGATTAAATTTTTAAGTATTGTTTAACATATACCTGTACTTAATTGCAAAAATTATTGGTATATCAGTCAGTAATTATCAAATCAGACTTTATTGGCGTCACAATCAGCAAAATAGTGGTTTACACTGCAAACCATTGCATAAAATTATCAGTTTATTTATAATTTCTATTATAATTATCCCAATATTTTTAATATTTTCCTAATTTAGTTAATGCAATGATTAGTTTAGAAATTTAATAGTATTATAAATTATAATACAGTATATTGTATTATACATGTATATATAACTTACAAATAACTATTATTAGTTTAAGTCGCCAGTCTATAAGTAAATTTTCTTATTTTAAAAAATAAGTTAATTTATACAGTTATTCATATTATACAAGTTTTTCAATTTGTAATTCAATGCAAAACATTTTCATTTGTTTATATAATATTTTTTGTCAATTTTTGACATTTAATTTTATATATTGCTTTATATTTATGTTTTAGTTTTTTTTGTGTCCGACTTAATTCTAAGTCAAATATTTAGATGAATAATAACAAAAATAGTGTTATATTATACATTTGCTTAACTAATATTCAGAAAATATCATAAGTCTAATATATAAAACATGATTTTATATTATATTAATTTTTCTATATATAGAAATTAAAATACTTTTAAAATATAAAGTTAGAAATTATTATAGCTAAAATTTAGTTTTTAACTATTTTTAATATTTAATTAATTTTAAATACAATATAAATGAAATTATTAAAAGAAATAAAATAAAAATTTTAAATAAATAGATATAAAATAATAAATAATCTAAAATAATATTTTATTAATGTATTGATAATTGTAACTGTATTAAAATTATATTATTAGTTTATAATTTTCAATTTATTATATTTATTGTTTTACATATACACTGATTTACGAGTGTTATATAATGTTAAATTTAACCAATAAATAAACAAATAGAAAGTGACTATAAAAATGAGAAAAACGCAAAAATTTTAACGACCGATAAATTCAAACAAAAAAAAATCTTTTTTCGTCACCATTTTTTGATCAAAGATTTTAACTTTTATTTATTAAAAATAGTTTTTATTTGATTGAAATCTATATCTATATTTACACAGAAATTTTAACAGTTATTTCACTTAAATAACTAAAATAAAGCCCAATGTTTTTGGTTTTGTCTGTGTGTTTACATTTGGTTTTTATATGTATTGAATGCTTATTGAATGTTAAATCATTTGCCCATAAAATTCACTTATATTTGTTTCTTTCATATTTTTCATGATAAAAATAAAATTTTATTATTTTATGCATTTCTAACTTTAGTATAAATTTGGTTACTATTTTTTCCATAGAAGTCATATCACTTAATTTGATTTAATTTTTAGACAAATATTATCAAATTTCATAGTTTTATTTTTTTAATATTATAAGTGCTATTACTAATAGCCTATTAGCAGAATAAACTAAATTTTTATGTATTTATTGCATAACAAATACATATCTAATATAGTAAAATAACTTTATTTTAATACCAAATAAGCAAATCTTTATAAATTTTATATAATTCAATTATTTTCAATTGAGATTTTATTAATTTATAATTAAAACATTTATTATTTATACTAACTTTTAAAAAAAAATATATATTATCCATTTTAATATTTAATATACAATAGTTTTTTCATTAAAAAACAACTTTAGAAAATCTATTTGATTTAACTTTGAAAATAAAATATATATATTGACATTACAGTAGATGTTTATTATATAGTAAACAATTAATAGATATTATTAATGTTATTAATTTGAATGATATTTTAATATGAATTAATTGATATAATAATTGTTAGGTTACGGTAACGTCACGTGTAAGACTGATTTGGGTCGTATCGTGACTATGATCTATGCCTTACTCGGAATACCCGTTATGTTCCTATGTTTAGCAAATTTAGGTAATCTAATGGCAAAAACATTTCGGTTTAGTTATAAACGATTGTGTTGTATATGTTTTTGTTGTAATAATAATAATAATAACAACTCCAACAATAATCATAGCAATAATAAACTTTCCAACAATCAATACAACAATAACTATAGTAATAATAATAATAAGATGTCAAACAAGACTGACATAATTGAGATGAAGAAATCTTCTTGTATTGACAGCGAAAGAGATGTGAGAGTTGTTTTCGATGAAAATGACGAACAAAAGGTACGATCGATAATAACAGTGACGGCATCGACACCTCCGACGTCTACATCAGTCACATCATCCCAAGCGTCCAGTCCTTTGAAATCATTCACAAATACTTTAAATCCAATGAACAGTGAATTAAACTGTAATGAGTTGGTTGTTGTTCAGGGAAATACACAACAGATCGATAACAGCGACGACAGGGTTCCCATATGGCTGGTCATAGTGTTGGTCATCGGTTACATAATGACCGGTGCTTTCATGTTCTCAATTTGGGAAGAAAGTTGGGGTTTACTGGAAGGGGCGTACTTTTGTTTCACTACACTATCCACTATAGGGTTCGGCGATTTAGTTCCCGGTTCTGCCAAATATTCGGACAATAAGGAGGAACAGACAAAATTCATTATATGCTGCGCTTATCTTATCGTCGGTCTCTCAATGTTAGCCATGTCTTTCAATTTAGTCCAAGAAGAGATTGTCATCAAATCTAAAGAAATTGCCAGAAGAATGGGTATTATTCCTCAACAAAAAACTACAGATTATGACAAAACTGTTTCTGTTTAACTACAAAAATCATCTCAATATTTATTTGTTATCATTATTTTGTTTTATTTTAGTTATATAACGTACAGTATATTATACTCTTTGTATTTGTTAAACTAATTTATAATAATAATAAATAATAAATTTTAATTAATAAAATCATTATATTAATATATTATATTGATTTTTAAAAATAAGTTCTAGTAGTCTAAAATTAAGTTTGTTTGCACTTTTACGTTATATTGTAAAGATATTTTAAAAAGTTTACAAATTAATTTAGTAATATATAATTTTGGATATGATTTAATAAAAAATGCAAAATTGTGCTAATTTTTACTAAATATTAACTTCAAACCCGAGATTTCATGATTTCCATAAAATATAACTTAAATGAATTGGGATATAAAATGATGGTTAACCTCATAAAGTTCAGACATTCTCCTAAAAATTATTATTTGTTTTGTGATCTATAAAATCGTTTGAATGGACAACAAATCGAAAGTAAAGAGACGGTCGATATTGTCATTCAATAAATTGATTTATTCATTGAATGATAACTACTTTGATAAAACAATTGGTTTACTTCATGTAAAAACCTCGAATCAAATGATTATATTATCGATTAAAATATTTTTTTAAAAATGTAAATTGCATTTCATATTTTTGTTGGTTATTAATGCTAACAAACTTAAGTATAAAGATTTTCTGTTTTCAAATTTCTATTCAAAATATTTAGTTTTTAAAATAATATCATTAATTAGTACACGTAATGATTATTGAGATTAGACTTAAGATATACTGAACAATAATAGTGGTATTATGTTATTCATAGATATAATATACTTTTAGTTTGATTATACTTAGGTTTAAAATATACGTTTTATAAATAACTGGTGTTACTATTGAATTGATGCCAAAAATTAGGCTTTTAATGATATTAAGGCATTATATTTAAGAAGCATATTGTTGTTTATTATTATTATATTAAAAATCCGGATCACAAGTGATTAACTTATTTATCCATTATTTCATTTAAATATAAAAAAATATATAAATGCAAATTTATTTTTTATATTTACCGGTAATTGATTGCAATAATTTTTATTTTGTGAACTATTACATCATTAAGTTATAACAATAATTGAGTATTTTTAGTAATCTTAAAATACAATTTTTATGATTTAGAAAACTTGATAATTTGAAAGCTTAATAATAATACAAAAATATATAATATTAAATAGAATCGCAATAGTTATAAATAAATAAACAAAAAATTTAAATATATAATTTTAGGACAATAATTTATATAAATATTAATATATAATTTATTTACTTAATATAAAGCTAATTAACACAAATCGGGTCGAGAGCTGATGAGACAGCCTGTCGGACACTTAGTTCCTAAAATTTTAATAAAAAATCAATAGAAATAATAAACTAATGTTTATATAAAAAATAACGAAAAACATACCCAACTATTAAGCAAAGTAGTCACTGAATAACTTTGTGGTAATCTATTGATATTCAAATCAAACTTCTTTTGGATGTCTTGAAAAAAAGTGGAAGCACTGTATTCTAGTATATCGGTCGAGCATTGAGGTGGTCTGTCAGGGTATGAGTCCGGCACCCGAATTGCAATGGGAGGGACACACGGAAGATCTTTATCGTCCAATTTACAAATAAGATGAATCACTTTTGAGCCTAAATGTTGCAATGGATCTAATTGTACTTTAAACCGTGAATCTAATCGTGCGATCTCTCCCTGAAGTACTTCGGAGACATCACAATCTTCTTCGTATTTCCTTTTAAGAGATGGAAGACTCATATGTTTATATGGATTGTTGGTTAGAGCGGCCACTGCCGAACCAAATGTCCGCTGCAAAGTGTGATTAAACAATGGCTTCTTTATATTGGCAGCAATAGCGTCAAGTAATGGCTGACAGACATCTTGAAGTTTAGGCGGATGGGACTGTTGTACAGCGATCGGTGCAACAGTGGTTTCGGTCTATATTTTGTTGAGTACATGTAATTTAATAATTAATAAAAACGTTTATCAAAATCAATAAATAATTATACATTGAATACTACTAAACATTTTCATAAATCATACCTTAATTTTAAAGTCCATTTTTTCGAGAAATTGTTCGCACTTTTCAAGTGTAGTCATCGGACATCTTCTCGAAGGATCCGTCAAAATACTCAACAAATTTTTTGTTTTATCCAACTCTTTCTTTCTATTTGATTCGTCCTGTCCGATACGGGCTATCATTTTTCTAAGCGGTTCCACATATTTCTGCAAATTCTTCAACTTTTCCAAATATATCTGTTCCTCATTAGCTCGACCACCAGCACCGGCATTACCAGGCGATGCGATCATTATATTAGCTAATTGTAATTAAATATCATTTTTAAAAAATGATAAATATATTATCAATTTTATTGTCTAATTAATATTTGAAGTGTGTGAGTATGTGTTTGTAATAATAATGTGTTAGTTTCTATAGTTTTAAAAATGTTTCCTTTTTAAAATTAAAGTTTTATTTCAATTAAATGAATATTTAGTCGAAAACTACCTCAAGTTTGATTTCACTATCAAAGAGTTACAGTAATTGTAAAAATGCAAAAATAAAATCTGATATTTTTATAAGTAATAACAATTATTTCCAATCATTAATATATATAGTTTTTACATTTTATAAATTCAAATATATTATTACCTGTACTTGTTTTGTCTAAGTATAAACTTAGGGTAATTGTAAAACTAAAAATAATTACCGGTATTTAATTTAATATACATTATTTACTAACAGTATTGCTGAAAGTTATTAAAATTTATTTGACATATACTGTATTGACTAACAGTTAATAAGATTTAAAATTTAAAATCGATAAATACCTGGAGTATTAAGTGATATGCTTTGAGGTGATGCGGCACTCATAGAGCTAACTGGTCTCATGTGTGGCCCTCCATGAGGTGATTGATTAATTGGTGAAGGACTGGGTGCGTAACCTGATGGCGATGGCATCATTTGTGGTGTCGGTGGGTTCATGTGATTCATATTATTTTGAGGTTGATTTTGATTTTGAACAAACTGTTGACCACCGTTAACACCACTTTTAAATGGAGGTCCTTGAGATGGACTGTTAGCCATAGGATGTCCTTCAAAATATTTGGATTCAGTTTGATTTGGAACTGGCATTTGCTGCAAATTAAATAACTCAATAATAATAAATTATATTATATTTAATAGAAAGTAAAACAAACATTAATATTTGGATGTCTTGCTCTGACTTGTTGTATCTGTGAGTGAATATTTGGTGATAAAACTCGTTGACTCATCACTGAGACAATCAAAATAATATTATATATAACTTATTAAACATCACTTCTTTACAGTTGTCTTACTTCTAGCTCCAGAAATAGCCGTAGGATTTGATAATCTGTTTTGTTGTAATTGATTAGTGTTTGGCATCATATTGTTTATGGGATGAGACATATTCGGCATATTATTCATCATAGGAGAGGCGACATTCGTGTTCATCATTTGGTCGTTTCCAATGGTGTTCATCTGTAATTGCATTGGATTGCCATTTGACATGTCGTTAATTGATTGCGGACCAGCCATGTTCTGCAGAGCACTCATCGGATCAGATTGCTATTGATAATCATTTTTTTCAATGTAATTAATTATTTTTAAACTACCTGTAACTTAAAAATGTAAAATAATTATGTAAACTTATTACACTACCTGTGCATTGCCAACCATGGGATCATTTTGGCCGACCATTTGCTGTATTGTTTGTTGTCGTGTCTGTTGTTGTAGTGATTGCTGTGGCTGTTGCTGTCGTTGTTGTTGTTGTTGTTGCTGTGACAGTGGCTGTTGTTTCTTTGAATCTATTAAACAAATTTAAATATTAGTCAACTAAAATTTTAATAAATATAAAGTAATTTAATCATATGATAAAAAAATAAAATAAAATAAAAAATATGGTATTGAAATAACTTATGCCAATCGATAGTAAATCATTATTAATTATTTTGAGCAAAATGTATAAATAATTAATTAACATTACCTAATCAGATAAATACATTTATATATACGGTTACATCAGTACTTTCATCATTAATATATAATATATATTTATATTAATAGATAACAAATAGTGTAAATTATTTTACATTCAAGTTTAGCGACATTTATATTGATTTTTCACATTTGGTTTAGGCTTTTAGTCTACTCTCATATTATGTAAGTTTGACTTTAATTTGTATGCAACGCCTGAGCACTGGCTTTAAAATACATAGACTTTTATCGATTTTGTCAAACAATTTGTTAGACCATTGAATAAGAGAGAGAGAGAGGGGTTGAGGGAGGACTGGCAGACACCATAATACATGTGCCCATCAATTGTTGTGCCGGTTAGGCATTAGATTAATAACAAATAGTTTTTTCAGAGATAATAAAACAAAATTTTAGTTATAATATATAAAATAAACTAAAAAAATACTTTCAAAATTACATTATTAAATGTCACACAAATGTCAAATGTTGGCATCAATTAAAAGACAGATAAACATTATATTACAACTAAAGACATACTCATCTCTTTGACGTGAAGTATAAGTCGGGCCACAAATGAGAGATACTCTTCCTGTTAACCAAAAAAACAGATAATTTATTTGATTAACCAATTAATGTCATATCCTTTTCGGGTTTCATTACCTTTGCTCTGGCCTTTTGAAAGATATGTCCCTCCATTTCAACCACCGTTTTAGAGGTTGGATTTCCCGACTGACGGATAGCTTCCTCACTATAGTAAAGATTTAAATAAATAATAGTAAAGTAAAATAGGGATCAGTTGTGGTGATGTGCACATCATGATTAAAAACATACATTTTATTTCTGACATTTTGTCTCAACAATGAAGTTCTCCACGACTGGTCACCCGCACCGCCCGAACCATCGCTATCGGTCATTGTTTCGGTAATAATAATAACGTAAATTTGAAAGATTATAATAATTGTAAACTTAATGTCAAATCAATTGATTTAATGTCTAAATAATAAACGATTGCTTTTAAGAGTCAAACACAACAATACTTTTTTGACGACAACTTTATAGTCAAACAAACAAACGTTAAGTCCTTGAAGTGATTGGAGTTTCTGAACCATCAATGATGTCGTCAATTATCAGAATCTGTATTACAGACTGTATTGTGAAGTTCATCATTGGATCAGTTCATTGAACACTACAAGACTAATACAATTATAATAACAGTAAAAATCAATTAAATCATTAAATTATCTTTGGATCAATTGGTCATTGACTGTAGTACTGGTATTATAATCTAAATGATTAACAATATTGTTATTTAATTTTAAATTAAAAATAATTTACCATGTTAATAAATATATATTCTTATTATACACATTTTATAAACAACTTTTAGTATATATTACAAATATATTGAGTTTTGTTTTTGTATATCAATTTCAAATATAATAATATATTAAACATAATTTAGAAATATTAATTATCCAATAAAAAAAAGTTATTTTATAATAAATTTACCGGTATATCAAAAATGAGTAATACCTGTATAAACTCATAGTTACTTTTATAATTTGTATTATAATAGTTTATATGTAAACTTTAATTTTATAAAGAGTATAGTCGATCACTGGTATACATATATGCTTCATATTTTAGTAAAAATTAATTTTAAAAATAATGTGACATAAAAAATAAAATTGATTTTAATTATTATTTCAGTATCAAAGAGTATCAATTTAATAATAATAGCTTAATATATGATAAATGAATTGCTCGTAAAATATACTAAATTAACAATTTTGTTTTCAATGTAATTCATTACATTAATCAACAAATATATATATATATCATATTTAGTTTTTACATTTTATTAACATAAATACATTATTATACCCGTATGTACGCGTCAATAGCCCGACTGACAAATTTTTAAAATATAAAAATCAATATTTCAATAGTTGGGGGTATTTGACAATTCATTAAATCAAACAATTGGTAGGGGGGGCTGTAACTCACATATTGCCCCATAGTTTCACCTATATAATACATGATATCCCTGATGTCCAGGGGGGCTATAGTCGCTTACGGACGGTAATAATTATTGTAAAAATAGGTGTAACTAAATATTTTATTAAAATAATTAATTTAATCTTCCGATACATTCATGTTTTTCAAGTGGTTTTTGGTGTTGTCGTTGTTGTTGATGATGTGACAGTGGCTGTCGTTTCTTTGAATGTATTTTTCATACATTTTGACTCAACAGTGAAGTTCTCGACCACTGGTCAACCAAACCGGTCATTGTTTCGGTAATTATAATAAATGCAAAATAAATGTCAAATCAATTTATTTAATGTTTAAATAATAAACGATTGCTTTGAGAGAAACAAAACAAAACTTTTTTTTTTTTATTATTAATATAACTTATAGTCAAACAAACAAAAGTTAAGTAATTTTTTTGATGGAGACGTCATGTCTGTGATGAACCACTCGTGTAATAAATTAGTGAATATCTGATGCAAAACAACGACTGTTTTGATCCGTAAAGTGATAGCAAATCAACTAAAAAAATGAATAAACTATTGACCAAACAATTAGTCAAAGCATTCAATCATTTGTCGATCAGTTATCGATGTCAACCACTGATGGATACTGAGATGATATACGGATCTATTGGTCGACGACTACCATTGAATACAACCTCAAAGAGATTTGCCGGTCACTCGAAGTGGAAGAATATTCAGCACACAAAGGCATCCAAAGACGCAGAGAAGTGCAGAACAACTAATCGTATGTTAATGAAACTGAAGATTGCATTGAGAAATCCCGGCGGCGCTGATCCCAAATTGAACCGCGACTTCGGAGATGTGATGGATATGTGTCGCAGAGCTAACATACAGAGCTCGACATTAGACAAGTGTATCAAACGAACACTTGAGAGGAAATCGGTTCCCTTAAAGATGGAGATATTGGGACCAAACGGTGCACTACTCATACTGGACGCCGAAGCCGACAACAAGAATGCTCTCAGATATTCAGTCAAATCAGTGCTCAAGAAGTTCAAAGGTTTTGCTTTTGCTGACGAAGGAAGAGCTGCATTTGCTTTTGAAGAGAAAGGTATTGTTCGGGTGAAGGATAAGGACACGAAAGGCGAGTCAATTAGTTTGGAAAGAGCTGAAGAAATAGCCATCGAAGCCGATGCTGAAGAGGTGAAACTGTGCAGTGAAGATGAATCGGTTCTATTGTTTGTTACGGAACCCTTATTTTGTCACAAAACTAAAAAATACATCGAAGACAATACCAATTTAGAGGTGATTGAGGCGGGCATTGAAATGATACCACATATGAGGGTAGAGTTGCCCGAAGAGACTTTCCAAGAGGTTGTCACTGCTATACAAGAGTTGGAAGATTTAGAGGAAATCAACAAAGTTTTCAATAATGTTAGCTGAAAATGATTTTAATATTTTATTATATAATCTGTTAAATAATATGTATATTGTTGGCCAAAAAACACTTTACATAACAATAAATTTTTTAATTAACCGGTAGGTAATTATGACTATAATTTACTTATATTATACTTAAGATACAATAAATAGTTTTAATATATATATATATATACTATAGTAACTATACGGTATATTCAAATATTTTGTTTCATATATTATATTATTAGTTTACTTAAGTTTACTTAATAAATGATTTTTGCAATTTATTAATAATTGCCGTACTTTATAGATATTAAAATTATGATAAAATGTTTATTTGTAAAATACTTACCGGTAAGTTACTAAATGGTTATTAATATACGGTATTATACAATACCAGTATATCCGTACAACACAATGGTTATACAGTATATGGTATATGAAATTTAAAGGTGTGTCAAATGTGTTAAATAATCAAATTTAATGATCATTTTATAATTTATGGGTTTACACAACAATAATTGTCAAGTCATTTATCAAAAAATATTTTATATTAGTAAAATTATTTATAAATATATTAAAATAAATCATTAAATATAAAATATGAAAACAAATTCTAAAATATATTTATTTATTTATTTTTTAATCTAATCGTTTAAATTTCTTTATTTTTTATAAATTAATACATTACCAAATGTTTGCTATCTATTTAGCATAAAAACAATGAATAATTTGTTATAAATTTATGATAATTTAACGAATCTTGAATCCAACAAATTGCTAACTCAAAAACATTATATCAAATTGATATAAAAAAATTCACTTATAGTAATACATTACAAAATTATATTAAATAAAGCTATTTCTAAAACATCAATATTTTTTATACTCGTGAGAAATGCAATGAAAAAAATGTTGTGAGACTTTCTTCCATTGATTTGTCACGAGTTTGTGATTTTCACTCAATTTTCAATTTTATTATTATCTTGTTATTGATTTTTTAAATGTAAAGTTATACTACATTAGAAATTAGATTTGTTCAAAAAATATGTAATTAATTTTTTTTAAAGTAAACTTTAATATTTTTGGATGTCTACTAACGACTCTACCACCCATGTCATTCACATTTTATACCTGTTTATTATATAATAGCTTAATATTATTGATATGAATAAAAAGAGCCTATAGTGTAATTAGAAAAAATATATATATATTATCAAACAAAAGTATTGTTGTTTTTATTATTATTAAATATATTATGTGCTTTATTTTTAACTATTTAAAAAATTTATTTAAAAAATTTGCTAGCTAATAAAGTATAGATGAACACGCACCATTTTGGTATAATTTATATATATCATAAAAACTAACTTGTTAATGGGCGATTCTTTAAAAAAAACTAGCTAGAATAATTATTGTTTGCCAAATGTAGGTGGGATAGAGTGGGTTTAAGAAAGTGATTAAAGTAGTTGCAACAAAAATATATAAAAACCATTATAATCTCTACCTAAATATTATCCTTTATAATAATTTTTCATAAGTATTTGGATTTAAAATTTTACATTAAATAACATAAAAGATTATCATATTTGAAATCATGATATTAATTAGTAAATTTAATTTATTATTATTATTATTACAAAACGATCACTTTTTATCAATTAATAACCACAATGATTATTTTGTTCAAAGTGGCTCAAACGTGATTTTATAATTTTACATTTTATACAAAAGCATTTTTATAGTACTGTATATTAATTATACAGTATAAATATTTAATAAAAATAAAATATTTCATTAAATATTATATTAGATACAATATAGTACATTACTAGTAAATATACTTTACAATACTAAAACTTAATAAAATAATACTTTGTATATTTATAATTTTAATTAATTTTAACATTTTTATATCTTTGATTTACTTCCTATTGATTTATATGTATTACTTAAAAGTGATATATTAAAATAAATGACTTAAATAATTACATATATAAACACATTAATAAAATAAATAGCAAATATTTTAATGTATTTCAATCATTATTATATCATTATAATTGCAAACTATTTTATTTATTTGTAAACCATAAGTTTATAAACATTTAGCTAATTATAACCGGTATTGTAAACTTGATTTTTAAGATTTTATAATTTAAATTATAATAAATTTTAAAAATATTATATTATATTGTATGAGATATAAGTTTTCTGATGAACAATACATTAATATATAAAACATTCTGTAATTTTATAAAATAATTTTCTATAAATAAATAATTTAGTTATTAATTGATTTTTGACATTAATAATATGTTTTTCGTAGATTTATATTAAACATGGCTAATAATGATCATACTATATAATATATATGATAATGTATACAGTTCATATCGTATAATGTATAAGGTATACATTATATAAATTTATCATGGTTAATTATAAAGTTATTGACATTATGAGATGATTATTCTCTCATGTATTCAATAATACTGTATATCACATGATATTATTGTTAATCTTGCATTTTATAATTCATACAATACTCTGTGATATAGTAATTGTTATGTTAGGTGTAAAAAATTTATAAAATATTTGTATTATAAAATACCAATTTGAAAGACAGTATTAATTCAAATACAATTGATTGTATAGAGATATGCTTTCACCGTTTAAATAATATTCAATATATACTGTAAACTAATACTACAATTAAGTTTACAGTAGTTGTTGTTTTGTTTGATATTTCTTATATAGAAATCTTTGAAATGTTTGTCCGCAAAAAAAATAAAGTTTTTACTACAAATTGTCTATTGTTTGCATATAAGTAACTTCTCATGCATTTCGGCCAATAAGTTAAGTCATAGCTTAAAAAGATTGTAAATGAAATTCAATTGCAAGTCAAGCCATGGGTTAGTCTACAGTATAATACACAGTATGTTAGCACCGGTTGGGAAGTACAGTAAAACAGGAGAAGCAAAAACTTGAATCATATGCCAAACAATACTCTTAAGAGTGTTGTTGTTGTTGTCTGTTATTTGGCTAACATCTCTCTCTCAAAAGTTTTATAAACAATCATATATTGTATAATATTTTATATTAAATTTGAATATAAATTTATTCAAATCAATGTTTGTGTCCATACAAGTCACTTAATAATATTTAGTTTAAACTTAAAAGTTTAAATGATTTAATGAATTATATGTTTATTTGAAAAAAAGTTTATAACAAAACAACTGTGATTTATTGGTATTCACTAAATTCGTATCAACATTTCAATAGTATGTATAAACTTTTTTAAAAATTATTTAATATATTAAATAAACTAAAATATAAATATAAACAAAATTAGTGATAATCGGTTTTTAATTCAATTTAATATAATATGAGCTTTTTAAATGACATTTTTAAAACTATTTATTTTAAGTGATAAATAATTAAAAATAATAATAGTTAATAATTAAATTGTTTTATACATTATATACAAAAAGAAATCTTTTCACATTTAAAATTATTTTTCAAACCTTGAAATAAACATTGTTTGTTTTGTAAATGTTTGATGTTATCATTTATATATAAAATTTACTAAAAATATTTATCTTGAAATCAATCAAACAAACAAATAAAATCGTTTAAAACCTTAATATCATATAATATTCTAATATTATTTATTATATTTGTTTTGTAGTAAAGTTTACAAAATATCAGTACTCTATTATTATACAGTAATAACAAATAATTTATAGCTATTTATACTGAAAAATCTTTTCATTTAAGACAATATGAGTGTTATGTTATGTTTTAAAAATAGTAAAAACTAAAAGCTATTAATAAAAACTAACTATTAATATATATACAATAACTAGATGTACAATATATTATCTGTATATAACATTATCTTTATTTTAATACTTTATGTACATCATTGAAATTGTTACATTATTTTATTAATATGCTTTATTTTTTGTTAGTTTAACTTTATTATTATAACTACAAATAATTATCTGTTTTAAACAAATCATATAACTTCTATCGTATATAAGTTATATGATAGAAGTTAAGTATTTAAATTATAATACTGTATAATAATATTAACATTATATTACTATAAACTTGTAATATAATATATAAAATAATAATAATATAGTATTGTCTAAAACAGATAAAATGCTTATTAAAGCTTTAAACAATTAAATTATAAATATTTGTTTGTTTGATATTTAGATAATTATTTTATTTGTAAATCTCTTAAAATGATAATATCTGATGTAAGTTGAAATAATGTTTATAAAAAATGAATAAAACAATTTTACTAATTAGATATATAACTAATTAGTTTTTTAATCATGTATTTATGTTGCAACTATATTCATACATTTATATATAACTTTGTATATGTAAAATTAATATGTTTATTTAAAAAAACACATTTTTAAAATGTATTTTTATTTAAAATTTACAAATCATTTGTTATTACACTAACTTAAATAATTTGATTGATTTTATTACATAACGAGAAGTGAAAACTAGATTCAGCTATAATGTAAAATATTTGATATCGCTTTTACATACACTATATTTAATAATATAGTAAATAATTTTTTTTTTGAGAGAAATCAAAGTCGAGATAATTAGTATATCAAATAATTTACAATAGCCTTAGGATATGTCAAATATTAATATCTGTGACAACATTTAACTTGTAATCACAATTGACAACAAATATATTTTTGATGTAAAATGATTTATAATTATTGATTTACAATTAAAATTATCTTTTAAATATATTCAGTGTTACTTAAAAAATATTAAGTTATCAGTTTGATACTAAAGGTTTTTATTGTATTAATGGCTATTATATGAATACATAATAATTTAAACTAAATCTTATACAATAAATCAATCAATATTTATGATTAAATGTTATTTTTATTTGTTAAATATTTGAGAAAATTAAGTGTAGCGTCTTATTAGTATTAATAATAATAAATAAGTTATTTAACAAATTAGTTTATTATAAATAAAATATTTCTAATACTTTTACTTTAAATACTTTTGCTTTAAATATGAAATTATTTAACACCAAACTCATTGTTATATATTATGGATAATTAAGTAATAGATTAATTTTAAAAATAGTAATCATTAAAATGTAAATTTGAAACTAAATATTGACGGTATCAAAATTGATTATAACTCAAATCGACAATAATTATAATAGCATAAATTAAGGCATACAGTATATACTGTACAATAAGTATTATATATAGTACAGTATATACATGTAGTGTATAATGTATGTAAAGACAAAATATTTATTACTCAACTCACAGATCATATCAAATAAGTTTGATTAACACCACATAAGATAAAAAAAAGACATTTTTTAATTATATGAAAATGATTTTAGTTAAGACCTCACGTCAACATTAAATTTGATTAATATAAGACTGAAATAAGATTTGATAAAAAAATTAACTTTATTTTTATATAATATATAGTAAGTGATTATTAAAAAATGTAATAACTTTTCTTTAAAGGCAAAATAGCCCTTAGGTTAGTGTCACTTATATATTAAATAAACTCATCAAATGATTATATTCTGATGGTTCAATGAATACAAAAAAACTATTAATTTAAATATTTGCCAAACATTTCGGAAAACAGTGTCAAATAAAATCAAAATATGAGCGAAAAAAGTAAAGTTTTGTTTATAGTGTTTGGTTTTGTTTAGCTTAGGGTTATCGACCCCAGGGCTTAGGCAGTCTATGTGCTATCAGAGTAGGGTTTAGTTAAATGTTAAAATTTATCATATTAGATATATCATATACTTATACAGTATATATAACATTTACATCAATGTTATTACGAGTTATTTCATTGATTGTATAATATATATCACTAATAGTTTAGACATTTCTTCCTATTTCTCTCTTTATTATTTCATTGACTTTTTAAATCTAAAGCACGCAATGGTTTTGCAGTATAATGATTAGTCAAACGGCAAAATATAAATTAGAGATGATTTTCAAAACAATTTTCAAATGTGTTCACACTTTTAACATTAGCAACAATATATAATATTTTTTTATTTTAGCCATTAATTTATCACTTTTTAAATATAGGTTTAAATATAGGTTTTCAATAGTTATCTCAATGAACTTCAATTTTATGATGAACTCTAATTTTATCAATAACAATTTTAATATTTATTTGAAATGTACTTTATATTATAAATAACATTTAAAAATAAAATAATCTAGTTTGAAATTTGTCTAAATCAATAAATTATTTGTTTAGTAACTTTTTACAAAAATGCTTATTTTAATAAAAACTATCTTTTAATGTAATTATTAAATTATTTTAGCATACAATTAGTAAAAACTAGAACTAATAATTAAAAACAATTATTACAAATAATATTGATAATAAATTGTTTATTATTTTATCAATTTTAAAATTGAATAATGATTATACAGATAAAGCAATTAATTTTAAGTAAATAGTATATTAAATATAGTATTTATTAGTAAGATGTAAATCTTATAAATTATAGATTGCAAGATATAACGCGAATAACAATGAAGTTATTGAATAATTTATGACAATTATGGGATTTGAAAGCACGGGATGCTGTGGTGACTACTATAGCAATCATAGTAGAAGAGCACCGGCATCTTCAGTGTCTACTAGATATGAATCAAATGGTGGACATCAATATTATTGCAATTCACAAATAACAACATCTAATATATCAAATAATCAGGATTTGACTAATTTTAATAATTACAATCATTTGTGGAAATTATGCCGAGAAAGGGGTGTATTGTTTGAAGGTATACAATGTTTTTTGAATTAACTGTGAAGACAATACTGTTTGAGATTTAATAATTAAAAAAATATTTGTTGATTAATAAAATAGATATCTCGTTTCCGACTACTAATAAAATATTGTTTGGCAAACGAGAGTCATCGATGGTTTGCAAGATTTCGTCATCAATAGTATGGATGCGTCCGTTTCAGTTGGTTTCGCGACCAAAATATATCAATTATAACCCGAATCGTCGGTTTGATCTGGAATTGGGAGAAGTGTTTAATATGATATCAACCAATTTGTCTCTATTTCACGCAATCAGTATTATATACTCAACACCCAAACTCTTTGAACGGGTTGTAAACCCTTTGCAAAACTTTAATCCCAACACTTATTCAGGCATTTGGAGGTTCAGGTTCTGGAAATTTGGACAATGGGTCGACATTGTCATTGGTTTGCTATTAAATTTTTTAAAAATAAATATATTTATAGTAGAAACAGTAGAAAATATTTATAACTATATTAATAGTGTTAAGTAATAATAAATAATTTAATAGAAAATTTATTTCTCAATTATAATTTTGTGGAGTTATGTAATGTTTTAGTCAACAACAAAAAAAACAATTATTTTGTTGAAGTTGTTAACAGATTTTTCTTTTGACAGATGACAGACTGCCCACATATAAAGGTCGGCTCCTGTATATGCAGTGCTCAGACAGCTCTGAATTTTGGGCGGCACTTCTCGAGAAGGCATACGCAAAACTTTATGGCAGTTATGACTATTATCTTAAGTATGAAATACTACACTTTATATTTCATATTTTATGTGAAAAATGCAATTTTCATTATTAATCAAATTATCAATTATTATTATTTTTTGCACAGACATTGTTTTACTGCTCAGACTACTCAAGATCTGACCGGAGGCATTGCACAGGTATGTTAACTTGTATGCATTTACAATACCATATCAATAATAAATTGCCGATACATTATAATTACAAACATAATAGAGCTTTACGATAGCAAATCACCAGCAAATCATAATCCAACAGATGATCACATCAGCGGTTTCTCGATCAACACTACTGTCTGTTTGCATCAATCATACTAATAGTGATGACAGCAACAGCTCATCCAATAAGTCATATCGACTAAGAAATGGATTATACACTCAACAGTCATATCTAATAACAGGATTAACTCGCGTACGAACACCTGTTATCGATGATATTCAGTCTTCAATGATTACCAACAATTGTAATAATTACACATCCATTCATTATCTCACTCATGGCAATCATGTATCACAACCTACCGAATCAAATCTGTCTAACGGTGCGATTGAGGTTCAATTGGTTAGACTTCGGAATATCTATTGTCGGGGAGAATGGAACGGACGTATGACCTATAATATCATTATATCATATAATCAAATACTATACTAAATGAATGTTTTAAAATTTTAACAAATATTTAATTAATATTTCAAATAGCATGGAGTGAGAGATCACTTGAATGGGATCAACTGACAGATAGAGATAGAGAAGAATTGTCTATTCGGTGTCGAACTGATGGCGAGTTTTGGATATCACTTAAAGATTTAGTCGAAAATTTTACAAATCTTGATCTCATTCATATTGGACCCGATGACTGGATGCAGGTATCAGTCATTTATTTTGACTATAAGTTTAATTTTATTATTAAACAATTATATAATTTATGATTTAGGAGGTGTCTCTCCATCACAAACAACCATGGTAATAACATTTGTCAATTGAATTTATAAATAAATAACTATTTCAAAACTATTATACAGTATATAATTTTATATTTTAAAAGGAGAGCAGTGATTGCTCGTAGAAAATGGAAAAAGGGATTTAATGCCGGGGGTGGGCCCTCCTATAAAGCAACGTTTCACACTAATCCACAATTTTATATTCATATACCGAGAACTGGTCCAAACAAACTACATGTAGTCGTATCGTTGACACAACTGTACGAAACAAACCATGAATTGCAAGAGTTGTCGCTACAAAACATCGGTTTTTGTATTTATGAAGTGCCGCCTAATACTATACGACTAACCAAAGCGTTTATTACAAACAATGAACCGTTGGATATGACAGACTTTACGGCCACACGCGAGTCGGTAACGTTTTTTGCATTACCCGCCGGTAACTTTATTATAGTACCCACAACCGATCGGCCGCACTGTGAGACCAGATTTTTCTTGAGATTATTTACCGATCAGATTACAAATATTTGGGAAGTTAATGATGATAACAGTATAGCCAGTATTGATGGAAATATACCTAAACTGGTAATATATAATATTACTCATTATTTTAAATTAATAATATATTAATTAATTTAATAATTAAATCTTAAACAGAATGGCTCTCATTTAATATCGAGATTGACTTCAAAATTAGGCCCAGAGTTTGACGCATATAATCTTTATAAGTTTTTCAAATTATATTCAAAACGTGAGGGTTTTTATTAGATTCTAATTATTAAACTTAATTAAAGTAAAAGTATTTTTTTAAAAATATTTATTTACAGCATATTTATTATTAGAAAAGCCAACCATTGAATTGTGTCGATATTTAATTATGTTAAACGATCTATCAATTAATGGCAAAATTACGGCTAATTGTGTGCCAAATCTATTAAATTTATTGCATTTTTGGCGATCAATATTTACTAGATATCAAATCGATAATAAATATAAAATTTGTTGCTATAGTTTGAGAAATTTATTATATGAATCAGGTTTGTAATCAAATAAATAAAATAAAAAATTATAATTCATATGTAAATACAAATTGTAATTTAACTTTCAATTCATGTCATGTCAGGTATATCGGTGTCAAACAAAGTGTTGGAAAGTCTGGTCATTCGGTACACCGAAAGTTCAACACATCTGACATTAGAGACATTTATCATTTGTGTCATTAAATTGCATCTTTCGCACCGTATGTTCACTTTATTAGTTATTTTTACAGCACATACTTATACTAGACATCCACTTATGTTTAATTATACACAAAAACTTTAGTATGAAAATAATTTATAAATTTATAACAATAGTAGTATTAATTATTTAAAAAATACTATTTTAAAATCCGACTATATTTCTATAAAGCCCAATAATATTGTAATTACAATTAATCTTTTTTTTTATTTATTGTAAAATTGATCAGATAATAGAGTCGACTTTAAAAAATAATAGTTTATAACTTAACCATTGGTTCATTTTACTATAAAATGTATTCAATAAGCAGTTGACTAATTTCGACTCATACTTGACTACTATTCCGGATATTTAGACTTTGAAGTCGGCAGTCGAGTAATAATCGGATTTTAAGATAAAACCAAAAAAACTATTTTTGTGATGTTATATAGCAATTAAACAATAATATTATATAAAATTATAATACAGTGTTAATTTTTATTCAATATCATTAATATTTTTTTTATAAATATATTTATATATTAATCAATTAGAGCGATACAAATCGTTAGAAAGACAAGGAAAGCATAATAGCATTACACTTGAAGAGGTTTGCTTGTATTTTATTAATTATTTAAATAGATTTAAAGGTATCTTAAATTATAATAAATTTTTGTATTTTATTAATTTAGATGATTTTATCAACAGTTTATTCGTGATTTTAAATTATAAAAATTTAATAAAATATATCTAAAATAAACTATTACCATAATTAATCTTTTTGCAGTTTTTATTTTATGTTTAATAACTTTTATTTGAAAATATGAAAACACTTTAAATAATTACAATGTATATAATACTGTAGTGATTATATTGTAATAATAAAAAATAATAATGAAAAATAATCAAATTAATTATTATTATAATAGATTAAAAGGGAATAATTATTTAATGAATTATTTTATTTGTGGCAACTTTTTTATGAAATCACAGCAATTTTTTCTTTAATTTTATTATTATTATTATTATTTGCAATTTCATAACTTTTAGTAGTATTTGTATCATTTGTTTTATTTGAATCATTAATTTCTTGGTTTTTAATATTTAAATTTTCTTGTTTTTTCGGATCAATTCGTTGAATCTTATTCTTGACGGCCGACAAAATAGCCATAAATGAAATACTATTATCTTTAGTTATTTTTTGTTGAGTATTTTTATGGTTATTTATTATTATTATTATTATTATTATTATTATTATTATTATTATTATTATTATTATTATTATTATTATTATTGAATCCAAGAGCTCTTCTCAATTTTTTCCAGAAGACTTCTTGCTCTTTAAGACAACTGGTATTCCATTGAAGATAAATACGAGTTTTGAGCAAAAAGTAGAGCTGCGGTGCAATAATAGATGAGTCGATGTCCTCGAGTTTAATCATAATGAGTCCGTCACGGTTTTGGTCGACTAAAGTGTTATGAGCCAAATCAGTCTCGAACCTACACCACGGACTCCTAACAAAGTTATTAGATATGACTAAAATCACTTTTCTGGATGTCTTAATGCTCTCCAAAATGCATTCACTGATAGGACGACCAGCGATAAAGTCGCGGTCGTAGACACAAAGTTTCACGCGATTCATATCAGTGCTGGTATTCTCAATATTGGGAACCAATTGCTTGAACACCCACTCAGAGTCATTGACATTATAAGAGACAAAAGCATCGTATATGTAATCATAAGAGTCCTCTTCAGTGCCATAAATGAAATGTCGGATTGTTGAGTGATATATGAAAGCAAACACTAATATCACGAGAGTAATGACCAGTAATACCGATGCAATACCAGTCATAACCGTAAGACTCAGTTGTGTTTCAAACTCGAGTTCTTTGCATTCGGATATCAATGTCTTTAAACTAACTTTCTTTCCGTCTCTAAGACAATAATATTGAGTTTTTGAATGCAATGGAGTTCTGTTGTGAATGTATTGAATCTTTATGGACGTGTCATTGAGCCAATCGGCCACCACTTGTGAATTACAGTCACATATTAAAGGATTGGATGCAAAACTCAAGTTCTTAAGTCGATGAAAGTCTTCGAGCATTGTTGACGTCAAATGAGTAATCTTATTGTTACTGATGTCCAAAGTTGTGATGTATTTGTTGGTAGCAAATATCGAAAAGTTAGTCCAAGAAGTTATGCTATTATGCGATAAATCTACTTCTTGTATTTCAGTAAAGTTGAGGAATGTTTTGGATGATATCTGATCGATAAGATTGTGGCTCAGATCCAACAGTTTGACCATTTCGTGAAGACGTTTAAATATATTTTCCTCGTCGTTAATGTCACGGGCCGTCAAATTACATGAAGACATGCGAACCATTTCTACAGCTTCGAGACCGAAGAAAGAGTCTTCATGTGTCACTCTAAGAGATGATATTAGTTCTTCATTTTCACTCAAATCGATATAAGCCGTGGACTTCAATGGAAAAAATGTCAAATATTCGACAAACTTGAGACCGCAACCTCTTAAATGAAATTTTTGCATTTTAAACAATCCAAGAAATGCATTTCGAGGCAACGGATCCAATAACTTATACGATAGGTTCACTTCAATCAAATTGGTTCCGACAAATGTCTTGTCCGGTATATCCAAGTGATTGCGATCCGTCTTATATCCGGATAAATCCAAATATTGGAGTTTTGGTAAATTGTAGATAAAGTTGTTGGCAATCGTTCGTAAATAATTTCCTCGAAGACTTAGTTTCACCACATTTTCCAACGTTGCGAATGAGTTTTCTTCGATAAACTCCAGTTCACTGAATTGAATATAAAGTTCTTTGAGATAAGGCATCGGAGGAATGTCACCGAAATATATTTCAGTGATCTTCAAGTAATTTAAATAAAGCGTATGTATTGTAGTCTTACTGATGACACTCAGCATAACCTTAGGCAGAGTTCTTGCGGTAAAAATGTTTGAAATGTCTAGTATTTGAATCATACTTTGACTTGTATTGCTTTGAAAGCCCTGACTGAGAGCTTCTCTGAGATTGGATGACTCAAGTCTTCGATTACCACTAAGATTTAGTCCAATCAATGATCTTCTCAGTGGTACAAACGCTGATGAATGTATTGCTTCAATATCACAATCAGTTAACTGAAGATATTTTAATTGTGTCAACAATATTAGGTCATCTTTATTCACTTTTATTGGTGTACTGAATGAATTTGGTTGTAAATCAATGTTTTCGGTCCCATTATTTAGGATTAATGACTGATCCGATGATAACAATGACTGATTAGCTAATGGGCCGGAAATATGTAAATGCATTAGTGATGGGAGAATACGGGCAGATGAGGACCGGGTTAGGGTATAAAATGTTTGTTGAGTTAATGGACTGTTGGATATCCATATCAACTCTTCTAAACTCTTTAGGCCTACAAAAGCCTCCCTCGAGATAATACTAATCCTTCGGTTGTCAATAAAGCTAAGATAATTGAGTTGCGAAAGACCATCAAACGTGCGATCATTAATGACTTTTAAATGATTATTAGATATTAGATCTATTCTCTTAAGTTTGTCCAACTTTGAGGCACCAAATATAAATTTGGTTAACTCAGTGACGGATGTATTTTTAATGATGAGATGCACTAAGTTTGCCACAAATTGTAATGAATTGAGTGGAAGGACTGAACATTGAGGGCCACTGATCTCCACTCTCCACTGAACCTCACCATCAATATCACTGTTCACAACATCCTTGTACTCAATCAAACAGTTGTTCAATGTTTTACTTATGATTGGCGAATCAAAGTCTAAATTCAAGTCCAAGAGATAACGGTTTTTATCTCTGGCCTCCCATTCCGGTAGAGTTTTAGGTGATGGACGCACTAACTTCACATGAATTAGAGATTTCTCTTTGGGTAACAAATCTTCCGAAGTCCACGAATCGGCGTTCGAGTAATTGGGAGGTCTGGCCAGTGATTGCGGGCCAACACTCGAGTCGTAGGCAACATAAGTGTAATAACAATTGTTTAAAATAAATAACATAATCCATGATTTGATTTTCATAGTTTCGACAATTAAATGGTAAAACTTTGTTTAATTTTTGACAATAATAGTTGAAAGCATTTGTTGTTTTATTGCACCAAAAGCTTTCTTTTAACTGATAGGTCATATTCTGGACAAAATGTTTGGTCACCAGTCAGGACTACATGAGCTCCCATAGAGAGAGAGAGATTTTCATACAATCTTTCAATACATAATTTTTTATATAATTATACTTAAGTCGCTTTGTTTCGTCTTTTTTTGACATAAGAAAGGTCTGATCGGAGGTAACAAAACATTACATGATATACAAGAGATAGATGAGAGAGAAAGAGAGAGAGAGAGAGAGAGAGAGAGAGAGAGAGAGAGAGAGAGAGAGAGAGAGAGAGAGGCAGAGTATAGCTTAAGGCAGAGATTGACTTTCAGTCAAGGCTTCATTAAATGATAGCTTCAATTGAAAATGCATTTAAAGTCGACTCCAGTTTGCGATATAATGTCGGTCAGGGGCTCACTATTTGATGCATTATTATAATATCACTTTTACTTATAATATATACATAATATACAGTATATATAGTACTTATAAATTCAATCACTATTAAACATGTTTATAGTTTCGTAATAACAACAAATTTATGATTAGTTATATATATTTTTTCATTTTATATTTGAAAGACACATTTCAAATGAGTTCAATAATTAAATCAGCAGTTAAAACAAATAATAATAAATCATTGTTTTAAAATACAAAAAATAATAATATGATAATAATATCTTCTGTACAGTGTCTATAAAACTATGAATTAATATAAAAATATTATTATAGGTTTTAAAATTTAAATATAATGTCTTAGAAAATAATTATAAGTATAATATATAAATAAATGTTATATTAAAATGATATAATTAAAGTTTACAAAAAAAAGTTTCGAAACTTCATTCAATATACACAATAAACTTATTAAAAACTTTTGGCGATAATTGACACAAAATATTTAATAATCACATATTAAATAAAAAAATTGAAACTTAATTAACAAGTAATAAGAGCACTGATTTTGGCCTCATTTGGCAAACACTGGTTAACAAAATGCATATTAAAAAAGAGATGAAAAAATATAAGACATTTGTAATATAATATATATAGTTAATTGAATACACATAACGACCCTACAGGTAAAGGCACTGCGTTTTAAGGGACCGGGAGATGAAAATCAAAACTAACTTTCCTCTTATTACAACACTTGATAGCATTGCAATTCAATTAATCAATTGACGTCAGGTTTTCATATAAAAAAACTTTTTATTTTCAAATGGTTACAAATTTTCAATAAAATATTATTTAATATAAATAAAAACTGTATATTAAATTTATACCAAAATGTTTTGTAGCAAACATTTAGTTTTTCACTAAAAAAAATGATTACTATTGGATATCTGGTTTTTTAAACAGTTTGAACTAAACATTTGTCGATAGTATTCAAGGTATTATTGCATTTGAGATTTCAATCATATTTACGGTAATAATAAAATTGAAAAATAATAGTATCTGTAATAAAAAATAATAATACATTTTTATGTGAAAATTGTTTACTCAATTAATATTAGATTTCAGATTAATTAATTTCATTCAATAATATCTATTATAAATAAAATTAACAAAAGACTAGAACTGATAACTAATTTTGAATTACTTATATTTTTTATATAACATTAACAGTAGTATTGTGTTTATAAATCTAATTATTAATGAATTGGTATAAATTTTTAATGCATTAATTTATAATTATAATTATATTATAATTAACGCCAAATTATAAATTATTTGTTTGCTGTCATTAGTGGAAACAATTGTCGTTCAATTGTTTGGATCTGTGTATTAACGGCCGATTCAGTCAACTCATTACCGACAAGTTCTTCGTGAATCTGTTTGATCTGACGCTCGACACCTTGTATTTGACTTTTCAAAGTCACCGTTTGTGACACTAAGTCATCCATAGATGGATCCTCAAGAAGTGTCACTTCAAACAAAGCCAATATCTTTTCCTTTTCGTCGATCTCTTTCTTCAAGTTTTGTATTAATTGTTGGTTATTCTTGTTTTGATTGTCATCGATATCGATATGACTAAACTGACGGAAATCTTGTTGTGAAATATCGTTTACTTTAAAAGAGTTAATTGTATGCAAAATAAAGTCAATTTGTTTGAATGTATCCATAGTTTGGTCAATATCTATAGGAATACATCGAAATTTAAATATTTAATATCATATTATATTTAACACTTTGTCGTACCTTTATCTTCGTTGTCCATCAACTTCAAGCAATCATTGGCCGATATTGAAGACAAACTTTCAAGTCTTTCGAGTCTCCAGACATCACATCGACTTAACTGACGATCATTTTGTTGGCCATCTGTTGTTGGCATCTGTTGTTGTGTCAAACAGTTAACTGATTGTCGTTTGTTTGGTCTAATGATAGCATTGGTCATCAAAAGTGATTGCAAGCGATCGTAATATTCCTGATTCTTGAGTGTTCTGTCTTTACTATCCATACTTGAGGGTCAATGATGTCAATCAAATGAGTAATCAAATTGTTTGAAAAACTTGTCTCAGGATTTAAACTAACTGTTAATTTAATGTAAAGTTTAGTATTTGTAGTGTTTTTGCATTTGTATTACAGTCCAGTCATAAGTCAAGCAATGCATAAATTATATATATTTTTAATACAATTTACTGCAATATTTCCTAAATATTTGATACAAATACAGTACAGTACTATACCTACCCATAACTGTCAGTGATGTTTGTAGTGGACATTACCGGTATATCTATTAATAAATAATACAGTATTTTATATATAAATGTACTAATTATGTCAATACATATCTAAATATTTATTATTTATTAAATTTTAAAGCAATTTTATTTTATTTTATAAATAGTATTATATATACTGCGTAACATTATAATAAATATAATTTGATTATATTCAATATTTAATGATATTTGAGCAAAATAGTTAACATATAGTAATTATAACATACATATGTCTAATAATAATAATAACTTACCTAAAATTTTGATCAAAATTGAGGGTCAAATTTACAAATATACATACAATATACAATAATGTATATAATATAATACAATTATATTGAATAAAACTATATTATTAGGACTATATTTTTGAATACTATAGTAGTGTATAAATTTATATTATATTATATACTTTATAAATTATTCTTTATATATATAATTAACAGTTTCGTTGCTTTATTATAATAATCAATAATTTATACAATAATTATTTATAATATGATTGACAACTGAAACAAGTGGTCAGTAATTATTAAATATAATTTGTCTTTAAGTTTTATACATATAATTTTTAGGATTTATTGAATAATAAATATAGAAATAAATTCATAGAAACAATATATATAAATATATATATAAATTATATACATATAAGTTTATAACTGGTTTATTGTAAGGAAATCCTAATCTTCATTACTGGTAATTAATAGTTTTAGTATTACGAAAATAAAGTCAATCAACAAAATACTGTATAATTTAATTATAACTTAATAATAAAGACACAAAACAAGTGTGAGACCAACAAATTTGTAGCAAAAGGACAACACTTGAGATAGAGATTAGACACATGTGTTCATCAATTAGTCAATTGATTTGATGGATGATAACAATTGTTTTTATTGATCTTATGATCTAAACGATTATGAAGTGATCTTTATTTGGATGTATTGTCTATATGAATGACACTTATATGATAAATGTATGTAAAAAATAGCTGCTTCTAGAAGAATTGATCCAATTGGTGATAACAAATGATAACATGAATGATAATAATAATTATAATGATAATTATTTAATGAATCTTTACATTAACAACAAATTAATGATAGTATATACTGAATCAGTTGTGTCCAACTATCACACAATGATATCGGTAACAGTGAATATATTTGATTGTTTTTCATTTATTAAAATAATATTTTATAATTAATTAAGTTATTGTATTAATGATAACAAGTGTTGATACCATTTGTGAAATGGTTGGTCAAACAATTGACTCAATATATATATATATATACTGTTAGGAGTATTATATCATTTGATGAAATATTCGTTAAATAATGTCTTGTTTTTTCAAGAGATTCGTTGTGTGAGAGAATGTATATATCTTGAGAAGAGAATGTGACAAACGATGACAATTGTGTTGAAGTAGCGCTCAAACGGTACAGACTCTAGTCTTTCGGATCTAATGGTCAGTTAGATGAAAGAGTAGGGTCCGTCCGTAAGTGCGCTACAAAGTATCTGTCAGGAGGGCGGTTGACCGGCCTGTGTCGGCGGCACCGATTGCGGTACCGTATTGTTTGTCATCATATGATCGTTCAATTGGTTACGTTGTGTTGGATTATGTGCCGCTCTCTCTGCTTTATAGTACTCCAATCCCGGATCAAATTGAAGTAACACAAAGATCTATGTGTGGATTAAATTGATATATATTGTGGTAAACAAAAACAGAATAAAATCATCAATTAAGACATACCATATCACTTGGAATCACTAGCAACTCGTTGGGCGGGTTTGTGATGACATAACGTTTAGATGAGGCCTCACCCACACCACTGGGATCACGGATTCGATAAATACCAATACATAGCATACCATACGTGCGAAGTGCGGCTAAAAATAAGTCCCCGTATTTGCAATTCTCTCCATATTGAGCCAACGGGCCGTCATATAAGCTTATCTGTCCGACCCGACATCTGTCCCGATTTTTTAATGTCTCAGGTGTTGAATATCCACCCCTAAGTCCAGCTCCTTCTGCCAGAATTAGCTCCAGTTCTGGAGTGGCTCCACCAGTGATTAGAGAACGGATCAAAGTTAATGCATTTGCATTGAAATACGTGGTTGACATCAACGAGTCGAGCACCGACACCGCAAACGCTGTCCCACAAGCAAACGGTTGTGTCAAATACAATTCAGTGTCGGGATCGTCATCATCGTCTTGATCAAGAAATTGGACATTCGTATCATTGACCAGTTCGGTGATTAGGGGGACATTTGCGCCATAAACAGAACTGAGCAAAAAATAATTTATTAAAATTTTTGTTAAATATAAGTTTCAGATAATCTATTAATAGACATACCCTCTCCTTTGGACAACAAGTGGTGGCGGAGACGTTCCCGGAATATTACTTCCCAGAGCTGTACCGTTGGCGGTATTATTAGTGATGACTCCAATCGTATCGTCAAATGTCATGGCTTTGATGTTAAGACTGGCCAAAATGGCCTCTTTATCGGCTAACGTTGGATCATCTGATGAAGGAATCTTCGCCGATAGTATAACACACATATCACATAAATTAATATTAACAGCCCTGAGGTCAGCCCGAGATAGGGGTGAACCGTTGAGTACACTAATTTTGGGCAAATTCTGCAACATTTTCCACTCTCGTCGCAAATAATCGACATTTCCGACAATTACCACATGTTTTAATTCGTGGTAATGAAAGTTTGAAGCTCTGATTAGTTTAAAAATATGTTTTTTATACAAATATTTAATAAATCTATTTATTAGCAAACCTTAAGGGCATCACAAGGTTTCTTAAGCCAATCAATGGTGAATCGGGATCAGCGAACAGACAGACAACAACGTGTCCATTAAGGACAGTCATCGCTGCCTGATTTCTGTCGAGTATACATTCCTCGATAGGTCGGGCGGGACACCAATGAAACATACCGGTAGAATCGTACTTCATTTCGGTCTTTTCAAAGTCAAAATCTTTAGAGTCGATAAATCCGGCGCTCGTATTACCGCCACCGCCGCCGCCCGCACTGTCGGAATTTCGTTGAGCTGCCGGCCTATGAATCAAATAGTTGATTGAATTTAACCAAAATTGTTTGACACATCATTTGATCACTACTTACATCAGTTTCTTGACTTCATAAGCCAAGTGTACCTGACTATAGTTGGGTGGCGGCGGTTGCTGACCAGCTTGTGATGGCTGATGCTGTGAATGTGAGCCGTGATGTCCCGACTTATTGCGCGACGAATGAGATAATTGACTGTTTTGTGGTGGAGTTGTCACAACATGTTTGCCATTTCGGGCACCTCTTCTGCCACCCAAAGATGAGGTCGAAGACGGAGGGATTAAATGAACTTTAAATGACAAAAATTTTTAAGTAATTTATTTGACAGATAAATGTTTGACTAATATCTTACTACTTTCGCTGGGGTCGCCAGAGTTATCACCTAAAGAGTTAAATTTGGAAATAAAATCTAAATATAAATTTTATTTGATTTACAAATAAAACAATTTCACACATAATATGACATTTAAGAAGAAAGTGCAATACAAAGGAAACAGAATAATATCCAAATTCAATGAAATAGAGTTAAGACTTATAGAGAAACAATAGAAAGAAATGACGGCTCAATACCTCTAAGTTTTCTGGAAATTTTGGGTATTTCTGGGGGTGTGTTAGTCGGGTGTAGTGATAACGTCGACATATTTCCATCAGCCATACCACAGGTCTGACTCAAACCATAGCCACTGTCAGCTATTAGTAGATTAGTGTGAGTTAAAGATAACAATATTTTAGTGATGAAGTCGAGAAAGAGAAAGAGGATTGCATGGCATTAACAAACAGATTATATGCATTAAGTTTTACATACAAACACAATACAACTTAAATGCAATTTTATTACAATAATTAATGCAAATATTTGGACATACAGTACAGTATATATATATATATATATACAGGTATATAACGAAACACTAAATTACTAACTTATTACAGCATAAATCTATGACAAGACAGTACTGGACATGCATTGACACAATGATGACAAATGGTTACACCACTAATACTTGGAACTGATTGCATGCTCTACTTCGACAACATCTAATATATAGATATAATAAAATACAAGATATAGTGATTGTCATACTTGATTGTCGAGTGACGGTATTATTTTGAACTGCCTGTACAACTCTCACTCCTTTCTTAAATATAGCGCCAACTATATTGTCATTAATTTTAATGGCATTACAATAATGATTAGTTAGTTTAATAGATTTTGTTTGATGGCATTAAAATTGGAGTTATTATAGATTAATAAAGTTTTGTTTCAAATCGGTTTTGTTGTGCAATTTCAGTGCAGAGCATATTAAAGAAAAATATATAAAGAAAGTGCAGTGCATTAGATCCAGAAGATTGACTTTAGTTGAAAAGATTAGTAAAGTTATTAAATGTTTATATCGTATTAATTTTTAGTATTATATTTAGTGCTAGTTTTATAACTTAAAAATAATTATTTTAATTTCGATAAAATATCATTTTAAGTAATAAATTCACTTCCAATAAAAAATAACAATTCTGTAAATTTATGTCAATAAATTAGATTTAAATAACCAAATTAAATGTTAATAATAATAGTAATGATAATAATGAATAAAACAGATTAACTGTACAAATATACTATACTAACGGTTCTTGCATTTGCATTTGCGGATCAATTTCTCATCCTTGACGTCGTCGTGACAACTCTTGCAATACCAAAGAGCTCTGTAATTATTATTTATATTTTTGTTGATATATTAATATATCAAACATATAATATTAATATATAATACAGTATTTCATGCATTTTTTCACAAACAATTCAAACTAAGCAATAATTGAAATAGTATTTAATAATTTCGTATATTATTGTCAAAAAAAAAACTTTTTAACAAAAAATAAATTTTGCGAATAAACTAATAGTTTTTGAAGAAAAACAGTGACAAACCTTTTGACTTCATCGGCACTTTGAGCGATAAAGAAACCTTGGGTTGAATTTTGAATTCTGTGGTTACCCTTAGAGTTGATGACAATGTTGGCCCCGCCGTCGCCATTCTCGTTGGTCACTTCGATGGCCATCAATAGGAGCTTTAATTTAACAAAACAAAGTTCGGCCGCCTGTGCAAAGGTCATGTTCATGAACGCTGGACTCAGGTTTTCTGTATACATTTCCATCCCTGTGCCGCACAAGTAGTCGTTTTGCCACGAAGGCATGTCTGGAGACTTTTTTTAGAAAATAATGTTAAATATTATGATTAATATATGACCATCTATTGGAAATTTATATGCATTAATAAATTAAAATGTGATTAACTGTTTTAAATGAGCGCATGGCAAACAGATTGGCCATCATCGTACTGAATCCCGGAGCCAAACATGATTGAGCTATGAAACCCAGTTTTAATTCACTAACACATATGACATCATCTCCTATTGTGGTAAATAAATATAAAATTAATTCATCGATAATTAATATATATAAAGATATATTATTAAAACTTTGAATAGGTTTTCGTGTGAATCGCTATTATAAAAAACAAACCTCTTTTCCAGTTCCACGAAGGGATGTTCAATAAGTAAGCCTTGTTATGGTATTGCATTAACTGGATTATCACCTATAGGTTTCACAAATTATCAAAATATTTATTTTCGTTATGAATATAATTCAAAAGTATTATACTCTGATATCGTCGCTATAATTTTTTATTGATATGACGCGCATAATATTGGCCGCGTCTTCGGCATCGGGATCCTGACAGTACTTATTGGCCAACACCAGACATGCGTCGGCGTCGTGTACTTTAACCCGATTTAAGTCAATTGGATTCATAACGGATCCCTGAAAGAACTCGACAGTCGTAAAGTGACGCTTAATCAGACCTATTGGTAAATATTGATAATTTAATTAAAGATTTGAATGCTTTAATAATTTAATTATGTGTGCTATTAGTTCTGTCCCTGACCTTCAAGTTCAAGATCCGGTGGTTTTCTATGGAGAAACACAACCTCAACGTCGACATCCTCTCTATCTTCATGGAGGAAGTCCTTAAGGAAATGACTGACACTCTCATATGTGATGTGTCCGCAAACTACTATATGTCTGATATAGTATAATATATGCATTTTTGAGCATATTATTAGTTATTATCATTTAATGGTGGGACAGGTATTTAGTTTTAATAACATGAATGACAATAAGGAAATTGTGTTTATCATAGCATATGTGTTATACAATAAATTGAGTAACTGTTCCGTTGATATTAACAAAAGAGAAAAAAATATTTATTTGTGTTTTTTAGAGAGAGAGACTCAAAATTGATTTATATTAAAGATATAAAATCTTTGTCAAATCTATTATATCTTATATAAATATATTGTGCATTTGATTGACATTTTGAAAAAAATCTATTATTTAAATACAGGAGTTTTTAGTGAAAGACATCAAACACACAGACAATCAATTGGTTAAGGATTTGCTTCACATATAAATTTAAAAATAACTAAAAAATATAATTTTAAATATATATATAAACATATATTTTCAAACTTTTACTGTTTTAAGGGACGGTTGTTTTTTCCTGTAAATTATATGTATTGATATGCAAACCTTCTTCGCTCTGATTTGAAAGTTCCTCCATATTTAGGTCTCGAGCCAATTAAGTCAATTATTTCTGGTATACAGGAGGCAAATACAGCCTATTGAGGTCAAAGGCCAACATTGGTTAATATTATTGATTATATAAAACACAGGTTTTCACAGTTAAAGGATTGGTTGGATGGGTTGGTGGTAGTCATTGAATGGCACGAAAACAATAGGATATCCTTTCTTTATTTCTTTATTTTTTTTATTTGGTTTATTTTAATTAAAGACTTGGAGTTTACACCGTTCCAGTGGTTTATCTGACATATCATTTAACATATATTTAACTAATGTATAATATTTTAACATATATTATGCAATAGATATTTCAACTTATATTACATTAATATTAAATATGACTTCTAATGTAATTTATTTCTGAAGATTTATCGCATTATATGTAAGCACACGATTCGTGTTTTTATTAAATTTTTTTGGTTTTGAGTCTCTCTTACCATTATATTAATGAAGACATAGCCATCAAGAATACAATCATGTTTATTAAATTGCTATCATATTATTATTATTATTATTTATTAATAATTCACTCAAATAAGTTATATTTATTTTTATTAAATATACAACAAATATTGGCTATATATGATTATAATTTTAGTGACAAAAATTTAATATTATAAATATAGTATTTGAAATAATGAATAAAATAAAATTATTCAACAATATTATTAATAAGCAGCTAATAAAAGCATTTTGTTAGTTAATAAGCTTATATACACAGTATATATATGTGTGTAATAATCATTGAATTCCTATGACTATGACTTCAATTATTATTTGTTAACAGCAAAGAACAGTCACACAAATGATTGAAAAAACATCAAAAATAATATATTTAAAGCAAACATATGAAAGCAATAAAAAATTGTATAACAATTTAAATGTAATTAAAAATATAAGCAATAAATAAATAGAAATATTACTGCTATATTTAATTCATGGCAATTGTTTACTATTGACAATTGAATGATATTTTAGACATACTTTTTAGCGGGATTTTTCTGGTAATTGCCAGCATATTTGGAGGGATGTCCCACCAATTCGGTAATTTCGGGCACCAATGAGGCAAACACAGCCTGCGAGGGGACAGCAGATGGAAAGCATAATTGATTGGTTGGTTTGTGTTGGCACAGGTATGACATAGGTATGACACAGGTATAGAGGAACAGGAGTTGGTTTGTCGACAGTATGAGACAGTCAGACAGGTAAGAGGTTTGTTGGATGAATGGATGGATGGATCGGCACAAGAGTTTTTTTTGCATCGACGACACACAACGTAAGCGCGTTATCATTATTAACCAGAGATTTCACGAAAGATTCAATTAATTGATTTTGTTTTTAAGCATCAAAATAGATATTTATGGCATAATTGTTGAGAAAAAATAGAGAGAAGAGAGAAGAAAATATGCAATTAGTATATAACTGGACCCCCATTACTGGCAATTACATTACAACCAATTGACTATTAGGTTAGAGGACGGGTAGGTAATACAGTATTTCAAACTAAAGCAATCGATTATTACTAACAAAATGGCCACAACTTTCAAATGCAATATAAAATAAAATTTCTAAAAAGTGGAACAAAACTTAAAATCAAACTTTTTTTAGGGACACTAAATATTAATAAACTAATTACTAATTTTATTTTAATAGTGATTCAAATCTGGTGCAGCTTTTGCACTGCTTATTGCACTTAAGTCTCAATAATTTCTTGAAATTTAACTTTATTTTCGCATTTACATTATTATATCTATATATTGAGCAACTATGCGTCTATTTAAAGTATTTTATTTAAATACCTAAAATAATATTAAATTAAAAAATTATATAATTTCACTAAATTTTATTTATAAAAAATATATTTATTAAAAGAATTTTCATTTTCAATTACTATTTTAATTAAATAAAAGATATTTCATACCTATATATATATATATATATATATATATATATAAATATAGTAAATATAATATTCTTGTTAGTAATAATTGAATATTTTTAGATAACATAATGTATTTAAAGCATACAATGATTTATTCATATATTGCAATTTAAGCAATTTTGCATTAATTTTTTAGTAAACTAGTAATACATTATTTATCTATAAGTATTATGTAATTCTGTTTATGATATTATTATTTATATTATGCATTATATGTGAGTATTTTACAGATAATTATGATTATTAAAAAAAATATTTCGCTTAGTAATTAAATATTTTATATTTGTGAAAATTTTTCTATGATTTTAATAAAAGCTTTTTAAGTTTATAAAATTAATGTTAAGCCTATGGATTAAATATTTTTACCTAACTATGCAAATTAGCATAATATTAATTAGGTAAATTTTTAAACATTTAAATGAGTTCAAGGATACTTTTTATTATGTATATATTTTTTTTATCATAACATTATTAAATATTAATTTTAAATACTATATTTTAATTTTTTATATAAATATTTTAGAGCAGAGCCATATTGCAAATTAACAAACTGATATTATATTTAACTAATCAATTATTCAAATTCAAATTAATTTTGGTTTATAAATAATCAAAGAATTAATCCTTAAGTTTATATTATTATTATTTTAATATAATAAATAATGTTAATGTCATTTGAATCAGTATAATTGATTGGGCGTATATAATAAACAAATTTTAACATATGCTATAATTTATAGATATTTATTATGATTAAAAACTCAATTTTAAAATAATATTTAATATAATCTTTTAAATATTATTATTATTATATATAGTTAATATTCTTTTTATTAATAATGGGAACGACTACTTATAGATTAGAGAAAAAATAATTTGATTAATAGTTAAATGATTACTGAGATCACTAATTAGTAAAGTGATTAGTTTACATATTTATAGCATGGCTTTCATATAAACTTAAAAAATAATAATATTTTGACATTAATTTTGACATTACGTTTAATAAAAAACGAGACACATTTTTAACAACACGTATCAGAGACAAAGCACGTGACAGATAGAAAGCTGCACGAGATTAAAGCTATTGATAGATAGATCAGAGAGACTCAAATGGTTTGGCATAAAATAATTGATGATTTGATTGATTAATTGATTTTTGGGAACGGAGTAATGAAAAGTTGTTTTTCTATACAATAATCATTGTGTATCGATTCATTCAAATTAGCCGAAATTATAAAGGGGGATCTTTTTCTTTTTTTTGATTGGGGGCCTCCCAATATAAATTCAATGGCATTAAAGGAGGACAACATGAAAAATGGTAGATCAGTACTTACCAAACCAACTAAAATAAAGAGCACAATAAAGGTACGGCCCAGTGTTGTCGTACAGTGGATGTCACCATAACCGACCTATATATATATATATATATATTTATGTATAGATATGAAATGTGTTAATATCAATACACTGTTATAAAAAACCTATTAACTATAGTATGCTTTAATTATAAATGAGTTTTAGACCTTTAATTTATGGCAAATGACTTTTACATTGTTAGATAAATTAGATGTAATTAATATGGAAATTAATGTCATTGAATATATGGGATCAATAATTACAAATATAATACTATACCGTAATGCTTGTTATTTAGTGTATACTCTAAGTACTGTATTAACATTAATAATAATAGTAATAATAATTGATGTATATATTGTAATATTTAAATCCAATTATTACAATAACTACTACAATTATAATAAAATATTTAAAGTAAAATATACTAATATAATAATAACATATTGTACTAAATATTATTTATAGTACAATATATATGAGATTGCAAAACAATTAGTGAGAAATCGGAAATCTAATATATATATATATATTAATCTATACAAAATTTAAATGTCAATTTTTATGCAATAAACATTTATTATTACATAAACTAAACTAAAAAATTTTCAATAACTTAAAATATTTTTATTGACAATAAATTAATGTAATTATCGATAAACTATAAGTATTCTACAATTGAAACTGTCCTAAATTAAAACAAATTTTAAAGTTAATTTATTCGAAAACTACAAATGATAAAAAATCATAAAATTTACATCTGTTTCATTGATTATCGCCTAATATTTAGGTAAATAAACAATGTCATTTTAAAAAATTTTTCATATGTATTTTTTGCAAAAAAGTAAAAATGACATTTTTTACATCATGTTATAGTTTTAATTGTAATTTGTTTAAACAAATATTTAAAAATACAATTTAAAATTAATCTTAAAGTACACTAACAGGACTATATTTACAACTAACAATAACTTTATATTCAGACTCTTTTATTGTTTTTTAAATTCTTTAAATCACATACTTTTAAATAAAATAAGCATCATAGATTAATTCAATTGTTTTTTTATTAAAATTTAAATATTAAATATAAACTATTTATTATATATTAGTATATATGTCATTTGATATAATAATTATAAAATTGATAGATATTTTCAATCAAATAATAAAATATGTTGAAATTATCACACATAACGAAAATTTTTTAGTTTTAAGATAAAATTATCTACTTAAATATAAATTTGTTTTTTATAATTCTACTTATCATTAGTAGATACTTATATACATACTATTCATGAAAGAAAATTAAATATATCTCACTTAAAGAAAAAGTTAGACATAATTTTATAAGATATAGTACATGATTCAGCAAATTACAAAAAGTCATTATATTTATTTTTATATATTTGTCATTAAGAAGAAACAAGCTAGCTCTAACAGTGTGGCATTTAAAGTCAAGTATATTGTTAGACGGATAACATGATAACTTTAGATTTTTAACAATTATATGTAACAATATAATGCTAAACAATTTAGCTTTAGTTCTGACAATTATTTTATTATAAAATTTTAAATATTAATATTAAAATTTTGAAAACTTTTCTGAACAATCATCTAGGCTAATATTATTTAATGAAATATTATCACATTGGAATTTATTATTATAACATTTAAATAATCACTATAATTAAAAAATTTGTTTAGTCAAATTTGAATGTCTTTTACTAAAATGATAATAATTGGTAAAATATAGAAAAACTAAATTCAAATAATTGTAAAATGTAAATATAAATAATCGACCTTTTTTATTTAAAAAGAATCACATTTTTATCTTTATTAGTTGCATCATAATAATAACGTAAAAATTGATGTACTAAAACGGTCATTACTTGTTATATAATGCTTATATTATATACTGTACTATAATATACTGTATATATGGATAGTAGGTCTAAGTATTTAGTTTAATAATAATTTGATAAAGCATTTGTTTTTGACTTAACTAAATTGTTGTCATATATTATTAATTAATAGTTAATTACAAAATAATAGTTTTATATTTTTAACAATAAATAGTTAATACTTACGGTAGACATCGTAACAATAAGAAAGTAAACGCATTCCCAGTAAGAAATGGGATTTCCATTTGCAAACTCCAACGGATCGCCAGAATTCTCCAACTTTTCAATAAATAAATAATTAATTAATGTTTAATAAATAAAATCAATTTTAATTAAATATTGTAATAATAATAACATACTAAATGTATGAGTCCGGCGGCCGTCAACCAAACGGACACAACAATTGACACCAATTGTGCCAAACGTATGGACGAAGAGGTTTTTAAAACATTTAAATATTGCAAAATATCGGGGAATGACATTAGCCGTAGTGCACGCAAAAAGCGTAAACCTATTGAAAACATTTAATTAATTAATTAATCAATTTAGTAGTCAATTGTTGCCAATAAAATGCATACCAATCCAAGTCCTGTCTAAGTAAATGGACACAAAAGACGGAGGAATTGTAAAGTAATCGACAAATGAGTACAACTCTAACATAAACCATAGCTTATCGGAGGCGGCGATAAACTGGTTAACAAAATAATTGAATAAATAATTAAATAATAAGTAATAAAAATAATAATTTGATAGATTGTTGTTATAAATGCTCTAAACTGACCCGGATAAAAAAATAGACCATAAAAAATATATTAAGAGCCAAATCTACTTGTTGTGTGGCGTTATCGTTCCACTTCTGGCACTTCTCAACACTATCACTATATTTTAGTTAATATCATTCAATTAATTATTTATTTATTTAACACAATTAATTAGTATTATATTTAGTAATTTTGATCATTAAATATTTGATCAATACATACCCGTGTCCTGGAGGACCAGTACTATCGATTGAGTTGGGTTATGGTTGGTTAGTTGGTTATATCAAATGCAAACAAACACTCAATTAGTTTTTTATGATTTTTCTTAAATATGGTTATCTCTAATGCTAATTGTCCACTAAATTACTATAATATTACTATTGTTAATAAAAGGATTCATCAGTCAATTGTCATTTATTTTTATTATATAATATAATAAAGAGTATTAAATTGTAAAATGGCAAACCTGGAGGCATCGATGAAATATATCACTAGTGATGCAATTGATAGAAGAAATACCAAAACCACCTAAAAACGTATTTTTTCATTAAAAAAATTGTCAATTGTTTTATCGATTTTACAATATATTATAACAATAGTAATTGATTACAAACAGTAAATAGCTTTAAAGTCAAATAAAGAGGATAAGGATGTAAAACAATTGTTTGACTCACAAGAATCCTTCCAGTAGTTGATTGTCCGGAAATGAGTTCTCCGGCCCAGTCTTTGGCTTCAGTCATCCAACCCAAGTCCTTATTGAGCGGCAGATCCGACGGCATCGTTGGCTTAACATCTTTAACTTGAAGGTTAACGCCAGCCATTTGCTGTTTATTAGCCTTACTGTTGGCTGAATTTGACTGATTTGAATGACCCGAAGCCCCCGCACATAGAAATTCAATCAATCGGTAGATCAGAACAATAAAGATTCCTATAAATAGCCGTTCATATGGAAAAAAATAATAATACACGTGAGTCTATATTTAGGATATTTATATATTAATATTTATTTTAGTCGAGTTTATATAAATATAAATATATATATGTCTAATATCTAATTCAATTATAGTTTCACACATAACCATCAATAATAACAGTGCTTTAAGAAGTGGGAGTTGGTATATAAATACTGTGAAAAAAATTATGACATAAGATATACGACAAAATTTAACATAATTTTTCACTGATGTTACACAAAATTTAGTTTTTTATATCGATTTCATAATTCATAATCAATCATAAATATTATAGTCTTTGGTTGTCTTATTTTTTGACTTTTTGTTTACCATATCCTCACTTAAAAACACCTCTAATGATCATTATTTAAGACTAATTGTTATTTAAATACCTGCTAGTAATGTGAATATACTGGACAATAGGAAAGCCCACCACTTGCGGTCTTCCAGACACTTGGCCTCCTCGGGAGAGTAGGTGCCCATCGGTGGTGTCGGATTTGGATGTCCATAGCTTCCAGCGGTGTTCACAAAATAAAACATCTCTCCAAATGTTTTCTTTATACTTTATACGTTTTTGGATGTATTAGTTATATATAATCCTTATTATCATATTATATGATTTAAATTGTTTGGTTGAGTGAATTATTATATTATTTGTTTAAATATCTGTGTATAAAAATCAATTAATTTCATAAATTTTTTAAATGTAATCTTAGATTAATAATATACTACAGTACAATACAATTATTTAAATAAAAATTTCATTATCTAGTACATTTTCAGTTAGCTAACAAAAATATTCAGTGAATGAATTTATATAAATTTTAGTATTTATTATAATATAAATGTTAATATTTATTATAATATAAATGTTAATATTTATTATAATATGAATGTTAATATTTATATTGCAAAATGATTTTAAAAATATATACTGTAGATATATAAAAGATATAACAAAAATTGATAAATAATTATAATTACCATTTATTTTCTCTTATCGATATTGGCGCTGAATTCCAGTTAATAAGTTATTTAATAAGCAGTGATTCAATCATTTTAAAGCCAATTTTATCACAAAATATTCACAACTTTGTAGAGTTAATAAAATAGATAAATAAATAATATAATCATTTTATATAGATATATAATTGTATAATAGATATTGTATTATTAAGCGATAATTTATTTTTAATATAATCCAATGGTTAGGAATCCTTATAGGAATTGTTGCAAAATTCTATCGATATCTATAAACTCGTCATCTTTGGGAACGCATACTTGAAACATATATATACAGAATATATAAAATTTGTCTGTTTGGTCGATCCCTTTCCTTTTAGATGTAGTAGTGTTGTGTTTCACAAGTTTTATTGATCTGAAAGTAAAAAGGCAATAGACGTGAGTTTCACAATAGAGAGCATCCCTTTAATTTGTTTAGTCATTACTTAGTGTAATAATACCCGTGTTATGATTACTACATTATTATTAAATATGTTGGTTTTTATTTAACATATTACTTATATAATAACTAAATTATTTCAATAATGAGACATGTAATTTTAATATATAAATTGCATATAAAATAAGAGAAAATGTTTTAGTGAAACAAAATTACTTATAAAAATCGGTAATAATTGGTTTGCGGTTCTTATGTTAAAATTTCTGGTGAAAAATCATTTTCATGTGAAGTTTGGTTGAGTTTAGATTCTGGAGTTGAATCGGTTTGTTGGGAACCGACAGCGCAAATGCCTCTTAAATAGGTTCGCCTCAATAGACAGCACTTGTTTGATACCAGAAAATCAATATAAGATAACATTAAATATATACAATTCAAAATATATATATTATTACATTTGATACTTAATTTTCTCTTATATATATATATATATTAACGGAACATAACATAAAAACATAAATTAAATGACAATCTATTTGCGGATTTTTAAGTCTAAACTTATAAATGCATACAATTATAAGGCTATGAATACCTGTTTAATTTTGTGAGGTCTAAAACTACATTATCAGATAAAAATATTAATAATCTTATAGCAAATGTATATTCAAAAATGTATTTGACTTAAAATTTCTTTTATTGAAAGCAAAATAAAATCAATTGATTGAAATATAAAAAACAAAAATACGTTGTTTTTTCTTTCGATTTTTTTCTATAAAATGCAATCTATCCTTATATATCAGCAAAACTAATCTAAATTATAAATAAAGAAATAAAATACCATTTGTTTTGTCTCATATTAATGACATACAAAATTCAAAAGACATACAAACGTTTTGTAAAACATTTTTATACACTTTTTTCAATCTTTTTGAATAAACAAAAATATTGTGATAACAACTATTTAAAAGATGTTTTAACAATATATCTTACATAATAATATCAATAGTAAAAAAGCGATGCATGCAATTCCCATACAATTAAATCTCATACAATATATAAATGTATATATAATTAGCATAAGTTGTGTGTTTGTTTGCTTAAGAAAATTAATTCATTATTATTCAAAACGAATGAATCAATTGTTATGCTGTTATTATAGGTATTATAAAACAGCTTTGTTAACAAACAAAAATCTTTTATAAACAATTGATAATAAATATGTTGTTTTATATTATAAAATATAAATATTGTATAATGAATATCTAATAATAGAAATCATAATAAATTACTAAAAAAATCATTTAATTAATTTGAGTATTTTTTTATTATCTACACTGAAATGCTTTCTATAATATTAAAGCTTATTTTTCCAACAATTGATTACCAACTAAAGCATCACTACATACGTACAAGTAATTCAATTGTGAATAATAATAATACTACTATTTTCCTATTATGTGTGATATATGCCAATAACTAATGTGTAGATTATTATAATTATATATAAATAATCAATTACTTACCATTTTTCTGGTTCACCAAAAAATATGATTTCATTTATAGACATATCATTTCAAAGCGTGTGTTATAATTAGTAAGAAAAATATTGTTGACATTTGAGATGTTGACTCAAACATCGGAGTAAACGACGAAAAAATCAATAATTATATGGAAGATAATGACTGAAGTTTTGCTCCAAATACCCATAAAAAACCCAAAAGAGACTAAATATATATCTCATTCAATACATGTATACATATAGCGATTCCTAACCAAAAATGATGTCATTCTTACAGAATATTCTGGTTATCAATAAACTAATTATTAGATTATTATTAGTGTTTATATACCCACATTAACCAATTATAATTGTTTATTTTAGATAATATTTAATTTTAAATTATAATGTTTTATAATTTAATATAAATTAATAAAGATTTACATTATTTTTATCAAATCTGTTACTCAAACTCATTGATCACAAGATTGAATGCTCTCAAGAATCCAATGTATGGATCGCTTGCACTGTAATTGTGTTGCGAACGACACCTATAGTTATCTATTACTGTATTACTATAAATATACTATAATTTATGTTTGAATTGCATTATAAAGTTATAAAGTTTAGATTAAATGTAATTATTATATTATATACACATTAATATAAATTTTATTTATAATAAATATTATAAAACTATTAAATATAAAGCAAAAAATAACTCATATATCTAGCATTAAAATAATAATATAATAAATAAATGTTATTTAATATACAGTTATAGTTAACACGTGTAGTGAAACATATACTCGTTATTGATGTGCGACACGTGTTTTGGACAATAAAAGCGAAAACAAACGTTTGTTATCAATAATTACTACCACTTTGTGACCGCTTTAGTCATATAGTGACCACTGACCACAATGTCGATCGGTGTGCCCATCAAAGTGTTGCACGAGGCTGAGGGTCATATCATCACATGTGAGACCAATACAGGCGATGTCTATCGCGGCAAACTGTTGGAGGCCGAGGATAACATGAACTGTCAAATGGCCAACATTACGGTCACCACACGGGACGGTCGGGTCTCACAATTGGAGAATGTGTTCATTAGGGGATCGAAAATCCGTTTTCTTATATTACCGGATATGTTGAAGAATGCACCCATGTTTAAGAAGGTGGGCGTCAAAGGGACACAACAACAGGCCGGCAGAGGAAAGTCGGCTATACTTCGAGCGCAGGGTTTGTCAATAAATATTAATTATAAATTACCGATAGATGTACTCATTATCTATTAATTTATTTTGTTTGCTAATACAGTGGCCAGAGGTCGAGGTCGGGCCAGAGCTATGATCACCAGAAGAGGTCGTTGAGACCATTGCTTTCAATCATTGCTTTTCATACATCCAGAAGACAAACCACACCATTGATAACACCATATGATTGAATAGATCAATGAATTTGACATTAATTTAGTTTTTCTAATATTTTTTTTGTATCGATATAAATATTGATTTATATATACATATATCAAATCATTATTATTATAATTTAATAGTCTTAATATCATAACGTATATAATACACGACAAACAATCCAAAATTATTATTATTAAAATCGATGGATTCAATGCTTATTTAAAGTTTATCACAAATTATTATTTTTTCTTTAATATTATTGTTCCCTAAAAATAACAAAAAAAAACAAATATTTCAAAACAAATCGATTTTTCTCTCTCTCTCACAAAATAAAAACAAATATAATCGTGTGATAAGTTATTTAAAAAATGTTTTCACTTTTTTTTGTATATAAAAACTATATATATATATATATATATATTAAATTAGTTCTTGATTTGCTGCTGAAGATGTTGTAAAAACTCATAATAACTGAATGCCGACTCATTTCTGTCGTCATACATGTACTGCAAAAATGCATACCGAAGTCGACTGTCCTCTCTATATATTCATTGAATAGAAGATAGATAATTAACGATAATTATATACTCATATAAATCTAATCAAGAAAAATATCTTTAATATATTACCTTAATATATAAAAATTAGGCTGAAATGGACGCTCTTGGATGAGACTATTAATAAACTGATGGATTCGTTTGGATGTCATATTTTCCAATTGTGGTAATCGTATTATTGACCGATTGTCTGTTGGTTGTATGGGTTGTTGTATTCGGCTCACAGGCGTTGCAATATTTGGTGTCGTTTGATTAGCTGTGAGATCGCCGTCATCCGGGATCATTGCCCATTGGGTAACATTAAGCACTTCGGACAACCATTGTGGATGAACTGATTTGCATATATAAACAAATAGATTGTCGTATGTGTCCAATAAATAGACACCATTACGATCTATATTGGCAAAAGAGAGCTGAACTGGTGTCGGTCTATCCGATTCAGTGGTAAAACTATTATGAATTGGATATAAATTTGGATAAATATAAAGCATTAATTGCTTTAGAGGAAGGCTTTTGATGCGCTCCATAGCAAACACTCTTTCATCAATTTTTGTTGATATTCCTACTCTAAATGCAATCTATATATAAAAATATCAAAAAATAATTATTAAGTTTAGTTAACCCAACACTCAAATCATTTTAAGACTTACATGCTTTATGAGGGCTAACACATAAAGAGGCATTAGTTTAGTGGACGCAGCCATCACTAGTCCTCCACTAACTGTATTACTATTCACGGATCGGTAAGTATTGAGGATATCTACCACCGAATTAATTAGAGCTTCTCTGGCGTCAGACATTGAAGATTGAAAACTTCGGTCAACGGCCATCTTGCAAATGAGACCAACAATGGCCTCTTGATCTGCCGAATGTGTAACATCGTTCAATGTGGTCACAACAGGCAGAGATAGTGTATGGACTCGTATACGGCGTTCACCAGTAGCCGACGTGTAAAGGATGGCCGCTTGAAAGCAAACATTAGAATAGTCTTTGAGGTCATCATCAATGCTTATCTGCATCGCATAACCGGAATCAGGATTTACGTTGGGAAGGGCTAACAAATCGGTTGAACTGAAAGAAGTTGTATAGAATTGTTAACATTAAATTGATAGAAATAATTGTATAAACACTTACCGAACAAAAAAGTTTCCGTGAAATGTATGAATGGAAATACCACGAGTGCAACGCAAACGCATAACTGCCTCAAAACCAATATTTCTTTCTAAATAATGTCTTAAATCGGCCTCAAAACGAGATAACAAACATAAGGGAGGACTTCCTCCGTAATAATGAATAGATCCACCGCTGAACTTGGATATAGAGCCGACAGTTGCCAAATCTGAGTACGAAGTGGAAAGGTTGAACAAGTCGACGGCTATTTGATGTTCTGAGCATTCTAGTGATAATTTCTTGTAAAAATCAGTTCCGGGATTCAAAAGTGGTGTCAAAGCATTCAAATTGTTGGCATTTGCCGCACGTTTATTGGGATCTTCTCGATTCGTAAGCACTGACCCGTCATTTGGATTACCAGTATTAGGAAGTGCCGCTTGAATGAGGGTTATCCGTCCGCCTAACGACGATAAGACTTTATAGGCAATAGTTAAGGCCGCACCCAATGCCGATCCCGAATCATAAACCACATCATTTGGATTATCCAAAGGAAAATTCGGTAAAATTTCTGTCAAAAATTCGTCGATTTGAGCTCTTTTTGAGTGTAAATTAACTAAAATATTGTCACAATTTGGAAGAAACACATCTGAAAAATAATCAAAATTAATTAATACATAAATTTTATTTTCAATTTAATCATTATATATATGACAAACCCTGTATATCAGGCAGTACTAAATGAATCGGTTGTTTATCTCCTAAATTAAAAAAATGTAGTTTTGAATCAAAAGCAATAAATCCGATCAAAGCTCGAGAATCGCCGGGAATATTATCTAAAGACTCTTTGATAATTTTGGCCATCGATGGTATGTATCCGATTTGGGTGGCGTGTCGGGAACAATCAAATACAAAAAGATAGGCAGCCGGTTGTGGAGGACGTACCATATATTCAACACTCGCTATGTATTCAATTGAATCGTAATTTAATTCAGGTCTCAACGTCGGGTCAAGCATTTGTCTTGTGTTGTGATCATATAAAAAGTCATCGGGAACTGAACAAACAAAACACAAAGTATTTAATTAGTAAATACATAATATTTTTTACAAATATTATTCAGTCATACTTTCATTAATTCTAAGACATAGATTGCATTGCCATCGGCGTTGATCTAATAGACGGACGTAAGGGTTTATATACGTACGACATGATCGACACCTGACTATAGTACTGTCCTGAATAACGGGTAAGTCCTACATAAATAAAAATACAATATTATTATCATAACATTTAATGTTATCAATTAAATCTGTAGTAAATATTCATCACTCACTTCGTCTTCTTTGAACGGATGTAAAAGAATACCGAATGGTAAGCGAGTCTTCTGTAAAAGTGAAGCCGAATCCGGAACTTTGGTCAGAGTTGAGCGCAATATCTCTTTATTACAACTCATGTCCGACTCATTAGTGGCTGTTCTCTGAAGTTTACTTAACACAGATTTAGTTCGGATATCTTTTTCAGTCATCAAATTAACGCTCTCCTGTGACCACATTTGACCCCACGTCTGATTTACCGACATTCCGGCCATCTTAGTGGTCAAAGGATCTACCGAAGGCTGTTGTTGTTGATAGTTAAGACCGTTGTAAACGGGTTGGTGTTGTTGTTGTTGAGCAACTTGTGGTTGTGTTTGATAAGAGGTCGAGTCGTTATAGTTGACACCATTGTATAGAGTCTGTCCTCGAGAAGGTTGTTGGTTATATATCGGTTGTTGTGGTTGCTGATGATGAGCCACGTTTGGCTGCAGTGGTGGCGGCGATTGATAATTGACACCATTGTATGTCGGCTGCGATGAGTTTATGCCGGCCACGTTTGGCTGGTTATAGACAGACGGATGAACAGTTCCTACGGCACTGGTGTTTGTCTGATTGTACACACTCTGAGGTGCGATCATCCTTAGCTGCGGGTGACCTACACTTGATGACTGATTAAAAGCGGTTTGAGTTGTCCTCGGAGCCGACTGTTGCGGCTCGTGATAGGCCACACCGTTATAGACGGCATGAATGGGTGCCGTCGCCGCTGCCGACGGATATAAATTTGGATCCATTGGTGACTGTTTTGAACCGATAATCTGGTCGTAAATCTAATGGCGACACATAAGCGGTGATCACTATATTCAGTCACTGATGTGATGACACAACATATAGATTAAGACAACACTTATTATAATATTATACTAAAAATAATGAAAATATGCACTCATTTGGCGACACCTATTGGACTCATATTTAATGCATTGATAATCGCAACCAAATTATTAGTGCATTTGTTTTGTGACAAACTTTATAAATTATAATCACTTTTTTTACAAATTTATTGATTTCAACAAAAAATTTAATTAAGAAAATATTTTATTAATTTTATTATATAATCATATGATTTTTAATAGTGATGACCACTTTTAATCGTAATTTGCAAATACTATAACTTTTATTTTTTAACAAACTTTTTTTAACACTAATTTTTAATAGTAAGCTTATTATATTTGTGCTTACATTGTATATTGTATATGCCCTTGGTACTTAATTATCATATTTGTGCTAGTTAACTTAATTATCAACTTATACTATATTTAACTTTATGTTTACTATAAAATTTTATATTTCAAAACTATAATGACTGAAAATTTGAAATAATCATTATTTGGTTTGATTTTGTTAATGCGTGATATTTGAGATATTAATCAAATAGTATTATATATATCAGTGGTTAATGTTATGTAATGATTGACACAATTGACATATATTGATATATCGGTAAATAATTTTTTTCTTATTTCAAACCTATAAATGTATAATTAAATCATATTAAATAATAATATTTGTTATATTTGATAAATTAAGTAATACAACGATTTGTTTAGTAAATTTTTCTAAAGACAATAATCATTGTCAAGGAAAACATTTTTAAACTTTATTTCACATAATTTACAATTAAAATAAATTAATTGTAAATTATGTAAACTCGTAAATTAATATTATATTTTTCAATATTAAGTCTTTAAACAATAAAAAATATATACTGGTATAAGATATTTGAATCGTATAATTAATTGTAATTTACAATTTGTAAATCCCTTTATACCTTAAATTACATTTTCAAAATTTTTGTTAATTTTTTCAACCAATATTTATTATAAGTTATAAGTTATAAGTCATTATTTTTTGCATAAAGTTTTCATATTTAAGCATCAATTGATACATTTAATACAATAATTGTTTTATAGATTTTGTATTATTAAATGAATTGAATGCCTAATAGTGAGCACCTGTACTGTGTGTGAGTCTATCGACTCTACACTCACACCCCTGTGTTGTGTGTAATGAATGGGTCTATCCTTCTGTCAGTTTGTTTGTTGGTTTGACTGTCATTCATATGCAGTGATAGGCAATAGTTATGCCAATTATGTTATTGTTATTATTGTCGACATGACATGAGATCTGTTATCAATAATGAAGAAGTATAGGTAGAGCCCAAACATCTATCAGCACTAACCGATGGCCACTTATGGACAGCTGCCGGGACCGGGTGTGCGACCACCCGAACGAAAGATCCGCAAGTGTTGCGGTTTTTCCGCGCGATTTATCCGTTATTTTCTTTTCATATTTAACTTCATATTTATGGCATCGGGTTTATTGATACTTGTCCTGACTCTGGCGTATGGCCGTCCGTATATGGATTTCGGTGAAGTACACCTAAGAAGTATACAGTCATTGATACCGACGACACATTTGGTAAATTTGATTCACTGGTCAATGGTTATGTGCGGATCAGCCATCTGTGCAATAGCTTTGGTCAACGCCATTATCAGCTGTTGTAGTCATTCACCGGATGACGATTTTGTGGCCGAAGAAGCCATTGAATTGCAATCAGATGTCTCGTTTACTTCGGGCCGATCTGCAGCCAGAAACCAATATTATAACAAACAGGACGCACAGCGATTCAACCGAAGAGTCGAAGTCAAGAGTGACAAATCGTCTGTCATTTTGTGTTTTTTTATATTTAGTCTGTTATTCTTGTTTACACTTCAGCTGATCATTGGTTTAGTGTCGTTCATATCGGTTACACCGAACTCGGAAGGAAAAGACGAATTCATGTCTTCGTTGACTGAGAATCTCAACGTCACACAAGTGTTGACCTCAAACGGCCCACAACTCGAGTCATTGTACAGTACTTTCAAGTGCTGCGGTTGGAAGTTCTATGACGACTACGAGGCTTTGGGCAACAAGTCCGAGCCCGTACCCGATGCCTGCTGTAAAACATTGGTGGATAACTGCGGCCACCGTAAACACCCATCTAATATCTACTACGACGGATGTGTCCATCGTTTCGGGCCAATCCTTAAAGAGTATCTTCTCATTTTGGGATCAGTTGCACTCGGCTTCTCTATTGTCGAAGTGTTTGGACTGATCTTTTCGTGTTGTCTTTATGTCCAAATGGCAGCCTATTAGCTGATGTATAGTAACGATACAAATCAATGATCAAAAAAAGACAAATGTTGTGTTCAACCGATTTATATTTATTTTAATTATTATAATGATTGTAACACTATTTTTAATTACTATTTTAAAAAATCAAACAATATTTAAATATAATATACCATTTATTATGGATCACAAATATATACCAAACTATTTACTTTTTATGAAATTATTTGTCATTCAATTGAATGGTTAGTTATATCGATATTTTGAAATTATAATATTAATTATTGTTTTTTAAAATTAATCAGTATTTATGAAATCGTTTTTATGTAATATTATTACATTATACAGTATGTAATAATGTTACAAACACGGTATTTGAATTTATGTTTATTATCATTATAATGATAATAATTTTTAAACATATCATTTTTATTATTTATATATATATATTATGTATTGTTAATTGATTGTCATTTAAATTTGAATTTATTTATATATTTATCTAAACGCTTCCCAAGTTATCGAAATTATTAAATTATATTAATATACTTTTATACTATTGCTTTTTAATTTAATTATACTGTAGTATAATAATTATACAGTACAGTATAAGTCAGCTTTAATGTTATTTTATTATATTTACTTAAAGGATTATTTTTATTAAAGTAATTAAATAATAAATTTAGTTTTAGTGATTTATCTAAAATGATAGTATTAGAATAATCTTATAGAAATAATTGAAAGTTATTACCTTAATATAAGAATTGATAAAAAAAATTAATTAAATGCTTAAAATAAAAACTAAAAAGTATTAATTATAATCATAATTAGCTAATATTACATTAAAGTAATTTATGTATTAATTTAGATAAAAACTATTGAAAATTGCTGTTATGGTATACAGTAGATGAAAATATATGATTAAATTAATAGAAAAAAATAATTAAAATTAACCATAACATTTTTATTAATTATAAATAACTTTTTAAACAAATTTTTAGTTTTTATTTTTGTGGTGAAAAAATCATTTTCTTTATGTCTTTGGTGTTCACGTGAGCTACATATATGTCATCACCAAAAGGCATACCTGCCCTTCGTAATGACTTTGGATCCAAGGGTTCATATGGTTCATCTCCCAGCTCAGGGCCGTCAAATTTTTCAGATGCCTATCCCATTAAAAAATATAATAATTTTTATAGATAATCTAATTTACGTTAGTATGTATAAATTAAATACCAATTTTCCCAATGCAAATATGCACCTGGTAACTTTGGGGATGTTTTGCAACAACAGTAGGTCATCCACATTGAACAGCATATCACTGGACACACCATAAGTAGTACAAGATTTCAAAAAGTTTTCAATGTTTAAACGTTTTTGTTTATTATTATCGCCGGCAACTATTGGCTCCGGTATTGAACCCTTATTTACGGCATTCATTAAACTGAATAAATTTGAAAAATCATATTTCAATTAATTATAGAAATGCTAATAACTTTAATCAATATAAAAATATATCAATAATTACCGACACAAGACTACCCCATCTCTGAGATACTGTTCGTAATCATATTCACTAATTTCCTGAAGAATATTCCAAATCCAGAGCAAGACTTGACTTTCGCGAGTGTTTTCAACGACTCTCTTATTTCAAACAAATTATTCATAAATAAAATATATTTCACTTATTATAATATTAACCAAACCTTATGAGGCAATAGTAAGTTGGGAATCGATTCAGACATTTGTAAATTTAAATTACAAATTGTTATTATTATTAGTGATAATAAAGAAAAATCAGTTTATAGCAAATTTTAACACACAAATTGTGTAAACAAATACAATGTAATTTAATATATATATATATAATAGAAAAATATTTGTAATATTATTTACAAATTTGTGACAATATTGTTATTAAACAAATATCTGAACAAAACTCTAAACTAATAATGGGTTTAAAATGGGAGTAAACGGATTTTGTTTCTATTTTTAGTAATCAATGGGATAAATATGTTTGAAAGCCATGTAATCTATATATAATTTACAGATTTATATAAAGTACAGTATATATAAATAACATTAGTTTAACATAAATTTTTATATTCTACAATATTATATCTTATTATTTAGAATTAAGAAATTATATTTAAGTTTTGATCTAATTTTTATTCTTACAAGTCCTTCAAATTCGTATATATTTTGTAAATTTAATTCAAATATTTATATTTTAAAATAACAATAATTTTTAGTATTATAAAATACTTATAAAAAACTATAATAAAAATTTTAAAATTATATAAATAACATTTTTTAGTATTCTTATATGTTATACATTTTATCTAGTGTTTTATTAGTTAAATTTAATTTAGATAATTAAAACTTAAGTACAGGTACATTAGTCAATTTTAGGATAATCAAAATTACAATAAGTGTTTTTTGTTAAATTACAAACATTTAAGATCTTTAGAAACTTTTAATTTAAAATTACTATTAAATTGAATATTTACGAAATGACCTCAATTATTATGTAGGCCTACTCTCTATGACTTTTACCATTTGACACAATAGGCTTAAAAGGGTCTTCTCTACACTAATATCTCAAACTAAAGGTCAACATATCAAAAGACCTTTCCTATGGTAAACCCTGTCGTAAAATATACACTATTCTTATTGTATAGACTCTATACTATAGAGTATATCAAATATAAATATTAAAAAAAATAATATAATTGCTTTAAAATATAGGGCACATCCTAAAAACAAGTTTATAAACAAATATACAAAATCCTAGTCATAATAAATCATTTCACGGCTAAAGAAATCCCTAAATTTGTATTTTATACAACAATTGAATAATATATACATTATATATATAACATATATACAGTATATATAACATATCATATACTTTTATGAATATTGGATTATTAGATCATTTGTAGTTTCATTGTCACAAAAAATCATTTTAGCATAAAATTAGCATATTGTTTTGTATTGTATATATTTTTCTAACAATTTATGACTTTTATAAATATATAATAAAGAATTATAAAATTGCTTACATTTTAATTTTTAAAAGTGAAATTTGTCAAAACACTATTAGACTATAACTTCCTAATAATAAATAAATGATAACTCTTGGTATTATTTTTATAAAATTATAAAATTAAATTTAAAATAAATAAATAAATGCTTTGTCACAAATTGGAAAATAAACTATATTTGTATTATTATTTGGAGGTTATTTAGTTCAACACAAATACATTTTAAATCAGTTGTTGCCACACATAATAGACAATAATATATTTTTAACATTGAAAGCTTTTTAATCTATACACCTAAATTTAATTTTAATGATAGCATATGACTTGTATGTAAACAAAATTTAATTTTTGTAGTTCAAAAAAATAAAATTTGCTAAAAAAAAGTTATTATTGACTATATTTTTTTAATATATCAAATAAAAAGTTATTATATGTTAATGAAGTGCAATATGATTGAAAATATATATATATTTATAAACTATTAATTTTAACACTACTTACAAATTAATTGGTATAAAAACTTTTTGTGAATCAATAGTTGAAAAATAGAGTAAAAACTAATTATTAATATTAAGTATTAAGTATTAAGATAAGCAAAAAGGTTGACCAAAAGGTGGGTTTTAATCTGATTTTGTTGTGAACTCTTGGAAACACCTTTTTGTTTGGTTTTTTTTTGTGTATGTATTGATTGTCTGCACAAAACATTAGAGAGAAGTGTTGACCTCTTTCCACATCCAGACTTCAATAACAGTCAAACAAATCATTTCTTTCTTTCAAAAAGTGTTGCTTTTGTTTGTCTATCACTAATACATAAACTTTTTTTGGAGAACCAGTAATCCACAGATTCAAAGACTTTATGGCAAGAAATCAGTACATCTTTTTATAAATAAATGTTAACATATTTTATCATATAATTTGTTTAATTGTAATAAATTGGTGTAATATATTGTTTTTATTTTTTGAAAATTGTTTTTTTAATATGAATTTTTATTTTATCCAAAATTTTCACCTTATTTTGATAAATATATTTAAATTGTTAATTGCATTGAAGTCATGCTGTGTTACTCTGGGAATGGATGTATTTTATGAAACTAAACCACTGATAATAGGTAAAAGGCATATAAATTTGTAATTTTTTAAAAATGTATCACTACTTGATTACTACTATTGGCGCGCGTGGTTTATATGATATATTAGTGAATAAACTGGAAGATCACAACCATCGTGACATCGATGATAATCTATCGGTAAACAGTTATGCTTTGGAGTCGATGCCAATGGACATCATACTGAAGATGGATAAGACAATGGCAGTACTAGAGTTCGACCATTCGAGCAAAATGATGGAAAAGTGCCAACTCTTTGATCTCGAAAAAGAGGCCGAAAAGGCCGATATAACCGCTGCGGGTACCGGTTTGCCGGTCATCAAAAGTGACTTCCGGACAATGCAAGAGGCCATCAATAAGTGCAGAGAATTGTCTGAAAAAGTGTCTGCAAATCACAGTCTGGAACCATTCACCGCAGCCAACAGTAATATCACCGAAAACTCAATTTCATTGTTTAGTCTATGGCGGGGATTAATACCCGGCACTAAAGTAAGTGCAAACATTATTGTTTGCTTAAGTTTGTTTGGATTTAATAATAATAAATAATATTAAACATCACTAATAATCACACGTCTGTCAAGTTTTTAGTAAATGACAACTCAGTTTAGTACTCAATCTAATCGCATATAAATTTACAGTATATTTGCATTGCTTTTTCATTTGCCACCAAATATTTGTTTAACAATTTGTTATTAGTTTTGTTCACTTTATTTAGTTTCATAGTCTATGATTCATAGATAACAAACACATTGTTTTATCACTTAATTCTTATGTTGTTAGGAATTATTATTAGTGTATAGATATTAATGTATTTACCAATCATTTGATGTTATGCAACATAATAATTATTTAATAAATTTGGTTTTCTTTAATAATTAATCTTGCTTACATATTATCAAATTAGTAACAATAACACATATTAAATTTTATGTTGTAAATATTTGCTAAAAATAATGTTATTGTCAAATTATTAAGTAAAAGTTATTTTTAACTAATCTATAATAGATAGTTTGAAACTAAAATAAATTAATAACTAAAACTCTAAAACACAATTTTTTGTAAAAACAAATATTGACTATAAAATATATAATAAGCACAAAACAGTTAATACTAAAAATTTTAACATTGAATTTTACATTAATTATTAATTTGTTCAAAGTTTGACTCTACAAATACAAATTATCACTGTTAGACAAATAATTATATAATCAAACGTTAATTATGCAGTGTAAATGATAAATCATCCAATTATAGTATCACTATAATTATTATTATTGATTATTACCGGTATAATTAAATATAATCTTATAAATAAATGCAAGACATTAAGTATCTTAAAAAATATATTAAGCGTAAACATAGAAAAAATTAAAAAACAAAATTTAATTATAAATGAATGAATAGTAGAGCGGAACTAATGTTAATAAAGTTTGATTGCAAATAACAATTGTTAAACATTATACAAACAATTGTATAATATTATGCTATACTCTTGTTTCCTAAATAATAAAAATTGTAATACATTTGTAATGAATCCATTCATAACCAAACAATTAGTTTAGCGGATAATTAAAAATATAATTTTTTAAAAATGGTTTGAGTATTAGGTCTTAAGATAAATCAAGTTTGATATTCCTATATATAAACTATAATATTAGTTAATTTAGGTTTTTGCTTAATTTGATTTAAATAATTTTTTAATTTTTTATATATTTAGAATTTGTGTCAAAAATATAAATTGTTTAGTATCTAAATCGGTAATAAAATCAAAATTTGGTTAAATTCAATACTTTTTTTGAACATTTTGTCATTAAAAGTTTTTTAATAATATTGTTAGCTGTCTGTTCCATCACACAATAATATCAAATTATTAAATAACATTCAATTAATATAATTCTTAAGCTATTTTGGTGACAGATTTTTAGTGATTTGAATTTACATTACAAAGTGCTTTCCTGTTTATTGTATATACATAATAATAATTTGCGTAATATTTAATATATATATATATATATACTGTAAATTTAAATTATGATATAAAAATTAACTACTGTTTATTTACTAAATTAAATCACATTCTTTCAATTATGACAATTACCTTTAAGTTTTATTTAAAAAAAATGATTAATTAAATATTTATAATAAATATTTAATTTTCATTAAAACTTTATATTACACTATTAACTTCTATACAAGATTTAAATTAGTATCGATTTTTTAAAACAAATTATTTATAGATTTCGCACTAATAAAAAAAAAGTGAATGCAATCAAAATGAGTACAATTTTGACAGGATTTACACACTTGAAAACATGTTCACAAACAGTTGATATATATTTTGCCAAAAAAATTATACATATATATATATATATATGTATATATTTAATTTATTTTGAGTGATAGATTAACATCGGGATTTAAAATTATTTTTTAAAGTAGAGATTGTTAAATATTATAAGTGATTTTCAATTAAATATAAAAATTTATGAGTAATATTTAGGATTATTATAATACAAATTGTTGTATAATAATAGATTAAGACATTATTGAAATGCAATAATTTGATTATAAATATGTTTATTTAGAATTTATTAGTTCGACTAATTGTTTAAATTATTTATTAAAGTCGATAATATATAAAATATTTTAATTTAAATTTAATTTTTGGATTACATCCAATTAAAAATAAATTCTTATAAATCAAACTCAAATCACTTATATAATTATTAAAGTACAGTACATTTATACAATGTAATATATGTTATATATATATATATAATTGATAATAATCTTTAAAATATTGAATATTTAGTTTAGTCATAAATTCGACATTTTTTAAATTTAAATTTTTGTTGTATAAGTGGTGTGGTTTAGGTGATGCCGCCAATAATTATGACGATTTGGGTACAAAACGAGACATTGATGTTTGCTGTAGAGCTCATGATCACTGTCCCATTAGATTAAAGGTAATGTATTTTTATATTTGATAAATTATTTTGATAATACTGTATAAATTCCTCGATAAATATTATTTTCTGAATTTTTAGGCACTACGTTATGGTTATGGCTTAATAAACTTATCTTTATATACAAAGTTGGTATTTATATTTTTTATATCATAGAAATAAAAAACAAATGTTACATAAATTATCAAGTTCAGTTAAAATTTTAGTTTTAAATTATAAAATTAGGAATTTTTGAAAAATTTTACATGTGTTATATTTACTTCATTAATGTTTTTTTTATAGATTGTGGGGTATTTCCAAATAATTTAGATAATTAACAAATATATGGGTTATATTAATTACAATAATTAATGGCTCAAAAAGTATACCACATAATAAATATCTTATTACCTATATTTATATATACTTTTTAAATTTTTTATTTTTTATTTATATATATTTATTAATAACATTTTAAAAAGTCACAAATTTTATTAGACAAAAATTAATTATAAATATAATAATAATGTGTTAAAAATAATAGGTCTCACTGTGATTGCGATGAAGACTTTCTCAAGTGTCTCAAGAGATCCAGTAATTCATACGCAACAATGTTAGGCAACTTTTACTTCAATGTGTTGAAAGTCCAGTGCATTAAAGAGGAGAGGCCTGTCGTATGCTTGGAAATCAGGTTTTTATCAATTGCTATGAAAATTATTTATATATATATATAATTTTCTTTTTGTAATAAAAATATTTTTGTCACACATATGCTAAAGAAAGTCAATGTATTTTTGTTTGCATAGAAAGAACAGCATTGGAAAGGATGAGTGTCTCCGGTATGAAGTGTCGACTGAAAGCCGCATGAAGTTTGTGACACCAGAACTTCAATACTAAAGCTTCTCCACATTAAGTCATAAATATATATATATTTTGTATATAGTTTTATATATAATTTTATAATTAATGCTATTTTAATTAAGCCGTTGTATTTTAAAACTATTTTAATACCATTATTATTATACCTAACTTTTTTATGATTAAAATTTGTTTTTTAGCATGCTAAAGAATAAAAAATATTAAATATATATTAAGTTTTAAATTTTTAATTGTATATATATATATATATATATCTATTGTATAGTTTATACTGTACTATATACCGGTAGTATATAATTGTCTAAATGAAAACTTTTTTTATTCAATTAAATTATATGAAAAATCATTTTTCAAACCAATCAGTCAAGTCATCATTTTTTAATTTAAAATTTAAACAAAAGCACATATACTGTACATACAAAATTGCAAATGTGATTATTATATACATCAATAATAATTTTATTCATCCTAAATGATTTAGCATATCATTTGAGTGCAAAGTTTTGATTTTTTTTCATATTTTCTTATTCAAACATTCATTTGATACGATTGTAAATTTTCTACTAACTTAATGATAATAAAAATTAAATGTTTATTAATAAAAATATGCAGAAATACTTACGATATACGTAGTGTTAATATATTTATTATAATTTTAAATTAATAATAATGACAATTATGTATTGCAATGAATTATTATAATATTTGACAATATGTTGAAATTTTCAAAAAATTATGTTTAAATAATATTCTTGATTAAAATATTCTATTGTTTCCGATACACTTCATAAATAATAATATAGAGTAATTTGCATATAAATTGAAAATAAAAAATTGATATTATCAATCATCATATTGTAAGCGATTCATTTATTGACATTTATAAACCTATACCAAACTAATTTGTCATCAAAATTTTATGCAAAAATTAATGTTTATAAAAAATATAAATTTTATATTATAATAATATAATCAATTTTAAGCTATTTAATGTACTATTTTTCAAAACTTTTGTTATCTCATTAATCCTAATAATTATTTAACATTTGACTTAATCACTCACACATCGTTTTATAGCTTTTTAATAATCATTGTTAACATATATTGAAATATACTTTAAATGAAATAAGCTTTTTTAATTAATTAAAAGAAATAAATTTCCCAATTTATATGCAATATATAATGTACTGAAAACTATAAATAATATGTTAAGATATATATTTGTCAATTTAATATAATAATCTAATATGTGATAATACTGTACTATTACCTAACTACTATTTTTACATGTGTTATTATACGGTTTAATTATTATTTATTTCATATCATTTATCAATAAATAGATTTTAAATATAGAATACAATAAATTTAAGTAAATTTCTTAAATTAAAATTTATTTATGAAATCAATATTTTTTTAATTGAGTTAATAAATTTGATAATAATTATAAATTTTGATTTTTTTTGAAATGATTTAACAAATATTTTTATAATTTTTATAAACAACAATAGCACAAAATTTGATTTTAAATTTATTATCTGTTAAACTAAATTTAATAAAAAACTATAATCTTTAACCCAATATTTACAATAATTATAAATAAAAAGTGCTACGGAATCAAACAAAAATACATATTTTAAATATACCCGAATTAGTTAACTTTTAAATTATTTATACTAACAACAAGTGTCTATTTGTGCCCATTTTTATTTATATTTTGTATAAACTATTAATTTGAATTAAAACGATTATATTTAATTTATTTGTCATTGTTTGTGCTGTGTAATACAGTGTGTATGTAATACATTTACAAAATTACATTTATCATATTATAACAACATTAAAATTTTCAATTATAATTGTTTTAACAATTTTATGTTATAATAAATATAATTGTAATATAATAATAATAAAAAGTGAAATTAAATGTCAACTTTCCTAATTGGCTCATATTTCAATATTTGAACATCATTCAAAAAATATATATTTAAAAAACATTTAACTGTAATAATATATATTTTATAATAATATAATATATCATGTATTAAGTTTCTCGTAGTTTAAATAAAATTTATAAACTAAAATATAATACTAAATACTAAAAATTTGCAATACATTAAATAATACTTTAAAAAATTACTAATACTAACAAATGTCAATATAATAAACTTAGTTAATGGTAAATTATTAAAAAATTATTGATATATGATATTTAATAATAATACTTTTTTGCGGAACAATTATACTATAATTTACTGTAAATACTGTATGTATTATGCAAATAGTAGAGTTCACTTTAAAACAAGTGAATATACAATAACTTTTGATAAACATTTAATTTTTTAAAATTAGCTCATAATTTGATTCACATTTATATCAATATCACCAAAAAAAAACTTATATATAGTTTACCTAAAAATTCACTTTAATTAAACCTATCTATGAATTCAAACCATTAATAATCTTAGAGCTCTTTTTCCACTCACTTTTCGACGACAAGTTGTACATAGAATATGAAGAGTCTTTCGTCACTTCTTTGATAATCTTTAAAAACGGCGGAACTTTAGCCGTCGTGTCGTTATTCTTGAGCGTCTGATACGTCTCCAAAAGTATGAGTCCTTCACAGCGTTCATTGCATGGATTTCTGTAAATATCGAGTTGAAAGTATGTGTCCTCCCATACAAAACACCGCCGAGTCTTATAAACAGTCAGATGACTGTCATCTCTTTGCGCTAATATATTCTATATAATTAAACCATTAATTTTAAAATTAAGCGAATTATTTCATTTATACAAAACAATTTAAGACATACCACATAATCGCGATGAGATATTTGTCTCCTCAGTTCAACCATCTGATCTCCCGCATCACCTCTACGGACAGTGTATTGATAGCTCCAATTTCCTAAAGATTTATCCAAAATAGCCGATTAATTAATACTTTTGACTATAAATTACTAAATACTAACCATTTTGTCCGCGTTTACGAAGTCGGGACTGGATTTTTGGATTGGGAGAAGTGAGGTAATCGTGAACCACTTCAAAGTCCTGAAACGACGGAAACATCGAATCCGGTGGCATCGATGCGACCAGAAATTTAAATTTACGACTCGTTGGGGCCAATCGGTCACCGGCATCAATGCCTATGCGTTTGCAGACATTAGCAATCATTCGGGTGAGTTTAGTGTCGAAATCGGTCGAGTTGTCAATTACATCGATATAGGGATGTCCGACCCACGCCTCTATAGTAGCCTTATCCAGTTGTCGGGCCTGTTCGATACCCTCAGTACGGCACGGGTTATCCTCAATATTATAATAAGCTTCGGCTCCGTTGGCGGAAGTCATCAAATGGATCACTTGGTTGTAGCGATTGTCGCGTAACTCCACGGCATTCCAACCATTGCTTTTAAGTACGCTATCAAACACATCCTTAGCCATATATGCGGCCGCATCCATGATTCCGCGGTCACAGACTACCAGAACATTGCGTTTATCCGATTGGGCCAAATCAAAAAATGTCGTTTCCGTTGCAATCATTACTTTAATCAGATTTTCCTGAAACTTATCGGCCGCTTCTTTGGACAAATCAGGAAATCTGACGCCACCGCTAAACAAAGTGGTAGCCGTTTCGGGCACGCGGTATACTTTCCAACCAATATTCTCGAAGAATGTACACAATCTTGCCTGTCCTGTTGTCTTACCACTACACGGCCCGCCCGTCAACGCCAACCGATAGACTACCCGTTCCTTTCCGCGATCGTTGTCGGCGCTCATCATTGAATATGTGATGAAAAACAAACTCACAATTGATTAGTTGGACAAACAAACAAACTATTGATTAATATATATTTATATTATATTTATGGAAGTAGTTATCGATGAAGATATGGATCGTATAGATGTCTATCAGTTGTTGGCAAAGATGTGGTGAATGCCATCAGATCACAGACTTTATAATCAAATGAATGATAATATGTTTATAATAACAGAATTAATGTTTTATTATTAATATTATTATTATTACATGAATTATACACAAAATAGTCTAAACATTGAATACATTGAATACATTCAACACAACAATACTTAGCATTGCTTTCACTGTCACTCTCTTTCTCTCTCGTCTTATGTTTGTCTCAATACTGACGACCAGAATATGTGACACAAATTCATATGACATTCCATTTGATGTGCAATACGTTTATATAGAATACAAGTAATACAGTCTATACTACTGTACTGTATATACTATATAGCAGTTCATCATATGATTGACTAATTAGAACACAGGTTTGATTCATATGAATAGCATTAAACACAACACACACTCCATCTGTTGGGTTAGACTTCACTGCAACACATGTTTGACTTTTAAACACAAATAACATGTCTTTTGTTTGTTTTTAACCATTGGATCAATTGATGGACACAATGAATGACAACGAGACCAACGACGACCACAAGACTATAATGTTTAGTGAGTTAAGGGATGCACTGATTGGTCCAAACCGTATAAGAAGTAATAATATGTTAATACCGGTGACATTGGGTGGACAGACATTCAAGACGAGGGATGAGCTAATGATAGAGAGGGCCGTCGAGAGCTGTACTTTCAAGACTGGTCTGAGTTGTGTTATGGGCTTTGGATTGGGTGCAGCAATCGGTCTGTTTTCGGCCAGTGTTGGTCCCGAAGCACTGCAAACAGAAACACAAACCCAAACCGTAAGACAAGTACTAAAAGAAATGAAAGTCAAGACCATGTCTTACGCCAAGAACTTTGCCATTTTGGGCGCTATGTTTGCAGCCATCGAATGCACCATTGAATCGGTATATTGCATGTCATTTAACTGATGATTATATTACTTATTATATCTACATAATGGACAGCATCGGGGAAAGAGTGACTGGAAGAATGGTACGATGGCTGGAGGTGTCACCGGAGGACTCATTGGATTAAGAGGTTTGGATTGTTCATTGGTTTGTTAATGATTGTTGACTTATGGCTTATATGTTATCTTAACTGATCCATAGCCGGAGTCAAAGGTGGGGTATTAGGCGCCGCCGGTTTTGCCGCATTTTCCACTATTATTGACTACTATTTACGTTAATATTTTTATGATTAAAATTATGTAAATATTGATTTAAAATTTATTATTTTATAATTTGATAAACTATTAAACAAATATAACAATCAGATCTATAATATAGATTCTATATATTTACTTATCAATAGATATATCAAAACCATTATTGATAAGACATTTAATAAAGTTGTTATTACCGGTAATATTATCTAACGTTTCAATCGTGAATTGAGAGTCGACTCTATTTTTAATTTTCTATTTTCATACTTTTGTTGCATTAGAGACACATTAACTGCTTTTGGTATATCAGGGACTATATATGAGATTACTAGAAACAGACCGAGTAGTAGATGCTATCAAATTAAATGTTTGAAACAAAACATTAGTATAATTTTTGTAACATTTTTTTATACGATATAAGTATATACTGTATAAATATATCTAAATAAATACTTCAAAGGCAACAGTTAGCTGAAAGTCAGTTATATTAAACTTATCACTAATCGTATGGACAGTTGGCGATAGTGTCAGGAGAGCACAGTTTGTAATCACAGATATTATGGCCATCACTTCAAATGCTTTCTATAATAATGGTTATAATAACTAAGTAATACTCAAAAATTGTACAAATCTAATGCCATACCATCCACGAGCCACTGATACCATTAGCTGTCCTCTGGTGAGGCCTTTTAAAGCCGAAACATAACTTTATAGAATCGGATCGGATTTCAATAAAATTATTACAAAAAGCAATGATCGGCGCCAATGGAAAAATCGTTAGAAACATAAATACATAACCAAATTGTATATATAGCTCAAGAAAATCATAATATGTGCCCTATATTTATATAAATTAAATTAAATTAGTCATAGATTTTGAAAAAAATGATGAGCTTATAGACCTCATAGGCGGGTAATCTTTTCTCATAATTAATTCGTGCAATTCTTGGTAAAACATCAGACTTTTTCAGACTTAATTGAAAGTCTTTGTTGAGTCTATATGTTGTTATGAGAGGAATCAGTACTTCTTGGATATTATCAACCAATTGATTAACCAAAAGCATTGTTCCCAATTGCTATAATTTTTACTAAACTTAATAATATGATTCATTAAAAATAAATATACGGTAATTACAAACCCATTTTAACATTTGAATATCTTTTAAATAAAATCCAATATAGAATAAACTCATAAAGTTATTGACAAATTCAAACTGTTTTACAATAAATAAAATATTTTGGTTCTGAAATAAACAAATTTTTATATAAATTTGATTTAAATTTATACCAAAACTAATTTAATTATCCAATGATTTTCATGTGATGTCTGTGTTCTGTGATTTTCTGTAAATTAATATAAAACATTTGATTTACTGTTAGTTGAAAGTAATAAAATCTTATTAAATAAATATAATAAATACCCCATTCATTGAGTTTGGTAGCAATTTGACGGTAAATATTATTCATAACCATAACAACCAATGCATAGATAACTCCGGGCATAAAAACAATAATTTTTTCGAAACCAACCGGATTTGAATAAAAATTATTTAAATCGGTCTCTAATTGAAAGTAAATACACATAACATAAAATGAAATCCATAGACTCATCAATACTATAGGTAGTGAAACACCGTATTCTCTTAACCACGTCTTATATATTGGATAAATAGGTGTTAATTGTTTAGTGACCGCATCGACAGCCATAGATTTGCCCCGAAATGTAGGCCGTGGACCTTCTAACTGAATATCACCGATAGTTCCCCAACGATAGGCTAAATTATTTGAAAATCGTTTCCATTGCTTCAAAAATATAGGAAACCATATCATATAAAAAATGGCACAAAAGATATTCATATCGTTGAGAAACAGATATTGATAGAGACCGACAATTGACGGAATCAACAGACTATTGGTGTAAAACTCGAGAAATGCAAAATAAAATGCAATCTTTTCACCGAAATAATTACGGATGTCATCTAAATATCAACAAAATAATCAAAACATTTTCAGATGATATAAAAATTAAGTGTAAATTTATATACCGGTAAAATAAAAATCTTACGTATGGGTTGTTTGTTAAATGAGAAACACCAGCGACTCTTGAGTTTATCGAGAGCTTCACTTTCGTGAAGTGGGAAGTATTGGGTCACTATATTTTCCCGTTGACACACTTGCACTGTAATGTCACAAATAACTGATTCATAAACCGGTTCATACCGTTATAAAGGAAAGAATCTTACTTATAGATTGTCCCGGATATAGCTTGACATTTGGATGACCAAAAAGGACACCCCTTTCGACTGCATGAAGACTTTCAATATTATAGAGCAAAACTCGTTGTTTCTCTGATACTGTTAGACAGGAATCCGATTCATCAAAGAGATCAGTTCGACGAAACACTCGACATGTCTGGTCTTCCGCATTAAATCTCATCAAATCTATAGCATCGGCGGACACATTCAAAGTCGCGTTATCAGAGCTAACATGTAATGTTATGTCTGAATCATTGTCTTCAATCTTCTTCAGCCGAAAGTGTCCGCCACTGTCGGCCGACAACTTTTGCAATAACTGAAGCAACCAATTGATTGTCATATTTTGTGCGGCGCCGTTGATTGTAATGACATATAGGTTGTGGTCATCGGTGTCGATGGCATCTATTGATCCGTAATCGTTGAATATTTCGTCCAAAATAGACTGTCTTTCGGCAACAGCTTGCGATTGTCTTCTTTGCATTGTTTCAGTTATTTTTTAAAAGTGATGTTCATATAAATGTTGGTCAACTAAAACACTACCTATATTATTATCGGCTAGGTCTAACAATTATTATCGGCTAATAAAATATCAGTCAATAGATACTTACGGTCCGATCGGTGATCAAACAAATTGTGGCCAAATATGTGACATAACTTTCATATAAACTTCAAGTTTTGTCACTAATTTGTCCACAAATAGCGTCAAAACAATGTTTACATTCAATGAGTTGTGATTTTTTTGAATAAACATAAAAATGGTGTCAATTATGAAATGCTATTATGTTTTGATGACATTATTGTCACCAATTGGATCCACTGTATTCATCATTGGATTAGTTTAGATGATTGTGTAAGTACATCATGACTGAAAACAGACGAAAAAGTAAACGACTGACCGAAAAGTCGGTCAACGGATTGACGACAACCATCGCAAGTGCGGCGACTGTAGTGACCAACAAACGGGTCATTGCCAACAATGACAAGACAAGAGGACAACAGTTAAAAGAAAATGATAACAATTTAAGAAAATCTAAGAGACGATGTGTGAGGTTATCAACGCCTACAGAGACGGATAAATGTGAGCCGAAACAAGTGGTGGTCAACCAACGCAAGTATGGACTCAGAAAATTAGCGCCAATTAATTGGAAAGAAAGACTTGATATGAAATATACATCCATTGACCACAAGTCGACTATTGATAAAACTAATGATAATAAATGTTATAATAAGACAATCAAACATAAGACCATTAGTAAAGACAAGTGTTTGAATAACAATAAAATTAATAATAGGACTAAACATAAAATTAATGGCAAAACCAAAGTGACCTCAATTACTGTGACCTCAAAAACAATTACCACAACAAGACAGACATTAAATAAGAAAAAGAAAAATAAACATCAAATTCATGTATTGAGTGAAAAAAGTTTGGCAAACAATGAACAACAAGAATCTCAAGAGTTATCCACAAGTGAGGCGTCGACGCCATTGACCAACGAGTCTGCAGACAACGATATTACAGAAGAAACTATTGAAGACAAATCTAATGAAGAGTCTGTTAATGTCTCGTATTTTGATTATGTCATAAATAGTTTAGAAAATAATAATAAGTGCAAAACAATGAAGAAATTATCCTTTGATAGGATTATGAATATAATGATATCTAAACAGACGTCCAAAAGATATGCTAAACCAGTGCTAAATCAATGCAAAAGACATAAATTGTATTCTTGTGGTTATGAATGGTGTGATTCATATAAATGTCAAGATATAACTCATGATATGACTCAAGAAATGATAAAAGAGACCAATCAAGAGCTCATTCAAGATATCACTAAAGACATCACTCAACACAATATCTAATTTTAATATTAGATTATAATTAATATTTATTGTTGAATCACAAAATCAATTATTATGGCATTTAAGCACAAAATCATTATTTAAAGTCCATATATTTTGATAATTTACACAAATGTTTTCAAATGATATATTACTGTTTATATTGATTACTTATGTAATGATACATTAATTGCATGTACTGTATATACAACATTATTTTCATAGACAATCAGTAAATCTAAAAAATCGCTTATATAATGATAAGAAAATTTAATATATATATAATTTATAATTTATGATTTATAAATGATACAATAGTTTTTATTAAAAAATTTATCTACTGTTTAAATTAGAATAATGTAAAATGTTTTTAAAATATAAAATAATTAAACAAATTTATATAAATATGAAATAATTTTGAAATTAATTTTAAGGTGTGATATATTAGCAAAAAAATAGTATACTAACTTATGATTAACTATAAAAAAATTTCAAATATTTTAGCTATTTGTTTTTATCAAAACATTTATATATGTGATATAATTTAATAACTGACAAAAATACTATCATTGAGGTACTGTACAGTAAATACAATTACCATATGACAGTTACAGATTAAATATAAATTTGGTATTAATAACTTATAATAATAAGATTGATAAAATATTTTTACATTTTAAATATATATTGGAAATATATAAATTATCTATTTAGTATAATAGATTTGGCTAAAAATTTAAATAATATATATTGATATAGTTTAAGTACTGTATTTATAGTAATTTTTATTAACTTAACATGCATATATCACATAAAAATTAAATTAGTTTAACATAATTATTCAATATAATATTTAAAAATAATCTCGTTTGTCTTCAAATTAAGTTTTTTTATTTATAAATATTTAATTATATTAAAAAACTTAATTATTTAATATAATATTTAAAGATTTTAATATACCAATTAAATATCTATAAAAAAATAAAAACTTAATATTTAAGATAAACCCTATTAATTGGTGGCAAATATTTTTGATATATTAAATAATAATTAATAGTTTTTGGAATTGAGTTCATAATCAAAAATACAGAAAACCTAATGTACTAAAAACATTGTTATTACTATATGATAGTCTATAATATAGATATAGACTCTATATCTATAAGAAATTTAAATTTATCATGGGTATTTTTCCATATTTATAAATCATATTATAAAATTGTTTGCATATTTTTTCATGCATACATATTTAGGTTTAATCTTTAAAATTAAACTAAGTTTACACATTTATTTTTAAAAGCAAACTTAATTAAAATAAATTGATAAATTTTATTTTATTTTTTTTATTCTAAACTAGAGTATTATGTGTATAGTTTTTAAAATAGTGATAATTAGTGCACTAATTTAGTCATTTTGAAGGTTAGTTTTTGATGATTTTGGTAAATGATATGATTGTCAATAAAATAGTCCAAAAAACATTGAAAATCAACTGATATTACATAAATCGAAATATTTGATAAATACCTGATAAAAGTTCTTTGAGTCAATGATTGATACTTAAAAAGAGTCACCAAATAAATATAATTTTTACCAATTTTGTAGATACACATCAATAAAATTGATACAACAAATAATTGACATAAAAAACTATTAGAAATACTTTCAATTTCAATATTTATTGATTATTTTGAAGATATGAATTGAATAAATCAATTTTTAAGCCGTCAATGACTCATAACATGGATTGTCACCAGTTTATGACAATCATGTTTTAGGTTTATTTAAATGATAGCACTTATCAAATGGAAATCAATTTAATTATTTCTAATCGTGTTTTTTGTTGATAAAAATGGACTTTTATAATAATATTTATAGAATTTTAAAAAAATATTTTTAGCTAATAATAAGTATATAAATTTAAATATAAAATTTAATTATATTTCAATTAATTCCAATCAATATAAAAATTATCAATACTTGTCTATCTCTATAATTCTACATGTATTATATTTTTAGTTTTGTTTAGAAATTTGTTAAATATAATTTTGAAACTCAATAAATACATATGTTATACACATAGTTATTAGTAATAAATAAAATTAATTACTAATCTAAAATCATAAAAATATATTGAATAATTCAATATAATTTTGTTAGTTTATAAAATTAGAAAATATTTATTAAATAGATAATAAAATCAAAGCAAAATATATACAGTATAATACAAAAGTTTTTTTTATTTATATTAATATTTTATATCTATTTTTTTATAAAAACATGTTTATGAAATTATAGTCATCAAGATAAACGATAAACTACTTTTGTACCGGTAATATAGTAGACAGTGTAAATACAATTTACAATATAGTCTATAATATAGACTCTATATTAATGTAATTTGAAATTACTAATTTCTAATAACCAAGGATAAAAATGACAATTATTGTAAAAAATGATAATTTAATTAACGTATTAATGTTATAAACTATCAATACTATTGTCAAAATATATATATAGACTATAGTACCGTAGTATAGAATCTGTAGTTAAATTTTGTGGAATATTTTTGTGGATTTATAATCGGTTTAAAACCGGAGTTCATATCATATATACATTTGAGGGACTGTTGGATAAAATAAAGAGCACATAAACAGTACATTACATTACAAATATTAGATGATATGTTACACTTGTATTGTCAATGCATTTTAATACCAGTTTTTCAACTATCAAATGGTTGTTTCAACCTTGAAATGGTACGATAGGATGAACATGTAGTCTATGCACATGCACTGTATGATCCGTTTTTTTACTATACTGTATGTATTGTATGTGTACTGTCAATGATAACTCGGTTAAGTATATACTCCTCTATAGTACAGACTATTATAGAATCGACAATTGATTTAGCAATTGATTGCAATTAAAATTATAAGTAAGTAATTGTTATAAATTTTCCATAGCTTTGAAAATCATATAAATATACGACAATTGTCTCTATTTATGTCCAAACAAACTATCATTAATTGCTAAGCAATTGATTAAAATTTATTCATCATTTATTGCTTCATATTTTAGGGTAAGAATTATTTGCGAAATATTCACCACTTATTGCATAATAAATGCCATAATTCATGAAATATTTGACATTTAATGTCTAATTGATTGTCATTTCACGCGTTTTTTAAAAATATTAAAATTGAAATTAAAACTAATTTTATATAAATTGTTGTTATAATTGATTGAAAGACATAATTGGGTATATATTTAATAATATATAGATCTGATCTCCCAATCCGTGACAAACAATGGCACACTTTAACTATTTACCGAAGGATGTTGAGGACGAACTGAGAACTAATGCTAATGCCATAGTGTCCTCAGGAAAGGGTATTTTGGCTGCCGATGAAAGTACCGGTAAGTGTGAAGGAAATTAAATTCATAATTTTGTTGTTGAAATTGAATGACATAAACGATGATAATATGAATGACAGGAACAATGGGTAAACGGTTGGAATCAATCGGCGCCACAAATGATGAAGAATTGCGCCGACAATACCGACAAATGTTGTTTACGAGCGACGAAGTGGCCAACAATTACATCAGTGGTGTTATCCTATTCCACGAAACTCTTTACCAAAAGGACGACGCGGGCACTCCTTTCGTCGAGATTCTTAAGAAACGGGGTATTATTCCCGGTATCAAAGTTGACACCGGAGTCGTACCACTCCAGGGAACCAACGACGAGTGTACCACTCAAGGTCTGGATGACCTTCAGAAGCGTTGCGAACAGTATTATAAAGATGGCTGTCGTTTCGCTAAATGGCGGTGTGTTTTGAAGATTAAACAGAATGAACCGTCACCGCTGGCCATCCTCGAGAACGCCAATGTATTGGCCAGATATGCTGTTTGCTGTCAACAGGTATATTGTGATGAATTTAATTATTAATGACTTTTGATAACTAAATGATTAAATTATATATTAGGCAAAACTTGTGCCAATTGTTGAACCGGAAGTTCTTCCCGACGGTGATCACGACCTCGAGAGGTGTCAAAAAGTGTCGGAAAAGGTTTTGGCGGCCGTTTACAAAGCGTTGAGCGATCATAACGTGTTTCTTGAGGGTACTCTTCTTAAGCCTAATATGGTGACCGCTGGACAGTCATGCACTAAGAAATATACACCACAAGACATCGCAAAAGCCACCGTTACGGCTCTTCAGCGCACAGTTCCCGCAGCTGTTCCCGGTATTTATTAATTGATTTGTCAAATCAAATGATACCAATGTATTTCATTTATCTAATATTACAGGAATTGTATTCCTGTCCGGTGGACAATCCGAAGAGGAGGCGTCAGTCAATTTGAATGCAATCAATCAATTTGAGGGTAAGAAGCCATGGGCTCTTACCTTTAGCTACGGACGCGCACTACAGGCCAGTGCTCTGAAAGCATGGGGCGGTAAGAAAGAAAATTTAAAGGCTGGAGAACAGGAGTTCCTTAAGAGAGCTAAAGTAAGTATTCAATATTATTGACCAAATTAAACAATTGGTTGTATTGTTTGCACAAATTATGCGATAATTAACCACAAAATTGATTATCAGGCGAATGGATTGGCTGTTAAGGGAAAGTATGTTGCTGGATCCATTTCCAGCCTCCAGGCGCAAGGCTCTAATTTTGTGGCCCAACATAAATATTAGATATATATTCCATATATCCCATCCATTTTTAACTACATTTTTTAGGTACAATTAGTGTTTTCAATACTACTTGTGTCCAAAAATCAATTGGATTTTATCATCTTTTGATATTATAGTTAAATTAACACATTGTCTTGCGTTATGATTAATTCAAAAAAATACTATTTTTATGTTATGTTTCTAATTGCGTCAAATCTTTATAAATGTTATGTATTTTTAAAAAATATATTAATGTATTTCATATGTATTATAGGCAAACAGTGAGGCATCGTTGGGTAAATACGGTGGCGGTATAGTTGGTGCGGCCGGTGGTAGTGATCTGTTTGTGGCCAATCACGCCTATTAGTCGTCTCTTATTATTATTATATCTATTGGTTTTTATTCTCAAAATTTAGATCTAATTTTAAAACAATATATCTATGTCTATATATATATATATATATATATCAAATATCAATATTTGAATCTAGCATTTATTTTAGTGGTGATGTTTTATGATTAATCAAAAAATAGTGTTATAAATATTTTAAAATTTATTTACTCATTAGAAATATTTTAATGTTATTTAAATGGATGTTAAAATATAACGAATATATATATAATATATGCAATAAATGACAATATTATAAATGATTATTATTTCAATTAAATTAATATTTAATTATTGACTGCATTGACATCAATAAAATTATTGTCAATAATTATATTCATAATGATAAGACAAATATTAATGTTAACAAATAATTAAATTAATTGTAATTAATGAAAATTAAACATTGATTACTAATATTTATATATACAGTACAATGGTTTCTTTAAATTTACTGTTATTTTGGCACAAATTTGTTCAAAATATATTGATTCTTAGTTTATAACTGCTAACAAACAAAGTGTTTAGCTATATATAAATTGACCACATTTTCTGGATAAACATCTAAATGTCGATACTTACGGTAATTTTTAAATTAATAAAAATAATGTATTTAAATCAATGAGGGCACAAATTTCCACGGAATTTATAATAATTATATTTAAGTATTATTATACAGTATTTTATATCACATTGAATAATGTAATTTGTAGTAAACTTATTATCTAAACTACTAAATATACTGTAGACTATATCTACAATGTACTGTATATATACTGTATACTTGTACTTATAAACTTGTGAAAATTATTTTTAAAAAGTTTATTTTATAGCACTAATAATAATCGTTGATAAATTTAGTTTAAGATTATTTTTTTTTTTAAATTACTACATAATATTTTGCCTAAATTTTTTTTTATATTTTAAGATAATTTTTTATATATATAAAAATTTATATAAAAATCTAATATTTTGATTTGAAGCTGAATGGCAAGTAATTTATTGATAACTAAACTTATTATTTGTCTCATTGAATGAAATAAAAAGAAAACTACGCGATTCGTAACATTGTACTAAAAAATTTTATTATTGTAAAAATTATATTATATATTAGATTTCTACTCTTTAGACATTTCAGTAAATATTTTTCTTTTATTTGATGTTTGAAATGATTATATTATGTTTTTTAAAAAAAATGTCTCACAGAAAATTGGTCACAATATACAGCATACAAATTGCTAGAAAGCAGTGTTTCATTATACTGGTATATAATATACGGTAAATATACACATTTATATCAATATATAAATTACATACATATTATATATTTCTTGTATTTCATTGAAAATAACAATTTCCTAATTGCTTTAGCGCTTAGTCTAAAAGGTATAAAATAAGTATCGATCTTATTATACAAATGTATACATTTGAATGATTAATAAATAACTGAATGCATTTTGAATATATGTCATAAATGTATGTTTTTTTGAAAAATAAATATATGAATAAATAATGATATTTGCAGTTGAAGTAATCATAATATTACAACATAATATATATATATAGTGTATATAAATTTTATATAATAATATCATTGTTTGGCATCTTTATAGTCCATATCTGAGTAAAGATAAGTTTGTTTTGTTGAGAGGTTTGCATATTCCTCTTGACTTATATGATCATAAAAATTGTTGACTTTTTCGCCGTCAAACATCATACTGTAATCTAAATTCAAGTAATAAAGTAATAATTATTTAGTTATTAAATATTTAAACAAATTATAGCAATAATAATCAACACATATCCTATTAAAAAAATAATTAATAATATCAGACAATTTTGTTGTATAACATTAATAATCATAGAAACCGTTTAGTTAATACTTAATAAAGTATATTAATAAATTACAGATTATATAAATTACTTATTAATAATAACTATAAAATATTGGTATATTATAGGACCAACATACAGTAGTCTATAATAAGCATTATTATACAGTACTTTATTATATCTATACAAAAACATATATGTAATGATTAATATTAAAAATAATAGCAATAATAATTGCGATGTGAAAATAATAAGTTCTAAAAAGATTTGTAAGAAAATTTCTAAAAAAATGTCTCATAAATCTCTTCAATAGTATTTTAATTTTCATTACTAATTGAAAAATATAGACTTTGATGATATTATTGAATTGAAATCCAAATTTGGTTAATTAATGTAATGTATTTCTAGAAAACACTAAAAATATCATACATATAAACATACACTATAAATTATAACTTTATTTAGTGCATAATTATAAAGTGTTTTCTAGAAATACATTACATTTAATCCAAATAATTATTTATTAAATTTAAAATAAACTACATATTGATTGTTGTGTTGTTAAAAAATGGTTGAAAAACTAATTGATTTGTCATTTTTAATATAATAAAATGACATGTATTGAATGAAAATGTATTTATCTATGGTTACATAATTGATTTATTAAATTTATTTTTTAAAATCAAAAAATAATCATGGAGCAACATTATATGTTGCATATGAACAAAAATTTATTTTGGAAATATTATAGAAATTTCCAAATTTTGATAACTCTCTTATTTTTGTCATCTATAAATAATATGCTATAAAAGATAAGTCATGATGTATTATATAGTAAAACGATTCTTCCATAGGCTATGAAAAAACAGTTAATATATTTTATAACTATCTAATTAAGTTACTATTGCTATTAAATTAACTATTAAAAACATTAACGAATGCTATTAATATAAAACAAATAATATTATTGAGTATATATTGAATTTAAGTGTTAGATAAATAAAATAAAACAAATTATAAATAAATAAATTTATTACTATATTACTGATTCATATATATATATATATAAATCTACTAAAAATTAAATTATTAAACTGCATTAGTCTAAAATATTTAGTAATATTATTTATAAAAATTGTTTTATTTGTTGTATAGATTTTTACAACTTAACTTATTTGACATATAAAATACTATTGATAAATCAAAATGTTCAATTGTAACATTAAAATTATTAATATAAATTAATAATGTAGTTAATATTTAAAAAGTATTTATTAAATTTTGACTTTTATTACTGATATGACTTATATTAATATAAACATATCTATAATAATAATAATATTTTCTCTGTCAAGACTTACACAAAACAAAAATTATTTCGAAAATGTCATTTGGAAGTCATATAAATGTAATTTTATGTGAATATAAATATCACAAATATTGTAAATTAAATATATATATATATATATATATATACAGTATATATACGTTTCAAGTGATGATAATAAATAATATAATTAATACTTGTTTCTTATAAATACAAATATTTCATTTAAAAAACAAGAATTTTGATTATGAATTATGATATCGAGAATAATAATATAAATGATGTCATAGTATGAGATGTATATATTAAAAAAATTCATAATTTATATATATTTATTTTATTTGTAGTTATTTGATGTAAATTCTTTATATGTATTAATATAAAGATAAAAATATAATAAAATGTTTATATGATATGAATAAATATGCTAATTTAATGATATAAAATTCAATATAAATTTATAACTAATAATGTATTTCATATTGAATATAAAGAATATATTATACGACAATCCTTACCGACAATATGTGGCGAACGGTTCCTATTACTCATAGGACTGGGAGATCGGGGTTTACGTCTTAGCACAGGTGATGTCGAGTGTAGACTAGATGTCTGCGAAACGTTATCGACATTATCGCCATTGGTATCATTAATTGGAGAATTAATCGATGGTATACTTGGTGTATGTGAACTACGGGCTGACCCAAGTGGCATAACATTTGAAAACCAAGCACCTGACTTTTTCCATAACTGTTTTCAATTGTACAGTAAATTATATAATATATAATTAAAAATTTTTATCTAAATATATACTTCTCGTGTCTCTGAGCACAGTTTGCACAGCCAAAGTGGTTCATTGTCTGCCGTCAATGTGTCGACACCACACTTATTACAGACCGACTGAAATTAAAAATATAATTTATTTGCACTAATTTAGACAAATATAATCTTTTAGATAATCCTATATTTAAAACTTATTTTTGGTTTAATGGCTAAAATATCGTAATGTTTTATTTAACAAGTTTTATTTGAAACCTATTTTTCCTAAAAAGGTTTTGAACATTAAAAAACAAATAATATTTGGTATTAACTTTAATTAAACAATTTATTCAACAACTTATATGTTTAAAACACAAAGGATTAGCTAATAAATATATAAATACAATAAAATACTATAATCTCTAAATAAATACTACACAAAAATATCTAACATTATATTCTATAAAAACTATCTTAAATTTTAAAAATATTGTTTAACTTTTGTTGAATATAGTTAATGAAATATTTAAAATATAATTTAGTTATTTGATATCATAAATAAATAATAGTCAAGTAATAGATATTAAAACAGGGCCTACTTTGAGACAATCTTTACATTGACGTCCCTGAGCACCAAAAAGACCAAATTGATCGCTACATAAAACACAGGTATGTTTGCCATCTCCTCTGGCATTTCTTTTCATATTATTTAATCGATCCAACATTCGGCTGTAAATTCATATATAAATTATACATTTTATTTGATAATTTAATTAGCATATCTATATTTCATATTAAATTATAAATTATAGCTATATTATCTGATTGTACCATTTCAACATTATAACAGATAACTATAAATTAAGTAAAACAATCACATCAACAAAAAAGTTATTATTAAATTAAATTACTTTAATGCATTTTCATTGTGCTATTTTTTGTTGAATGTAATTAACTAATATATATTAGTGAAAGTAATAATTTTTTAGGTTTAACATTAATTAGTAATTCATTACAACTCTATAGTCATAAAACTAAATGCTTTTATTGTTATAATAGTAAAGAAATGTGTGTGAAGTGAGAATATTCTCCAGAGATTTGGTGAATAAATTTGTTTTTATTTCAATTTTTATATTACATCCCTTTATTACATACTATTTATTTTAATTTTTGTCAAATCTACTATAAATTTAGTTAATACTACTATTCTTGTTTGAGAATATCAGAATTTACCATAATTGCTTTATAACCCAATTTTAATTAAAAATATATAATTTGTAATAAAGTTTTATGCGAATATACTATATATATATAGTATATATATGTTGGCAGCACTTTAACAAACACTATCATTAATGATTATGATATAGTTTGAGTTTATGAAACATTGATTGAATACTAAAATTAAGCTAATATTTTAGTATTGTAATAAAGCTAGTATTGTAATAGAATTACATTATATAACTCATAAACATTATATTGTATTATATATTTGTATCAAATTTCAAAATAATATCTAATTAACAAATAATTTTATTGTAAATAATTAGTATTTGTTAGAATAATTTACAGAATTGCATATATGATATATGTTAACGAAAAATAACTTGTATGACACAGTATATAATAAAATTAAATATTGACAAAAAACTTTAGTTTTAAAAGTATAACAATTTTAATTAATAAAACAAAAGCAAACTCACGAAATCCTGTCTTTTTCCTGTCTTTCCATTTGTTTAGCCTTTTCAATGACTCTAATAATGACTTTTTGTTCGGAATCATTAATTGTATCATTTTTTGGGCTAATATTTTGAATTTGATTTCCTTTTACTGACCATCCCGTCTCTAATCTGTTGATAAAATATATATATATATATATATATTTATTATTTTAATAAATGTTAATACAATATATATAAATATGTATATAATTGTTGCTTTAATACCACTTTTAATGGCAAACAGCACTCAAAATCAATTTAATTTATGTTGAAGTGTGTGTATGTGTTTGTGATTGCATAGCAATTATCACTACAAATATTATACTCTATACTATGTAAATGTAATATAATAATAATATTATTATATTCAATATATATATATATAATAATAATAATAATAATAACCTGGCTCTCAGTGTTAATTCACGATCATTGGGACAAATCCATGAATTTTTTGAGTCCATATTCATTTAGGTATAAACTTTTAAAAAATAATTTATATACTTTAAATTAAATTTGATTAAAATTTTTGACACATTTTTTCAATTAACCAAAAATAGTAAACCAATAATTTTAAATTGAATTTTTGCGCCCGAAATGTGTTTTCACAGCAATAGTTAACCATTAAAATTAAATAATAACAGTCTATATGACACACATCGAAAAATATGGCTTAAAATATAAACAAATTTTGTGATTAATTGATTGTAATAAATGTATTGAAAAAGATAGCGTATATTATGAGCTAAAAGTAATATATATTTAAAGCTCGGTTTTGAAACAACTGACAAAAGTGTTTGTAGTTAATAAATAAGCGGATGAATGACTGTATATAACTGTATTCACACACATATCTATGTATGACTGACTGACTGTCTAACAGTGTGTTTATATGACTGTGTTTTTCAATGAATGACTGAGTGCTCACTTCACTCACCAATTGGTTACTCGTATAGCACTTGCGTTACACATACACACACTCCCTGTGCTTAACATCCAGATTCTCGATCTAATGTACTCTTATCTCTCATATGTATTTTGCATCAAAATAGCGGTATCTTTAAACATGTATTTATCATTATCTAACTGTATCTATGTTTTATAGTTAAATTTTTTATCTATAGATTATTAAAAAAAACAATGTATTTTTGTTAATTAATTACAATTGTTAATATTATTAATAAAATTATGCACATATTTAATTTTTATTTTCATTAAATTTATTAATATTAATAAAGTAATAATTTGTACAATAGTGTCTTAATTATTGGTGCCTTAATTTATAGTTTTTTATATAATTATGAATAATATATCAAAAATAAAAGCCAGATGTTGTTGTATAACAATTGATGACCAAATTAATCAATTTGAAGCTCAAAATAATCACTGCAGAGATTGTCTTAAAGTAAATTTTATTTATCATAAATAAATTATTTATAGAAAAATCTAAAAGTTTTTATTATCTATAAAATAAATTTTAATTATATTATTATACAATATATAAATTACTAAAAAATTAGATATTTTTAAAGTTAGTTTGTGCCAAATGTGGGATCAAATTAAACGCAGACAATGACCATCAATGGATGTGCAAAATATGCTTTGAAACTAGAGATGTAAGTACTGATACTGTATTTAAAAATTATACATAATTTTTATTGTTTTATATGAATATTAATTATATTATATTTATATAAAAATATAAAGCTATGGAAAAAGTCGGGATTTTGGCTCTCAAATGCTTATCAAATGAATGCTACGATTCCTGCAGTTTCATCCCACGACTCGTTAAGAGACTTATCATCGACTGATAAAGAGTATACATCAGGTAATTACAAAATGTTATGCAAATTAAGTTTTTATATAAATCTAGTGATTAAAATGGCATAAATTAATATATCTATTAAAATCCTGTTTCAATATATTGAATATATATATTAATACAATCACTGTGTCTATGTAACTACAAATGTACTGTATATTCAAACTATTTTTTCTATTAAATAGTTTAAGCAAATAGTTTGTAAATATAAATGTTATGTAATGGATGTGTTTATATAATATTTTTAACGATACATTGGCATCAGATTAGTGGCAAAAATCTTCAAAATATTTTTAAGACAGGAATGTAATGAATGGCAAATTAGACACTATATTTAAATATACTGTATATTAGTTATAGGTTTAAAATGTATATATTAAATGCAAAATAGTTTTGTGAGACACGAATTTGTTTTTGGATGAATCATTCATATGAACCTATATGGGAGGTCCCGGTGCCGCACACGCTATACAAACTGAGAGATTCTTGGACTCATCAGCACTGCTTACGAGGGTCTGTGGTGTCTGAGTAATACCAAAACCTATGTGTATGTAGCTATCGATACATTAGTGTCTTAGTTTTGCAAAACATATACAGTATATATAATATATAAGATTGCTTTTCCTGTTGTGCCCGTTCAACAAAATGTTGTCACATTTTGAGGTTACAGCTGGACTGCTCTGACTAAAGTAACACCAAAAACATATATCTTATAAGTCACACACTATTGACAATTATATATAGTGGTGTTGGGATTGTATTACTTTTGTGGGTTGACTATACCATCGATGGCATCGTTAGTCATAAGGGAAAAGGGAATAGAAGAGACATGATATGACAGTAACATTAGAGGCCAGTCCTAAAACATTAAGTCGTTATCTGTCTATTTTGTGACAAAATCTAATTTTATAAATATCTTATTCTATATCTAACCACAAAACAATTTTTCAGATCTGTTATGTCGAGAAAATTAAATATTAATTGTAATTCAAATAAATTTGTTTTTTTGTATTGTTTGTTACAAATATCTATCATTTATTTAATCAGTGCATCACTTGAGAAATGATACAACAATTGGTATCAATCCTTCGTCTTTAACATTATGGCAAAAGTTGTCGGACGCAGCCATGAGATTAGGAGATGAAAGTCAATACATTTGTAATAATAATAATACCCAATCCTCATCACAATCAGTATCATCAACACTTAGACCACTAATTTCTGTGATAAGAAACGATAGTCAAAGTCCTAAACATGACGAAACTGAACGTCAAATTCATCCAAAATTGTGGTCAACGACAGCAACACTTGAAATGAAATGTCTTTGGGATGAGTTCAACGAATTGGGAACCGAAATGATTGTTACAAAAGCGGGACGGTATGTATGTATATATGTATATATGTATGTATATATGTATGTATATATGTATGTATATATGTATGTATATATGTATGTATATATGTATGTACTGTATATATGTATGTATATATGTATGTACTGTATATATGTATGTATATATGTATGTACTGTATATATGTATGTATATATGTATGTACTGTATATATGTATGTATATATGTATGTACTGTATATATGTATGTATGTATATATGTATGTACTGTATATATGTATGTACTGTATGTATGTATATGTGTGTATGTGTGACATACAGTACTTAGAATTAACTTTTTTTAAAATCATTATTTTTGTCAAATAAATTTAAGAGAAAGTTTTATCTAGAATTTACGATTATCTATATAAATATTTTGCATTTTTATATGTTTTTCCATAATTTACTACTATTGGTGTGTAAATCTTAAGTCTCCAAACCATGTGTGCTATGAATCTAATGGTTCACTTAATGGCAACTCATTTGTCACTGACCCCTATAAACCCCATTCCCCTCAAACCGGGCCTATGAGGTGACAAGTGTGTCGTTAAATACTATATATTCTCTCTTTAAAATTGAAACTTAAAATACACTGTCATTAGCTATTGGAAACATCACTATTGAAAGTAATTTGCTTTTTTCACAACTTTGGTATTGACTTTATTTTGATAACTCATTTATTTTGGTCACTAGTGATTACCACACCTCAGTTCCCATAATATGACAGATACTGTATTATTATTATTATTATTATATCCATGTGTTTCCTCTAAACAAGATTCAAATATAATTATAATAACATTATAGTATACATAGTTGATGTGCACTCAATGCAAACAAATATTAATAATAATATAGATAAAATATAAGCTTTAAAATTTAATACAATTTTATTTTACTTTTTACTACATTGTCTATTATTACACAGTTAATTTATTTTTTCATTATTTAATAAAAAATTAATGAAAATAAATAGTAAATTACATGCTATACTAATCTCAAGTTTCAAAATGATATATGATATTAATTTAAATTATATCAAATGTGAAAATTGGTTTAGTTTTTTGTTGATATTTGCTAGAAATCAAATGTAAAAAAACTTATATTAGTTTATGTCTACCAAACTTTTTCGCCACATTTGGCCTTCGCTTCAAACAAATATTTATTTAGTTTTTAATTAAAATTACACGTTTGAGGCTTAGAGAGAGAGAGAGAGAGAGAGAGAGAGAGAGAGAGAGAGAGAGAGAGAGAGAGAGAGAGAGAGAGAGAGAGAGAGAGAGAGAAATGGACAGCATATGTATGTACAGTAATAAATGATTATTGATTTAAACATAAAATTACATAAATGAGTACTTATTTCAAAGCGTTAAAGATTTATAATCACATAATGAATGAAGAGATGAATTACTAAATAATTTCAAAAAACAAACTCTTAAGAAGTGAGACAGAGATTCGTTGCAATGATTTCTTCGCTGAAAATATGTTATCTGTTTTACATCAATGTCTTTGTGAGGAAATAATATAAAGTAAATGATTTCATTAATGTATACAATTTGATTGATTGCAAGAGTGGGAGTTCATTGTATATAAAATTATTTTCAAAATAGATGGTCTGATTTTTGGGAAATAACTTATATTGAATGGAAATGTATGAAAATATTTTATTTGAAAATTGTAACTATCTTTTATACTATTATATAATTGAACCAGTATGTTAGCCCAGGGATAATACTATATGAGTTATTTCAATTTTGTTATTTTACAAATTATATTAATATTATAAATAATACGATTTTTATAATATTATTTAGATTTTGCATAAAATAACTGATTATTAAAATTTTGTTATTTTATTTTTTGTATCTATTTATTTTTATTATATAATCAACTTAAAGTTTCAAATAAAACAATTCATTAAAATTCTAATTTTATAACTAATTTAGATTTTAAAATATTTACAATAATATTTTTTCTCATTAAATTCATTAAAGTCATTAAAATCACCTAAATATTAAGTATTATTTAATGAATAATTAGAACTATAAAAATATTTTAATCGATAAGTAATCAATAAAAAGTAATTAACGATTTTTATTTGAAATATATTAATATTTAGTTTAATTTATTTTTTAAAAAAACAGTTTTTCCTATTTAGAAATGATTTTATTGAATATATTTAAAGTATTTGCGTTTAAACCATAATTAAACAAAAAAGATTAATCGGATAAACAATTGTTAATCTTATTCTATGTCCATATATCCCAATAGATTCAATCAACTGTACATTTAGTTTAAGTTATTAGATACCAGACCTCAGCCCATAATACAAATAATAAATAATTTATTTTTTTTCTTTACTCTACTACTTATACAACACTTACTAAATCAAACAATTGTTGTATATTGTATTGTTATATTGTTGTTAAAATCATTTTGATATTTTCAAGTTTTATTTGTACGATTATATAATTTTTTAAATAAATAAACTGCTAATCAAATAAAGCATTTATTGTATGGTATACTACAATATTATAATACTGTATAATACAATATTTTAAAATATACTTTTAAAAATTTTAATATAATTTTGATTCCGTTAACTTAAATTAATTTTTATTTAATTTTTATATTCAATATAATATTTAAACAAGATTATCTATTTTTTTATCAATATATAAATATATTTAATAAATGACTTTTACTAAGAGGTTTAAAATATAAAAATAGTTTAAAATATTAATATCAATATGTGTGTGTGTGCACGCGTATGTATGTGTGTGTATGTGTGTGTGTGTGCGTATGTGTGTGTATGTGTGTGTATGCGTATGTATGTGTGTGTGTGTGTGTGTGTGTGTGTGTGTGTGTACTGAAATAAACAATCAGTTTATTGATTGATAGTTGAAAATAATAACAAAACTGATTTATAAAATCAGTGCAGAAAATGTTATTTAAGCAAACATTTGTTGCTTTAAAATAGTGATACAAACATTGCATTATATTTGACAAAATTTTATAAATAATTAAATGATTAATTAATATTGAGCTCAAATTGATTAATGGTTATATATTTAATATTTTCAAATATACAATACTTTTTTAGAAATTTTATAAATATATTAATCATAAATAATAATTTAATATTTTTCAAGTATGAGTTTTAAATGAATTATAGGTTAAACAAGAAACAATATATAGAAACTATTAATATATATATTTAATAGACTTAAAATTTTAATATTTTAAATTATGGATAAATTTATACTGAATTAAGTGACATTATTAAAACGTTGTATGATTATTATATATAATTTATTTATTTTTATAATTTATTATTAATATAACTTGATTTTAAAAAATGCATAAATTAATAATAAACTAAATAAAAAGTCGGAAACTTAAAACACACGTTTTCTGACTGGGAATTCAAATCAACAAATTTAGTAGCAGTTTATATAAATTTTATGTAAACCATATAATATTGTATATAAAATATTTTAAAGAATTCAACATCAAATTTATTAATGTCTTAACATTAATTTATTATAATTTATATTAATTAAATTGTTAAAATGTTAAATTCATTTAAATTAGTATTGTAATAATAATAATACTCTATAGTCTATTATTATCATTAATATTTAATTGTAGTGATGACCAGATTGAGTACTACTGGAGTTACTTATTTAATTATTAACATTTATAACAAAATGTTTACATTTATTGTATAACTTATACAGTATAAGAAACAAAATATTATTGCATAAAATGGTAACTTTGAAGTCCATAAAAACAACCGTTTCTCGACTGGATTACCAAAATTTTTATGAACTATTTTATTAACTTTATAATCTACTCTAATGTTTGAGTCCAATGGTAGATATATATAGTATTTTTATAAATTATTTATAATTTTCAAACATATGAAATATTCTGAATTTACTATTTATGATAAGTTACTATAAGTTAATATTATTATTAATTAGTACTACAAATTACTGTATTATTTATTTCTAAATACTTTTAATTTCAAAATAAAATTTTATATTTAATTTAATAAATAACTTTTACAATTAGGAGAGCATTTCCAACATTTCAAATAAAACTCCGGGGAATGGATCCGATATCAGACTACATATTAATGATGGACTTTATGCCAGTCGATGACAAACGATATCGATATGCATTTCATAGGTTTCTAATGATTATGATTTGTTTTGCTTAACTTAATATTTAAATTTAATATAATCAATATATATATATTAAAACAACACAAATAATTAGTTCGAGTTGGGTCGTGGCTGGAAAGGGAGATCCGAGTACTCCGCCCAGAATCCATGTGCATCCGGACTCACCCGCTAAGGGCGCTCATTGGATGAAACAAATTATATCATTTGATAAAGTTAAATTGACAAACAATCAATTAGATGATAATGGACATGTATGTATTTATGCTTATCATTTAAATGTGAATTTCATATAAATAAAAAAAACTAAAAATCTATTATCAAAATATCAGATAATCTTAAACTCAATGCATAGATATCAGCCGAGATTTCATGTGTTATATGTGGTACCAAAAGATGAGGACATGAATCAAACGGAAAATTTCAAGACATTTACGTTTTCTGAAACCAAGTTTACAGCGGTTACCGCATATCAGAACCATAGGGTAAGTCATAACTTATAACTTTTTTTTATAGTTTTATCAAATTATATTAATTGTTCATTTGTTTTGTAGAAAATTATTTAAAAATTAAATCATTTATATTTATCATTTAGAAACTTTTAGTGTACATGACTTATGTGTTATGATATACAGTGTATACAATAATGTAGAAAATCTTATAATATATTATAGAAAATATCTGAGTTTCTAATATTTTGAAATATAATGATATTTGAGACGACAAACATGTATTGCAGTTCATTAATAGTTGTCTGGAATTATATATAATAAGACAATTGACTAACTCTTTGCTTACTTAATAACAAACAGATAACTCAACTGAAAATAGCGTCCAACCCTTTCGCTAAAGGTTTCAGGGATTGTGATTTGGATGACTGGTAGGCATTTCAATGAGCTTTTGTTTCATTACTGAGTGTTATATGACATCCGTTACTATTCATAGGAATGGGATGCCGGCACAGACACCGACACATGTAACTAATACACATATATTTGACTCGTGGTCAGCAACAGCAGCGGCACAAACATGTAATCAACAGCAATACCGAACCAATGGATCGGCTTTTTCTCATATTATGCAAAAATGATTACTAATATACAGTATATTTATATTAAATTTATTTATTTAAACACTTTATAATAAATAACAATTTTTAGATATTTTAATTTACCGTAAGCTATGATAGAGATATTGTTTGATAAAATTTTTCTAAAGACCATTTGTATACCATTTTTGTAATTTATAGTATATTTGTTTTTTCATTTTTAATACAAACTTACGATATAATATTAAGTGCCTTAAAGTGAATAATTATTTAAAAATTAAATAACTAAAAAATAATTTAATATGCTACATTAACTTATAGATTATATGTAAATTAGATTTTAAAATATCCGAAAATAAATAATTGATATTTTATGACATTTTATAACATTGTATTTCTAGAACACCAAAAATATAATAAAAACACTATAATTTATAAAACTGTATTTTAATTGTTTCACGTTTTTATTTCCTAAACAACTATTTTATGCATTTCATTAAATATATTACAAAAAGATGTGATAATAAATGTAAAGTAATTGAGTGAAAGAAAGAGAGAAACGAAATGATTATACAATATATTAATACTATACATACCATTAATTATCTAATGGCTGCGATAAAATGATATATCATTTAATATTATAGTGTAGTCAAGACTTTTGAATAAACAAAATGTGTATCTTATTTGAGATTTAATGAGACAAACACTATGAATATAAACTGAATATGAATTAACGGTTAGATAGAGAAATGAAAACACGTAAACATGTTATTCACAATTTTGTAGACAAAACATAGAATTAGCTATAAAAAGAAAAGTTTAGATTATATTAAATTATTCATTTAATTTCATAATAAAACCATTTATTTATATATATATATATATATATATATATATATATATATATAGAGAGAGAGAGAGAGAGAGAGAGGAGGGAGAGCACCGTTAGGCTATCTACTGTATGGGTTATAAAGTTTGCAATGTTTATGAATAAAATAATAAGAAACAATGATTGCTGTGGTGACTAAATTATTGAAAAATCTACCATGATAATATATTATTATGATAATATTGAAACATTTATTTTTAGTTAATGAAATATGAAATGCAATAAATGTAAATGTACTTGGTCATTTTTTGAACAGTTGCCAAAAAACAAAATTTAAAAAACTACTACATTTGATAAAAATATTCAGTGATTACAATACTATTGATTTTTTGACACAATAGTCGTTACTTTTAATTTAGTAAACAATGTGTATATTATTTGTATTAAATGAAACAAATCCTAAACCCGATGAATATAAGCTGATTGTAGTCTCGATTCGCGATGAATACTACTCGAGACCCGCACTACCGCTCAGTCATATCGACGACATAATCGGCGGTAAATAATATAATTAATATATATATGATATTTGAATCATATTTTTATTACATTTTATGTGAAATAGTGGTATAATTTTATATTCAATTAGTATTAGTGTTATTAACATAATTAATATGCTGTATATAATTTATAATACTGTATAAATTTTATACTTCATAATAATTATAATATATATATATAACAGAATATGCATTCATTTGTTAATTCATTCATATATTATAATATTATAATTATTTATTGATATATTAATAAAATATTTGATCAATGGTTAGGCAGAGACTTAGAGAAGGGTAGAGAAGGCGGGACATGGCTTGCGATGAATACTAATGGAAGAATCGCTGCTCTTCTCAATATTCTTGAACCACATTCAGACATCAGTCCTGATAAGAAAAGTCGAGGTTTATAATAAAATTTCATTAATAAAATAAAGTGATTAATAAACTTGTTTTTAATCCGTTAGGATTTCTTGTCATTGATTATCTTCAAAGTAATTATAATCCACGACAACATTTGGATCAAATCAGTGAAAAAGCTTTCGATTATAACGGGTTTCGTATGATTGCTATTCATGTCAAGTCAGACTCCATCGATATGTCTGTATTATCTAAGTTTGACAGAAAGCCAATACAATTGAAATCAGGTTTATATTATACTATAATATTATAGTTGTCGTTTGATCTACAACTTAATCAATGAATTAGGTGTTTATGCTTTTGGTAACAATAGGATTGAAGGAAAACTTTGGCCGAAAGTTGAAAACGGAAGACAAAAGTTTGAACAGATTGTCAATAAATACAAAAAGATAACCGAAAAGAAAGAATTAGTCGAATCTTTATTTGATTTTTTATCGGACACTACTCGGTATCGATTTGATTGTCGTTTATTTCTTAATATTATCTAATTATACATTAATTATATATATATATATTGTATATTAATTTTAAGATATGAATTGGACGAACAAATGTCAAGTCAAGGAAATGATAAACCAATTGAGACATTGAAGTCCATGAATGCCCTCAATGTTATGATTTCAGGTTATGGAAGCCGTACTCGATCTGTGATTTTGGTGGACAATCAGCTTAATGTCGAGTTTATCGAGAAAACAATGAAAGAACCGATTGATATAACAAATGGTTGCGAATGGATAACTAATTCAATTAATTTTAAAATTAAATCATGAATTTTAATGGATTTTAAAAAATTTTTATTATTAAAATTCTAATTTTTTTATTGATGATAAAATTATTTATAAATAAAACTAGATAATGATTAATTATGTAGACTATAATTAAAATTTGATTATATATTTCTATAAAATAATAAACCGTTTTGTGTTTTGTGTCGATGGATATCAAAGGTCGACACACTTTAAATTTGGTGTTTGTGTTGTTGTTGTCGATGTCGTTGTTGTTGTTGTTTGGATCTCACATTTGATTTGATTTAAAGCAGAGTTTTCATTCTATTTTAATATAAGTTATATAATATATAATTCAAATCAAACCGAAAGTTAAGTAATTATTTTATAATAACAAATAAATAAAACAAACTTACGTTCGTTTGTCTTAATTTAATCATTTCTTCCTTTAATTTGTTAAGAATGGCATAATTTGGTCGATTAGCGCACGCAGTGTTCTGCAGTTCAGTTATCTTTTGTTCCTCTTCCTAATCAATACAATCAATACAATTATTAAATAAAAAAAAAATAACTGATATATAATAAAAGTGATACCTTTTTCTCTTTAGGTGTCTTACAAGATCCGCGGCCATAAAGTTTTAGTAGTGAACCCCAAGAGGTTATATGCGGATGAAGAAGTTGAAGGATAGCCTGAGCGGCCCGTTGTTTGCCTTCACGTTTGTTTCTGCACGTGACTACAGCCCTATGTTTTCCCACTTTCATAATAAACTCGTTTTTCTGATGTTTAACCAAACGGACATCCGTTTCAATATCTGTGTCACCCATTCCCCAATTTCTAACAATTGACAATAAATTTATAAAATACCACAATTATTAAGCTAATAATAATATCTATAACGGCATATACAATGTAAATGTTTGTAATTATCTGTGAATCACTGCATCGATCATTCAAACTTACCTTCGAAGACATTCAACAAGTATTTGATACGGAGAATGTTGGCCAGCTTTGGCACAGAGATCACTGACACGAGGATCTTCAATAGCAATGTCGTTGAAAAACTAATGATAATATTAATGTTAATTAATATTACAAAATTCATATAGTATTCGTTATAGACTTACACTAAAATCCTGTAAAGTGGGATCTGGTTTATGATTACCACTATCTGTTATATCCTTAAGATCAGGTATTAAAATCTCAAGACTAGTTCGTGCTTCGGCAAAGAATGAGATGGTATTAATAATTGGAAATAATAAAAGACATAATAATAAATACCGGCTTCAGATTTTGCTTGTTTTTTGCTGCTTCCGTATCCCTTTCCATACTCCATACCATTGATAATAACAGTGGCGCTATAGGGTTGACTTGCGTTCTCTGTCGAAGAATATATTTGCATAAATAAATACAATCCTCAAAAATGTTGACAAATACCTAATTCTTGGAATGTATACTTTGGTTGCACTCGTTCTGCGTGCTGAACAAACTCGTGAAGAATACAGACAAATGACTTTCCCGCCGGATTCATCACAAACTCTGATGAAAATACATATCAATTGTATAAATTTACACAAAACTAACTCAAAAAACAACCAACCTTTGCGATAATTTCTTCCGCCCGAAGATTCGCCATTTACTGATGTTTTCGGCAGCGGACAAGTGATAAGTTTAGTTCCGTCGGGAAGTGATGGTCGCTGTTGAAGCTTTCGTAGTTGAGTGTGTTTCCGACGATCAGCCCATGTTCTGGTGATACCAATTGACGGTTAATATATATTTTAATATTATTTGTTGACATTTAAAGACTTACTTAAACTTGCGAATAGTTATCGTTTGAAATTCAAAGAGTTTTTGACAATAATTTCTGATTGACATATAGTCTAATGACTTCTCCTTTTTATTTTCGCTGACTGTCTCTACTTTAGCTAATAATGTGTTATTAGCTGTTATTAATTATAAGATTTAAAAAATATTGATTAAAAAATGATTCAATTATTAGAATTAATTCAATTTTTAAAATACATTCACTCGAGTCGTCAATCTTCAACTTCTTTTGTTTTTCTACCTCTTCTTCATCTTCTCTGTCTTTTTCAATTTCTCGTTTATATTGAAGACATGGTACGGCAGAAATCGGAATCTCATGTTTCTATATTATTTCAAATTAAAAACTGTAATAACTGATCCAATTAGGGGCACGTAATAAATAAGATAAAATGGCATACTCTAGCAGATCCCGGTCCTAAATAGTATGGTTTGGTTGTCGTACAGACCCGCGTCTGTTTGTGCAGATATATAGGCATTCCGCTGATGACATAATACATGTCAACAATCATATCTCAAAAAATAAATTAAAAAGTATACCTAAAGTGTGTAACTTCTAGCCATCCTTCGGGAAGCACTTCGAAATAGTCCTGATCTCTCTCTAAGAAGTCATAACTTTACAACAGATAAATCAAAGTAATATTAATTAGTCATTACTTTTGAGAACTACTTTCTTCCTTTCTTCGTGCGGTGCATTCAACTTGAGCTTCATTTCATCCACTTTACGCTTGCGGTTACCATTCATTTCGGAAGTCGACGATTTGTATGAGTCGAGACCCTCTTCGAGCAAACAGTCGACCAATTCGTTGCCGATATCTGAGTCCGATTCCGATGTCACGACATCATCGTCATCATCATCGTCCACATAGTCGTCTTCGTCGTCAGTTAGTAGACCACTGTTGTCAATGTTGTTGTCATCGGCAATATTGTCATCGTTTCTATGATTGTTGTCAGTGGTATTGTTATTGTCTTGTGGACACATTGTGGTCATTGTGTTGTTTGTATCGCACGAATCGCCGCCCGACCAAACATTCATGTTGTCGTCGGACGATTCAATCAATTCTGTATTGTTATCGGCGGTCGACATAATCGATGGCCACAACTCTATGTCTTTGGTTTAGCCGCGGATGCGATAAACAGCTAAACCTTATCATAGATTTAGGCAATCAATTGACAAATGAGACAATAAATTGTTTTGTGTCCAATGTTTTCATACATATACTGTATGTAAACAATAACACTATTCAATAATAAGCTAAAATTACTGTATTATACCATTACATGTATTACATGATCTATACTACTATAGGATATAGTTTACTGTACAGTAATATACTTTATAATTATTGTATACTAATTACAGGTATATACTGTACCTATAGTTTTGTAACTACCGGTAAGTATCTTATGTTTGAAGATGTCTATACAAATTTGTTAAATAATTTAAAGCATATTTTTTATTTAATTTTATTATTTATATATAATTTAAAATATTAATATAATTATTATAAATTGACATCTTATATATATATATTTATATACTATATTATATATGTATATTTACTGTACAAATTTATGTATAGACAGTCTAACTAAATAATAATGACATCAATAGTTAACACTGCATTGTGAATGCGTTATCACAGAAAAAAATGTCTAAAAATTACATCAATTGTCAAAATAATTAGATAAATAACTATATTATCAATATTTATCATATTGTAATAATAAGTTATAAAATTTAAAATATAATTTTATGGCTTAAGTGCTGACGAAACATGAATGCCATTAGTTTGCAATTGTTGTAATGTTTGTTTGACTACTTCGACATAAGCCGGAGGAACCATTGGTCCTAAAGACAGATAAAGTTAAGAAATAATAGTAATTAACATAAAAATATAATCAATTAAATTAAGATAATTACCAATAAATTTACTATTTTCTCCTGTCTTTAGTCTAACGATCTGAAGTCTATGCGATTGAAGATAAGGAATGGCTTTTTCGAGTTCAGGCCAAATGGTGAGTACGGCACCACTTAATATACAATATTTATGTTTACGGACCCCCACATTACACATTTGCTTAGTTATCAGGCGTTTACAGCTGCCGTTCCATAGAATATGACTACACCGGGTGTCAGACAAATCATATAACTCTTTCCAGAGAGCTTTCACTTCTTCTGCTGGTTTTTTGACTCCCTTTTCCTTCAAACCCGATATAGTTTCGCACTTTGATTGCAAACCAATGTTTGGTTTATAAACTCTGTAAATCTTTCTAAACTGATTGCGATCACTGAAGTCTGGAAGTGCCAGAAACACGCTTTTCCTTGTGTTTTGATTCTAAAATTAATTTACAAATATTTTTAAACTATTATTATTTTTGATGTGATATAAAATCAATTTACATTTGATGTCATATAAAATCCCATATCTTTGATGTCATCCTTTGAACAACTGTCGAAAGATTTGTTATATAATTCTAATGTTTTATCCCATTCTAGACCCCTATCCATAACCACTTGATGTAATTGTATTTTCATGGCAACACCCGATGTCTTAATAAAATAGCTTATTTCGTCCATTTGCTCAATATTTCCCACATCAGAGCTTAGATCTTAATAATGATTAACAAATATATTATATCATTTATAAACAATAAAAGCTATAAACATACTAATAATTCCCGAATCATAACGACCGGTGCGTTTGGCCTGTCGTATCACAGCATCCATGGTATCACTAAAATATTTAAATAAAGCGTTTTGTATTTCAACCCTAAGGCCCAACAGTCGGTTTAAAAATTTAGTCATATGTGAGTAATCTAAAAATATAACAAAAAGTTAACAAAATATTTACAATTTTTTTTAGATATCGTTGAAAACCTTTGTCGAGAGTAATGGCTCCCGAAGAGGACAATTGTATGATTCCAACGCCAGCCAATCCTTGACGACAATCTTCAAAGAAATCTCCCTTATAATCATTAGGTGGACTCACAATCGGGTCCTCAATTTGAGCAATTGATTTCATAACTATCTCAAGAGCTATACGTCCGTAACGATTATCAATATTATATTGACTTAGATCTCGCGAATCAGTGGCGCGTCGGTCGCCGTGAGTCAAAGCGCCTAAACTTTCAAGACGTTTGGCCACAATAGAGGCAAACCTTTTTTCTCCGGCCAACTCTGATATAAGGAACACATATTCTGGTGGATATTCTTGATTAGATCGATGAGTTCGACCGAATTGTTGAATGGCTCGATCGGCACTCCACGGAAGTTCGACAGTTATGTGAACTCTTTTTAGTTTATTTTTAGCTCTTTTATCCGCATGAAGTGATATACCAGAACTGGCGGCTTCCGAGATAATAGCCACCCGTTTCTCATCGTCCATAAAGCGTTGCTTCTCAACGAGGTTTAACATATCTTGTGGGACATCGTTCTCACATCTGGTCTGGTACTGAACGTTTCCCTCTTCGTTACAAACAATACGACCCTTACGACCGGTCATTTCGGCCACATTATCGGGTCCGCCTAACTCATCGATTAGCTGATCCAATGTATTTGGAGGTAATTTGTCATTAAGTCTTTCAAGCTCTTGAAGAAGACTATCTTTCATTTTGGCGCAATTGTCTCCGGCATCGGCTGACATAGTCTCACAATTTAATGCTTTGATTTGGTCTTCAATTTTTATCATCTTTTTCTTCTGTTTTCGCTCTTTCTTCACTTTTTTCATTTTTGGATCCTTTTTAAGTTTTTTAGGCTTTCGATTGAGAAAAATATCCGAAAAATTTGATTTTCGTTTTCTACGTTCACTATCACTATCAGAGTCATCGCTAAAATCATCAGAAATACTTAAATCATCATCACTTTCATTACTGTCATCACTTCCAACACTTTCAAAATCACTTTCACTGGACTCGTCAGATGAAAAACTTTTATTTTTGTTATTTGTCGTATATTTCGAGTCATTGCTGACAGCAGCCACTATCTCGTCGTTGGCGTTACGCTTCAGAGTGATACCCAAGTCATCAAAAAAACTAGTGTCACGACCTAATAGTCTCAACAATTTCTTGCGATTTGGTGCCGGAAAATGTTTCTCAATCAGTGATTGAAAAACAGCTCTAAATATATAAAATAATTAAAACCATAAAATTATATTTTATTACAAAACATACTTAGCAGTGGACACAAAATCACTGAGTTCTCCACCATTGTCTTCAAGTTGTTCCAAAGTGCGAGCCTCACCTGTAGATTGGAGACCAATAACAACTGATTTACTATCTCTAAGCGCTTCCTTAACAAAATTGACGGCAAATTTGACTTTCGATGCAATGCAAAGATATTTAAAAAATCGTTGATGTGATGCCCAAAACTGTGTCCAAATTGTCTTATTAAGGTTATTATCGCAATCCATAAGCTCTAATGCTTTGTCAAACTTAAGCTTAGCACTGACCCATAAATCAGTACATTTGTTATATAATTTAATAAAATCTTTATCGAGAGGAACCTCTTCAATGCGAAACTGTACGCCTTCGAAGCTGAGCTGTCGGGCCAAATACATGCCACGCATTTTAATATCAATAGCGACTAATTCCATGGCACCGACACCACGTTTTTCAACAGCATTCACGAATTGTGCGAATTCTTCAAAAGGTGTTCCTTTACCCCAAATACCCAAACGTATCATATATCCCATATTTTTTGGTTCAGAAGCACCGGTAGCTGAAGCATAAACAATGCGTGCTTTTGGCAACTTTTTTTGAATTTCCAAAACTGCGAGACCTGTTTTTGTTGGCTTTCCCGAACCTGATGACGGAAATAAGTTCTTAGCCTTATGGCACTCGTCGAACACAATAACACCATCAAAATCTTCGCCACACCACTGAACCAGTTGACCAAAACGACTCTTGTATTTACCAGTAAGTGTTGTCGACTCACTAATAAGTGAACTATAAGTGGCAAATATCACTCCACGTTTCACTTTATCGTTTTCTTCCGAATGAATTCGGTAGCCGTACTTAAACTATTGTATTTTAATACAAATTAATTTAATTAAAATTATATTAATATTAATTAAAATAACTAATATTTACTTTATTCAATAAGTGAACATCTATTTTGGCTCCAATATCGTAAAGATCTCTTTCGGCGTCATATTTAAGATCAGTGCTAACAGACAACCAAACTGCACGTTTGCGTCCTTTTAGATAATTTTCATGAATAATGCCAGCAATAGTACGTCCTTTTCCAACACCGGCTCCGTCGCCGACCAAAAAACCAGCTCTTGAGCCATCACTAAGAAAGACGTCGTGTTGTTGAGAGGCGTAGACTATCGACTCCAACTGTAAGGCAGATAGCTTTCCCGAGTCGATCACCTCTTCAGGAATCTCTAGTCTGTAGTAAACATCGGGAGGCAAAACACTAGACAATGAAGCGGTCTCTACAACGGGATCAGGATGTTTGATACCACACTTCACTAAATAATTATTTAATACATAAATATATTTAGTAATTGAACATTAAATTCAATTATACTGTAAATACTTACATTTTGATGGCATATAATTGTTAAATGTTTCCACAGTAGCGAACTCATCGTCTTCTTCATCCATTTCGAGTTTGTCTTCTTCTTTCATTAAATTATTCGTCATTTGAGTCATTTGCGTCTTATTAAGTAATGAATTGTTTGCAGTGATAGTCATTTTGTTTGGGTATAACAGCGATACCGACGGCTGTATCAGTGATGAAACCGTTGTTGTGGCGATCGTGGGAACAGTTGGCCGATAAACAACTTGTCCCGCTTTAGAAGTGCTAACAGTGCTACCATCGACAACATAGTTCACGTTAAACGTTTGGGTTTTGGGTGTCGTTGGTCTCAACAACGAGTATGTCGTCACTGATATCTTGTTGTTGTTATAAATATTGTTATTGTTGTGGTTGTGGTTAGGCATCAATCCGATGGTTGGTGTCTGCAATCAATTGTCATTTTAATTTTAATCATTTAATAATAGATTATAACATACCTTAACTACGTTAGGGACCAACACTTTTGGTGTTACCACCTCTTCGGGGATCACCTAATGGATCAAATAATATCAAAACATGTGATCAATAAATAGTAAACAAGTCATCAATTGATGCCCACCTGTGCTGTCATATCATTGAAGTCTAGTCCGCACTCATCCAACACAGAGGACAGTAAGTCCTGTCTGTCCATTGTTTTGTTGACACAAATTTAGTTAATAATAATAATAATAATAATAATTAGTTTTAATTAATTAAAAAATGTCTTTTCATTGGTTTTTGTTGCGAAACACATATTGTGTATCAAAACACATGAGTCGTCAATCATATCAAATGACTTGAAATTTATTAAATCGAATGTCATTTCAATTGCTATTCAATTAACACATCAATCGTACAATTATTTTGTCGTATAATGTGTCCAACAATTGGATCAATCGATTCAATCAATCGATGCATTTATTTAATTAAATCAATCATTGAATGCAATATTTGCGACAAAAATTTTGTTTGAATACATAAACCAATCGCACATAACATTCGATGAAATGCTTTATTTTCTCCCTTTTATACAATAATACTGCTATAATATAATCAAACATATCCAACACGTGCGCACTATTATACTACTGACTCAGTAACTACTCTGTTATAACTTATAATTATGTACTTTACTGTACTTTATTTAATAATAAACTATTAAAATATGTTAATATTTTTACCGTTTTTTACTAAAAATTATATAATCATTTTATATTATAGATTGATTACAATTTATCAATTAAATTAAAAATATGTAATTAATATTGTAATACTAAATTTCTAATGTAAATTTTGTAAACTTTTGAAAATAATAATCATTTAAAATTGAAATTTCAAGTTTTTATACAATTAATAATACAGTATTAGTATTATTTTCTAAATTTGTATTTTTTTTAATAATATTTTTTTTGTTTGATAAAAATTTATGAAATAAATATATTATGAGCAAAATTGAAATAAAAGTACAGTATTTTTTTAAAATTTATAAAATTATCCAATTTTAACTTAAATTATAATGAATTATTGTATATATTGTATAATTAACTTATAAAGTTTAATGTAATCTAAGTATAAAAATGTTTGTACAGTAATAAGTGAAATGTACTTTTGATATAATGTAAAGTATATACACTAAACATTTTCAGAACAAACTCGGTACTTTTTTATTTATATTACTTATGTTTTTTGTGCTACATTTGGTAATTATAAAAGATACCATATTGTCATGTGTTGTTTAAAAAAATGCGACATCATTTATGTAATTATATAATTATTTAATAGAGATATAGTTACACAAAAAACATATGTAATATACATAAAAAGGGCCCGAGTTTTCGATAGCTCATAAGCCGTGTACTGTAAATGCAAAATGGGTGGATCAGGTTTTATTTGCAATAAACAATTTTACGATAATTAATTAAAACTTTTAGAAACATCAAAATACTATAAAAACCATTATTATATGAGTTATAACTTATAAAATAATAAAATCAAGAATTAATTTTATTAAACATTTATTAAACAAATTACAAGTCATAACTTATATGATTCATAAATAATCAAATGTGTAAAATGTATGAAATGTATGATGAGATGCACTTTAAACACAAAACATTTACTAATAGTTTCATAGATTAACATYGACTTCACATTTATTAATACAATAATAATAATAATGAATAATCAATGCGTTTATACTGTATATTGATTTTGGTGTTTGAATTGAATTGAATTTCAATTACTTATACATTACATCACTTTTTATCACTTTTGTATAATACATGTGTATTAACTTAATGTGTATGAAATGGTCACAAATTGACTCACAATAACTCTAATTAAAAGTCAATGCATTGAATGATCTATTTATGTAAATGTACTCAAAGTTTGGATATTTTACTTAAACTACTTTTAGAACTAAGAGAACGGTTCGGTTCCGGAAAAGGGTTTCGGTTTTAAGGTTCGGTTACTGAAAACGTTTTGTTCATAAATAATTGATTTCAAGGTTTGATAGTTTGATAATCCTATTTGAGTGCTAACACTATCGAAACACTGCAAACTTATTGTATGTAAAATTAATTTTTAGATACAATATTACAAATAATTATAATAATATTTTAATAATTATATCAAACAATTTCAAACAATTTAAATAAATAACTAATAAATATACAGTAAAAATGACTATTTGTCATAATAAACATTTAATTGATAAATCGTTTTATTGAAATTTCTATAACTTATTATATCATTTTAATTTAATTAATATTAATTTTAAATCATTTAAAATTCATAGACATTGTATGAAATAATTGAATTATTTGATAATTCAGTAAAATCAATAGCATATATTTGATTTACAGTTTATACTTTATTTATAATTATAATTTAATAGGAAATGTGCAAATTATATGTAAAATAAAATATAAAAGTTGTAAATTTAAAATAAATTTAAATATAAATAATAAAATATAATTTATAATAATTACAAGTTTGTTAACCAAATATGATGTCACAAATGATTAATATCTATAGTATACAAAAACTAAAATGACTACAATATAAATAGCAATTGAATTCAGTAGTAATGGCCACAAGTGGTCGACTTCACGTCCAACCGGCCGAAGCACCGGCCAAATGATAGTGTTGTTTGCGAAGAGCCGCCAATTTCTGTCTTTCCTTTTCCAATGCATTCTCTAATTCAAGAACTCTCACCTGACTATCCATTTCTGATAATATAAACAATTTTAGTAAAATAAAAATATTAAAAATCAATAAAATAAGTTATAATACCGAGTCGTTTTGCTTGATGTAATGTTAACTTAGAGAAGTCCAGGTCATCTGTAATATTAAAAACGGCAATATATTGTTAAACATTGAGTCTTAAACAGCAGCGATGCTATTAATTACAATTATCTGGTCAACAATACGTTTGATTTAAAAGCGACCAAGGGCAAAGTTGTAGATAATTTCAAACTAAATAAGATTGTAATTGGACATTTTTTAATTAATTGTATGATTAGCAAGATAATTTACAGACGACTGTTGAAAATAATAGAAAATAAATTCTAAAAATAATAGTCGACTGCAATTATCTAGCTAATCATACAATTTATTAAAAAATGACCAATTACAATTTTATTTAGTTTAAAATTATCTACAACTTTGCCCTTGGTCTCTTTTAAAGGTCACAACGTTTAGGTCACAAGGTTTACAACGTATTGTTGATCAGATATTTGTAATTAATAAGACTATGTGTTAAACATGACTTACCCGCGTCTTCAATCTTTTGCGAACATTTTTTAGTGATCGCCACCACATTTCCTGTGGCTTCCGATACAACTTTGGAAGACTTGGACAGTTTACCCAATTTATCACTTGACGGATCCGCTTTGACCCGAGAGGCCACAACTAATTGAGCGCTGGCGCCGGCAATCTCTTGTGATGCGGCAATCAGTTCCTCAAATTTTCCAGAACCTAATATCACTTTATCAGCCGATTCGCTTTATTTGAAAAAATAATTACCGATAAAATAAATCATTTAACTAAAAATTATTTATTTATTAAGTCATACACAAGTAGTTTTGCGTCTGCGGCCACAACTTTGGCGGCAGATATCAAGCCTTCAGTCCAGCGATGATTTCTTTGGTAAAAGTCTTTCATAGAAGTTGATCCCTAATTGCAATTTTATTTTAATTACCGGTAATTTTTATTATAAAATCAATTATACAATAGAAAGTTACCCCTCCTTGTGAAACAATCTCTTTTTGAAGCTCTTTGGCGTCGTGGATCAGTTGCTTAATTGCGTTCATTAGATAAGTACAGGCGTCGAGTATCTGTCCATTTACTTCCAATTTGATTCCCGTGTCTTTCTTTTTAGCCAATTCTAACATTTGCTATTATTTTATATAATAATAATTATTTGAAATTTATTAATATTATATAAATTGGTAGACAAACCTCAATTCTGAGAACCGCTTCATTGATGGCTTTATCCATTTCGCTCATCTCGTCGATCAACAACTTTTCTAAATTTTTCGTTTTGTCCACCGATTCGGGTATAATATAGACGTTCATCGAAATAATTTTATTCAAACATTGTTTAACATCAATGAATGTATTGGAGTCATAAAACTTTGACTTTATTTTTTTACTCATATTCACTGACAAATCAATCAATTCTTTACAGTTATTCATTAATTCTGAAAATCAAATTAAAGACATTTAAAAAAATATAGTTTTTATAATAAAAATGACGCAAACCTTGTCCCCTATCAATATTAGGTATAGTTAAGTATATAGTTTTGGCGCAATTGAATGAATACGATAATTGCAGAAAATAGTCCAAAATATTGGAAATTAGAGTATCAATGGATGGATTCAATGGTATTAATACTGACGACTCTTCTAATGAATTCAAATGTTTACTCAATTCATTGAGTTGACTGAAGAAATATTCTGTAATTTTATCACAAAAATATAATAAGTAAACACATGGTTATACTGTATTAACTTATCAATAGTATTAACAATACCTGGAGAACAGTTGACACTAACGGAACTGCTCTGAATATCTTGTGTTTTAGTATTTTGTGATAACTTCTGCATTATATTTATTACAATACCTTTAATGATAAATCAAATCAATACAAGATTAATATCACATTAAATTTATGTCTCAATAAAAAAAAACAAACCCAATAGTTCCCATTCGCGATCTTTTAGTTTACGTTTACATACATCCAAATCATTTCTGATTTGAATCAATTGGTTTTCATTTTCAACAATTTTTTTCTTAAGATCACTGCTCTCAGCACTCATTGAACTGATTTGTGCCTCTTTTCTGGTTAAATCTCGTAATTGTGACTCTAATGTCTTTTATACAAAAATTTTAGATATGATTTAAAATTATCTCATTGTCTATAATAATATGCTTACAAATTTAGAATTGTGTGAATCAGTTAACTCTTGTTGTATTGAAGACAAGTGTTTATCAATTTCTGCTTTCTGTTTGAATAAAATTTAAAAAAAATTAAATTCAATGATTGATAACATATTATTAAATAATGATTACATTTCTTAACAGTTCAATGTGTTCAGCCCTTAGATTATTATAGATATCTTTCATTCTGTTGTATCGATCGGTTAGTTTGACAACACTTTCTGTATTCTCGTTATTATTCTTTTGTTTTTCCAACTCTTTGAGAGCTTCGATCTCTTTCTCCATAATCTGAGCCTTAGATAACTCCAATTCAGATATCTTTTGCTTCAATTTATTCATTATCTGATAATCCTATTCATACCAAATAAATCAAAAATTATTTATTATTTCTACAACAACTAAAAAATCTTCAGATACCTCAGCTCTAATGTTTTTCATCTGAACTTCAAGTTCTTGTATGTGAGCCATTAATTTTTCGATAATCCGATCCCTTAATTATAATTATCAAATGACATACTATATTACAATTAAACTGACATTAATATTCAAAATTGAAAATATAAATACTTTTCTTCAATTTCTTTGTCATTTTTGTTATCGTTGTTATTTAGAGACCAAATTGAATTAGTGTCATCAGTCTTTAAAAATCATATCAAAATTTTTATCTTTAAAAATAAATATTTCAAAATATAATAAAATACCGCTGAACTGAATGAAAGGTCTACTAAATTCATGTCCACCTGATCCACTTCCACTTCGGGTGATTCAGGAGGAAGTATACAAACTGGTGTGACATGACTCTCAAGATTTGATTGGATTAGAAAGTTAGGCGGTTCCTGAAAATAATAATTTAATAGTTTAATGCAATTATTGCTTAAATTAAATAAAAATTAATATAATAGTAATCTCACATTTGGTAGTGACGGCACTTGAATCAAGTTTTTGAAATATTGTAGATTTTTCGAGTTTAAGTAAAATGACTTAAGACTTGATAATAAAAAAAAATCAAATATTAATCAATTTCTTGTAATAAAATACTAAATTAGTTTTAATAAATTACATATTAAATTGGTTTAAAAATCTATTTCTGTGTCCTTCTAATGTGGCGGCCGGTAGAGCTAAGGCAATGATAATACAATTATTAATAGTTTCTCATTTTTAAAAATTAATTAGCAATTAAATTAAAGTTATATTTTTATAATACAAACCATCGTGTAATTTGAATAATAGTTTTACGGAAAAGTCGTATAATTGACTCGAGTCTTGAATGCATGGGATAAGTGGTGCCAAACGGCACTGACCAGCCATTGTCATTGAATTGGATCGACTCATATCAAGTGAACCAAACACTATTCAAGTAATGAAATAATAGTCTAATTAAATAATAAATTATAAAAATCAATATACCGTTTGATTGAAGACTTAATATTTCGTCCAAATAATCAAATACTTCGCAACATAATTGAAAGCTAACGGTAAGTATAAAACAAATAAAATTGAGTTTTATTCATATATTAATAGTTATGAAAAAGACATACAAAATGTTGACATCATTTTCACCGATTGTATCCAATTCTTCATCACTGACCATCAAATTTCCAGGAATACGTTGGTTCTGTTAATAATAATTATTAATTTTAACATTATATACATAATAATTTAGGTAACGAAAAATATTGCATACATTTGCGTGAAACTCAATTTTACGAATAAGTAAATTACTATAGTTTTGGATTAATTTTCCGTAACCTTCCCTCAAGAGTCCCCACATTTTGCCCAAATCCTTGAGCATTGACCGGAATGGATAAGAGTCGGCAATTGTCTGATTAAACAAATCCGATAATAAAATAATAAGATATTAAAAAACTCATATGACTTGCGGTGACAAACCTTTCGATATCCTTCGCGTAACAATTTATGTAAGACATGACAAAACTTCCAGCAAAGAATCGGATTGTCTTGAAGTCGAAGATTGCGAGCAATTGTCCAAAAGAGATGTGCGCTCTTGTTTTGGTGGGTACCGATTATTATGGCTTAGATTAGGATAGATTAAGCGCACAGTTAGTACATATCATTCATTTTTAATCATCAAAATTAATGGTTGTCTTTAAACTTACTTCTGATATGTTTTTCTTTAACCGGATTTTCATTGGTGTTAATCGCTTTGCTTATACTTATTAACTAAATCAACAATTTATCGCAATTAATACTCTATTATTAATTTATATCATATATAACCGGTATTATTAAATAATTTTTTAATTAAATATGCCTTTTATTAATTGTATAAAATATTTACTGTAAATATCAGTTGAGGAAATATGTAGAATAAATCTATAATTAATATCATATATATACCCAATTTACTATATTGTATATTTTAATGTATAAATTAACAATTACTTTATAATGTCATATTAAATAATCAAATAAAATCAATAAAAAATCAATCAATCAATCAATAACTATAAATAGTATCAATATTTATGATAATGTCGTCAACAGTACTAAAAGTATTATTAAACTAACGGTAATTCAATTGTATTAAAATTAAAATTTTTTATGCCTGAAATATATTTAACATAATAAACAATTTATAAAATATTAATTTATTTGGATTGTCATTAATGATATTATTAATGGTATTAATATTGACATCAATGGTATCAATACCTGATTGCTCTCTTGTTTTTCTTTCTCGATGTCCAAACTGGTGCCACTTCTGCGAGGATTCAAAACTTTTTGCATATGTGTTGACATATTTGTGATTTACTTTCAAAATCACTCAAATTATTACTATTTATTGTTTTGTTTATTTGTTAATTGTTTAAAAAAATTATTAAATGACATAAATCTTATATAAAAATATTTGTTTCACGTCTACGTTATGGTGATTATTGTGATCTAATTAATGTAAACTAATTTTCAACACAACAATGAAATCAGTTTATCAGCAATTTTTTTCAAGTCTGATAACGTGTCACACAATTAACTAACCAATAATACATTATATTAAAAATAAAAAAGTTTATCATTTATTAATACAAAAATAATTGATTTTTTTCTATTCAACATATCATATACAGTACTGTCATAATAGTTGACACATAAATAATACTGTCTTTTATATAATGATTTGCATTAAACTTTCAATACATTAATGTTTTGATAGAAAAATTGAAAAAATAATATTACTTTTAATACTGAACTATAGTATAGTATAATAATAGGTATATAATAACTAATACATGATTAGTGTTAATGAGTGAACACAAGTTGTGTTAGGGTTTAGTGTGTTTACAATGATTACTATGAATGCAATAAAAATATGTACTGTTATTATGTTATAACGTAAACAATAAAATGATCGGCAATTTTGTCACAAACAACACTACAGTACACTATAGTACAGTCAAAGCTGGCATTTAAACACACGGTTTAAATATAACTAACGTTTGCCGACCAATACAACACATATTATATTAATACTAATTAATAATAAAATGAAAAATAAATTTTTATTATAAAAATTATTAATTTATGATTATTTATGGTTTATTAATATTATTATAATTCACTTTTAATTTTATAAGAAATGCATTAATAATTTGTTGTACAGTATTATACTGTACTGTAAATTACAATACAGTAGATGTAGTGTATTGTATATACAGTAATATAATACAGATATTAATACAATACTGTTGTGTAATACTTGTATGTATTATAAAGTAATAGCCATTCAATGTGTTATTCAATGAGTGTATTGTATATACAATTGATTTCTTAAAATATTGTTGTTGTTGTTGTTGTGTGTTATCATCGCTTAAGAGACCAATTGTTGTATTATTTAATGGCTTTTGACTTTTGCCGACACTCTTAAGCAGTGATACTCACAATTGGTGATCATTTATGATGTAAGACTTGATATGATGGACATTATGATTGTTGGCCATCAGCAGTGATATGTATACAAACATTTCATCTCATAAATGTCTTAACGACTCGTCACTCATCGGCGGTGACTCCGTGGCCAACAAGGAATTGTTTACGGCCTGCAAGAATGGTGATGTTGTACGCGTCAAGAAGCTCATCAACACCGCTAATGTTAACATTCGCGACACTTCGGGCCGAAAGTCAACACCACTTCATTTTGCTGCCGGATTTGGTCAGTATTGTTGATACGGGTCTATGAAATACTAATAATATTGTATGAAATGCATCGATAGGTCGCAAAGATATTGTCGAGTATTTGTTGAGTCTTAAGGCCAACGTATCTGTTAAAGATGACGGCGGTCTTCAACCGCTTCATAACGCTTCCAGTTTTGGTATTATAGTAATAATTTTTAGTGTTTAGTTTTGTTATAAGTGTTTGTTTTGGTCATTGAAAGGTCACGCCGAAGTAGTTCAGCTTTTGTTGCGTAATGGAGCCGATCCTAACGCTAAAGACAATTGGGGTTTTACGCCGTTGATGGAGGCGGTCATCAAAGCGAAGATAGAGGTGTGCATTGTTTTGCTTCAGAACAACGCCGACCCAAACCTATTGAACTCAGAAGGAAAATGTGCTCTCGATTTGGCCGATCCGTTGACCAAAAGTATATTTTTAGGTGAATATAAAAAGGATGAACTTCTTGAAGCTGCACGTAATGGTAACGAAGAAAAACTACTGTCGCTATTGGTTCCTATGAATGTCAACTGTCAGGCAAGTGATGGCCGCAAATCATCGTTACTTCATTTAGCCAGCGGTTACAACAGGATTAATGTAGTGAAGTTACTTATAAGTCGCGGAGCAGATTGTCACGCACAGGACAAGGGAGGTCTCGGTACGTGTTTTAGTAATTGTTTGTTTGGTTTATTTTTTATGATTTTAATGTAATATTACTATAAATTATTATCTGTAGTTCCGCTGCACAACAGCAGCTCTTACGGTCACTTCGATGTCTGTGAGATCCTAATCAAAGCGGGCGCTTCCGTCTCAGCCACTGATCATTGGCAGGTATGTCTACATGTAATTAATATAGTGATTGTATTTTTATGAATTTATTATTTATTTATTTTTTCAGTTTACACCATTACATGAGGTATTTTTGTCAAAATTTATTTTTTACTTTTAATTGTATTTTTAATTCAAATCAATTTCATTTCATTTGATAAAAGGCTGCCTCAAAAATGCGAGTAGAAGTTTGCTCTCTATTATTGAGGTATTATATGTCAGAATTAGGTTCAACAGTAAAAAATATAAATGTTTTTTAAAATTTATTCAACAGTCATGGAGCTGATCCTTATTTACCTAATTGTCACGGTATTAATAACTTTTATTTGATATAAAATATGATACACTATAGTATTTATTTATAATAACCGATTTATTAATTGTTTATTAGGAAAAACCGCTATAGATATGTCTCCGACACGAGAACTACAGGAAAGAATTGCTTACGAATATAAAGGTCACTGTCTTTTGGATGCCATTCTTCAGGGAGAGATCACAAAAGTTAAGAAATGTTTGACACCAGAAATCACAAACTTTAAGCACCCATTTACTGGTGATTCGCCCCTACATTATGCGGTTCTTTGTTCACATTCAAAGCGCAAACAAATTTGTGAATTTCTTATACGAAAGAATGCAAATCTGAACGAAAAAAACAAAGATTTTTTGGCACCAATTCATTTGGCTGCAGACAACTCCAAGTTTGATGTACTCGAGTTGTTACTTAAAAATGGATCAAAAGTTAACATTTTGGATGGATTGGGTCAGACGGCTCTACATCGATGTGCTCGAGACGGCAATATTGGCGCCGTTCAGACATTGTTGTCGTACGGCGCAGACATTTCGATTGTTAGTTTACAGGGCTATACAGTGGATCAAATGGCTAAAGAAAATGTCCAAAAATTGCTAATAAATCATCGATTGACCACAACTGGAGATATTGAATATAAATTATTGGAAGCGTCCAAAGCTGGAGAACTAGAAGTAGTTAAGACGATACTCACGACGTATCCACATCTTGTCAATTGTCGGGACATCGATGGCCGACAATCGACACCAATTCATTTTGCTGCCGGTTATAATCGACTGAATGTCGTTGAGTTTCTTTTGTCACGAAATGCCGACGTTTCAGCTAAAGGTTTGCAAAAACAACTACCGGTAGTAATGTGTTATACCGTAAACTATATGTTAATTATATTTGTTAAGACAAGGGAGGGTTAGCGCCATTGCATAACGCTTGCAGTTATGGACACTTGGAAGTCGCGGAACTACTAATTAAACATAAAGCTAATGTTAACGCCACAGATCTCTGGAAGTTTACGTCATTACACGAAGCATCAGCTAAGGGTAAGACTGAAATCGTAAGATTGTTGTTGAAGAATGGCGCCGATAAAGAAAAGAAGAATAGAGATGGCAATAGAGCTATCGATTTGGTCAAAGATGGTGATCAAGAAATAACTGATCTGTTAATGGGTGAGTCAGCCATTCTGGATGCCGCCAAAAAGGGAGACTTGAATCGATTGATGAAATTAGTTACCAATGAGAATGTCAATTGTAAAGATTCGGCCGGAAGGCATTCAACGCCATTACATTTAGCCGCCGGTTATAATAATATTGAATGCACTCAACTTCTCATTGAAAAAGGAGCAGAAGTTAACGCAACCGATAAAGTATATAATTATCAATATTATGTTTATTGTAATTAATTTTAATTATATTTTTATTACCAAACCCAGGGAGGTCTCATTCCTTTACATAACAGTGCATCATATGGTCATTTAGATATCGCTGCTTTACTTATCAAACATAATACGGCTGTAAATTCTACCGATCGGTGGGGATTTACGCCATTGCATGAGGTTTGTCATTAAATAAATATTGTTTAATAACTTGTTATTTGTTATTATTATTGATGTATTAAATGTCATAATTTTCTAAAAGGCGGCTCAAAAATCTCGAACCCAAGTATGTGCACTACTGTTAGCTCACGGCTCAGACTGTTATCTTAAAAATCACGAAAATCAGACACCACTTGATTTAGCGACAGCTGATGATGTTAGATGTCTTTTAATGGATGCAATGGCTCCAAACTCGACGCCTTCCTTGTCTTCTTCAGTTATGTCATTAACTCTGACCTCCAAAGATGTTGTTACTGTTCCACAGCCTACAGAAGTTAAAAGCAGTCCGTTGTCAACTCCCAGTCTAACCACATCAACAATTGCTCAAACAAATTCATTGACCACAATTAGATCCAGTGAAACGAATATTCCGTCGGCATTGACTCTACTTTTATCCCAAAGAAACAGCGAGAATGTTAACGGAGACATATCATCGGCGAGTGGTCAGTGCGCCGACGGATTTGCAAAGAAATCTAGTTCTCATTCCATAACTAATTATTTGCCATCATCAACATTGCCATCTATTAATATGACAACATTCCTCCAAAGTTTAGGTTTAGATCATTTAATTGAGCTTTTTGTTAGGGAACAGATCTCATTTGATATATTATCTGAAATGGGTCACGAAGAACTTAAGCAAATTGGTGTCAATGCTTATGGTCATCGACATCGACTGCTTAAAGGCATTGAAAAAGTGTTACTATCGACACATTCATCTACACACCACTCCATTCCATTGAGTTCGGGCACTGTATTGAAAGAAATTAATGCGACGGACAAAGAGTACAAAGCCGTAGAGGACGAAATGCAGAGTACAATTCGGGAACACAAAGATAATGGTCATTCGGGAGGCATTTTCAATCGATATCATATCATTAAAATCGAACGAATCAGTAATCGAAAACTATGGGAACGGTATTGTCACAGACGTAGAGAGATATTGGAAGAGAACCACGACTACTCAAATGAACGAATGTTGTTCCACGGATCACCATTCTTGAATGCCATCATTCAGAAAGGTTTCGATGAAAGGCACGCTTATATCGGCGGAATGTTTGGCGCCGGCATCTACTTTGCCGAAAACAGCTCCAAAAGCAATCAATACGTTTATGGAATTGGAGGCGGAACTGGTTGTCCACAGCATAAGGACCGTTCATGTTATGTCTGTAAACGCCAACTGCTGTTATGTCGCGTAGCTTTGGGTAAATCATTCTTTCAGTTCAGTGCGCTTAAGATGGCTCACTCACCACCCGGTCATCACAGCATAATTGGTTAGTTGTTTATAATTTAATATTTTTATTATATAAAGTATCACTATATAGTATATATCGTACTTAACATTTATGTGTCATTGATAGGTCGTCCGAGTGGTGGTGGTCTTACTTATCCTGAATATGTTATCTATAGAGGAGAACAGGTATGATAAACCTAACATTTTAGAGCATTAATTTTATGATTAATTGCATAATTATAATCTAAATATAGGCGTATCCCGAGTATGTGATAACTTATCAGATCGTTAAACCTGATTCATTGAACGGCCAATCGTCCACTTTTTATACATAATTGTATAGTTTTTATATTATGATTATAATTATAGTTATTTATAGATTTATATCAATAATAATTTTTTTTATTTTATCACGTAGAAATAAATAATTTAATATAATAGTACATGTGTACACAATTATTTGTATATTTTTTACAATCAATAATACATAAATCCAATTGATTAAATTGCAATTAGTTTTCTTTTGTCAAAACAAAGCTATTAAAAACAAAATTAGGACATATGTGTTGTGTTATTACAATTAATTGATAAATATATAAGCGATTATTGATTGCCAATTACGGAGAAAAAAAGAGATCAATTAATAATAAGTTAATATTAAAATGTATTTAAAAAGTATTCAAATATATATATATATATAATCAATAAGACAATCAAATGAATCTAATATATATTCAATATATATATAATATTTATATGTAGATTACAATATACAGCATATATATGCACTTAACAGTAATGTCCAAAAAATATATCAATGGCTGGAAGGGAAAGCAGTGTCCCGGGACATACTGTATACATACATATATATTTAATTTTTATATATAAATATATGGTCAGCACATGTGGTCGTCTAGACTATCGGCGCATCTTTTCGTGATCCCAACCGTTCTCTTTAATCATATGCGCCAACTCTATGATATATTTTCCCTCCTTATACTTCTGGCTTGACTCAAATGCGTGTTCCTATATAAGCATATTAATAGTTAATAAACTGTATAAATAAAAACATATATAAACAATAATAATAACATTACTGAAATAACTTATCATACATTTATTTATAATTTACAACAAAATCTCAATAATAGTTTTAAAATAATACCTAAATATACATTTAAAAAACGATATTAATATCGTCAAACATCACACTTGTTTAGTAATATTTTAAAGGCTCTGTCTTAAAATCAGACTCACGACTCATCATTTTTTTTAATATCTAATAAATGATATTTTAAATATAAAAATGACTACAAGTGGTAATGTTAGACAATATTTACTCTTATGATTGACCATATAATAGCATCAGACCTCTGAGTAAATAAAAAATAGTAAATTATAAATATATTGAGTATAACATTACTACTTGTATTCATTTTTATATTTAAAATATCATTTATTAGATATTAAAAAAATGATGAGTCGTGCGTCTGATAGTAAGATAGGGTCTATTTTAAACTAATGTAACTATTTTTTTATATCTGAAAAATGTACAAACTTTCCAATAATACTATATATTCTTAAAAATCAATTTTGAATCAATGCGTTTCCTTTCTAATGATTATTGTTTTTGCTATTATTGTGAAATTCAATTTCAATCATATATTTAATACTATAGTTTTAGTTGTTTTTGTTTCCTATTTTTTATATACTATATACCTGTAAATTATACACCTGTGGGAATCGGTCTAATGGGTAACAGCAATGTTATGATGCGTAGATCACATCAAATATTATAAACATATGGTTTCTAAGAAATTTCTAAATGTTGTTAAAATAATTATTTTCTTTAAAAACATTTTCATCTTATTTATCAAAAGTAATGATCGATTCTAAACAAATAATTCATGATTTAAGTTAATTTAAACATAAAAATAATTCATGATTTAAGTTAATTTAAACATAAAAATAATTCTACTGTATATCACATAAATAACCTTACAATATGTCAAAATGACAAATTAATTGCAAGTAAATATGTGTAAGTTATATATACTGTATATAAATAAATTTCAATAACAAACATTATATTGCATTTATATTAAAACATCTTATTTTTTCCAAATTCATTTAATTGTTAGCTTACAGATAATATTGATATATCTAATAATATGATTGAATACACTACTACCACAAACTGTGCAAATATTTTCTATAATACATACAATGCAAAACAATTGTTTGTATATTGCAAAAACACTGTACAGTATATTCATTAAAATTTAATATTATGTTTATTGTTATCCACAAAAAAACTATTCGTTTAATGATTTATACATTTCGATGTCATTAACATTACTGATATCTTTATCCATAGAATTGACAAATAAATCATTAAACAAATTATTTTGTCATTCAATTCAAACATACATTGACTTATATCCACCTTATAATGTCTTCTGTATTAAAACTGACAATAATGTCAATGTTTTTTTTGTTGTAAAATTATATACTATGACAATATGTTAAATCAGTTTAAGCAACTTTATAAAAGTAATTATGACTATAACAAGATAACATTATTTATCCATTAATATTAAATTAACAAATAAAATCAAATTTTCCTTATTTTGAATTTAGTTATATTAATATCTATTATTTGCAAGTCATAGCATAGATATAAATGTTAATAATGATAATAATTTCTAATTTCCGAAAATCACTTTAAATACTATAATTCCTATAAAATTATATATATTTAATTAACTACCTACTTGATTATAATTTAATTTTTATCTATCTTTTATATCAACAATTTTATTCATATCACAAAACTTAATTACGATTATAACTTATTATTTATAAGTATTACTGTATCGTAGGCTATAAAATATATTGCGTATAACTGTAATTACAAAGTTCAACAAAATGCAATTTTTCAATTATAACTTATAACATACTAACGTATAAAAATAAAACAACTCAATCATAATCTTAATATAATCTTAACATATGTAATGTTTTGGTAAGATTTCAAGTTTCTGTTATTTTATTTTACATAATCGTTGAAAACAACTCACAAAACATTAAGCTATTGTAAACGTAAAACAATTGCAATTTCAGTTTAAAATTATATATAAAACTTGTGTTAAACTTAATTATGATTAACAAAAAATAATTAATTTCATAGTACTGTATTTTATTTCACATATATTATTAATGTCATAATTTTTGCATTATAGGCGAGCGTGTTAAAACACTATGAAAATATGTAAATAAAAAATCAATGAATAAATTAAAATTTATAAAGTTTTAATCAATATAGTATAGTATATTAAATATAATATATTGTACTAATTAAAAAACCAATGTTGAAGATCATAGCGCATAAAAAATTGCTGCAAAATAATCATTTCATGAGAGAAAGTTATTGCAAATAAATAAATTTTTTGAAAAAAAAACAATTATGATATGATATGATGTACTAAATATTGAAATTAATGTTTTTTTTATTTAATGAAAACATGTTTTGAATCAATGTTTACGTCTTGGAAATAATAAAAGCTATCATATGATCACATCATATGATTGGCTTATGTTTAGTGAGTTTAATGCCTATGCTTTGTGTTGAACCCATACATACATTGAGTGCATAATACATATAGACTAAGAAATGCAGTTTTACTTATAATGTTTAATACATTATAAGCATAGGATATGATTATATAATTGAAAAGATGGTAACAATAGGTGAAAGGCTTACATATTTCCAGCCGAGAGTAGTCTTACAGCACTCGCAATATATGTCAGCGACGGCGTGCAGTCCCGTCAAAAGTACCCTTTCCTCGGCCACACCGCACCCGACATTGACGCTGTTGGGGACAATACATATGATATACAAATACAATGCATATCAACCACATGTCAGTCCACTTACACTGAATTAAACAGATAAGCCCTGCCCTGACTTCCTTGAAATGACTGCAAACAAACAACGGATCAGTTATTGAGTGATAATTGTATGATAATTGATGGCAAACCTTTGAGATGAGTTCGTCGTGATTGGCCAGATGTGCTCTGCAATGGATGCAACTGTAGGTGCGATGACACGATGGCAGGTATGCCTGAAATGTCTTAACCATTTTGTACGATCACAAGAGTCACCAATTAGTTGATATCATTGTGTTGTCAAACATTTATTACATTCATTACAATCACAATCATTACGCCATTAATACCAATGTTTTATTGTTTTTGTTTGTAAAGTGTTTGTTGTGTTTCCCTTTCAAAGCTATACTACTATAAGCACTCAATTATATACAACATATATAAACACTTAATGTTTGCCAACCAATGACTGACTGATCATAACATTGATAGACTCAATGCTATGGATATTATGGATAACCCGTAATATAAATGTTGTTTCTATGGCTCATCACTGCCACCACACGTCTATCAATGCAAACATACTATTGTTTTGTTTGTTTATATTAATTATTACACTATTATTACACACAAACCAATCAAATCAAAGCATAACATTGAAGCACAACATTGTTTACAAACACTGTGTCACTCATATATACAGTACTACTATATAATACATGTATAATACTGTACAATATATACAGTAATACATTATACTGTATACATGTATACTGTAATATAATTTAAGTGAATCTAATTATAAAAACATTCAGGCAATACATAAAAAACTAATTATGCTATTATTATAATTATAATTTAGTTAATAAATAATTAAAAAGATAATTAATTATTAATTATTGGATAATTAATTATTAATTATTGGATAATTAATAAATAATTAAATCTTTATTATATTAATATTATATAATTTTTATATCAATACAAACTAATGATATTTATTATAACTTTATATAATGTCAAGTAAATAATTTTATCATTGAAAATGTTTATTAATTAATAAATTTTATGATAACCTAATTTTTAATTATCAATTGTCATTAATAAAAATGTAAATACTTATAAAATATAAGTTAATATAGTTTACAATAATTGTTATTAGAAAAACTATATGACATTATCAGAACCAACTTCTAAAAAGTATATCTAATTGTTGTGTCCGAACTGTTTATCTTTCATTCACTCAATTACGGCATTCAAATAAATGAAAAATAAAATAAAACTTAAATAATTTCTTATAAATTTTGTCAACTATTTTAACTAAACGATAGTTTAAAAGAAATAAATATTACTTTTCCAGACATTTATATTCTAGTTTATAAAGTTATATCTGAATGTAATATTAAAATTTGGGCAAAACATCCTACAAATAGACCAATAGATTCTATAGTTTTTTGAATAAAATGTGTTAAAATGTATATATAGTTATAAATCATTATAGGCTTAAAATAGACTATTTTTCTAATCTTTGTTTTACTCAATGACTAATAATATATAGTAATTATCTAATGTATTGAATGTGTATTAATGTATTTCAGTTAGTTTTATAGAATAATCATAATTTTTATCAATTAATAATTTATTTATACTATATTATGAATAACTTATTTTTATTAATATTTTCATAAACATAGTATGTTTTTCTAATGTTATTTAGATATTTTATCATTAAGATATATCTTTATAAAGTATAATGATTATTTCAGTTACTGTATGATAATTATAAATATACAAATTAAAGTAATAAAGATATATTATAATCAACTAAAATACTTATTTTATTAACTGCAATAAAATTGTTATTTATTAAAGAAAATGTACATGGATGGTTGAATTTAACTTGAATTAATATTATTTTATTAAATAACTTAAATAAGTTAATCAATTTATTACAAAATAATATTAACAATTTAAAAACAATAATAAAATGTGCTTTAAGACAAATTATCAAGAACATATTATATAAATTATAAAGTAAAAATATATATTAAATATTTATAAATCATTTAAAAGGTCAACGTTTTAGAGAATTTATAAAAACATTTTCATTCAAATGTGAATTAAATATTTTTATAAATATTTATAAATATTAGTTATTGATTAAGAATTTCTAGTGAGAGACAAATTGTCATTATATTTGATATAATAATAATTTACATGTTTTTATATACTGTATATGTTTTATATCTGCAATTTACAATATGTTTAGAATAATACTAATTATTTGATGTCAATAACAATTGATTATATTATTTATAAAATTTTATGTTTTATAACTTTAGTAATATTATGAAAAATTGCATCATAAAGTATAATAATAATAAACATTAAATTTATTTGTGGGTCAATATAACAACACAAATTGCTTATATTAAATTTATATGATATTATAAAAAATAATACAACTATATTATTAATTTTACATTTGGTAATACATTGATAAATTCAATTAATAATATACAAATATATGTTAAGTTTGCACATTTTATTACTCTATTAGATTTATGTTTACTTAAAAAATCTCAATTTTAAAGCTACTGTACAGTACTTAATAAGTATTACTTATATATTATTAATAAGGTTGCGTAAGTAGGGGTAAGCCATTTTACCCCCTGAAATGCCTGGCTTAAAGTAAAAAAGTTAGGGACCCCTATCAATTTTCGGCGCCCATGGCGCCGATTTTTTTATTTAAATGAAATTTAATATTTAAAAAAAAATATTTATTTATTAATTAATGTAAATTTTGCTTTTAAAATAATAAAATAATAAAATCAAGATATTAATTAAATATTACATATGTAGAGTTCGGACATATTTACTATGGAGAATGTTAGCTATTATACCTTTAAGTTATTATTGTTTTTAGCCTTTTATATGTTTTTTATGCAAAACTATTTATTATTTTTAAAACTTTATAAAAATAAATATGATATTACGTTTAATAAAATATTTTGAGAGTATTAAGGAATTAAGCTGACAATTTTTTCATTTATTCAAGTAATTTATAGTGAATTTAGTTAAATTTGACAAAAATTATCGTTTATAAATGCAATAAAAATTGTTTACCCACTCTATACCCCAAGATTTTTCGTGATTTTTGTTATTTTACCCCCTATACCCTCCTGAAATAAAAAACCTTCGCAACCCTGAATAAAATAGTACTTATAAAACATAACTAAAGTCTTTTCTTATTCGTGTGAATTCTATATTTTCAATTAAAATTTAAGGCTTAAGTTATTTAAAGTCGAAAAGTTATACATATATACTGTATATATATTCATAATTTGTTGTTATTTTTCAATAATTACCAAAAATAAATTATTAAAATTTTGTTAATTTTTAAGTTTATTTTTAACGAAATTTAATCTATAGTTGGAATAAGTGTTGATTAGACTATTGACTTAAAATGTTGAATAGTGAGAGAACTAATTGCATTCAATTATTTATTTTTATGGGAAATTCAATGCAATGAAATAAATTGCTTAAAATGCATAATTGCTAACAACTGTACTGTACTTAACAATTGACATAATAAAACAACTATTTTTAAATAATTTGCATAAACTATAAATTTAAAATCAATGTGTATGCTTAAATTTAAAAAAAAATAAAAGTTCACTATTTAAATCCAAATTTTGACAATTTTAATCACCCGATTAGTTGTATCATTAGTTATAACAAAATTAATTTTATAAATAATTTATTAGTTGTATTTCAACTTTTTTTGTATATTTAAAAATAATAATTATATATATTTTTTCCCTATAACTTATATAACATTCAAATTTTACTATATATTATATAATATACAGTATTACTACCTCTATATACGGTTAAGTAATATTATGTGAACAGCAATATTTGATTTTATTTTTGTTGGTTTTTTAGAAAACTTATCATTTGATTGTATATACATATATCACTGCAAATAAGTAAAAGTACGGTAATTGTAAATATATTTTATTTTTAAAAAAATGATAAAATGTATTAAAAAAATAAATTATATATAAAATAATAATTGAATTCAAGATTTGTAAGTAATGGACGTAATTGATGAATGTATTGATGCATTGATAAGAAGCCAACATTTTAATAGTGAAAAATGAGAGCAAAAACAACAACAACACAGAGTTTGAAGCAAATGATGGCTATATTTGAGTGACAGATGAGTCGTAAACAAACCATTTGTTTGTTTGTTATGTTTTGTTATGACATATCAATTGATGACCACTTTGTTTAGTGACCACCGATTCGGTCCTTAATATTACTAAACAATTAGTTATTGTGTCGAAAATCTGTCTTATTTTTGGATCGTATTTATAGACATTTTTGTCTATAATTTAATATCTGATTCAATACATTAACAGCTTTTAGTTTGAATCAGTTTTTTAATGTTGAGATAAATGACTGAAATATTAAAATAAATGTTTCAATTATTTTGTGATAAATTAATAGTGATTTGAATGTGAGATAAAGTATAAGAAATATATTTGATATAATTTTTTTGAAAACAAGCCATTAATTTGATATCAACTTAATTAGTTAAAAGATTTGTTTGTTTGACTCATTAGTTAATATAATAATATTACTAATAATTATAATAATTGAATCATTATTTTATTTAATGATTAATTTATTATTGAGTTTAACATTAAATTATGAGAAAATAATCAGAAAATGTTTGATAAATGTGTGAACACTAGTGATAGCAATGAATAGCAGTTCAGTGATTGAAAGTCAAACTGATATTAATATCGCATTAAAGAGTAGACAAACAACGGATGTATTACTAAGTGATAGTACTTTAGTTGACATCAAATCAAAGGTCAGTCATCAAAGTGTCGCAGATTTACTGTCACCGATGGTCTCGACATCGTTTGTCACAGACTGCCACCAAAGTGCCGCCGAAACGACGGTATTGGCCACTAATAGCAGTGATCTGACGGATTGCAATAGTTATCATCAGCCAAATGGTTGCAATGGTTATACCAATGGTATCAGTGACGGCATCAATGGTACCAACGATGTCGGTACCGATACGTCATCGATGCCATCGACTAACACATCAATGGCACAGTTGTCTCAGTCGTTGCCGTTTCCGTTACTATCGGGCGAAACACTGGTTGCCAACAGATCGACCACCGATGGCATACTTTACGTAACAAACTATCGATTATTTCTATCATATATTAGTTCCAAAGAGAGATTACCTATTAGTTTGCCAATTGGTATGATTGAGTCCGTGGAGATGAGAGATCTTTACTATTTAAATGTCTACACAAAACACGTGCGATCTTTCATAATCTCTTTTACAACTGGCGAAGACTGTGCCCATTGGTATAAGCGATTGCTGGATATCTGTTCTCTACAGACCAAACTCGACAACTTGTTTTGTTTCAAGTTTTTTGTGGCCACCAAAGCCGATAAAAGTCATATATTTGTTGACAATAAACAGATTCGCAATTGTTATGAAAACTTTTACAAAGAGTTTAAACGAATGTCATTTGACAACGTCTGGAGAATCAGTGATATTAACAAAGAGTTCAAACTGTGTCAGAGTTATCCGCGATATCTAGTTGTGCCTCAAAGTGTTACTGACAAAGATCTTGAATCAGTGGCCAGTTTTCGTTACTCACGTCGCATACCGACTGTTGTGTGGAGACACCGTAAAAACGGTTGTGTGATATCGAGGAGTAGTCAACCAGAGGTCGGTTGGCTTGGATGGAGAAGCAGTCACGACGAACTACTTCTCAATTCTATTGTCAAGTGCTGTAATATTGGTAACAATATTGCTAAGAAATTATTAATTTTGGACGCCCGCAGCTATACGGCTGCAGTGGCCAATCGTGCCAAAGGTGGCGGCTGTGAGTGTCCAGAATATTATCTCGACTGTGAGGTCCAGTTCATGAGTTTAGCTAATATTCATAGCATCCGAAAGAGTTTTTATTCGCTTCGTTATATATGTGAATCGCCTGCGGATCAGATAAAGTATGTATAGAAACATATAATTTAATGCCGGGATTTCCCTTGACCTCAATTACACCATTCATTTACTTTTACTTTTGGCAATAGTTTGCAAATTTTTAGTCTTTTTTTTATTAGTATAAGATTAAAATATTTAGTTACATCTTAAATATAAGTGATTTTATTTATATTACATTAATTATACAATTAGTAGATATGTTAATGTTGTTGGTATTTGCAAGTGGGCGTATAAAACTGTGATATTTAAATTATTTATCGCTAGTAATTTGATAACATTATTTTTAAATGGCCTATAATCTTATAAGATATAAGCTTACAATTTACAGCATATTGTTATTAATTATTTATTTTTAAAAATTATATTAATATATTTTATAATAAATTTTTAATAGCTTAAAAATGCTAATAAGAAATAATAAAATATAATTTAACAAATATTTAATTTTAACCTTGGTTTTTTTTTGTAAAAATAAAATTAAGGGAATTCCTTCTACTGTTTATGTTTACCTAATTTTATAAGGAAATAAAATATAGTAAAGTTTAGTAAACCGTTACTGGAATTTTCATATAATTAATTTATTAATTATAAAATAATTATTTTTAACAATAGTTGGCTAACATTACTCGACAATACTAAATGGTTGCACAACTTATCGGGACTCATGAAATCTGCACTAATTGTTGTGAATGCCATCGATTTAGAGGAGAGACCAGTTTTAGTGCATTGTAGTGATGGATGGGATCGGACGCCACAAATCGTGGCCTTAGCTGAGCTAATGTTAGATCCATATTATAGGACTATTGATGGCTTTAGAATGTTGATTGAAAGGGAATGGATTAAATTCGGCCATAAATTTGCAGACCGTTGTGGTAACGGTGCTTCATGTGATGACACCAACGAGCGGTGTCCTGTTTTCCTACAATGGCTCGACTGTGTTCATCAACTGGTACTACAGTTCCCGTGTAGTTTTGAATTTAATCTTAACTTTTTGGTATGTTTTAAAATTTAATAGAAATAATTAAATATATAATTAATCGATAATTTATAGATTAAATTAATACAACACACATATTCGTCACTTTTTGGTACATTTATTTGCAATAATATACGCGAACGGATTGACCATCAAATTTATGAGAAGACCTATTCTGTTTGGTCTTATTTTAATAATAGACGTCAGTATTTTATAAATTACATTTATGCCAACAATGATCAGGTGATTAATAAAACTAATTGTAATCAAAATTTATTTTAATAACACTATTAATTTAAATGTTTAATTAGGTTTTGAGACCATCGTGTAAAGCAAAAGATATAGTGTTCTGGAGTGATGTTTATATGCCATTGTCGTCATCAGCTTCTGGAGGATTGGAATATAATTATAGTTCAGACGACTCCGTTGATAAAAATAATGTATCATATGGTGATGTAACAGATGGTAATGATGTGCCTATTAATGGAGATATTAAACAATCAAATGAATCTAAACAATTGGATACCGGTCTGAATGTGTCCAACAATGAAACAAATGAAACTGAATCAGATATGGACACTATTGCCAGCGATAAACATCATTCCCTATCAAAGACCAGGTCATGCGAGAACCTGGCGCTTGACGACCATCACACCAATCATCATAATGATGACCAACACTATAGTTCATCGTCATTGCTTAGAACTAGACATCATTGCAGTGATCCTAATCTTCAACGATCGCTGACTATTGCTAACGATTCAGTGGAGTGGAAACGTGGAAAGTGTGCTGATATTATACAATATATTCGTGATTATCAAACTAATGGTATCGGCGCCGGTAGTCGCGAGGCCAGTGATCGTGACTCAACACAATTTCCGTCGAGTCGTAATTCAGATAACGGTTTGTTAGATGATTCTGATTTGGTGATGGCCTCACACTTTAGTATGCTATCCACCGAAACGTTACTTAACGGGAATATCTGGAATAATGGTGAATGTATTCAAACAAATGGTGACTCATCGCAAAATGTGTTATTAAATCATAATGTATTGACAACCAGTACCAGTACTACTGAATTAAGCAGTTCTTGTGTGCAAAATAATGACAGTCTATCATCGGTTTCAATGTTTGATCCAATTTTAAAGAAACGACAGCAAACAACACATACATGTAGTACACCTGTTCAGAGACAGAATTCAAACGAAATTAATAATAGCAGTTCTAGTTATGGATATTCAAATGGTAAACACACCCGAACTCCTAGTTCTGGATGTCCGGCCACTCCTAACGATGAGTCCAATTTCGATAATGCCTTTCCTTTTGACGGAGCCTTAAATCATGAGTCATTTGACATCGACGGACACCTTCTTTTAAAAGATAAAGTTTTATCGAGACTTCAGCAAATCATCGGTCAGAATAAGGTATGAATTTTGTTGAAAAACATTTTTACAGTAATTTATTGCTGTAATTATTAATTCTCTGTATATCTAATAATAATTAGATTGAAATCGATTATCTCCGCCGGGAATTATATTTGGCGCGTTTGGCACTCTGTCAGCAATTAAAATATTGCAATGGAGTTAATGATGAGGTATTGTGATTATAAAATAATTATTTTGATATATCTAATAGTATAACATTTGTAGAGCTCCATTGCTAACGGTTCCAATTCATCTGAAACGTCGGATAATGTCCTCAACTCATGGGTCGATGTGATGCCATCACTTCAACAGACACGCAATGGATTTATAATAAAGTCGAGATGTGATAACAAAAGCCATTCATTTACTTCAATTGATCCGGAAGTCAATGCTATTAAAACATGCGATGAGCTCTCACTGGATACAAATCAGTTGGCATTATCGGTAAATCATTTATAATAAAATTAATTAGTCTTTAATTCCGTATATTTGTGCTCAAAAAATTAAAAATAAATCTTTTATTTATATAAATATATATATTTGACTTCAACTACTAGTCATCCTAATTATCAAATAATTAATTGACTATTACTTTAATTAAGACCTTTACTGTACTTTTAAAACTGTAATATTTTATGTATAAAATTAATTTTAAATATGTAGAAAATATTAGTTTATATATACAATAAGTATATATATTATATATATATTGTTAAATGTTAAGATTTATATACATACAGTATAACTGTTAAATCATAATAAATACTAAAAAGAGTCGAAGTATTTATCGGCCACTAAATCGGGAATTGTTTTATTTAACCGAAAATATACCAAAAAATAACTAATAAACAGGAATTTGTTTATAAATTCAAATTTTAATAATTACTATATATTTTTATTTACAATTATTTTAATGTCAATGATTTAATAAATATTTATAAAAAATGTGTTATATTATAAAAATTTATAAAAAATAAGTAAATTAATCATTGTTTGGTTGAGTTGTTTCCGAAATTCTTATAAAATATTTATTTCTTTCACTCTCGACGTCAATAATACCTCCGTTTTTGAGTTGTTTCTCATAAATATCTTTGAATTTATTGACATTGATCTTCGCTTCTTCAATCAAATCATTTTCACCCACTAATGGTTCGTTTAAAAGACATGGATTTGAATATTTGTTTGGATCCGTATAGTCATTGATGTGACTGTTATTCAAGAGATTACGACAAATCGGACAATGAATCCGAACTTCTGTCAAATTGACATTTGTTTCACTCTTTATTTGTTTCGACACATAATCAGCAAAACAACGACAATGAAAGTGATGAAAGCAATCGTTTCGCATAATCTGGTCATCGGTAGTGAAGTCGTATAAACAAATGGCACATCGGGTGCCAACCGGACAATTCAATGTTGTCAACACGTCCCGAGACTTTTCAATTATCTCGTATATCATTGTGTCAGCGATTCTTTGTTGGCAAACATTACTGATGGCAATCCTTAAACTTTTTATTACAGAATCGATGCAAACAAATACAATGATTGTTAAGAATATATCCTAAATAAACAAACCTTTGGATGTCATCATCAGTTAAACCTCTCGTATTCTTCATCTCAATGCTGGGACACTCATTGGGATACTGAAGATAAGTCATTAAGACATTAATGATATAATCGATAATAAAAATGTATTTCACATACATTTATGGCAATCACAACAAAGAGTGTGAATCTAACCAATTGGTTGTTACTATTGCCGGCCGTTTTCGGTAATATATCGATGGACACTGTGGCCAATCGGTCATCACAATTGGTATCATTTGTGTCTATATTGATATCATCCAAATATATTGCTTTAATTACTTCCAATTCAGTTGCAAGTCTTGAACCGATAAATTGAAAGATAGAAAAGTTTACAAACATTTATTTGATGGCAATATTTATAATTAAACTAACGTTTCATTCAAACAATTGTTCATCTTTTTAGACACACTTTAATCAATAATTTTCATATCATTTAAATACATATAAAATAACAATAAATACCGAAAATAATTGAAAATAATAATTAAATTAATCACTGATTATATAAATATAACAATTAATGCATTTATTACAGTATTAATACAACATATGATTACAAAAAGTATTACAAAACAAAGTTACAAATATTTAGTGAATTCTAAAACCCTATAAAAATTATATAACAAATACATTGACAAAAACATTCATTACATTTGCATTAGTGTTACGTTATATGCGAACACTTAATACATTAGACAAACATTTAAGTCAATGCTTTTGTATGACATTTGACCACAACTTGTATTATAGTCTTCATTGTCGACAATAATTGACAAATAAAAGACTTGACGAAAGATAAAGAGGTAAACAATTAAAACAATGCTTCCGTTATCACTGTTGAGAACCGCTCAAAATCATCCGATGCTCGTCGAGTTGAAAAACGGGGAGACATATAATGGCCATTTAGTCAGTTGCGACAATTGGATGAATATCAATCTTCGGGAAGTCATCTGTACGTCACGCGATGGCGACCGCTTCTGGCGAATGCCTGAATGCTATATTCGTGGATCAAATATCAAGTATTTGCGAATTCCCGATGAAGTAATTGATTTGGTGCGCGAAGAAGTCAAACAAAAGCGCGGACCGCAAGCAATGAGAGGACGGGGCGGTCCGCGACCTGGACTTGGATCACGACCTCAAGGAACAGGTCGTGGAAGAGGTGGACCACAAAAACCGAGAAATTAATGGGTTTTTTCATTGGTTACAGAAATTGATTTATTATGAATCATATGAAACATTAAGTCTTTCTTATCGACGAATATAAAGATTTTTTTCCAATCATTTTAAAACATTATTATAATTTATAAATTAATAATTACTATAATTAATACATAGAAATAAATTGTTTTTAATGAAAATATGTAATAAATTTATATAACTTTTAAAAATCCTAAAATCCTTTTGGCGTCCAATTAGTTTTTTGTTTGATTTTATGCATTTCATAGCAGACCAGAGTGTCCTGCGGTTGAAACCTAAGACCGTCTAATCCAACGATTCCATCGAAACGAATACCGCATTCGACATCTTTTTTGATGGTTTCCATCTCATCCTTGAGATGTCTCAATGAACTAACTTTCAAGTCTTTAGTCACTTGTTGTTCATTGCGGATGACTTTGTAGAGACAGTTTGACTTTTTGAGGACTCCTTTAGCGCACCGAACGCCGGCCACCGGTATCTTCCTATGTTTGTCATTAACCACGAATTCCTGTTGAACTAGAGCTTCACCTAAAACTACTTCCTCATCAATTAATGGTAATCTATCGCTGATTTCTTTCTTTAAATCGTCGACCAAATGATAGATGACATTAAATTTCTTAATCGTAACGTTTAACTCTTTGGCCAATTTATTGACCGCAGGGTTCATTGTATTTACATTAAATGAATAGATGACTGTCCTATCGAAACAGGCGCCCAATTCGACCTCATTCTCGGTGATGGCGCCGACACCGAAATGAAGCAAATTTACTTTAGCGTCACTTTTATCATTTGGATACGAATCAAACATATCGTACAATACTTCCAGACTGCCGGTGACATCACATTTGAATATAACATTTAATTTGTTTTCTTCGCCTTCATTTGTGATCATCTTTTCTCGCGGACCCTTATTCTTCTTACGTTTGTATCTAATGCCCGCTGATCTCAAAGCAATCAATTCTTCTCTATAGACTTTTAAATGTTCTTCGAGTTTGTTTTGAGCGGCCATAGCATCTGCTTCGGCTCTACGCCGCCGATCACGCGCTTTAATTAAGTTCACGAGTTCTTTGACATCCTTTTCAGTGGGCAATTGCCACACTTTATCGCCCGCATCGGGTAGATCTTCTTCCCGCCAACCAATCACTTGGACAGGAAATCCAGGATTGCATTTCTCGATAACATTTCCCCACTCGTCATACATCGCCCTGACTTTAGCCCACGATTTTTGACCGGCAATAATGATATCTCCTTTCTTAAGCGTCCCATTTTGAACCAAAATCGATGCAGTCTTTCCTTTCTTTGCGTCGACACTTGATTCGAGAACAACTGCTTCGACACTTCCATCAAAGTACGCCTTTAACTCCATAGTCTCAGCCAAAGCCAAAATCGCTTCTTTCATGTCTTCAATACCAATATTTTTTAGTGCACTTATTTTAATGGCCTGAATGTCTCCGCCGTCATCTTCCAAAACTATTCCTTGAGCTCTTAGACCAGTCTTCAAATAGTTGATATCTTTAGTCAAATTGACACTTTTGTCAACTTTATTAATGGCAACAATTATGGGAACATTAGATGATTTGGCAAAAATTATTGACTCAATGGTTTGTTCCATAACGCCGTCATCGGTGGCCACAACCAGAACAACAATATCAGTAATATTGGCGCCGCGTTCTCGCATAGCACTGAATGCCTTATGTCCCGGAGTGTCCAGAAATGTCACTAAATTCTTAGATATCTTTTTCTGATTGTTTTGTTGATCCAATGAGACAACAAAAGCGCCGATATGTTGAGTAATACCACCAAACTCTTGTTTAACGATCTCTGAGTGTCTTAAACTGTCTAACAAAGTAGTCTTTCCGTGATCCACGTGACCCATTATAGTAACCACAGGCACTCTGGTCACCAAATTGGTCCCGTTTTTCAACAATTTATTTAAATGTTCATCAAAATCAAACTCGTCTTTCGTGACAAGCGATGGGTTTTTCACGAAATTTGGTTTTTTGTCAAAAAATTTGATAATACGAACAAAGTCTTTAACGTCTTCTATCGGGTAGTCTGTGATCTTCAACTCTTTAACCGCTTTCTTGATGTCACTAATCGGTCTCTTCAGTGCTTCGGCGAGTTGTTGTTCACTCATTTGATCCCAAATGTCGATGACTTCGGCATTTCGTTTGTTTATTTCACGGCGGACTTTGTTGTTATCAATGGTCAGAGTTTTGTTATAACAAAAACTATTGATTGTAAGACATCTCATTTGATTATATCTATTGTGATAAAAGTTATAACCAATTGGCGAGTGTTTGTCACATGTCTTCAGTCCGGTCGCCACCATATCAGCTAAAGTCCTCGTAATCAAAGATGTCTTTAATATTTTCATTATTAATTATTATTTATATTTATATTATAATATAAAATTAAGTTTATAAACATTTTAATTAATCATTTGTTAATATAATTGATTAAAATTGAAATTTTATTGAAAAGATTTTTTAATTATAGTTTACAAACAAAATCATATGTAAGTCACGTGTTATGATATATTATGTAATCAATGCTAACATAATGTCATAACAGTATAGAGTATTATATGATATTATATTAATACTGTATTGTATTTTAATATTTTTAAAGTTAACGTAAATGTAAATTTTAGTTGAAGTCTCATATATACATTTTATATTCATGTATATATATTTAAAAAAACAACTTTTAAAATAGTAATTTAAATGTATTTTATAAAAAATCGACTTAAATTTATAAATTCTTTAAAGTATAATTTGTAGATAATTATATACATTACTTAAAATATTTAAATACAAAAATTATGTAAAAAATAATTCTAATATTTAATGAATTATTTTAAGAAAATTATAATTTTAAAATTATTTTTTAGTGTTTATACTTTTCAATTTTATGTTCATTAATACTACAGGCTGTAAATCATATAAAGATAAAATTAAATGTTTTAATTACATAAAAAGTATAATGGATATTTTAATCAAATAAAATTTAAAATAATAAGGAATACTTGAAATTTATGAAAATAAATTTTATACTTTTAAGGAATTAATTAAAAGATTTTCTCTTTGCATAATAGACACAAAAAAAAAAAGATAAACTGAACACTAATTTGATAAATTAGTTTGACCAGGTTTTTTGAGAAATAAATTTTTAGTAAATTTTATGTAAATCACATGTAAACAAAATACTCTGTATCTTTAGTTTTAAAAAGGATTAAATTTTTGTAATTTATTATTAAAAACCTCAACTATTGCTTATTAATTTAAACTTTATTTGATAAAGATATCTCTTATACTTTTTAAGTAATTCAACATTATATGATATGCTTAAATATATCAAATGTATTGAATTTTTTTGTTTTAAATTATATTATTTGATATATTTGTATTAAAGACTATAATAGATTCAACTATTTTTTGATGTCTTTAAATTTAAAGTACATATAAATTTTATATATAATATTTTAAGTCAAACACTTAAAATCAATACAATATTTTTTTTTTATAAAGTCCGTCAAATACAGTATTATTTTTGTTGTACTGTATATACAGTACTACTTTACTGTTTTATGGAAGTTGTCTTTAAAAAAAATCATTAAAAATCTGAGTGTTTTTTGTGGGATTTTTTTTATTTTACATTAATTAATGTCCAGATATTAATGTTAAGATATTTATCCAATATTTCTAGTATTTCTTGTAACTAATTTTATTTTTATTACTTATTTTTATTACTCATTAAAACTATTATGCAATAAATCTTTAAAGTATTACTAAATCACTATAATTTTAATTAAAATATAAATTGTTTGACAATTACCGGTATATATATATAAATATTTGGTTGATTTAAATATACTAAATATTTACAACAGTAAATTTTATTATTATTTATTATACAGTATTACAGTATTACTGCATTTATATCATTTTTATTATAAATATATGAATTACGGTATATTTAAATTAATTAATTAATTAATAACTTTAATACTGTTATAATTTATTAATTAGTTATTTATTAACATTTTTGGGTTTAGTAAGAATTTTATCAAAACAGAAAATATTATAATAATTAAAAACAAATTTTATTAATTAATTAATTTATATTTTTAAAAAATCAATAATAAATATTTTATCATAAGTGCTACCATCGATGTCATCAATTGTTATGAATTGGGATCAGTTTAGCCGAGAAAGTTGACGACAACCAGATGAAGGACAATGTGAGCGAAGATAAAGTCTGCGAAAGCCCTTTCTTGACTAATCTCACGGAATTCATACTTGTTTTGGGGATTAATCTGAAGCCGAAGACAAACGGCTAATACAAATGAAGCGACTGTTGATATGAAACCGGAGAGGAATGAATTGAACGGAAATGTTCCCACAAGACAACAGTACAAGAACTCAATGATTCCCGTCAATAGGATATACAGCAGATATGCGTCAATCAGTTTAAGACGTTTGCTTGTCTTTGATGAGTACTCTTCATAAAACTTGTTCAACACTTCCAATGCGTTGGCCATCTTTGGTCACCAAAACATCATTAAGTTATAACTAATTTAAATGTTGACATATCTGTACTTACAATGACTTAAATGTTGTGTAAATCCGTTCAACCGATTCAAGTGATGATTATTTGATGTCAAAAGTGTGGTAACGAGTGATGTGTTGTTCAATACAAATGCCGACAATCAGTGACAACACATCAATGATGTCATGTATTTGCAAACATTTCAATCATTTAATTAACACAACATTAATATAATATTAATAAATATTTCTAAAATATTATCAATTTTTATCAATAAAAACCAAATATTTCAATATTATAATTACTTAAATAATTATTCAAACAATTAATGGATATTTAGGTGACAATAGAAAAGTTTATCTTATATCAGATAATATTATATTTATATTACAATAATACTAAAAATATAAACAATTTTAACACAAATATTAGATTGGGTTTTATATTACCGTAAATTGAAATTACAAGTAAAGTGTATATACTGTATAAAATTGAAATTATTATTTTTTTTTTAGTTTTAAATATTATAATTTTTGATAAACTTTATTAATAAATATCTATAAACCTAAGTTTTATTTTTTATTAACACATTTATTATTTACATATTATATACAAAAATTAATGTTTAATAAAATTAAATTATTAAATAATAAAATACATATTTATGTATATAATTTGAATTATAATTATTTTAATCATCCTTTTCAGTGAGTATAAGATAAAGCAATTGATTTTGATGTCCATTAAGTTTGGGAAACAAATGAGCGGCAATTGAATCGACGATATCTTCAGATCGAGTCTGAGACCAAATAAGCAGTGATTCCAACATTATATTTAAGTCCATTAGTTCATCATTTTGTGGATTGCATTCAACAATCGGTAAATTGAATTCACATTTATTGGTGTCATTCAGATATAGCTTTAAAAGAAATAGTGTTACAAAATCTGATTCAGTCATCACCGATGAATCAACTCTAGAGAAGGTTTCTAAAGCCCGTTCCCATTGACTACAACTCAAGAAGCAATCGATGGCTTCTTTTAAGAGATTGGCCTCAATATAGACATTGCTGGCCTCGAGATATTTTTGATGTCTTTTGTAAAGAGTGGCCAATTCGCCGTAAATGGATGTATGAAGTGATTTGTGTGACACACGCAGTGCGTGTCTGTACGCACTGATGGCACCATTGAGTTGGTCGCCATCGCGCAGAAGTCTGGCCGAGTCGAGCAGCGCCTGAGTCTCGGCCGCTGTATTGCCCATCGAGTGCTCACATCGGGCCACTGCTAGACAACAATAACCCGAATATGCTTTGAATTGGTTCAGATCACGACTCAAACTCAAGAATTGTTCCGATACTTCAGATACATTTGGCCTCCGAAGTAGGAATCGTTTCTTCAATTTGTTGCTAATAACCTTATAGTTGGCGAAGTCGGCCATCACTTAACATTCATCAACACATTCAACACAAATCAGATGAAAGTGACGACACTTACGATAAAAACATGAATTCAATTGAATATTAATATAGTTTTTAACCCAAACTTGAAGTCAATTTACTAACAATAACGTCAAACAAACTATTTGTTTCAATCACTATAATCACTAAATAAGAGATCAATTTCAGTATAATCTTTGATTAAATGACATTTTATTTACACTGATTGTCATCTTGTGGTTAGTCTTAGTGTTGAACACATCAAACAATTCACTTAATTATTATTAATACTAAATATTTAACAATCAATTGATGTCATCATTGATGGTATGAGATATGATTGCAGTGGAGATGAAATGCATTGCATTTGATTTAACGACTGTTTGATTGACTGATCAATTGATCCCATAATCATCGTCAACAACGATGTCCAACTCCAAGACATACCAATTTGAGAATCAGTTCACTCTTGAGAATTGTGTCGGTCGAGTGGTGATTGCTGTCGTCGGACATCCGTTTGACTTCGTAAAGACATTGATCCAATTGGGTTACGAACCTTTACCGCCGTACCCGACAACTACTATCTTTGGTAGACATCGGTTGGCATTACCCGGCGTTTTCCGCTATATAGGACACATCCGGCGTACCGATGGTTTGTGTGGTATCTATCGTGGCATCGGCTATAAGTTGACTTCCGTTTTGGTCAACGGATTTATTTACGTGAATCTAAGCGAATATCTGAAGCATTTATATCCGGAAGAAGAGTCGCTAAATGAAGATAAGAAGGATGAAGATAAGCAGTCGACACCTGATTTGCAAAAATACGTCAAATTATGTCAATATCTGTCCCGAGAGACGGCTTCGAGATTTGTAGCGCTATTGGCTTCCTATCCGTTTCAAGTGATGACTGTCCGCGTTTGTGCCCAATTTGTGGGCCGCGAAACACATTACGACACATTATTTGGTGCCATCAAAGATATATACCGCACGGGTGGTGTCAGTGGGTTTTACGCCGGTTTTATGCCACGATTTCTTGGTGATGTCCTTGTTCTGTGGATTGGATCTAATATTATATTTGTGGCAAACAGTTGGATTGACGGCGATTCTACCACCAAAAACTATGTTTCCGCTTCGGTTAACTTCATTGTCTCGTCATTGCTCTATCCGTTCCAATTGGTCTCAACAGTAATGTCATGTAATGGCCAATCGGCCCGGTCGTTGGCCGCGTCAGCCTATACTGGACATCCTTACGCCAATTGGGTGGACTGTTGGCGCCATTTGTCACAGTTGGGTGAAATTAAAAGAGGCTCTTCTCTATTGTGGAGATATCAATCCACTGTATTGACAGCACCATTGATTCACAGCACAGCTGTCGACAGAGAAACAAGATATCGACCGAAAGAGTGGTAAAAAAATTAATATTAAGTTGAATCGAATTTTTAAACTTAATTTTCAAGTTAGTAGTTATGAACACATTTATTATTGTACTGTAATTTAAAGTTTTATTATTATTATTACCACATATTTGATTTGTTTTTAATTATATATTTCAAAGAGATATTAATACTTTAATGATTATATACAGTATATAATAAACAAATCTTAATAAAAACAGATAATTATTAACTGTTATTTGGATTCATAATTATAATAAACATTTAGAAATTCTTATAATTATTAACACATGTTTTTTTAACAAACTGTTTAAACTTTTATTTTCGCAAATATTTTACAAAATATCTTAAATTAAGAAATTGCTTTACCATTTTTAAATCCTGTAAATTAGTAAATAAATGAATAATTAAAATACAATTACTGTATAGTATTATATATTTATAAAATTATACTCACTTTTTAACTACTTGTACGACATCTTCATCATTGAGTACGTGATCTTTGCCAACCTTTTGAGGGTTGTGTTTGACAGATGTCCCCCAAACTAATGCACTATTTTAATGAGATTTATAAATATATTATATATATTATGTTTAATGATAATATGGTAATAATTTAGTAAATAATAGTTACTATTTAAACTCCTTCATAATACTCTTATGAAGTTTATTACAAAAATCTTCAACAGATTTCCTGTCCTGACTCAATATAACTGGCGATTCATAATCGGGTAATTGTCCTTTAGGTTTGGTATAACTAATTTATGAGTAATTTATGATTTTTGTTAATTAAAATACTTTAGAAATACAAACAGTAATTTATTTATACATTCGCTGAAGTTTTAGATAATCCCATGTTTTGTACCTAAAAAGACAAATCATTAGATTTATGTCAATAACATAACACAAGACATACAGTAAGTCATCGAAGTTCCACTTGTGATGGGCTGAGATGGGCACAGTATGTGGGATCCGATAAATGATATCCAACTCTTCTACCGAAATCTGATCAATTTTATTGAGCACATAAATACACGGCGTATAGATCCGGTTGCCCTCAATCACGTCAATCAAGTCATCTGAATTGGCGTCATATTTGATAAAGACGTCGGCGTTGTGTATACGATACTCGGCGAGTATTGTCTTGACTGTATCCAAATCCAACTCCGATTGTTGTACCAAACACTGCAAATTGATGCCTCCCTTATCCTTTTTACGGACTGTCAGTTGTGGCGGATCTTTGTTCAGTCTAATACCGAAACCCTCTAATTCTTTCTCAATGAGCTTTTTATGTTGCAACGGCTTTAACACATCCAACACAATAAAAATCAAACTACAAGTACGCGCCACAGCTATCACCTGTCGACCTCTTCCTTTACCATCTTTAGCACCCTCTATAATACCCGGAAGATCCAAAAGCTGGACTTTCGCGCCCTTATATTTGATTACTCCGGGAACTGATCATAAATTTAGTTAACAATATAACAATTTCAATTAAAAATTTAAGTGATAAACAAACCAGTGGTCAAAGTAGTAAACTCATAGGCGGCCACTTCGGAGTAAACGCCGGCTAAAGTGGTCAGAAGTGTAGATTTCCCGACAGATGGAAAGCCGACAAAACCTATGCGCGCATCTCCAGTCTTGGCCACATCGAAGCCCTCTCCTGTTGGTCCACCGCCTCCTTTCGGTGTAATTAATTCGCGCCGAAGTTTAGCCAATCGTGCCTTCAGAAGACCCAAGTGACCCATCGTTGCCTTATTCCTCTGGGTTCGGGCCATCTGTCCATTTGATTACCGATAATTAATCAAATTTTTATTAGAATTAATATCAATAGATTCTAGACATACCTCGGCCTCAATTGCGGCGATTTTCTCCAATACCGTACTCATTGTCGGGAACTAATCGGACACTAATTGTCAACAAAATTGTATAAAAATATCACATCATATGTAACACACGTTTCTCTCATTTAATATTGCATTCAATTGTTATGTATTTGAGTGTCAATACTGTTGTTTACAATCAATGTTATAATTGTCAGTCAAATGCAAAAAAAGGCTTTTAATGTTATTAAATATATTTTAAAAAAGGCCTAAATATTAGCTAATAAATAGTTTAGATAGTAATTGAATGATTAGTACTATTTATGCTTATAATCACACATTTTATAAGTCTCTTTGCTTTGAGAGTCAATTATATGAATCAATGATTGCATTGAAAGGGAAGTCAATATTTTGGACATAATTTGTGTTCAAAAGTGAAGACTACAGACAATCCTATCGTTTGCAATGCATTTCAATACAACTCTTTAATAGTGATCCACACATGTCTTCATCTGATAATAACCTACCGCGAGGTCTGGTCACCCGATCGGGTGGCACGAAACGGCTACCAGCGCTCAGACCCAAAGCTGGTGAATCTCTACCGTCGGTAATGCAATTAAATGGTGCCGCAGACCGAACCAAAAATGGTACCGTCAAGAGAGTCTTTAAACCAACTATTCCTCAAAGACGTCAGACCACAAACACCGATGATGGCCAAAGACAAACTAATGATAATCATAGTAATCATAAGTATGACCATCGGGTCAAACGAGAGAAACCAATTTCAAAGAAACGACTGACAAATCTCATCCAATGCGACGGTGCAGTCTTCAGGGGTGAAGAGACAGCTAGTGTTAGAATCATTAGACCTAAAGGTGGGGAGTCTTATGCAAGAAACCAGTCAACACATGAAAGTAGTACTCGCGTGAAGAGTGAAATAAAAACTGAACCGAGAGATGAATTGGATGAAAGATTAGGCGAAACTAAATTAGACAACAAAGCGAAGGTTATATGTAAGCTCTACGGCGACAACTTTATTGATGACACAGACGATCGGTTCTCAAACAAAGACTTGATTTATCCGAAAGGCTGGCACAATGTGTCAACACATCGTCAGTCACCTCAACCTTCAAAAAGTGAACCGTTAAATTCTTACAATTTATTGAAAACTAACGGATCTCATGATAAACTATTATTAATGCAAATATCGGAAGAGTTTCTGAAAAAAGGTAGCGGTTATGTCGGAAAATTAAGAGTCTATAAGAGTGGACGCATTGAATTAGTCGATTCTTCCTCTGACATGAAATTCGACATTTTATTTGATCAAAAATCGATAACAGATCCCAATATAAAAGATGAAAAAACTGATTCAAAAGTTGGCTCAAAACGAACTAATAATTGTTTCGCCGAAGTTATCACCGAAGATATTGTCTCTTTTGATGGTAAAGAGTTATCCACATTGACTACTCTGGACCACAAACAGGTTCTTCTAGCTGTACCTCATATGCTTCAATCGGAAGATCTTTGATTATAACATAATCTTAATTAAACTTTCATTGAATTAATTAAATTATTTTTGTTATACATTTGAATCAATTTATATATATTTGTAATGTTTGTATAATAATATTAAGTTATATATAACTATAGTTTTTAATAAAAATTAACAAATTTTCAGATAAATTAAATAAATATTTAAATTAATTTTGCGTTTTGTCTAAAATATTGATTACATTATTAGTGTTTTGTACTATTGTTTATATTTATGTCATTTTTGTGCCTTTTAGATGTTGTAACTTAATGTGAATTAATGTATAAAAAGGTTCAGTCAATAGTAAGCCATTGATAAATGTGTGAAACGATTGTTTGTCGATAACATTGAAAAGCATTGCAAACATAAAGTAAAAGACAATTAAAATTAATTTTGTTTTTATATTTGAATTGTCTGTTTGTCATCAAATGTAATCAATTTGTTTGTAAGTATATTGTCTTCATTTTTTATTTGCAATAATTACCGATAAAATTATTGTCCAATTGGTTGGATGTCAGTGATCGGCATTTTCGCAATTCCGTAAACTAACCGCAAATTATATTTTGATTGGTGTGTTGTCAGACCCGAAGCCGCAAAACGAGTGGAAACAATGGCAGTTCCGCCATATATTCTTCAGCAACAATATATGATGGGTTTGATGGGCCAACAAATGCAACCACCTGTTGGCCAACCAATCGGCGGTGGCCTACCGCTAATGGGTCAGCCGATGGGTCATCCGATGGCCGGACCTGCGCCCGTCATCGGCAATCAAATGCCATCGACATCACAAATATCTTCTTCAGTGTCCGGCAGTACTTTTTTAACTGATGAGGATTTGAAGGAAAAGTCAAAGAAATGGCAACAATTGCAAAGCAAACGATACTCTGAAAAGAAAAAGTTTGGTTTTGTTGAAACACAAAAGGAAGAGATGCCACCGGAACACCTGAGGAAAATTATCAGAGATCACGGAGACATGTCATCAAAGAAGTACCGCCACGACAAGCGGGTCTATTTGGGTGCACTTAAATATATGCCACACGCCGTACTCAAACTGATGGAAAACATGCCGATGCCTTGGGAACAGATACGTGACGTTTCCGTACTCTATCACATCACTGGTGCCATTACTTTTGTTAATGAGATCCCATGGGTTATTGAACCGGTATATATAGCACAATGGGGTTCAATGTGGATAATGATGAGACGGGAAAAGCGGGATCGAAGACATTTCAAACGTATGAGATTTCCGCCCTTTGATGACGAAGAACCACCACTAGATTACGCCGACAATGTTCTCGATGTTGAACCTCTTGAAGCCATTCAAATGGAATTGGACAACGAAGAGGACAGTCATGTGGCCAAATGGTTTTACGATCACAAACCGTTGATCGACACCAAGTTTGTAAACGGATCGTCATATCGACGATGGTATTTGGCACTTCCGCAATTGGCCACACTATACCGATTGGCTAATCAATTGTTGACTGATTTGGTGGACACCAATTACTTCTATCTATTCGATCTCAAGTCATTTTTTACGGCTAAAGCGCTGAATATGGCGATTCCCGGCGGACCTAAGTTTGAACCATTGATTAAAGATATAAATCCTGGAGATGAAGATTGGAATGAGTTTAACGATATCAACAAAATAATTATTAGACAACCGATTCGGACTGAATATCGAATTGCTTTTCCTTATTTGTACAACAATTTACCACATTATGTACACCTATCGTGGTATGTATTTAGTAATTTTGATAATTATTTAATTAAATATTAACAGTAATTGTTACTAAATTTAATAATTAACACACTTGTATTACAAATTAACTATTGTAATAATGGTTTATAATAGTGAATGTAATTATAGTGTAAAATTAGTTGTGTTGCGTATTGACTTTTAACATAAGTTTATAATTATTAGTCGCTGATATCACAAACATTAACTGTTGATGTTTTAATTGATAGGTATCACACACCAAATGTTGTCTTCATAAAAACTGAAGACCCGGATCTGCCGGCATTTTATTTCGATCCACTCATTAACCCTATAGCTCACAGCCGGACCGCTACTAAAACGGTCGAACCTTTGCCTAATGATGATGAAGACGACGATCCGTTTATTTTGCCAGAATATGTCGAGCCATTCATGAGTGACTGTCCTTTATATACAGATAACACAGCCAATGGAATAGCTTTATTATGGGCGCCCCGTCCTTACAATTTGAGATCAGACCGAACTCGACGAGCTATTGATGTACCGTTAGTTAAGAGTTGGTATAACGAGCACTGTCCGCCAGGAATGCCGGTCAAGGTTCGGGTTTCTTATCAGAAACTTTTGAAATATTTTGTGTTAAACGCATTAAAACACAAACATCCAAAACCACAGAAGAAGCGATACTTATTTCGTTCTTTTAAAGCGACAAAATTCTTTCAGTCAACAACTCTTGATTGGGTTGAAGCTGGTCTTCAAGTGTGTCGTCAGGGATACAATATGTTAAACTTATTGATACACCGAAAGAATTTAAATTATCTTCACTTGGATTACAACTTTAATTTAAAACCTGTAAAGACTTTAACAACTAAAGAGCGAAAGAAGTCGAGATTCGGAAATGCATTTCATTTGTGTCGCGAAATACTTCGTCTGACAAAACTAGTTGTTGACTCACATGTTCAGTATCGGCTCAACAATGTCGACGCATTTCAATTAGCTGACGGTCTTCAGTATATCTTTGCACACGTGGGACAGTTGACCGGAATGTATCGATACAAGTATAAGCTTATGCGTCAAATTCGTATGTGTAAAGATCTAAAACATCTTATCTATTATCGCTTCAACACCGGTCCGGTTGGTAAAGGACCCGGTTGTGGATTTTGGGCTCCGGGATGGCGAGTATGGCTATTCTTTATGCGCGGAATCACTCCATTGTTAGAGCGATGGTTAGGAAATCTACTGTCTCGACAATTTGAAGGTCGTCATTCTAAAGGTGTGGCCAAAACTGTGACCAAACAACGAGTCGAAAGTCATTTTGATTTGGAATTAAGAGCATCGGTAATGCATGACATCATCGATATGATGCCCGAAGGTATTAAACAAAATAAAGCGCGAACTATATTACAACACTTGAGTGAGGCGTGGAGGTGCTGGAAGGCTAACATACCGTGGAAAGTGCCCGGCCTTCCCATTCCCATTGAAAATATGATATTGCGTTTTGTTAAGATGAAAGCCGACTGGTGGACAAACACGGCTCACTATAATCGGGAACGTATTAGACGAGGCGCTACTGTAGACAAAACGGTATGCAAGAAGAACTTGGGGCGATTGACTCGTTTGTATTTAAAAGCTGAACAGGAAAGACAACATAATTATCTTAAAGATGGGCCTTATATTAGTGCTGAAGAAGCCGTTGCCATATATACTACAACTGTTCATTGGCTCGAAAGTCGACGCTTTTCTCCGATACCTTTTCCACCGCTTTCTTATAAACACGACACCAAACTATTGATACTGGCATTAGAAAGACTTAAAGAGGCCTATAGTGTCAAAAGTCGTCTGAATCAATCTCAACGCGAAGAACTGGGTCTCATAGAGCAGGCCTATGACAACCCACACGAGGCTTTGTCTCGTATTAAACGACATTTACTAACTCAACGAGCGTTTCGCGAAGTGAGCATTGAGTTTATGGATTTATATTCACATTTGATACCAGTTTACGATGTGGAACCACTTGAGAAGATAACTGACGCTTATTTGGATCAGTATTTATGGTATGAAGCAGACAAACGCCACCTCTTTCCTCCGTGGAGTAAACCGGCCGATTCGGAACCACCGCCACTATTAGTCTATAAATGGTGTCAAGGAATTAATAATCTTCAAGATGTTTGGGACACTAATGAAAGAGAATGTAATGTAATGCTTGAATCGAGATATGAAAAACTTTACGAAAAGATTGATTTAACACTTCTTAATCGTTTACTTCGACTTATTGTTGATCATAATATCGCTGATTATATGACAGCTAAAAACAATATTGTCATTAATTATAAAGACATGAATCACACCAATTCTTACGGTATTATCAGAGGTCTTCAATTTTCATCATTTATTGTACAATACTATGGATTAGTATTGGATCTATTGGTTTTGGGTCTTCAACGAGCCAGTGAAATGGTTGGACCGCCACAAATGCCCAATGATTTTCTTACCTATCAGGACGTGGCAACAGAAAGTTGTCATCCAATTCGTCTCTATTCCCGATATATCGATAGATTTCATATTTTCTTCAGATTTACAGCTGAAGAGGCGCGTGATTTAATCCAAAGATATTTGACAGAACATCCCGATCCTAATAACGAAAATATTGTCGGCTATAACAACAAGAAGTGTTGGCCACGGGATGCAAGAATGCGTCTAATGAAACACGACGTCAACTTAGGTCGAGCCGTATTTTGGGATATTAAGAACCGATTGCCGCGTTCGGTGACAACTATTCAATGGGAAAATAGTTTTGTTTGTGTTTACAGTAAAGATAATCCGAATTTATTATTCAATATGTGTGGCTTCGAGTGTCGAATTTTACCGAAGTGTCGAATGACTCAGGAAGAATTTACACACAAAGATGGCGTTTGGAATCTTCAAAATGAAGTAACTAAAGAAAGAACTGCTCAATGCTTTCTTAGAGTTGACGACGAATCGATGCAACGCTTTCACAATAGAGTCCGACAAATACTGATGGCTTCGGGTTCGACCACATTCACGAAGATTGTCAACAAATGGAACACTGCTTTAATTGGTTTAATGACTTATTATCGCGAATCTGTTGTCAACACACAAGAACTTTTGGATCTTTTAGTGAAATGCGAAAACAAAATTCAGACGCGTATTAAAATTGGTCTCAACTCAAAAATGCCGTCACGTTTTCCACCCGTTGTCTTCTATACACCGAAAGAGTTGGGAGGACTCGGAATGTTATCTATGGGTCACGTTTTGATACCTCAGTCAGATCTACGGTGGTCTAAACAGACTGATGTCGGTATAACCCATTTCCGATCGGGTATGTCTCATGATGAGGATCAAGTGATTCCCAATCTATATCGATATATCCAGCCGTGGGAAACGGAGTTTATTGATTCACAACGAGTGTGGGCCGAGTATGCACTCAAACGACAAGAAGCATTGGCCCAAAACAGAAGACTAACTCTTGAAGATCTGGAAGACAGTTGGGATCGAGGAATACCGCGAATCAATACACTTTTCCAGAAAGATCGACACACACTGGCGTACGATAAAGGATGGCGAGTTCGCACAGATTTCAAACAATACCAAGTGTTGAAACAAAACCCATTTTGGTGGACACATCAACGACACGACGGAAAGTTGTGGAATCTTAACAATTATAGGACTGATATGATTCAAGCACTGGGAGGTGTTGAAGGTATTTTGGAGCACACATTGTTCAAAGGCACATACTTTCCTACTTGGGAAGGATTGTTTTGGGAAAAAGCCAGTGGTTTTGAAGAGTCCATGAAATATAAAAAGTTAACAAACGCTCAGAGATCGGGTCTAAATCAGATACCGAATCGTCGGTTTACGTTATGGTGGTCACCAACAATAAATAGGGCCAACGTTTACGTAGGATTTCAAGTGCAGTTAGATTTGACCGGTATTTTCATGCACGGAAAGATCCCGACATTAAAGATATCGTTGATCCAAATATTTAGAGCTCATTTGTGGCAAAAGATTCACGAAAGTGTTGTCATGGATTTGTGTCAAGTATTTGATCAAGAATTGGATGCTCTGGAAATAGAAACGGTTCAGAAAGAGACAATACATCCCCGAAAGTCATACAAAATGAACAGTTCTTGTGCTGATATTTTGCTGTTCGCTGCCTATAAATGGAATGTTTCGCGACCTTCTTTGTTGGCCGATTCTAAAGATGTTATGGACGGAACAAATACTCAAAAATATTGGATTGATGTCCAGTTGCGTTGGGGTGACTATGACTCACATGATATTGAACGATACGCCAGAGCAAAGTTTCTAGACTATACCACCGATAATATGAGTATTTATCCGTCACCAACTGGTATCTTAATAGCTCTCGATTTGGCCTACAATTTGCACGCGGCGTACGGCAATTGGTTTCCCGGCGCTAAACCATTAATACAACAGGCGATGGCAAAGATAATGAAAGCAAATCCAGCTCTTTATGTGCTAAGAGAACGTATTCGAAAGGGTCTTCAGTTGTATTCATCAGAACCAACCGAACCATATCTGTCGTCTCAAAATTATGGCGAACTGTTCTCTAATCAAATTATTTGGTTTGTCGACGACACTAATGTATATCGTGTGACCATTCATAAGACATTTGAAGGAAATCTGACGACAAAACCGATAAACGGAGCTATATTTATATTCAATCCAAGAACCGGACAATTGTTTTTAAAGATTATCCACACGAGTGTATGGGCCGGTCAAAAACGTTTGGGACAATTAGCTAAATGGAAAACCGCCGAAGAGGTGGCCGCTTTGATTAGATCATTGCCTGTTGAGGAACAGCCGAAACAAATTATTGTAACTCGAAAAGGAATGTTGGATCCATTAGAGGTGATTATAAACAATGATTGCTTAATTTTAAAATTTTTTTGCATAATTAAACAAATTGGTTAATATAATTGTTAATTGATTATTAATTCTGCATAAATTAAATCGATCTCATAGTACTATAATAGTCTAATAATTGTCACAATTATTGATACCATATATTATAGTTTCCCTGATCTGAAACATTAATTATTTTTATTTATATTTAACTTTAGGTCCATTTACTTGACTTTCCCAATATTGTCATCAAAGGCAGTGAATTGCAACTACCATTCCAGGCTTGTCTTAAAGTTGAGAAATTTGGTGATCTTATCTTAAAGGCTACGGAACCGCAAATGGTTTTATTCAATCTGTACGACGATTGGCTCAAAACTATTTCTTCATACACAGCGTTTTCGCGACTGATTCTCATATTAAGAGCTCTTCACGTGAATAACGAACGAACCAAAGTAGTACTCAAACCGGACAAAACTACAATTACTGAACCACACCATATATGGCCTACTCTTACTGATGAGGAATGGATTAAATGTGAAGTTCAACTTAAGGATTTGATTCTTGCTGATTACGGCAAAAAGAATAACGTAAACGTGGCCTCATTGACACAATCGGAGATTCGTGATATCATATTGGGAATGGAGATATCTGCGCCATCAGCTCAAAGACAACAGATCGCCGAAATCGAAAAACAAACTAAAGAACAGTCACAACTTACAGCAACGACAACCCGTACTGTTAACAAACACGGCGATGAAATTGTGACAACAACTACAAGTAACTACGAGGCGCAGACATTTGCATCGAAAACCGAATGGCGAATTCGGGCCATTTCGGCCACTAATTTGCATCTCCGCACAAACCATATATATGTTTCATCAGATGATATCAAAGAAACTGGTTTTACATATATTTTGCCTAAGAATGTTCTCAAAAAGTTTATTATTATATCGGATCTGAGAACACAAATTTCCGGATATTTATTTGGCGTCAGTCCTCCAGACAATCCACAAGTCAAAGAAATAAGATGTATAGTAATGCCTCCTCAGTGGGGTACTCACCAAACCGTTCATTTACCTAATTTGTTGCCACAACACGAATACCTTAACGATTTGGAACCGTTAGGTTGGATTCATACGCAACCAAATGAATTGCCACAACTTTCACCGCAAGACATCACAACACACGCAAAGATGATGTCTGATAATTCTTCGTGGGATTCGGATAAGACTATTGTTATTACATGTAGTTTCACTCCCGGCTCGTGTTCACTGACCGCTTATAAACTGACTCCTGGAGGTTATGAGTGGGGCCGACAAAACACCGATCGGGGAAACAATCCAAAAGGATATTTGCCGTCACATTATGAAAGAGTACAGATGTTATTGTCCGACCGTTTTCTCGGCTTCTATATGGTACCGGCACAGGGATCCTGGAATTATAACTTTATGGGTATGTATTTAATAATTTTGTTTGTTTAATATGATTTGATATCCATTAAAAGGTTTATTTATAATTTAATTGTAATTTAATATTTATTTAGTGTATTTTTTTAAAATGAGAAATCGATTAGGAATTTATTGCTATATTTTTGAATATAATTAATTTTAATTTATATATTACAGTAATTTAAATATAGATTAATATATTTTTATATATTTGATGAAAAATAAGTTTATTTGAGGTTTGATAGGATTTTGCTCTATTTTTCACAAGATTTAAAATAAACAATTTATTGAAGATTTAGAGGCATTTATAAAACTTTTTATATAGTTTTTTAAATTGCCTTAACTCAAGTTACTTTACAAAATTGCATATAACAAAGTGTTATATATAATTTTATAAGTAACAAATTTTGTCAAAAATTTTGAACCAAATTTACAGTATGAAAATCATTGATTTTTTGGCACAAATTCACAAATTAGTTAATATACTTTATTTATTAATTGATTATAATTTGTGCATAAATTAAAACTCGATCTCATAGTACTATAATAACAAATAGTTGTTAACAATTATTTTTATCATATATTATAGTTTCCCAGATTTGAAACATTTAAGTTAAATATTATTTAATAAGATCTGACAAATGCGACCCCCATTTAATGAGGTGATTATCAATGTTTATATAGGTGTCCGACACGACTCATCCATGAAATATGAGCTCCAATTGGCAAATCCTAAAGAGTTTTATCATGAGTGCCACCGAATCGCCCATTTCTCCAATTTTAGTCATTTAGAGGACTCTGAAAATGTTGGCGCCGATAGAGAGGACCACTATTCGTAGGCAAACAAAATTGGACATAAAATTATACTTTAATTATACACCACTTATGTGTTGTCAAAATTATTTTATCATTTTTGTATTTTGTTTTTATTATACGCTAAACTACTACATGTAATCATTAAGAAACAAAATTTAATTATTATAATTTAAATAATAAATTATTTTCATGTAATTGACTTATAATTTGATTGTTATTTAATTATTACAAAAATGTGTGTCCGATAAGTGAATTTGGTTTTGCGCACTACTATAGAGTTTTGTCATTTGAAATATTTATTGACCGATTATGCGCCGATCCGGTAAAAACAAATGTATACTACATTCAAGTGTTTTTTCAGTATTTACAATCACATTAAGTGACTTTATGGCCGACAAAATTGAATTGTTTTTATATATAATTATTAAGTCCTAATCCCCTCCAAAACACCTGTCATTGTTGAAAGAGTAAGAACAGAGAGAGTGAGTGAGTGGTGGTGTTTGACGCCTCCGCACAGTTAAAAAATAGAGGGAATATGTAGTAATGTTTTGTTGAGATAAATGGGTCACATAGTCATACATTTAACTATAATAACCAGTGAATTACTACTCTGCATAAGCTCTACAATAAGCATATACTGTACGGCATATCGTATTAGTTTATCTCGATTCTGGTGATAATTTTTTATATATATATAATAATAATTTCAATATAATATATATTATTTGATATAAATATAATACTGTAAGTGTGCTGTTATAATCATTTTTTAACAGAGATATATATTTACACAAATGTTGTTATTAGTAAACAATCATTTATTTATTCTGTGAATTATACAGTTATATGCATCGCTATAGCGATAAAACACATCAAATTAGGAAGCAATCAGTAAGTTATATAATAATGAAAGTTATGTATTGCATGTGTTATCTATAATATAAATGTTTATGACATTAGACTTGTAACTTAAGATCACTGTTTAATAGTGATTCAATATATCCTGTCGGATGTTGTACTGTATAAACAATTATATTTATGTTACCGGACGGGACAGATAATTAAAAAATATATAATAAACAAATACTTTTTAATTATTTAATTTTGTTACTTAACAAATTTAGTACATTTGCAAAATTTCAATTAAATGATTTTAATTTTAAATTATTGAAAAATATTAATTAATTAATAAAGAAAAAATATTTTACTAATAAAATATCCAATTGACAGGACATCAAAATAGTCCCTAAAGTCGATACTCTAGTATAAGACTCAAAGTTCTTGTAACTTGATTTTCGCTTTAATTTTTTTTTTATGTATTCAACTATTATATACCGTATTCCCTGCGATAACATATTATTATTATTTTAAACAAAATTATATTTAATATATCTCTTTTATTTTTAACAATTATGTATTATTTTATTTAATTATTTTAATAAAATTTGCTTATTACTATATTATATAAAAAAGTTTTTTATTTAATTTTCAGTATAATATAATACTTAATTTTTTTTAACTACAATATATTAGATAGATTTACATTTATTAAATAATAAATAATTATATTTATAAAGACAGATATTTATTTTGTTTTTTTTATAAAAATTGCATAGATTACTAATAAATTTGATATTTAAATTCAAAAAATAAATCTATTGATCTATTGTGATTACTCAGTGAAATTCATTTAATTTTATATTTTACCTAGATAAGATATATTTAATAACATAAGCATTTTAAAAATAAAATTATAAATAATACAGATAATGCTATAATATAATTTAATCTATAATTTAATATTTTATAAATTTTAAATAATTTTTATAGCTTTTAAAATTTCATAATTTACATAAAAAAGTGGAACTTTATACCTAGATTATCACTACAGTTATACTGTATAATAGCTTATACTATTGATCTAGTTTACTTTTTTAAAATTTTTATTACATGTAAACCATTTCTCGTGATTTTTATTAGCAATTATATATTTTATATACATTATATATGTATAGTATTATATAAATGTTGGAATACGGTATATATCGTAATACAATAGACAATATGTATCTTATTTATACAAATAGCGCAATGCGTTTATATTAAATATTTATTATAAAAGCATACGAGAAATAGATTGATTACATTATACAGTCTATTGAAAATTAATACGGCATCTCATATATTATATATACTTTAATATAACATAATATGACATATAATACATGAGTTTTTTGTAGTTGTGTGGAGTGGTAGGTGGTTCCTTGTATGCTATATTGACAATAATAAATAAATAAGTTGTGTGTTAATTAAATTTGTGTTAGAATTGTATGTTTTCTATCTTTTATTAATTTATGAAAAGCTGAATAAATTTATTATTTTGTATTTCAATACTAGAAATATATAAATAATTTTTTTTATTTGTTATTATATTAAAATAATTTATATGACATAACAGGTGAGGCTAAAAGCAGTTTTGTAGCAATTATTATCATATAATTACAAGTTTTATTTCATTGCATCGTATATCCAATGCTTTTATAAGTATTTCATATATCAGTTAATATAATATATGCTTTAAAAATATTTTGTTTAGCATATCATCCTTGAAGTCAGCATTGAATTAGTACTGAAATTAATGTCTTGATTTGGGTGAACACCATATCAGGCATACCTTTAGATGTCATTACATCGCCTTTTAATACAATTATTTATTGAACTCAACTCTCGTTTTATTTCAAAAAGTCTTTTTTAACATATAAACCATTAAATTATTATTAAATTAGTTTTTTATATAAATTTTATGTTTTTAGTGTATATTTCATGTCAATCTTCATATTATTTATTTATTACCAATAATATGTCATATGAAATGTTTATGATTTGAAATCAATTTAACACTTTTTGAAGTTTTATTAATAAAAAAGTATTGATAAATTAGTTTTTTTTATAAATTATGTGCGAAAAATATATGTATAAATTATTGTACATATACTATATATAGGATACCTATGGATTATGTGTAATGTGATAATGACTATGTGATAAATTTCAATAATTTGATATATTTTTATTTATTAATTATTATTTGTGACATTTTAAGTTAAAACATTGAATTTTATTGAAAACTTTATATGTAATTTTTTGAAGTTTATATATTATTATTATTGTTATTATTATTATATATTTTCAAAGATATATTTGTTTATTGAGTTGTAATAAAATACTAATCAAATTGTTGTTGTGATGCTTCTGGAGCCGCGACCTTTTCGGCCGTTTAAGACATGCGGAGAGTACTTGTATGCCATGAAAGAAGATTTAGCCGAATGGCTAAACACATTGTATGAACTGGACATCGATGTCGACAACTTCATGAAACAATTGGAGACCGGAGTAGTCCTCTGCAGGTGAGTGCCATTCTTCTGGTTTTCTATAAAATTATTTTTTTTGGTTAAAATTTTAGAATTAATTTTTTAATAAATTAATTTTTACAATTTTTTTGTTAATCATTTAAAAGACATGCTAATCATGTGCTGAAGAAAGCGCGTGAATTTGAGGCCAATGGTAGTCAATGTCTTGATATAACGATTCCGAAAAAAGATGTCATATATCGTGACGGTGTAAATCCGGGAACATTCCGCGCGCGCGACAATGTATCCAATTTTATTAGTTGGTGTCGACTGTTGAACATTCATGAGTGCCTTCTCTTCGAGACCGACGACTTAGTTCTTCGTAAAAATGAAAAAAGTTTTATATTATGTCTTCTGGAAGTCGCCCGAAGAGGTTCTAAGATAGGTATTTGTGTCTCTATTGGCAATGCTTTTAGCGTCAAACTTGACATTGCTATCGATTTTTATCGAAACCAATAGGTATTTTAGCGCCGACTTTGATCCAATTGGAAGAAGAAATCGACAGAGAGTTGGCCGAAGATTCTGCCGACAAAAACAATGACAAAAATGATGACAATTTAATAAAACCACAAATCATTACAAATGATCTCAAGTCACTTCATGAAAGGGTATGTAAAATACTAAAAGTTATTATTCAAATCAAATATAAACAAAAAACATAATATTTTTATGATAATAATATTTCCTGAACTCTATCTAAACCATACCTTTTGATTTATATTTTGATATTTAACTTATGGTTCAAAGCTTCAGGTTATATGCTATGTTAGGTTATAAACTATTTGCAAAATATTTTTCTCTATTAAAAACAACACATCAAATGCCTCATAGCTCTGGCATTACTTGTTTGTCCAATAGTTTATCATTTAATAAAATTTGTTAACTATATGTTAGGTCGTATTGATGAACTTAGTGTATAAATTTTTGATACATACTTAATAGATAATATAATAGATACTAATTAATGGAATCTGACTTGTAATTTATAATATAATAAATTAATATAATTATTAAAAAATTATTTTGAAAACATTGAAGTATTAGTAATGTTATTTTATAGCTGTTTTAAATTCATTCATTGATTCATTAAATTTTTATAGATTTAAACAATTTTTTTTGAATTTTATTAATAAGTGACTAATAAAATTGTATTGAAAATTAGTAAATGATTTACTGTATATAAAATAGGTGGTCGAGTTGTTATCCCGGTGCACGTGTCCCACACAGTATAACTTGGAGTATATATCTGATGGAAAATATAGGATTGGCGACACAAAAGTGCTTATATTTGTCAGAGTAAGTCAATTGATTGTTATTTTTATTACAATTATTGATAAATAATTAGTATGTCTTTATTTGTCAAATTAATTGCATTAATTATTAATTAGATATTGAGAAGTCATGTAATGGTAAGAGTGGGCGGCGGATGGTATGTATCGATACTTACAATGATTTTAAACGATATACGTGTTATACTGTATTTATAGTGAAATATAATTTTATTTTTAATGCTTTTTAGGGATACACTCGAACACTATCTAGAAAAACACGATCCCTGTCGATGTCGATCGGGTTAGTTATTAATTGTTATTTAATTTTTATAATACAATAATAATAATAATAATATTACTTTTGCTAAATACAGGTACTCGACGTAGTGGTTCACTACCGGATTCATTGGGGAGTTCGGCCCCACATTTCCGAGTCCTACGGGACCCCAATGCTGGTCAACGCGTTTCCCTGTTTCGGGTGTCATAAATAATAAGACAATAATATTGTATAAATAATAATAATAATAATAATAATAACAAATGACCATCGCCAAAATTTATTTTGTTATTTTACTAATTTTAGTAATTGATTTATTTTCGTTATAATTTGTTGTTATTATATATACTGTTATACATACAGTAAATATAAATTATATATTATATTTATAAATTTTTAATTTTTTATATTAATTAATTGACATACATTATATCTTGTTATATTATTGATTATATGATTTATTTGATACCATAATATTTAACATATCCATATAATTAATAGTGGATTCAATATAAATCATTTAATCCAATAGTCAATTTCTATAGATTAGCTTATGAACTCTATTATAGATATATATAAATATATAACTAATAATATTAATTAATATTATATATAAAGTAAAGTATATAGTATTATATATATATATTGTTGACATCAAATAATTTATATATAATAATACTTTTGAAAGAATTTTATCAAATTTTATAAACATTTGCTCATTAATTATAAATAGATAAACATTAAGTATTGTATGACACTATTTATAATAAATATAATAACGTAATGTTAATAATAATATGTAATTTTACTAAATCAGATAATTTAGTCAAATTTTGTTAAATCATGTATTTTAAATAAATAACAATTATACCTAATTTCTAAAATAAGAGTCAATTATTACTATTATTAAACATTAAGTTTTATGTAGTCTTTAAAACATATTATACTAATAAAAGTTACAATTGAAGACAGTTTTCGTTCACAATGTGTCACACTTTGCTTAACACTCGAGTGTTTCGGTCTCCGAGTCCGACATCACTACTGTATTCACAGTAACAGTGATATCAGCTTTTGGTCACTTTTGAACATATGATGGATGAGAGAGAGAGAGAGAGAGAGAGAGAGAGAGAGAGAGAGAGAGAGAGAGAGAGAGAGAGAGAGAGAGATGCCTCATCTCAATAAATTATTGTATTACCGGTACATTAAAAATATGATACTAAGTGTAAAACAATATTTGAAAATATTGTAATAATTAAAATTAACAATTTTTAAATAGTGCCTCAATCTGAGACAATTTCTAAACTATTAAAAAATATATACATATTTTAATATATGATATAAACATAATTTAACTGCCATTAGAGTGTTACGCAAAGTGTCTTTGTATTTGTTTATAAGTTTTAAATACAAATTCTATTAAAATATTGTTTTATAACAATTGGTTTCAAATATCTGGATATTATTACATTAATATTATCTATATTTAGAATGATATTTAAACTGATATGAAATATATATGAAAAATATTGATTTAATAATGTCATTGTGTGTGTTGTTTAATGTGTTATATGAATGCTGAATCATTTAGTTTGTTTAGTTTAATTTAATAAATTAAAATTATATTAAACTGTACTTGTTATCAATTAAACATTAATTAATTTATTAAAATCAACTAATTATATGTAGATATTGTTATAATTAAAAAAAATAGACTTCAAGGAATAAATTTATTTTGACTAAATCACTTGTATATAACTTAATTAATCCAATAATAATTTTACTAAATTATTATAATGCATACAAGAGCTTATTTAATATAATTTTTTATAAATTTAAAAAATATATAAAATAAATAGTATAATCTTGTATAATGAGTCCTGAAATTTTATATTATTACAATTTGGTTTAGTAAATTACTATAATTTATTTTTCAATTTAATCTACGAATCGTAAATTACGATATATAAATATTATCTTTATAACTTACATTTTAAAATAGTGAAATAGCTATAATTTAGTAAAAATTATTAATAATTTCATTAACTAGTTTGACAATAAAAAAATGTCCTAATTTGTATTAGTACTCCATTGTAAACTCTAAATTTAATAGACATATGCAAAATAAAATGTGAATATTAATATAAAGATTGACTAAATAATCATTTTAGTGACATGTTTTGTGCAAACAACTACAGTATTACATATTATTGAGTATTGTATAACATATCACAACTCATATATTTGTGTTTTATTGACATTTATTAGACGTGTTTGAGGGATAACTTGTCTAATCAATCAAAATCTTTAAATCTTTACATAGTGTTAGCTTTTATAAAAAATAACATTTAAGACAAAATTCAGTAATGAAATAATATAGTTATCATAATAAATAAGTTATGAAAAATTAACTGTTGTACAGAGTTTAGTAAAAGTTATAATAGAAATAGTAATACATTAAATAGAGTACTATACTGTACTATACAATGTGTTAGCATATTATGCAATATATACAATGTTATATCAGCGTTATAGATAACTTACTGTATAAATGCAAATATATTAAAAGTCAAAACCTGTGATAAAATTTTTAAATATTTTATAGCTATATTTACTAAATTAAACAATATTAGTTAAATAGTATATATTTCATATAATCAATTTTAATTCATTTGTTAAGGTTTCTAGTATTTTAATTTAATAACAAAATTTAATGCTTAATAGGTTGTGTATAATTTATAATAATTCAATAATTAATACTACAGTAATTGGTAATTCAGTGAATAAGTAATAAAAATATTTGTATCAAACAAGTGAGAAAAAATGTAACCGATTTTCTCAAATAAAATTAAGTCCATTGAATAATTAGTTTTCAAATGAATCAGACTTATTAATAATTTTATCATTAATTAAGATATATTGTCTATCAATTGTTTAATCAAAATAATTTAAAACTTAACAGTTTTTATAATTAAAATTTTGAGTTTATTTGTAGATATATATACATCAGAGACCATTTCTTAATCATGTTTTATATAGTACTGTAATTTCCCATTATAGCAACATTTCATTTTATTTGATATTTTTGACCAAAATGTGCTAATTTTAATACTATTATAATAAATGATAAATTACAGACAGAAACTATCATATTTTGGCGAAACTTGTTTTGTAAGTTTCTAACAAAAAATATATAGCAATATATCTTATATACAGAGAGGTGTCAGTCAGTTAAATAATAATACGGTACTCTACTATTGTTGATAATAAGTATTATCATATAAATGTATATACATATCATATTATTATTATTATGAGTAAAAGCATTGAATGCGAATCTTAAGGGGAGGGGGTTAGCACTGACTCCAGGTATGTTTGTCGGTATGAATACCTAACGATCCGAGCATTTTGTCGACAATTTCTATTGTTATATAAAAATATCAATGCATTCAAACACAGAATACTCTCCTCTGCTATCAGTTATATCGATAATAACATTAAATTTATATTAAGATTAGTATTACAAACAACAATTGGTATGAAATAATAGTAATCACAAATACTTGTGAATTATTAAATACTGGTATAATGTAAAAACGTGTATTTTGACATGTATTTTAAACATAGACAAACATGACTTTATATACATTGTACTAAAGATACAGTATATTTTTATAAAATTAATAGACATTATATAGTTTATTTAAAAAATATTTATTATTATAAACTTACAAACATTTATTATGTCAAATCAATTTTATTTAAAAATAACAGTACAAATGATATTTACAAATAAATTAACTATAAAAATTAAATTATACAAATAAAAATATCTTTAAAATAGTTTTTTTAAACAAATATATTCTGTTATATATTTATTTAAATAACTGTCGACGAATACAATAATCTTTTAGTAAATATTTATAATATAATACATTTTGAGCCTAAAAATGCTAAATCATAACAAACACGTTGTCATTATCTATTCATTTAAAAATCAAAGATATGTCAGAATTTATATAACATTAAGTTTTGCTTAACTAAACACTACAAAAACACCGGATTTTTTGTGCAAATATTTTTTTTCAAAGTTTATGTCAGCGATTCTCGAGTTGTCATTTAATAAAAATCATTTGTTACCAAAACTTTTCAAATACTATATATATTTATCAATAAATTTATCGATATATTAACTGTAAAATTTCTTTCCGGTTTGTTGTTTGATATTTAAATTAATTGTAAATTTATTAGTAATCGATATTCAAATTTTTTTATGTATGGTATTTCTAAATATTAATTTGTTATATATTCCAGTATTTACAGTAAATTAAGAAATAAAAAAATATATGTTATAATAAAATTTTTATAATTTTGATATATTTCAATACTAATAGTGATTATAAGATTATAATACTATAATCATTCAAATAGTTAAACAAAATTAATATTAGTATTTATTATCTATTGCATTGTGTTTACATAATGATACAACAATAATTTTGTATATTTGAAAAATTTTAAACTTTTTAAAATTTGATGTTAAAAACTTACATAATCATGTTTAAAACAAATCAGCATTATATTAATATTGTATATAAATATAATAATTCTTATATTACAGTATTTAAGACCTATATTATAATTATTAATAAATCTATTTTAAGGCTTTTTGTTTAACAAGTTGTTAGTTTCAACTATTTTGTTATATTATTATTAATATTATTATTTAAAATTAACGAATACATTATGAATACATTATATTACATATAGTTTTGTTTAGTAGTCATACAAAATGTAGTCTAATATGTATTTTTGGGCCATTTTGGGGCCAATTGTATCTGCAATATATGGTTAAAGTAGTCTTACAGTGGTTTGTTTGTCGCCTCAAAAATACGGTCTTTTACTATAAGTATTGTATATAAGTTTATACTACAGACAGACTACTACTTAGGGTATACCCTATGCTTAGGGACTACAAGGCTGATGACCCCTTTGTACAGGAATGCACAGGCATTTCAAATACTTTATAATAAATTTTAAAAATACATTGTATTTATTAATCAAATATATGAAAAAATCTTAAAACTTTCATATTTCTAAACATATGTCACAACATTACTGTGCGATAACAAACATTATCCAAACATATAAGTGATAAATAAATTTTATAAAAATAATTATGCAATCATTGCATTGTATCAGACTTTCAACGTGTGTCCTAATTGTCTATATTTTAGTTTTACAGCATTTAAATGCTTTGAGAAAAAGCATTTTTAATATACATTTGTAGTCAACCACTGGTACTGTTGTAAAAGCATAAGACTTTACAGCTCTCTCTCGGAGCAGACACCTAATGAACCGGTCGTTACTTTATATATAGTACGGCACTTGAATATACCGGTACCCGATTCAGTCTAATATCATTGACTAACTATAAACCCGACTCTAGTTTCAATTATAATCCAAATACGGCGATAGCATTGATGGTGTCAGTGATGATCAGGTAGTTATAAATGATTTGATTGAAGTAATATCGGCCATAACATGACATTAGTTGATGATGTCGGTGCCAATATGATTGTCGTAATTTGTTAGTTAGACTCTCTTATGTTGACTCTCTCTCTCTCTCTCTCTCTCTCTCTCTCTCCTATCCCTCTCCGCCATATACATGTATGTGTTTGTATGTGTATGACTTGTATACTATATGTGCTTAAACTGTATATATATTACAAACATATATATGTATGGATAAGTATGTGTATGTGTTGTGTATAATACAGTGTATACGATATGATATATAGTGATTGTATTGTATTGAGTGTTACGCGAGTATTGAGTACTCAATACAGTATAGCGTTGAGTGTAATGACTGTAATGTATTGAATCAACTAATCATAAGTTGTTTGTTATTATAAAATATTTTTGTGTCAATTCATCGAGTGATCAGTTGATGAAGGAGTTGATGGCACCTATAATCCACTGATGGTCTCCGCCATCCATGTCTTATTGATCGACCATTTCATCTCATTTGTGGTGACGATGACGACGAGTGCTGTCAATACCAGCGGATTAATGGTTTCTCCTGTTGTCGTATCTGTATCTTGTGTTTGGTGATAGTTATTGGATCAACTTGTGGTGTGATTAACACCAATAAGTGGGGTGATAGTGGCCATCATCATAGATACGGTTGTGTTAAGTCGTCTCATGTATGCATGTGTCGGATGGTCTGGTCTTTAATGGAGAGTTTGGACATTAAGACACAATGGACACATCCAAACAATAGTTGGTCACAACACACGACTACTACCACTAAGTCTACCAAAAACAAGATACCAATTGTAAAATCAAAGGATAATAAGTGCCGTAAAAATGAGGGCAAAGAAAAACAAAGAAAAAACAAAGTGAATAATAATAATAATAATAGTATTGCAAAACCAAAGCCATTATATGATGAAGACATTGTCGATGGATTTGCTATATTAAGCTTCAAGAGCTTCAAAGATCTTGAGGTTTGTCTTCAAATATTAGATGTCATGATTTGTACCACCATTTAGTGGTTCTTTATATGAAAGTGTATTTGAAATAATTATCATAACTCATGTCAATATTAAGCTTATATAACGTTTTATTAGTATATTATGCTGTGTTTTATTATTATTATAATACTAGACATTAGATTAGATGAACCGGTGCCTACCTGTGCTCGCAATTGACCTCTCTTTATCACTCTTTATCACTGTCCTAATCCTCGGGGATTCCTATAAATTATACATAAAAGCAATTAATATATTAGTGTTGTATTAAATATGAAAAAGTGTCAAAAATTATATTATTTTATACATTATATTTTTACAAACATTATGGTTGAATCAATAAAACCTAATCTAATCTAACATTAAATTACACCAAATAATATGTTATATTAAATCAGGTTTAAAATACTCTAGTTATTGTAATATACATAATCTATTCACACAATTGCTTAATATTTATATAATAATAGTTTTTGTGATTTTTACTTATTATTATTATTTAAATCATTCATCAAATATACTAAATTTAGTTATATTATTATTCAATGTGTTTTAAACTTTTCTAATTGAGTGCTATATAAATTTTATGAATAATACATATTCACACTATTATATTGTTGTAGTTTAAAAAAATAGTTACTATATATATATATTTCTTTAAATAAATACATATTTGTTGTAACGATTACAGATTTTATATAGAAATGCTATTATATAACAATATACAGTATTACTGTATTATTAAAGGTTTTATTAAATACAGTATTAAATGAAATTATATGCATATATATTATATTCATAAAAGATTAGTTTACTAAACAATGTAATTTGTTAGTAGAATTTGATGAGTTAAGCTTGATACATTTAGTTGAAAAAACAAACATTTTAATGATTATCAATCTTTTGATAACATATGATGTAAATAATATTAATTACAATTCCGACAATTTTTTCTAATATATCTGAAATTTAGTTTTATATTGTTGTATATTTTTATCATATTTATATAATTTATTAAATATTTTTACTCCACTTTACACATATGTTAAGATCTTTATGATCCTCATTTATATACTGTACTATACAGTACTATATACTATTAATGATAGTATTTGATACCATGTGTTTAGATTAACTCAAAATACATATTGTTGTCCAATCATTATTTATTGATCCATAAAGCATAGCTAATGTTTTACATTTTGCTTATCTATTAAATAATTTTTTTGTAACTTTAAATTATTATATATATATATATACTGTATATTGTACAGTATATAATGAAAAATGTTGATACAATTGAACATGATGGAAATTAATAATTATTTTGTTGGTCATTTATAATTTTTTAATGTATAAACTAAATGGAATATTTCTATACGTTTAGTAACTTTATTATATATTATATAATAAAAGACATTTAAATGATTAATACAGTTAAAAAAAATATTGATTAATTTATGGGGTATTAGTAAAAGCCAATTGACTAAATAATGACTGACAAACATCGGTCACATTTGCGGTTCACACACAACAGTAATACAGTATTATTGCAAAGTTATGTTTGCTATGTGTTTGTGAGTGAAGCAGTCGAGCCAATTGCCAGTGCAATGCACTCATGCCATTGACATGTTATTTGTGTTCAAGTATTATAAACCCATTTTCCTTAACCATATATCCTATTTATGTGAGAGTTGGGCCATATTAACCAAATTTTGATTGTATTGATGATATTTTATACCATTTGATTGTATTGTAATTTGTAACCAAAATTAAAATCGTTTTTTTATAACATTGAATATTATATAATATAATTGCTTAAAATATGGATTATCTTAGACAAACAAAAATGTTGTATATCCTAAATGATGATTAGATCATATTTAATAATATAAAGTTAAATATTTAAGTAATTTTTTATCTAACGATAGGCAAGTTCTTTGTCGTTGCAATAAATTTCCTGTAATTTCTCAATTTCCCCGTTCCTTACAAAGTTCCCACACAATCTAGTTGTCACATATTACAGTTTAATGAGCATGATCAAATTAATTGTCTTACATTGATTCACGTATTTTATCATGCTCAATTTAAATAGTAATATGTGTCTAGTATTGAATCTATTATTATTATTTACAATAATTTATTTTGTATTTTAATTATTATAGTTGTCATTTAGTTTCTGAAAAAATAAAGATAATGCAATTGTAAACCTGACACTCATTTTATATTATCAATTATATACACAGTATATACTGTATACTATATTATATATATATATTAGTGTTGTGACTAATTTAAAAGGAAATGCAGTATTTAAGTAATTAACTTCAATTTTGAACCATAAAATCTTTTTTATTTTTAATTTCATAACTAAAAACATTAAAATGTTAGAAAACTATGTATTTAAAAAATTATTATTTAATACATTTAAAATATATTTAAGAAACAATTTATCTAAAATTTTATTTATTTTTTATTCATTGAGTTTTTATTCAAAATATGTCTTACAAATAATAATACTCTATATTATTATTAAGTATTTTAGCTTTTCTGTTGAAGCATTTGCTTGCATTTAAACGATTACATGTAATCAGTGATTATTATTATGAAAGGTTGTCGAGAGTGGTATTAATAATACTATATAATATCATATATTTTGTGAATTATTATAGTGTTGTATATAGTTATTGTGTTATTTGTTGAGATATACCGTTATATTAAGCTATATGTTTGACTAATTTATATGTGTGAACATTACTCCGGTTATTAAAATAGATTATTATATGAGAAAAGCATTATAACTAAATAAAGTGTCACAACTTATAATTTTCTAATACCTTATGAGTTATGTTTTAGTGTCAATTAATATTTTGATTGATTAGTCACATGTGTTTTAATTTACTATTTTTTATTTCATTAACAGATAGCAATAAATGGCAAAAGTAGTCAAAAGAAAAAAGCGAAGTCAAAGACACAGACGACAAAAGATGAGACATCGATATCATCGACTGTTTCATCTCAATCATCGGCATCACAATTATCATCACTACCTAAATACAGTGATAATAAAAATAATACCAACAAAGTGTCCAACAAATTGACGGCTAATAAACTGTCGAAAACAACAACAAAATGTTTAAAGAAAGTCGAGTCTAATAATGCAAAGCATATAAAGCATACAAAATGTGACAAAAAACTCAAACAAAATGCTTGTCATATGAATAATGGCATCAATAAAAGTGTTAATATTAGTAATAAAAATGTTGACAATAAAGATAAACATAAGACAAGCAATTGTAGCAAAAATAATAAGTCATCGGAATCGGTGTCAATAATATCGACGACACATAAAAAGACATCAATCAATGTATATAAACCACAAGTTCTTCATATAAATCAAGTAAGTCATCGCTGTTTTGTTTGTTTGTTTATATACTTATTATCACTTTAGTACTGTATATTACTGTATAATCACTTTTTTATTTAATATAACTTATTTCAATTCAATCTCATTATTTGCAATGTGAGAATTGTTAAGCTTATGGATAGATTTGTTAACAAAAAATTACTTAATATATGTATGTGTAATGTCTAGTTATTTCCCACATTAAGTGTCTATTAAATGTAAAGCTATATAGTACTATAAATTACATTTATACTGAATAAATTATATACATATATCAGCTTATATATAGTACTGATTGTATTAAGTTTTTATTGAGAAATACATTAAGCATTATGTTTGTCTAATTCCTATGTGTTGTGAACATTACTCTATTATTATAATTGATTATCATTTAAAAGCATTATAACTACTGTTTACTTATGTTTCTTTATTGTTGTTTTTTTTTTTTAATTCAATACAATGATAGATTACAATAGTAAAAATAAATTATTTATTTTATTAACCAAAAAAATTCAAATTTATTTTTTAAAGATTTATTTTGGATGCATAACTTATATATTTAATACTTAAAATTTATAATTACACATATTTTATTAGAATTACCAATTGTCTTTATAATTATTTTAATTAAACATTTATTTACTCATTTGCAAATTTGTAAAGTTAGTTATTAATAGTTGTATTAAAATTATGTAATTCAAAGTTAATTTACAATTTTTACATGAAATTACAATCTTTGTTAATTATGTCCATTTAATTATATATCAAATCGATGTCTTACTAAATGCATAAATCAATATATAGTGGTTTTATATTTAATCTGTAGAAAACCAATTAATAACTAATAAATTGCTAGTATAGGTATTACAGGTGACGACAAAAATTATAAAATAAATTACTTAATATTGTATTTTTATATTTTATACGTTATATATTTTATATTTCATAAATATTCACTTGAGTAATTTTAAATATCGAAATTTTTTAGCAAGATAATTATTTGTAATCTATATTTTGTTTATTATATTATAAATTAAGTCTAATTATTATATATGGTATACAAAATTTAATGTGTCTATTGAGATGAACAATTAAATTAGTTATTATTGATAAATTACATAAAAAATTTTTGTGTGGTTTGTAAACTTAGTTTTTCAAATTATTTTTCATCTTAAATGCTAAAGTTTTTATTGTTTATTTATTAATGATAATATTAATTAATATACCAACTAAAATATCTGTATCGTAAATTATATTCTAGATTAATTTATTTAAATTATAATTAGTAATAGACTACTATGTGTTACAGAATAATTTAATATTTGTATTTATATAATAGATAACAATAAATGGTAAAAGCAGTCAAACGAAAAAATTGAAATCAAAGAAGGCATCAAAAGATGAGACATCGATATCATCAACTGTTAGCTCACTATCATCGGCGTCACAATTATCTCAACTCAAATACAGTGATAATTCAAAATCTAATGCTAACAAAGTGTCCAAATTGACGGCTAATAAGATATCAAAAGCTACAGCAAAATGTTTAAAGAAAGTTGAGTCCAACTCAAAGCATTCAAAATGTGACAAAAAACTCAAACAAAATGCTTGTCATATGAATAACGGCATCAATAAAAGTGTTAATATTAGTAATAAAAATGTTGACAATAAAAACAATAAACATAAGTCAAGCAATTCTAGCAAAACTAAGAAGTCATCGCAATCGGTGTCAATAATATCGACGACACATAAAAATACATCAATTAATGTATATAAACCACAAGTTCTTCATATAAATCAAGTAAGTCATCGCTGTTTTGTTTGTTTAGTGATTAACTTTATTATAAAAAATAGTGACATTTAAGCTCAATGTAAATCTATATATATTTTTCAATGAGTATAATTTATTTGCAATCAATTTCACAATCTCTAAGTTATTATTTGAAAATTTGTTTTCTTTATGTTTTTATATGAAACTCTTAATTTAAACAAGCATTTGCCCGATTAAACGTAAAAAAGAAAATATTTTTCAATATAATGGTTTATAAAATATATTTTTTATTTTATATAATAGTAAATAAGTGCGTAAAGTATATGTTATATAAAACTTACTCTATATTGTATATACTATATAGCATTAAATGATTAATCGATTTTCATTTTTATTTATGTTTTAATATTTTTCAAAAATCTGAACAATTTTGAACCCATATTACCTTAAAGGCAGTGATTTTTAACTATTTTATTATAAGTGTGCAAATTTGTTGATGTATATAATTTCATATTATATAAATAATAATAATAACAATAATAGTATATAAAAATAATAATAATCTTTATCATTAATAACATAAATATTGTATTATTTTGAAAGCTGTGATCAAATGTTTACAAATGTATTATTGAAAACTAGTGGCAAATATATTATATAGTCGTTGCACTAAAATCTATGTCTAAGCTCTTTCTATGTGTTGTTTGCAATCAATTTTATCGATTTAAGCGCAAACTTGTCTCACAAATGTACAAATGTTTGTCTTGTCGTTCAATTTTTATTATATATTTTTTATTGTCTGTATTATATACTTATATAGTGTAGTATAGACTATAATGTCATATAATATCTTTGATAACATATGATATTAATCAACATTATTAATAACATACACATATAGAAATTAATGATCATTTTATTGACTTTCAATTATAGTATACATTATGTAATAATTAATTTAACTAAATAAGTAATAATCGGTAAATCGCTATTTAGTAAAATGTATGACAATTTCATGCATTATTACTTGTTTATTATTATTTACGTGATAACAAAGTTATAATTTCTATAAGTACAATATATTAATAATTTATAAATAATGTATTTATGATAAACATATAAATATTTCATATCTATATTACTGACCAATGCGTACAATATGGCAATCAATACACATATATTATTAATTTGTATATTTTTTTATAAAAGTTTCATTATATTTATTTATGTAATTAGTTTTAAGTATATATATATATATATATATATATTAGAGTAACGTTTATAAAATAGTATTATATAAAAAATAATTTGTATTAAATATTTTATGTTATAATTTATATTAAGCAGAGCTTTCAGTGCATATCTACTGTAATGTACTTTTGGGTAAAATAGACAAATTGTTTAAAAATTGTTTGAATTGTGTGTATTTTGACTATAAATTTTGATAGTGTGTTAACAAATGTAGTGAATATATATAAAGATTTGAAGCAAAAAAACTAGTGTTTCTATAGTAACAGAGGACACACTCACAGTCGAGCATCACTTTTCTGGTCTGACATTAACTCAAAAGAAAGCACTTTTAGACTGAGAGTTGGGCCACAAATGGAGCGCAAGTGATGGATGACTTACTGGGGATATGGCTTAAGATGAACACATCAGATGATATAACAGTAGTTGTAGTGTAAAGACAGCAGAAAAAGCTATATTTTTCTCATACTTTGCTTATATATCAAAATGCTTTTTGACTGCAAAAGCATTGCTCATAAGGTTGTAATTTGTTGTATAAAAGATTGAATATTAGTAAGACTTGAGCGCATAGAGAGAGAGAGAGAGAGAAATGTATTGTATAAAGAGCTGATCCATTGACAAATCTGACTGTAGGTTTGATGTCTGATGAGTCCAATTCATAAGTTGTATGTATGTATGTATGTATGTATGTATGTATGTATGTATGTATGTATGTATGTATGTATGTATGTATGTATGTATGTATGTATGTATGTATGTATGTATGTATGTATGTGTGTGTGTGTGTGTGTGTGTGTGTCATAATGGCAACAATTCATGCGATCGATGGCTCCCCACAGCAATTCCTTCCTGCGGTAAAACAGCAGTAAAAACAACTGTCAATTGTATTATAAAACTAATGCATAAATGACTCGATTATCGCCCAAACAATACTAAAATCAATGTTTATCTCCACTTTTGTTTCATTTATCTTGATTTCCATTTACCTTATAATATATATGCCATACGAGACATCATTTTGTTTTTCTATTGAATTAATGACTAAATTGCATGCTTTGGTACCATTTAAACGAAAAAGTCGTATATTTTACACAATTACCATACAAACGACTATTTTTCAATTTATATTTATTATAATTTAAATCTATTATAATAGTTGGATACAGTATTTTTTATTTACCATTACATCACTTTATTTTTATTATTATAGTATTTTAACATTTTGAAATATGATATATCACTTTTAAAAAGTTATTTTTACAGTATTACTTGTTTATTGTGTTAATAATGTTATCGCAGTTTTATTGGAATTTCTATATATCATTAAATATTAATTAAATATTTTTTTTATTATAAACGTTGTTTTATATGGTAAATATTTTATTGCTAATTATATTATAGTATATTTAATGAATTTGAAATATAATGTGTTCAACAAGTGATACTTAATTTAATTATTTACTTTGAATAATTAAAAACTTGAATCGTTTTATTTGTTTTAATATATTTAGCATTTGATAATAATATTGATAGTTGCGATAAACGGTGTAATAGACTAAATCTAATATTTTAATATTAATTAAATATTATTATAAAATTAAGTGCTTGTTTTTAAATTAAATTAATATATTAAGTAGTATAACGTTTTCTAAGTTGCATTCAATAGGAATTGAACTTTTTTTTAAATAAAAACAAATGAAAGATTTAAAACTTTTAAACACAGTTATTATTGTTTGAAATATATATTGTGACAATTTATTTTATTTTGTTAAATATAATATGATATAAAAACTCAACGAGACTATATATATATATATATAAGATATCGATATATAACAAATTATTATAACTTTATTTGATAATAAGTGTCAAATCGATGAAAATTGTCAGAAAATTTGTTAATGACGTGATCGAAGTATCACTGAATCCCAATAAGATATGTGACACACAATGTAATGCTTAAGTCGTTAAAAAGTTTTGATAAAAACCAATAAATTTTTAAAGAATTTTTTTATTAATTATTTTAATTATAATAAATTTCTTTTTTTTATTATTTAAATAGATATTTAATAATAGTTGAATTAATTTTAGTGCAAATGTTATTTGAATATATTGAATATAAAATGTGTGGACATTAAACAGTTTATTATAAATGGGTTGGACTGTATTATATAATCCTTCTAAGTATACGAACTTCGTATATATTGATAACTAAATATAAAGTGGATTTAGTAAAGTATTACATTTCATTGCCATTATATCACATGTCTATAGACTTGATTTACGGGTGCGAACGCATGAGCACTGGTAGTGATGCTTGAGATGCCAGTGCTGTGTGTGGCGTATGCGTCTCCACTGTCTCTATGGTCGCAATGATCTCTAGGCGGGTCTGCATGAGTGCCGCGGCCGCAGACAAAATAGCTAACAGTGCTCTTTGCTGTGACTTAAGCGCTCAGTCAGTTCGATGCTTATCCTAACACTATAAACATCTCTCACTTTTTCTGACTATTAATAATTTAAATGACTATTTAGTCTGTGATTCATATAATATATATACTGTATATACAGTGTATATATATATATATTATATATATGTATTTGTTTAATAAAGTATTAAAAGTTTATTTATTTGAATTATCTTTTAATTATGAAATGATATTCATATTTAAATATCTTAATATAATTATAGGCCGATAGTAGTGATGATGATTCTGGCGATGATATGTGCGATGATGAAGATGTCAAAGAATTAATTGATAAAAAATTATCGGATAATAATAATAATAATAAGCGTCAAGAAGTTAGTGGTAAAAACAACAACATATCACTAAATACTAGCACCGAATCAAATGATTGTAACAATGACTCGACTGTAAAGAAGTGTCTGAGTCTTAGCCCTATTTCTTCAACTGACACATCGCTATGTTTGTCAACAAACTCTTCATCTTCAGCAACACTGCCACCGAACAGTTCTGATAATGACTGTGCTGTAGTGCAACAACTCAGTGATAGCCACAATGAAGTTACCAGTGCTGATGGTGTCAATACTGATAGTGACAACAAGTCGACATCATGTTCCTCATCCTCACCGAAAGCCAATGCTTTCAAAGTGAATCGCATATTAACATCGTCTCCATTGTTATCTGTGTCAACAACAACAACAGCACATGAAGTGATTTCCAAAGACAATGTAAATGAAGTGGAAGTGCAGTCAAACAAACACTTAAATTCAACAGTGAATAAACCATTAGTGACGAACATCAATGAGTCAGACACTACACATCCTATGGATAGTATTGCTGTCGAAGCAAAAGACAAGACAATTGCATACACTTCACATTTAATTGAATCAGTTGTCGGCGATACCAACACTTCTGCGACTGCAGAACAATGCAATGTCTTAACCGGTGATAAACAATTGCAGCCATCGTCTCCTCTTAATAATAAACTTGAAAATAGTAATAAAGAGAATAATAATTCTAATAATAATAATAATTTAGATGCAAATTGTTTGAAATTATTACAAAACTCTACCTCTTTTACGACTAATTGTAACAATAATTTAACGACAATTAAAAGTTTGCATAGTTTTGGTGTCAAGAGGTCGGTGTCTCCTCTACTGTCTAATCAAAGTACTACCGCTACCGCCGCCAAACATATTCGCCACTCGAGTCCTAACAATAACAATCAAAACGGCATTGATTTTCATAATACTTCGCCACTTCAATATCCAAGTGCTTCACAACAGAGTTTTCGAGGTCTTAGTCATTTGAGTCAACCAATTGGTGGTCACAACTTGCATACAACAGGCAAAGAGTCACATAATAGTATCGGCTCTAACCATACGAACAATATTATCACCACTAGTAAGAACACATCTCGAAGCACATCACTGTCATCGACAACCAATTGCTTGTCTGATAACTTATCGACTAAATCTTATTTATGGTCATCATATGGGTGAGTGTTTTCACATGTTTTTCATTTATTGAAACTCATTTGCTGTTCATATTGATTAGTCCGAGTCAAGGATCTAATGGTAATGGTGTGAATGGATTGTCTCATTTACCACCCCCACCACCACCATCTGGTCTAACAGGACCCGGTGTTACACCTAGCATTGGTTTGCAATTATCAGTGCAAACAAATTCAATGTCAATGTTTGCTTCATTGATTGCATCGACACCATTACCACCAGTTTCCAGTGCAATGGCACCAAGTGCTGCAACTTCATCATTCATTGGTAGTTTATTTCAATAGTACATGAATTAAATGCTATGATTTAACATTTCGATATAAATTTGTTATTTTCAGATCAATGCAATGTTTTGACTGGTGATACCAAACATTCACGATCTTTATCACCATTAAGTCATAAACACGACAATTATAATAAAAAGAATATTAATAATAATTTAGATGCAAATTGTTTAAAGTTATTACAAAACTCTACCTCTAATTATTCAACAAACTGTAATAACAATTCATCTAAAAGTTTACATAGTTTTGGTGTCAAAAGATCATTGTCTCCATCAGTGGTGTCTAATCAAAGTACTGCCACAAAACACAGTCGTCACTCGAGTCCTAATAAACAGAATTGTATTGATTTGCATAATTCACTTCAATATCCAAGTGCTTCGCATCAGAGTCTTCGAAGTCTTAGTCATTTAAGTCAATCAATTGGTGGTCACAACATAAATACAAGTAAAGAACGCCATGAATCTCATAGAGTCGGGTCTAACAGTTCCGACAGTACCAACACTAGTAAAAGCACATCTCGGAGTACACCATCACTGTCTTCATCAACCAGTTGTTCGGATAACTTATCGACACCTAAAAGCTTTTTATGGTCACCATTTGGGTAAATATTTGTTTGTTATTTAAATACATTACATATTTTTATAAATTTATATTTACAGTTCCAGTCAAGCATCCAATGGTGTCGGTGGTGTATCGCACTTATCGCCATCCGGTCTAACCGGGCGTTCAGTCACACCAAGCATTGGATTGCAATCATCAGTGCCTACAAATTCATTGTCAATGTATGCCTCACCTATAGCTTCTGCATCGGCAACATTGACACCTGTTTCCAGTGCAATGGCACCACCAAGTGCTGCATCATCATCACCATTTATTGGTAATTGATTTTTTTTAATGATTTTATATTTTATTTACTTTCTTATTAAAATTTGATATTAATTTATTCATTACAGATCAAGACTTTTTAAGACGCGAATTAGATAACAGATTTTTGGCGTCACAAAACAGGACTATCAATATGCCGCCACCACCTTATATGAGACCAGAAGTACACCATCACATGCATTTGCCTCAAAACCAACCATTTCCCATATCTCCATTGACCAGCTCTCTAGGATCACAAACTAATCCGGTATTTATTAATTATTTATATAAAATAATGTTTTATTAATAATTATTATTTATTTGAATAGTTTGATAAATTCACGAAAATGGACCAAACATATTATGGTCGAAATCCATTAGGACTTTCGACTTTCACTAGTCTTTCACCATTATTAACACCCGGTAGTGCGTCGACCTCAAAACCTATCGGTTTGAGCGGATCGTCCAACACTCCATTTGGACCACCCGGCCATTTGGCCGCATTTCAACCCAAGGTATTTTTATTTAAAATAATATTTATTTGAACGTTATTTTAAATAATAAATTTAAAAATTTAATTATAGTTGAATTCATATAAAAACAAAACAAATAAACCTTTAGTGGTAAGTCCTTAAAGTTACCGAAACAGATAATTTGATTACTGACTAAAATTGTTTGTTGGTTACAGAAGTCTGGCCGTTGGTGTGCAATGCATGTGAGAATCGCGTGGGAGATATATCATCACCAACAACATCAACAACAAAAACAATTAGATGTTACCCATAAAAACAATATGTCTTTGGTGTCGACCAATAGTGGTTCCAAGAGTGGTTCGGCGTCTAACGGTCTGCTGAGGCCATTGAACACAACATTTTCGTTGACATCGCGAACTCAAGACATGTCCCCATTTTCATCATCATTATTAAGCGGTGGAACACCTAATCGATCACCATTTGACTCTCCTATACATCAATATCCATCAACACCAGCACCAACTCATCTCACATCTCGTACAACGAATTTTACTCGTTTTCCTTCATTTGGTTCATTGAGCTCAACACTCAGCAGTTTAAGTTCAGTAGCAGCCGGTGGTGTCACACCATCGGGTGCATTGTTTGGACCGACACCGATAGCGACCACTCGAGACCCACTACAGATTCCTGGTTGTCTTCCAGGACTAAGTGCTTCAGGAAGTGACCTTTGGTCGCGAAGTTCATCGACCCGATCATCAGCAGCAGCCGTGGCCGCCGCAGCCTCACTATTTGGTCCAATGAGTCCATTGACCCCCAATTCTGCAGTCCGATCCCTGTACAGTGATTCACTATAAACTAAACTAAACCATCACTCGAAGTTCCCCTGTTTTATCCCTCTAAATGTAATATAATTGATTTTTTTATACTTTTAAATAATTGTTATTTATTGATCACTTTTACTATATTAACATTCATTAAACAACAAATAATAATAATTAACTGTTTTTATTGCTTTAATTCTGAATTATCACAAATTGATAACACATTTGAAGCTATTATTATAATTATATTGATTAGTGATCATTATATATATATATATATTATTATTATTTACAATGGTTACATTGCTTTGCTTTATATATTATTAAATTAATTTTTGTAGTTTTTGATTACAATATTTTATATTTATTAACTTATTATTATTAAACGATATGTGAACTGTAAATATACTGACCCATAATTTTTGCTAATAATAATTCCTGTATTATACAAATAAACAAAAGTTATTTAAATAATCGGTATTTTTAGAGACCTAATTGAATTTCAAATAGTATTATGGTATGTATCTGACCTTCAGGTAACACATTAATAGTGGACTCAATTGTATAACATGTTAGAGTAAGAGGAAGTCAATGGGATTATCTGTTTTTTACTACAATACTTGCTCTTTATAATCCCTGTTGGACTGGGGTTTCAATCATCTATCTATTATACTCTATAATAAATTATTAATCATAAAATATTGCAATTTATGATTTTATTTGTTTCCTAACTTCAAATCTAATAGATTATTGAACAACAAAATTAATTTGAAAAAATTGTAAATGAAAAATATAATTTATCGATAGATTAAATATATGTTTCAAATCTATTGATTGTGTGGACGGAATAGTCATAAAGCTATAAATCATATAATATCTGAGTTTATTTAATAAATATTTTAGTTTAAAGCTTAAAACCAATGATAATTTTTAATGAGATTTTTTCTCAAACAATAATTGCATTAGTAATTTGCCAAATGATTTATCATTAATAATAATATCAATGTTTTTAAAGCGGTTGTTAAGCTTCAAGCTATTAATTATAATCTTTGGTAATTATATGGAATTAAAAGTTATAATTAAATTTATGAACACAAAATCTATCAGTTTTTAGTTGAAAATTATTATTACATCACATTTCTAGCTTTTTAAACGTGTATTATTAGATAATAGTTTACTTTAAATTTAAATTAACAAAATATTAACTTTTTTTTAAATAAATTTAATATTATCTTTATGATTTAAATGATTATATATAAATTTACAGTATATAACATGAATGTATGTATAAATCAATAATTTATTGATTAATTTAATTTATTGCAACTCTGTGTTTGTTAGCATTTAAGTGCAGTATATTAAGTGCAACAGTGGTTTGACAAGTGATTAGTTATATACATATACTGTATATTACTTATGGTTTAGAAAATCACTTGTGATTTACGATAAACATATGTTTACACTTCTAGTTAGTTAAGTGTCAGACAATAAATGTCATGAAGTAGTCTTAATTATGATTAATCATTGAATAAATAAGTTAAATAAGTTGTATAATTAAGTCAATATATAAAACTTAAATAATATTGTTTATATAATATATTTTGGAGTTCATTGTTTTATTTATGTTAAATATAATAAATATTTAATGTTTGGCCACAAACTATAAATTAACTTTAATTAAATTAAAATAAGAGTTTTGTGTCATTTTATTCTAAGTTTAATGAAAATAATTTATTGCAATGGATTAGTTTAATAGCTTTTAAAATCTTATGCATATACTGTACTATAATTTATTATAACTTATTATAGAGACTATAATATAGATATTATAGATAATGGTTATTAAAAAAAAGATTGTTACTAAAATGCCATTAAAATAATATTATAAATGAGATGTCAATCTATGACATTTAATATTTAGTAAATGACATTTTAAACTAGCATTAATGTTAATCGCAATATAAGAATAAATATTTTAATTTATTAATTCAATTGAAAAAGTTTTTTCATCATTTGTAATAATTATTTGTTGTGACAAACATTATCACTGAAACAATTTATTATATTATACTCTATATTTTAGTAGTAAATAATCATTTTAAGTGTCAATATATATTCCTAACGCGCGCATATGTATGTATGTGTGTGTGTGTGTGTGTGTGTGTGTGTGTGTGTGTGTGTGTGTGTGTGTTTAATAAAATTAATTGAATCTATTGTTATGTACTAAAATGCTTTTACACAATCACTCCCGGGATCTAAATATCCCAATAGAGCTAACATATCGGTGTTAAGTGATTGCAATGATTAGATTAAAACAAACACACAAATTGTTTATAGTTATAAACTTTACTAGTAATTAAAAAAAAGTTATTTAATTAGTAAATATTTTAAATTATGAAAATCCGATCTAATTATACCTTAAATATTGTTATTTAATACACTGAAGTTCAAGTGTTTGATTTAATTTATTTTATATCTATAATATATGTAAAATAGGCTAAGCTTATGGTGCGATACATATTGTGTGTGTCAAACAAATCAATGATATTTTCAAATTGTAAGTATTTTATGAGATTTGCAAAAGTACTTCAAAGTGAATGATAACAACAAAAAAGTGGTCTTTTATTTTGTAAGGTTTGCCTAATAATTGTAATGATTTTATCGGACATTTATACTCAAAACTCGTGATATTAAAAGTTTTTCGAGTGTATGATAGCGTTAACTGCAATATATTGTATTATATATTATATAAAACTTATTTATACATACAGTATATAATAAGTATGTTTTATATGTCATCCAATGTATTAACAATTCTTGTCTCTCTTTCTATCTTTCGCTGTATATACCACTCAACGACATGAGCTGATAGCTAACACTTGAGACATACACATACACATACACATACACATACACATACACATACACATACACATACACATACACATACACATACACATACACATACACATACACATACACATACACATACACATACACATACACATACACATACACATACACATACACATACACATACACATACACATACACATACACATACACATACACATACACATACACATACACATACACATACACATACACATACACATACACATACACATACACATACACATACACATACATACCTCTTGTCGGGTCTTTGAGACCCTCGAGTGTGAAGTGTTGTGCGCTGTAAATGGTTTGCCGGAGTGTTAAGTGGCGCTGATATGGAGTGGACTGACGATACACTCAACACAATACTAGACATACTTCACGATTGGCACTTCAGTACTACAGTCTCTTTACATTTATATCTACTGCAACCTCTTGTAGCTATAAAGCACTTCAAACAACTCAAGAGCACCCAATCCATCCATACATACCAATCCATATACCAATCCATACACCAATCCATATACCATATCCTCTAATAAATTCACTCAAATGGATGCATAAGTTGTAGACTTTGTTTCACTCCAAGAGATATTATCCACTGAACAACACTTTATTTATACAATGAATTCCCCGCTATTTATGACTATTGAATGGTATTTCTAATAACCAATATTTACTATATTTTTGACTAATTATTGTGTTTTTTATTGATTGTGTCATACTTTTAACAAAATTCAAATAAGTTTTATTATAAAATTGACATTTAATTAATTAATATTTTAAATACAGTTAATATCAGTACTAAAGTATTAAATGATTTGTTATATAAATAAAAAGTTTTTATTTTGAAAAATAATGAATTGAAAAATACAATATAAGTATTATATACCAATTATTTGATAATTCAAAATAAATTATTGGATCAAATTATCGCTTTTGTTATTTATATCTTTGAGAAATACTTATTTTTTGTTAAGATTACTATTAAGATTAGTAAATAAAAATTAGAATAATTAAATTAAATTAAAGTTTTCTTAAGTAAATTTTAATTATTACTAATAATTTTTTGAGTCAATAATATAATTATTTCGAAAATTATTTTTTGCTACAAATAAGCATTTCTTCGCAAATCTTATTGATTGTTAAACAATACATTAGTAACTAATTGTGTGGACGTTTTGAATACAATTCAAACGTTTTATTTTTGTTTTATTTCAATAATTTTTATTATTCAATTACACCATCACTATAACCGATTTTAGAATATTATAAATATAATTAACCATGGATAATTATTTATATAATGTTTTTGTATATATATTATTACTTTTATGAAACAAATAAAATACTAGAATTGGGTATATATTGTGTTTTAGAAAATAAAAACAATTGCAAAAATTAATTGTTCAATCGGTTGACTAAATTTAATTGTGGTATAACTTAATAAATTATTTTTTGTTGTCAAAAACTATGTAAAATTAATGACATTATAGAATCTATTATATATTATAGATATTTTATAGTGTTTTTTGTGTAACGAATATTATAAAATACAGTAAAACAACATTCAATGTATTACAGCTCCGGTATTAAAGATTAGGATGTGTTGTGTCAACAAATTTATAAGATATTGAAATTTTAGAAAATATTAAAAAACAAATTTATTGGACAACTGTTTCACGTCTTTTCCGTAAAATTGTGTTGTTTTTGAACAAAAAATAGAAATATTTTAATAAATTTATGTCATTTAATCACTTATTTGTTGGACAAACTTAGTTAACAAATATTAATATATTGGAAACGTGTTTAGGAAAGAGATACCACTTTCCTTCATCAGCAGTACTGGCGGTCAACTGAAATATATCTCAGAGCCGTGTGTTAGAGGTTAAGGTGCGAGGGGTTAGAGATATGCTGTTATTATGTATTTATTTTAAGTAATTCAATATATTGTGAATGTTTAGAGATTTGCAAAATTTTAAATATAATTTTAAATGAAAATATTATTATTGTATATACAGTACTGTATTATATTGTATATTCTGTTGGCACTAGTGTTTGCAGAAACAAAATGTTTGTATAATACAAAGCGTATTATACAGTATAATACAATGTAAAATACATAATCAAATTTGGTTTACAAAAACAAATTAGTGTCACATATTGCTAAAAGCATTTGATATAAACAAAGTAAATCATGTTTTATAATAAATATAAATTTAATATTATTTTTTTTATTGAATTTCATTTTTTATTCTAAATTATTTGATTTTTATAACTTAGAAACAATGATTGTAATAATAATAATAATGCATTTTCTAGCAATTATATTTTTACTAAATATTTTAAAGTAATTTTTTAAACATAATATATATTAGTATTAAAATTTGTATAATACATGCATTACATTGTATTTTACTGTATTATACATTCAAAATTCAAAACCTTGTATTTTTTCAACCCTGGTTTGCAATATATACTGTACTACAGTATAAACTATTACTATACAAACTATTAACTAAATAGTATAAAGGTTTAAAAAATAATTTTATTAATAAAAGTTTATTTTTGAATGAGAAATGTATTTGATTACTATTGATATTAATGTACATTAAGTAAAAAAGTTATGATAACATTAAAGACAGTAAAGATAGTAATAATTATGAGATAGTAATTGTAAAAAACATAAGAATCTATAAAAAAAATTCTTTTTGAAACTTTTTAGAATTTTCATTTTTGGATAACTCTATGTAAATCTCAGATTCATTTTGTAAAATTACCGTAATATACATTACCGTATAGACCCGCATATAGCCCCCATGACAAATTTTTTAAATTTAAAAATCAACATTTGGTGTGGGGCTGATTTTACAAATACCCCCTAATGGTGTTATATGTTAAGTCGTGGGGGGAATGATTGGGGGATAGGATTATATGTAAGATCGATCTATTGCTATCAGAAACAATTAAAGGCCGGTTAATAGCAATTAGTGTTAAAATAGCTAAAATTAAATATATGATAATACAGTAATGATAGAAATAATAATTAACACAATAATCAGTTTCCGAGCGGTCATTAAATTGAAAATTACCCATTTGTAGGTATTATTTGGTATTAAATAGATCTGTCAATAGATTGCATTTTTTAGGGCGTAATTACAAACATTCAAAAAAAACTTCAATTATTTAAATAGTGGGGGTATTTGATAATTCATTAAAATCAACATTTGGTAGAGTGGGCTATATCTCATTTATTGCCTCAAATTTTCACATATAGCCCCTGATGGCTAGGGGCTAAATGCGGGTCTATACGGTACATTTATTGAATTAATTAATTAAAAAATTAACTAATGATGTAATAGTTGTTATACATTATACCTATTTTCAATAGATTTTGTTATAATAATGTTAAGCGACATAAATATAAGTTTTTGATGAATGATTTAATTAAATTATACGTAATATTAAATTAAGACAATATTTTGAGACAATGGTTATCAATAGACTTAAATTATAAATAAATATAAGATTTTTTTATTTAAATTTAGCTTTTATTTGTCAACTTTCGTGTGAAACAATTTTTAAAAATTTAAATTAAAGTTATTTCTTAAATTACAAAAACAATACTAATAATAATAATAATGCATTTTGAATAAAGTAAATAATTATACGATAAAATGATAATAAGTACTATAAGACGTGATAAGAATAATAAAAGTAAAAATAATTAATTTTAAAATAATTAATTTGGCGAACATTTTGGTCGACATAATTGAGAAATAACTTTTCATTTTAAAAAACAACAAAAATATTATTTCAATAATCAAACTGAACGCCCATTAAAAACAAATATCATCTAAACCTTCGAATAAAAGCTCATAAAACTCAAGAAGTGTATATAAATGACATTTTTTACAGTGAATCCTAATAAATGTTTTTTTCATTTCACATAAAATAGACAATCAATTATCAGATGTGTGATTGTGGAGGTGTTATCTGCGTAAAAGGTGTCCATTAGATAGTGTCTGTGCGGCGTTAATGTCGAGTTCAAACTCCACAAGCAGTGGGAAGTGATCGGATGGTATGTGTTGTTGGGGACAACCGGCAACTTTGTTCTCACGTAACCACTCGGGATCTAATGGTCCCAATAGACCCAACACTGTTAAGTGATTCTTCGAGTAAAATATATAATCGATTACACCCTTAAAGTCAAACCTATTAGAAATAAATATTTTTAAGTATTATTATTAGTATTACAACAGTTTTATAGTTAATATAACTGACGTATAGTTCGTGAATGGCATGACATCGTCTCCATAAGCTTTTGTTATTTTGAATGGATGAGTATATTCAGTGGTTCGCTCAGAACAACTCAGTTTACGTAAACAATCCTTATATCCGAGTTCTTTAAAGTCCGGGTGATCCGCTGATATACGACCATTAGATAAAAAGTCGACGACTCCCGATTCGGGCAGTGAATTCAAATCTCCGCAAAAGATCAATGGAATACTGTTAGCGTCGGCTTTTTGGGCGCCCGGTCTAAAACTGTGAGCCGAGTCCTCGACAATAGATCGCAATTCATGCATTAACATTATTGTTTGGATCATTTTAACGTCACAGTACTCTGGGTCCCAATGAATATGTGCCGTACAGACTAATAATGGATGATTCGCTTGCGATGGATCCGGTAACATACCTATTGGTTAAATAAATAGTTTAATTAACAATCAATTATAGTCGGGTTAGTTTGTTATATACCCGCTTCAAACGCGCCCTCTTTGGTTTGTAAGAGTGCGGCCAAACCGATGTTATCTTTAGTCATCACGCGATTCAACATATCATCCGATCCCTCGGCGTTAGCCATCGCCAGCTGATTGAATTCAACCAAATGCTCTTTTATTAAACTGAATCTAAATCATTGTAAACATTAAATTAGTAATTATTTATAATAATATTTTATTATTATAAATTTGATTCATATAATTAAATAATTACTTATTAGTTCTGAAGAATATAGCACATCCATCCACATGTAGTCTCTCTTTCTCCGACATAGTCTTTGCCCTGGATTTCGGTGAAAATATGCCATCATATCCGTCACGTGTCAGTTCTGGCATAAAGAAACTATAGAACTGTTCCGTTTCTACTTCTTGTAGTGATATAATATCTGCTGAATAGTGACGAATTTCTTCTATAATGGCTTTCCGCCGATACTCCCAGGCCAGCGCCCAATTGGGACAATAGCCGTACAGCTGTCGAGTGGCCAGTTTATCACACAATATATTATAACACATTACGGTAAAAATGCTGGTCGTTCGGCTACGATCGGGATGTCCCGACGGAATCCATGGACGCTGCGGAGGTCTTGAGGCCGTCACTATATAAGTAATTAATAATTTTAATTAGTTATTAAAATTGTTTATTAAAAACCCTATTAATATTAACACTATATTTAAGTAATCAACTCATATTACTGTAAAAACAATTATTATAATAAATTTGAAATAAGTTTAAAGTGATATTTAAGTAATTGTCAGAAGAAATTATATTTTTATTTTTATTGTTAAGTAAAAGTAAATCTACTTTTATATACCGCATAATATTTAATGACAAAATAATGACTAGAATTAAAAGCACCAATTTTTCGCTTTCAATGTACATATATGTGATTATATAGTAAATTAGTATTTTAACAAAAAGTGACAATCAATTGAAGTATCTTTAAAACTAAACGCTTTTTGAAATAAAATTTAAATTATGTAAATTAGAGGATAATATTTGATGAGTCCTTATATTTAATATGAATGCCAATGAATATCATCTTTATTATGTTGATTGCACTCAAAATAATAAAAACTATCATTAAATATAAATTTAATGCAAATGAAGATGAAAAACAAGTTCATGACTTGTGATGACTTATTCCAGTGGCTAATGAATGGACACAAAAAAAATTTCTGAAACTAAATTAACGCAAAAATTTCTTTCGCAAAGTGTTTGCCATTTTTCAAAAGTCAATTATAACATCTCATCTAATTTTCATGATTTAGATAATTATATTTTATTTTTTACATATTTATAATATATAGTTATTATTTGATAACACTCTTTACAATTACATTATAATTGTAACTTATTTATTATATTTCCTATAAATTTAAGTTACATTAGGCAAACATTTGACAGTTTAGGTAAACGCAATAAATATTTTTAGCTATTATAACATGCATTTTAGTTTTATTGTATATTATTTTAATTATTTTTATAGTATTTGACCCTTAAAAAATTATAGATATATTATACAATTGTACAATTTTTTAAAAATTGTAAGAGGTTTGAGAATTGAATTATTTATAATAAAATCAAAATGTTTAATAAATATTTATATATTTATGATTAAATATTCTAAAAATTTATAATTATAAATAAACTAACATATATATTATATAATAAGCTAATTGTATGCAATTTAGTAAAATTAGAACAGCTCTGTATAATATCAACTAAATATTAAATATAATTCAATAATTCAATAAAGCAAATGACAATGTTTTACATACTATATATATTTAAAAAAAGTGTTAATTAAAAAAATAATTAATATATTGAAATTTTTATAGAAATTAATTTAGAGTAAATGATACAGGTCTAAATTAAAAATATATTTTAATGTATGTAAAAACAAGATGATTAAATATAACTGTGTAAAAATTATGTGAAAATATGTTGAAACTTATTTATAAATTTTATCAATTTTATAAATTTATTCATGTTTTGTAATATATGTCCACTTCCTTTAAATTTCATAATATAAAAAATATAATATTTAAAAACAATATGTAAATTAATGTATAAAAAAATAAATTAAATTAATAATTTAATATTATTTTAAATTAATATAATATATAGAATTCATATAATTTCATTAAAAAATTGTTTAAAAACTTTATAAACGAGAATTAAAATTTTAGTTTAATTAGAAATAAAAAATATTTAATAAAAATGTAATAAATCCATAAGTTAATGAAAATAATTTTCAAATTTTTCAAATGACTGCTACATTTCCCGACCGATAAACAAATAAATACATTATTTTAATGTGAAATATATGTAAAGTTCAAATTATCTTAATTTGAAAATATTTGTCTCAAAAAAACCCGTACAGTGTGTGTATGTGTTTGTGTTTTTGAGAGGAAGTTTGATTTAGTTGGATGTCAAGTAAATCAGTACCAAAACTTTTTTTCACTGAATAATCATTGAAAATCAACTCTCAAATAAACTCAAAACATGTTTGTTGTGTTGTGTCATAAAAATGAAATAAACTGAAACTAAAGTGAATTTATATACTAGAAAAATATATTAAAGTAAGCTTAAACATTATATATATATATTTTCTTTAAAAATGCTAAGTTCACAATGTATTCAAACAAAATAAATAAATAACAAAATAACAAAAAACAAATCATATTATTAACAAAGGTATGTATTTTTTGTCTGTGATAAATAAATTGTCCAAAATATATCATACAGTATAATGTATTCATATACTGTATATAAACTAAACAAGAATTATATACAGTATATTATAAACATTGAATTCATTTCGCTTTAAATATTAATTTAAAATTTTGATTTTTTATGCAAACTTGTCAGCAGATGGTTTTAAGTTAAGAGTTATGTAATAACTTTGAAAAAGGTATTTATTTGTTTATTATTTTATGCTCAATAAAGTATATGAAAACAAAATAAAAAATAAATGATATTTGGACTCCTAATTAATAGAAAACCATAAACCATTAACTCTGTTTAAAAACTGTAGTCTATAAAATCATATTTAAAAACCATTTGTTATATAAAAGTACTGTACAATAGTTATTAACAATATTTTTGTCAATCAATTCATCATATAATAGAAGTGACTAAACTCGTCATAAAAACAATTAATCGGTTAAAACAATAAGTCATGAAATATATGATTATACTGTATATTCTGTAACGTATAATATATGACATAAACCCAGAGCTAATCATAAGAAAAACTAAAACTTTTTTTTAAAGTTTAAAGTTCTCATGAGTTAAATGAAAGTCATAATAGTAATAATGATAATCATAAAAAACTAACGGGAAATGAGTTTTGTTGTGTTAAAAGTCAACAAAACAAAAATATTGCAATTATTTACTTAAAATTGTTAAACAACTTTAACTAATGTCAATTAATGTCCATTTTCACAATACTTAAACAAATTTAAGTTAATTGACTTAATATCTTAATCTATTATACTAATAAATTATTGTAATAAATATATATATTAATGTAATCATTATATAAAATATAATAAATATATAATTTATTACTTTTGGTGACCGATTTATCCGTTTGTGGCAAACAAATCACAGGTTTTTGATTTGATAAAAATAATGAAATATTTTGACCATAAATGAAACCATTTGTGTTATCAAAAGATGTGTCATTTAATTGATTCAATTGTTTCGTCTTTTTTCTGCGTTTTCGTGGTTTGATAACTCGTGGCAAACAATAATCAGAAGAAGCATTGGATGAGTCTTCGGATGCAATACTAATGCTATCGTTATTAAAGCTTTTATCTGTAATCTTGTTTCGCACTACTATTGCCTCATCACTGGTGGCTAATCCACTGTTATTGATCTCATTAGAACTTAGACATGAAGATGAATCAGAAATATCGTCAAAGTTGTCAACATTTGTTGAAATAATAGATTTATGAATCTTATGATTATTGGACACATGTTTCGCTTGTCTGCGACGACTATTATTGATTGGATGACTGAGAAAGAGATCATTTCCTTTAAAATATGTTTTCTGACTATTCTTTAATATCAAGTCATCAACAATAAACATATCATTATTATTGTTAACATTTTTATTATTATATAACATATTATTTTTATTATTAAATGAATTGACACATTTAGTAGTTTGATTGGGAAGTATGATTGGCACTCCCTGTGCGTGAAGTGCCAGTTTCCAAAGCGGCAATATATCTACCATTTCGGACATTTTCGGTTACTATAATCGGTGTCCAATTAATCACAATAACGGCAAAATTTTTCAAATACATTCAATTATCAATTAAATTAAGTTCCATTATTTAAGACAAACTTTTTTCAAACTTTTAATAACTTTTTAAATATAAATATATTAATTTTTAAATTTATAAACTTAATCACTTTTTCTATTTATATGAACAACTCTATTATCACATTATGTAAATAAATATAGTAAATAAAATTTTAATAAATTAATAACAATTACAATTACAATCACTAAATAACGATTGAAATTAAAATAACTTGAAAACTAAATAATTAAATGTAACGGTAATGTTGACTATGGTTTTAGTTGTTTATAAGAGGTATTAATAAATAGATGAAAAATTATCGAAAAAATAGACAACAAGTGGAGAGAATTGTGAGAGAAGATCACTGGTATTATAGTAATGGTTATGGATTTGGTATGAAAATAGACTGAATGGTGTGTTGGGATGGGATGTGCTGTAAATACTATCACTGAATGGCACTGAGAGGCACACACACAGCAACCAGCAAAACAAGTAACATATCCAATGACCCGAAATATTAACGCATTTCGTTATACAGTAAAGTAGTTTAAGAGTTAAGGCCTTTTGATAAAAAGCCCACACTCTCTGGTATATGACTTACAGTTTACAATATGTACTAAACATTACATAAAAATTGGTATAAGCCTTGTATGGAGAGACAGAGCTAACAGTTTTATACACAACAGATTCAATTGAAACACCAATAGATAACTTCCTTGTTATGTACAGCTCCGGTGTCTATGTGTGCTCTTTTGTTGGACGACTCCACCAATTTTTGTTAGAGTGATTACAATCAGCCGACCTAACAGTTCTCCCCCAACAACAACAGGTTAGCCCCACTCAGTCATCTATTATCCATAACATACATCTAACATACTTTTTCACAAACGACTAAATGACTATCAAGTAAATAGACATTCAAAGAGAGGCAGTCATCAGATTAAGCGCATTACCAGTTCGTGACCTAAACTCCACAAACTTAAAAAACAATGCCTTTTGCTATATATCAACCAAATATCATAATTAAAAAATTTGCATTTAGTCCAAGTCATCAAATAATATATAGGAAATTATCACTTAGTATTAAACTTTACAATATTTTATGTGTCGTCCATCAGATTAATTTAAACATTAATTACAAATCAAATCATACATTTAAACTAAAGATATCAACATTAAGTTTATATCAAAATTCAAACATTGTTTTCAAAGATAATAAACAAATGTTCAAAAACTAATCATTTTTCTCAAATATATTTTAAACATCTTTTTTGTAATACTATTACAGTACATCTCTCCGAGATTACATACAAGTGCTATAATACATATAAAATTACTATTCAAATGTATAAACAACTAAAATGTAAAATTGCATTATAAATTATTTAAACCTAGGTCAATTGTTTCTAACTGTATATATATATATAGCCATTGTCATAGTGTTCTATCAAATAATAAGATTTTAAATCTAACTTAATTTTGTAACATTAATAAATAAATTTCTTAGTCATATATAGAGTTCTGGCAATTTTCCATGGGAAGTTCCCTAATAAAATCACACTAATTTTATTGAAAAATATCTAAATTTATTTGGAAAATATATTTTAGATTATTACAATAAATAGCACCAAAAATTAAATAATTCGCATAAGATTTCATAGAAATACTTAACAATAAATTTAGTGATACTTTTTTATAAATACCACTCAAAATACAGTTTAATATAACATTTGTTTTTCAAAACATGAGAAAATTTGATTTTTAGGGTTCAATAGGTGATAACACAAGGAAATAAATTCCATAGGAATTCCCAGGAATGAGATAAAATAAGCAACATTTGGGATATAAAACATGGAAGGAATTTGATCGAACCCAACTCATAAACAATATAACAAATTTTAATAACAATAATTTTGATAACTTTATATTAAACTATGATTGTGTAAAACTAATAATTTAAATTGTACTAGTTTACTTGGTTTACTACAGTATAAGTTTTAATTTAATAAAAGTTTATTTCATAATTTATCTATTTATAGTGACAATGCTTTATATATATTCATGAAATAGTGACAAAATCACTAAAAATATTTTCTTTCATTATTTTTGTTGCAATTTTTATATATACAGTATTATTGCATTTTATAGTAGAGTAAAGTTTTAACATTAAATAGAGTTAAAAATTGATAAAATGAAATAATTTTCAAATCTAAACCATTGGTTCTATTCTATGACTTAAAACCTATAAACTTTCCAAATATTTTCCCAATTTATTCAATGCTATTTTAATAAATGTGATAATCTTTTAATTAAAATTAAACTTGAAAATTGAATTACTTATATAATAAGTTTTTAAAAAATCATTCACAAATTATTTTTGTATCAATCCTTTCCTTATATTTGTTATTTTATTTTATAATAATAATAATGAGTAGAAAATTACTTCTAATTTATTTAATTAAAAATGTTAATTAACTTTAAGTATCTCTTAGAAAAATAAATAACTAAAAGTCAATAAATTTTTATTTGTATTACAATATATAATTTATATTAATATATGCTATAGATTTAATAACATATTATAATAATTTCTTACGTTCAAAGTTTACAAAAATAATATATATGCTTACTTAATAATTAGTTTGAAATATTTTAATATAACCACATTTAAGCAAATGCGGTTAAAAATGATAATTTAAATAACAATATTAATTTATCTATATTTTTATTAAATAAAAATATTTACTTTAATAATTTATTTAATTTATAAATCATACAAATTTTGTATGAAAGAAAAATTCAAATACTTAAGTAAAATAAATAGATAAGTTCAACATTAGGAAAATAATTAACGAATATTTACGGTCAGTTAAATAAATATAATGTATATGATTTAATAGTCATTGAAAATAATAACAAACAAATTAGTAAAATTATTTTCAATGTATTTTTCAGATATGTATTATTACCCGCTGTCATCATCAATTGAATCAATCAATCATACAATATAATCAATACATATAGAGTAGTATATAATCAAATATAAAGTCAACTGATAATTATAAACAATGTCTTAATAATAATCATAATAATAACAATAATTTAAGTCTGAAAAACTTAGTTGAATAGATATTACGCTTTCATAGTAGTAATAAAACAGATTGTAAGGCGTTTTTTAAATGATTAATATATCGTCAACGCCTCTGACCTATACCTCTGGAGTTTAGGTCATAATTATGTCAGCAAAAAGAGTGGCAAACATACGGAAGTCATAGTATTTTGTTTGAAACAAACGCCACGAAATATCGCATGATTTTCATCAAACATTACAGCAGATTGTTATGTGATTATATAATAGATATACATTTTCTGTGTATATCTCTATTTCTCATTACATAACAATTGGATTATTACCAATAGGATAGCTGTTTAATGTGAGAAATCACTTTAAAAGATATTTAAATTATGCATTTCAATGTTTTTCATATTCAACAATTACAGCATTTCCACAAAAATAAAAAATTTATTTTCGATACAACTAATGTCCTGCAATATTATATAATTTATTCAATTTCATACTTAATTGCTATGCAATAGACTACCTGTAAAGTGCATGAAATTTATTTGAATATTGATTCAATTGAATTTTATAAGAAAACGCTAAAACTATATTATTTTATTCAAACATTGTAACGACATATTAAATAAAGAAAAAATAATAATAATTAAAACTAAATTCACTCATCAACCGGATTACTATCATATACTGTACAGTAGTATATACTGTAAATGATGTGCAATTGGTTTCATATCAGTAATTTCCTCAATATTTTCAAACGCATTATTAAATACATAATATGTATATTAAAACTCGTTTCTCACAACACACTAATAACTTTTGAAATGAACATTGAATTAAACAAATTGTATTTAATGGTAACCTATTGAAAATATTACTGTAATCTTAAATACATTTCTTAAAAATAAATTATATAATTTTGATTTAAATTATATTTTTATTAAAGATAACAAAAATAGTTTAATAAATGTAGCCATAGGTCATCGTATTTTATTATTATGTTTTAATTAAAAGTCTTTAGCACAAAACATCATATTATAATTGTAAATCATATATTTAACTTACGGTAATAATTGTAAAATGACAATATTATTGTTTTATAATTACATTAAATATTATGTTTAAATTATGCTTTAAAATAAAATACAATTCAAAGTTTGCAAATTTATATCAAAAAATATAAATGATTGTCATTTAAATAATCGTAACATTAAGCGCGCAATTAAAATGTTGATAATTTTTATATTTTATATGCAAATTGTTTTCAAATAAATACGTCATTCAATTTTATCGACAAAACACTCACAACTTATTAAAAATATATTTTTTAGACTTTTTAAACAATTAACTTAAATAAAAATTATATTATCTTTTAAATATTTTAGATCACAATTTTGCACTACAATTATAAAACTAATTTATCACTGATTAGAAATCAATGCATCAAAACTTAAAAATCAATTCATTGATTTAAAATTAAATTTAAAAGTAAAAAATAAAATGATAAACAAATGACTGACCGACGAGATTGTCCAACAAATAAGATAACAGTCTTTGCGTTCCATTATTTTCGTTATATATCACTAACAACTCCTGTGTCAAAGGATTTCCCTTAAGACCTATCAGTCATAATTGTAGACAAAATAAAAACATATTTGATTAACAATTGATAAACACAATCATCTTTTGGTACCTAAATTTGAAATTTGAAACAGTTTTCCCAATTCGTAGGGAAGACATCGCAAGTAATTGTTGTTTAAGAGCAGTTCCCGCAACAAAATTAGATCTCCGAGTTCGGCGGGCAGTGAACGCAGTTTATTACACGACAAATCCAAATGCATTAATGATGTCAACCGTGCGATGTCTGGCGGAATACGACTCAGACTATTGTCGTTAAGATAGAGAGACGTCAAGTGTGTCATTGACCATAACTGCGGACTCAAGTTTCGAATGGAACCTTTAGAAGTGATAATCAATGAAGACATTAATCAATAAATGTAATCAAACATCAAATTGTTTTTTTTTATTCGGGAAATACACACCAGTTATCTCTAACTCTGGCCACGAAGATTTCTTGCCATTTTGGACATCTTCGGGAGACATAATAGAGTGCGTGCGGCGCGGGTTTGGCGGCTCATACTTGTCTCGTTCGCGGTCTCGATGTCCCGGACGTGACATTTAGTTATCTGTGAGTCGGACACACAAAAAATGGTCAAATATTATCACAATAACCACTGATTCATACCTGCATTAAGGATTACAAAAATTAATGGATGTATTGACAAATTGTTGGCCAAAATACCCGAATGACTGCAATCCCGATACCAATTCACATGCAATTCATGTCTTCAATGTTTAAACTAAACAAACCATTCATTGATTGATTGATTGATTGATTGATAAACAAAAAAAACTAACAAATAATTCATTCATTCATTCATTTGATTGTATGATTCAGTGAGACATTCATTGAAACACAACTGTTGTGTTGTGTTGTGAAGTATGGGTTAAACATACAGTATATGTCATTGAATAGTGTGTCCAAACATACACTCAAACATAGCAATGGTTAAGGCATTCATCAATCGTATGATTCGTCTAAAGGGTTCCATAAAAGTACCAAATATTTTGTTACACTATTTAAGTGTAATTTGAATATTAACTCAAACAAGGCTTTTGTCTCTTAGTTTACAATCAATGTGTCCATAAATTACGTCTATATTACTAATGTTTGTGTTTTCAATGTTTACATTAAACTAAAGTTTGTTTTTAAAGTTATTATTATTATTATTATTATTATTATTATTAGTTAATTACAATTAATATGATTTATTTGACTACAATTTGCGGCAAATATTTTGGTAATTTATTTGTCATTTAATATCAAATTATGTAATATTTAATTGTATTTTGAAATGAATTTATTTAGGAGTAAATGCATTTCAATTATATTTATCTCCGATTTTGACGACCAAAGCAAAGACAACAACTTTGTCGGCGATTGCCATCAATTGTATACAAGTAAGTGATCTCCGGTGACATATACTTCTGTTGTTATCAATGGTTAACTGTGATCAATGACAAACAGAGCCGAGGAATGGCCGCCCGTCGTGGCAAACGAATTGCTGCGAACCGAGAGAAACAACGATTGGCCAGAATTAAACGGGAAGAAGCTAAGAATGCACCGCCGAAAGTGTGGTCACCAGAGAAACTCAAGATTGACAAGTCGTATGTCATATAATTTTTTTGTATTTGTTCTTTTGGTTGTTATTATTGAAAACATTATCAATCAGTGCTCTTAATGTCGGTCCGCGTCGGTTCTCCGACAAACACCTTAAAGACTTGACCTCAATTGTTGACAATGTTTACGTGACATCACTATATAAACAGTTGACATATTCAATGACTGATGCAATTGAGATGTATAGAGAAACACACGACGAGACCGGCTATAATGAGACCAACTCTATGCTCGAGACCACCGTTGAGCTCGATTTGAGAACCAAAAAGAAGACCAAATTTTGCGATGCCTTCAAAGGCATTGTTTCGTATCCAAACAAATTTGAATATAAAGCCAATCGCAGAATAATAGCCATTTGCAAGAAAGATGAGGACAAGTTTGACGCTAAAGAAGCCGGTGCTGATGTGGTGGGCGGTCAGGAAATCATCAAAATGTTGAAAAAAGGAGACCTATCGCTGTCCAACTTCGACGATCTTGTCTGTCACGGAGATCTGTTGATTGAGTTGGCAGACATCCGGGGAATACTTGGCTCTGCATTTCCTTCAAAACTACGGGGAAATCTCGGTTTTGATATGAAAAAGTTAGTCAATCAGTTCGTCAACGGTATTGAATACAAGTGTACTAAAGATGAGTTTGAATTGGACTACGGATGGGTTCGCGTGCCGTTCGGTAGACTCAATCAGTCTAACGTCCAGTTGGAGCAAAACATAAGACATTTATTGTCAACTATTGAGAAACATAAGCCAACAACAGCTATAGGTATTTATCATTCATTGAATCAAATAATTATTATTAGCTATTAATTTGATGACCCATTCTATTAGTTCCGTTCATAACCCGAGTGTTAATACATAGCGAGCCGTCAAACGAAGAATTTGCAGTTAAATTTTGGAATTATATCGAGGGATATGAAGAGTCTGATCCAGATAATGAAAATAATGTCGACAACGACAAAGAGTCTTTAAAATCAAACGCTTAAACAAATCATTAATCATTAAACTAAACAAAAAATAGGTTATTAAAAAACATAAATTAAAAATAAATACAAATTAGATATAAATCGAAATCTTTTATCAATAAAATCAAAATATATGAGAAAAATTGTCAATAAAATATACAATCCATTCAAAGATATTTGCATTTGAAACAAAAGGGTTTTTGTTATGAAGATTAACATAAGTTATATGTATAATAATATTTTTACCGGAATATCGGTGTTTCATAATAATAATCAATAATAATCAATAATAATATTTAATAATAATTATTGTCATCCATTATAGAAAATTTTATAGTTTATAATGCAATCAATTTTATAGATTCAACGGTTTCTAATCAAATATTAGTTTCATACCATTTAATAGTAGAGTTTGTCATATCGTTTAATAACATTTTTAATTAATTATTATAATAATTAACAAATAATATATATGTGTTTGCATTCAATTTCTAAAATCACTTAATGAAATCAAATGCGATGCATAATTGATATATATTAGAAAAATCAAACAATGCACCGACCATTTGTTCATTTTACTAAAAATACGGTTAATTATGACATAAAACCCAAATCAATTGAAGCACTTGAGTCGTCACGTTTGGTGATTCCAATGATTCCAGTTCTGTAAGACATTAAAAATCATTGTCAAAGTCATTATATATAATTTATATGACAAAATCTTTTACCAATTTTTGGTCGCTATTTGACGATTGATTAGACGGTAAAGTATTGTCGAGATTGACATTCATCGCCGATAAGGCCATCTTTGCATTCCAGTAGTCGCTGTCAGTACCTGTAATGCCAGTGTTGGTCGATAACGATTGATAGAGAGCTGACGAGAGAGGTGGAGGAACTCCGTTGATGCCCATCAATGGTAAAGTTGGTGTTGAGTAATGTGAGGCCATATTCATCTACCGGTAATACATATACAAATAAATGTTAGTTATCATTACTTAGCAATCATCAGATACTTGACAAACCTGATACTGTGTTGACTCCAAATGTTGCATATCATCTGCATTGAAACGGCTTTGATTTATATCAGACATTATGTTTGTGTTTGGCATTTGTGTCTGTTGTTGTTGTTGTGATTGGATCCAATCAGTCATATCATTGGGAGCCTCAAGTGGCCAAATACTATCGTTCATGTTTGACATTGAATTCATTTGTTGGTATATAGGGTTCGGATGCTTTCGTTGTGCTCTTTCGGTTCCTATAGGACGGGGTAGTCTTCGCTCTTCATAATCGGAAACACTATTTTCAATATCTTTTTGAGCGGACATTGAGTTGAGGTGTGACTGTGCAAGTCGTGACTGTTGTGTTTGTTGTTGTTGTTGTTGTTGTTGGATATAATTAGAGTTTTGCATTAATGTCAACTGCTGTAAGCTTTGATTGGATCCGGCATTTGGTAAACTATTAATAGCCGTATGTAAAAGTCTGAGAGTTTCAGGTGATGGCGGAGGGGTATTGTTCACGAAATCTGTAGCGTGAAGACCACTTGTGGCTGCCATTTGCATACGAACTGCTTGTTGTTTTTGCAGTGTCTGCAGCTGTAGGTTTGCCGAAGCAGCCAATATAGCAGCTCTCATCTGGTCTTGAAGTACAATCGCGTTTGCATTCGGTACAGAATTCATAGCCATTCTCTTTTGTGCGGCCATTGAAGACCCGTTGGCCGCTTGTGTTGGTTGCAAAACACGTGTCGAAAAATCAGGTGCATTAGGATTGAGGTTACTTTGGATTATATTACTCTGAGAGACATTATATGATAGGTTTTGTTCGCTATTCATTTGCATTTGATGGACACTTGACTGCATATTCTGGTTATATACAGAATTATTCCCATATGAATGCCTTTGCGAGACGTTCATCGGTGATGACATACTGTAGTTATGCGACGATTTAATAGCATTAGGAACAATAGTTGAAGGATTAGGACTATTCAGTGAATTGGACTGAAATAACTGTTGATATGAAGATACGTTAGATGTCGAAGTAATATTGGAAGTAGTAATCAATTGATGACTTGGGGAAGGGTTAGCGCTAACAGGAGATTGTTTCGATTCATTGGTCAATAAATAAGACGTATTATGTGAGTCAGTCATCGATAGACTTTGATTACGTGGTGGAGGTGTAGGCGTCCCAGACAATGGAGGTGTTGTTAATTTGGTAGCACTCGATGGTGTCAGTTGACCGGCATTCAAGATTAATGGTGGTGTGCATGGAGCACTTCTTGTATGACCACTTCCAATTGGTCCTAGATTTGAGGAACCCGAAGCAGTCATTGATGTAGAAGGAGATACGTGAAGATTGCCTCTATAACCGGGAGCTTTACTGGCGTCTATTGATAGTTCTTTAGTTGATTGTTGCTGAACAAGTACTCCAATAGGTACTGACAAACTAGTCGTGTTGTTCGAAATGGCTGAGGTATTAGTGGGAAGTCCCGATGCGGCCACACTCGCAAAATTTGGTTTATCTTTAGACTGTCCCCAAACACTTCCTTGAGCTACTTTACTAAAGAGATTATTGAATGGAGTGTATTCTGGTGTTGTAGTTGTGGTCAATGGTTTGCTGCTCTCATCAGTTGACGCGACTGTTGAAGATTTTGTCGGAGATTGAGTTGTGGTAATTGTTTGGACATTATTGAACGGTTGTTTAGTGGATGGCAAATGTGACATATTTTTTACACCATTTGCATTAGCCATGGGAACAGCAACACGAGCGCCAGAAAATACCTGATTATTAAATGGTTGGACTCCATGTGGAGCACCAGTCGGACGTATTTGGTTAGTCATCGTTGGTATCGTTGGTTTAATTTCAGAACTTGAGATTATTTTAGAATTGGAGACATGAGTGTTGGATATGGTTGTTGTTGTCTTTGTGTTTTTGCCTTTAGAAGCCACTGCCATTGTATAGGAAACAGTTGATTTGGTTGAGACGGACAGTGGTTGAGTCGAATACGTCGATGCTATTACTGCAGATGAGTTAGTTGTATTGGAATTAACGATTGGTGTGGCCACTGTTGTTGTTGTGGTCAATGGTGATGTCCGTGAATTATTGGACCTATTAGTCCATGCATTGACAAACGGTGCAGATAATTGCGTATTCATGGCTGTCGGTTTGACTAATAAAGTCGAACGGTTGGTAAAAGTGGTTACATTTGATGTCGAGCTCATTGAACTGACAGAACTCATCGATGATGACTTGAGGACATTATTCGTATTGTGTGATCGGTGTGTTGAGGCCATAATGGCTGTGCTTTGACTTTTCTGTGGATTTTTAGTAGTGATAATCTCGTCACTGCTCACACTTGTGGGTCGACTTAAACCCATTGATTTAATAATTTCCGACAAATCTTTATCGGTCTCTTTAGACAACGCAACAATCAATTGCTGTGCATGTCTAGTGGCATCAGCTGATCCTTTAATAACAACCATACGATCTCCCTGTCCTTTTTGTTTTTCCACTTCTATATGAGCACCAGATATCTCTCGTATAGCATTTATATTACATCCTCCGCGTCCTATCACTCGACTAATAGCATTGGATGGCACGACAACTTTCTTGGATTTTCGAACCACTTCTTTCCAACCTTCCTCACGCTTTTGACACTTTTTACTGTTAGTTTGATTGTTACTCACATTGTTTGTCGATGTCGTCATTTTGTGGACATTGCAAGGACTTCGATGACTTGTAGAACTTGCCGTTTCGTTGGTGTCAACAGATAATTCAGAGAATCTGAAACAAAAAAGTTTTTGATATTTAAAATACATAAACAACTATCATATCTAAAACGCGACTTACATTTCATTGTTCTTGTGGTTTGAATTATCGGAAACCACTTTATGACCACTTGAAGAATGCAATGAATTTAGTTTATTATTTAGTCTTTCGTTATTCAACTCAACGCAAATGTTTGGTTCATCTTTTTTCTTGTTCTTAGAGCTTGTTTGAGGTAAACCCGACTTTTTATTAACAGTATTTGAAGTTTGAGTCATTAAATTGTTTGTCAATTTTTTCGGCTTTTCGTTCTCTTTTGACGAAATCTTTCTCTTTTCTTCAGTTGGTATTTCTTTAGGAAATTGATTTGATGTAGATTTGGGTGCTTTGGGTAAAGTTGGTACAGTCACTGGTACTCGAGTTACTTCTTCGACAACAATTTCATCGTCCTCTTCATTGTCATCTTCATTATCGTCATCATCATTGTCATCGTCGTCTTCAATCTTTAACAGTTTGCCATCTTTATCAGTACTACCTGTAGTTTTAGACGCTTTAATCAAATCTTGTTTTTCTTTTTTCTTCAATCGTTTGCGTTCTCTTCTTCGAGCGGCCGCTGCTTTTCGTGTCTCTTCCCGAGTCCGTTCCAAATCAATTTCTTCCAACAAAATCGTAGCATTTTTATTGGCTTCAGCGGCCTGTCGTTCCTTTGCCTGACGCAATATTTCTGCGCATTGGTTTGTCTTCTTAATTAACTCTTTATCGTTAATCAATGCTATAAATCTTGTAATTTCCTGATCAGATGGAAATTGATTTACGTGTTTAACCATCCATTTGACAACTTTTACGTGACCCTTGCGGAAGGCAGACATCAAACAAGAAACCTTACGATTATCTTGACTATCGATATCACATCCTGCGTTAACCAATAGCTGGACTACATCGATGTGTCCGCCATTGCAGGCCAACCAAAGTGGAGAGTTTCCCTTCTTATTTTTGACATCAATGGCCGCATTTCGTGACAATAGAAGTTCAACAAAACGATAGTGTCCTTTGTCTGCTGCTATTGTAAGGGCAGTGTCTCTCGATGAAGGAACAGGAGTTGCATTTACATCGGCGCCTTTATCGAGCAAAACACGACCGACTTCGACATAACCACCAGACGCTGCTTCCATCAAAGGTGTTAAACCAGTTTTGGCCCGATGTTCGACATTAGCCTTTCTATCCAACAACAGTCCTACTACTTCACATCTTCCCTGAAAACAGGCTAATGTAAGCGCAGTATTTCGATTGGTCTCAATTTGCGCGTTGATATCACTGCCCATATCCAGAAGCAATCGAACAGTGGCCGCGTGACCATTCATTGCCGCCAACATAAGCGGTGATATTCCCAATTTAGATCCCGTTCGTGAGTTGATTTCTGCGCCATGACTTAACAATAGTTTGATTATATTTACGTAACCACCAGAAGCAGCTAAACTCAATGGTGTATAATCGGAAACATTTCGGTGTTCTTTATTAGCTCCTCTCGACAAAAGCAATTCTACGACTTCGTATCGACCACTGGAACAAGCAAGTGATAAAGCAGTATCTTTTGTTCTCTCAGATTGTGCTTCCATATCGGCACCATTATTCAATAATATTTCAACAACATTAAGATGGCCAGCGGTTGCCGACAACATCAATGGTGTAAATCCTTTTTTGTCTCTGTGCTCTATTTCGGAACCTCTGTTCAGTAAAAGAGATACCAATTCTTCATGACCTCCAGCACAGGCCAACGTGAGTGCTGTGTCGTGATTGCTATCAGTTTGCGAGTCTAAATCCACGGGTGGATAAAATGGTGGCGGAGACGGTATTCTCATATTTGTCGAATTGGTAACAGTTGTTTGATCCGATTTGTTTGATGGCGTAAGCATTAAATCAGACGAATCTATTGATTGTGTGTGTAATAAATCAACAGAATTTGGCAGCGAATATGACATGTTTGTACCCAAAGACATACTATTCACTGATTGAGATAATGAAGTCGTTATAATTGTTGACACGTTTGAAAAGACAGAGCTGTCGTTCAAATTTTCAGATGTTGTTGTGTTGGCAGAAGAATCTGATTCAATAGCTGTTGTTGTCATTGAACTTAATACTTGAGTCGAATTTATAGGCGTAACTAAGTATTTAATTAAATCATTAATTTTATATAAATAATTAAAATTATAAATACCTAAAGAAATTGTCTCATTTTGATTAGTAGTCGAATCACTAACAATTGATTGGGGTATTACTGTCGATGATTGAACAGTTGTTGATATATTGGAAGCAGTTGTAGTTGACGATTGTGGTGATACTGTTACCGGAGATAGTGTTAATGACACCGGGAAAGCTGGCGCTCCCATTGAATATATTGCAGAATTACTTCCAGAGTTAAAAACAGACTGCGCTGAAGATGATAAGTGTTCATCTGTTTGAGTGGCTGTTGAAGACGCGGCTGCAAATTGACTCTTAAGTAACATTAACTGTTCACTTGTTAATGACTGTAAAAATGAAGAGGTTTGCGTTGTTTGATTCGATTGATGCAAACCACTTGCATTGGGAGTAACCGTTGATAATGGCTGACCATTAAAACTATTATCAACTTTAGCTGATTTGGTTGTATTTTTAGTTGTTTTCGATATCTGAAATAATTTTTTCGTATTCTCATTATTTGCTGTCGTATTAGTCATAGTATTGGTTTGTGTTGTCGACTGTGTGGTAGACAAACTCTGATGAGATTGAATGACAGAGGTTTGGTTTGTTAAAGAATTGGTTGATTCAAAAAGTCTTGGCAACAAAAACGGAAGCGACGAATCCATTTTGATATTAGAAGCGGCCGCCTGAAGAAACTGTAAGGTTTCGGGTCGTGAACTAAAATTTTGAGCCAATTCTGACAAAATCATCTGTTGCTGTTGCAGTAGATTTTGGGTTTGTTGGCCTATAGTCGACACATTACTAGCAGTACTTTGTTGTTCAGAGTTAATCGTGTTCTTCATATTTAGTTTATCCACTTCTTCAGCATTCAATTGAATTGAATTAGTCTTATAATTAGTATTGACACACGTTTGATGAGCGTGTTTAGCCGATAAGCTTTTAATTTTACTGTTTGACCGAAACCGACGGTTAACGGGAGGTGTTGCCATCGAATTAGTTGTATTGGTCGACGTGTTGATCGTATTAGTTATTGATGTCTGTGTCGGAACCATTGCAAACTCGGTAGAGGTTATATCGATGGACGAAGTTTGACTTATAGGAGAAGGCAATTGAAAGGGCAAATCGGTTTTCAATGACTTATCAAAAAAGAGAGGCAATCCCTGGGAGGCAGTGCTTGCATTGACAGTATTGGCATCAAGTGGTGGTAAATTAGATGATAATTGAGATAACGAGGGACCACATGATAGACCTGCTTGATAGCACTGTATGAGCTGTTGCTGCCAATGAGCCTGATATTCGCGTTCAACTCTTTGCAATTCCTCGAGAATCTGTTGTTTTTGTCGAATTTGTTCTTCCTTTGCCGGATCCAATTCGTCAGTTCGTCGAATCATATCATTAATTCGTGCCTCTAATCGTTCGGCTTCTTTAAGAGCATCAATACTTGAAAAAGCTGACGACTCAGATAAGCCTAAATTAGATGGCGGTGTTAAAGATAGTCCATTTCCACTGTCAGACAAACTTCGCTCCAGAACTTTGTTAGCTGTTCTTCCTTTAGAAAATGAGACATAACTGTCCACAGTATCCGATACTTTATTAGAAAGATTATTGCTTGCATTCGGTAAACTGCTATCTTTGGATAAACTCTTTTTAGAAATAGATTTTTGAATATTCAGTTTTGATTGAATCGAAGGTATTGAAGACTGTGTTCGCGAAGGTGTTTCGTCAATATGAAGACCATGAGAGGGAACCCGTGAAGAGATTTCACTTGTTATTGATTGGTTAGTTGGCGACGGTGTCATGATATTAGTCGGATAATCAATTAACAATTGAACGACAGTTGTGTGTCCGCCTTTGGCCGCCTCGATAAGCATTGTTGAGCTGTCTTTTAAACGATGAGTGGGATCGGCTCCGTTGGCCAACAGTAGTTCAACAACAGCTAAATGGCCGCCCGCACAGGCCAATGACAATGGTGTATGATCATTGTTTGTGGTTACTTTGTTAACATTAGCACCCTTGTTGATTAGAAATTGAACGGTACACAAGTGTCCCGCGCGGGCGGCTTTCATTATAGAGGTTCGCCCCCCTTCGGCTTCGTGTTCCAAATGAGCACCAGCTTGAAGAAGAAGCTCAGCCACATCTGTGTGACCATTTTCACTCGCATACATCAATGCTGTATCGCCCGAACTGGTCGTAGCGTTGACATTGGCACCAGAGTTAATCAGATGACGCACAAGATCGAGATGTCCCTCTTGTGCCGCTTCCATCAGTGGGGTGTTAGCTCCGGCCTCAATATCGGCACCGGCTTTGATGAGAAAGTCTGCGACATCAATAAAACCTCCACAACAGGCCAATGTTAAAGCTGTTTCTTGAGTTTCTTCAGTTTGAGCGTTGATGTCTGCGCCTTGACTTAAAAGTAAAGCTACCATTTCTTCATGACCTTCACGGGCCGCTTCCATTAATGGTGTATATCCTTCATCGTTAACTTCTTCGATATTAGCGCCTCTTTCCAATAAAAGCATCGCTAACTCGACATGACCTCCACAAGCGGCCAGAGTTAATGGTGATTCAAAACTATCGGCCGGCATATTAACTTGAGCACCGGAATCTAGAAGTAGTCGTGCCACTTCAACATGTCCATCCATTGAAGCCTCCATGAGCGCCGTATGCATTTCATCGGTTTTATGTTCCTGATCAGCACCGGCTTCTAGTAAAAACCTAACCATTTCTAAGTGTCCCTTATAACAGGCTAACGTAAGGGCCGATTCTTTGAATTCATTAGAGTGTGTGTTAATACTGGCCCCGCTTTCCACTAGAATAGCAGCGACATTGACGTGACCAGCACTGGCCGCCTCCATCAGCGGTGTGTGTCCATTCTCATTGTGATCCTCGACGTTTGCTCCGTGTTTTAATAGAAATCGCACTACATCTTCGTGACCGCCGGCACAGGCATACATGAGAGGAGTATTTCCTTGAGATGTTTGAGCATTAACTTCGGCGTTGTGTTGAATTAAAAGCTCTACTAATTTCAAATGACCAGCACTGGCAGCTTCCATAAGTGGTGTCGTGTCCTTAAGACCCCTGTCCTCGACATTGGCGCGAGCAACCAACAGTTGTTTGGCCAACTCGTAGTGACCCGAAGCACAAGCAAACGAGAGAAAACTCTCGCCTTCTTCTGTTACTTCGTTAACACTGCATCGTTCAGACCTGTCAGCCGTGTCATCGATGAGATGAGAAGCCTCGACATCAGAGGTAAGAACTTGCGTGCCATCCGATTCATGTTGAGAATCGTTGGTTAACGAAGTGAGTTGCGATTCGTTAATTCTCATCTTAGCGATGGCTTGGGCCGCCTCGTCCAGTGCCAGATGAACATCATTGACGGCTAATGATGAAGCAATACGTCTCAATATGTCGGCATCAAGGAGTTGTTTATCTAGATTTTTAATTATGTCTATAAGTAATTAATAAAGCATTCAACTCTTTTAAACTAAATTAAAAGCCATACCTCCATCGAGAAGTGCCTCTAAGTTAGTCCTGGACTGGGCATCCATATGGGCTATAATTAAAGTTATGGATCAATTAAATATGACAAAAACAGATGTCATTTACAATACATGTTAGTTTGGAATCACATGTTTCGGCGGACAATAAAAATTTGGAAGTCTTCGAGTCCATGACCGACGACTCTTCGTCTAAAGTGAACGATTCAACCTATTTATCGTATAAACAATTATTTTCATCATTAGATCGATGTCTTTCATAATAAATTACTGACAGTCAAGTCAACCGTTTATTGTCTATTAATAATATAATAAAAAATTATTAATAAAAATAATAATAATAAGCTAAACATTATATTATTTATATACTTATTATAATAAATGGCATTAAAATATGTAATTTTCCTGTTTTTAGAGTCAGACACACACTTATTTTGAAAGCATATTTCTAAACAAATTATATTTTGAAGCCATTACTTCACTTATTGCCTACTTTTCAAGCAATATCTCATGTGTTGTTGCATTTAATAAATAAATTTTAAATATTAAATAACTAATTAAATTATTTAAAATTAATTAAACCTCAATTTGCTAACATAAAATATATTACAAATAACTAGGTTTAAAACAATAATAATAGGTAAATAAAATAAAAAGTGATATCAATGTAATTAATGTGATTTACTAAACAAAACCTCAATTAGTGGTCAAACATAACATTTTAAGAGATAACTATTGATAACATATTATCGTTAAATAATAACTAAATTGCTATGAATTTAAATTCATTTGTTCCCATTCTTTATATACAAAACATTATCACAAAATACTTGTTTTATAACAAACATAACAAAAACCACTCAATTATGTGTTAATAAATATTTTTTCTTTAAAACGCCTTTTGAGCCAATATTAAGAGATATTCAGGAAGAAAGAGATTCAATTCAACGCTTTTTTTTGCTATACTGTCGCATATTATTTGTTTAAATATATTTCATATACCAATAACCTATCGTCACATATTGTATGTGTGACCACCGTTTGATGTCTTAAAATATATCATATATTCTCTCTGTGCTATAAATATACCAAAAAATAAAATCTGTATATAAAATGTCTTCAATAACAAAAAAATAATAATAAACTAATTGGTAATACAATTTGGTTGAAACAACACAAACATTAAACTAAATAATATATCAACACACATACATACATATAGCAATTATGATTAATTAGTGGAAATACAGTTTAACATATTAAATAAATTTTCAAAAAATAAGTGAATATAACTAAATATAAAAACTAATTTAAGCATTTAATATGTGAAGTCGTAGATGTGATATATATTATACAGTATATTGAGGCACACAATAGTGCACACAAAACATGTGGCTTTACTATTGACTGTTGGCTTCAATAACTATACTATTTTTTTATCGACAATTCATTTAAAAATTGAAATTTTCGCTAATTTTGTATAAATTTATGTTTATTATCGCAATTACTGATTAAACCGATAGATTAGAGCCAACAAAAAGTTATGTGAAATATAAGGCCTTATTTAGCACTCGTATTACATCAACACAATGTGTGGCCTCAATAGAGGTTACAAAGAGTTGTCGAAAACAAGAGATAAACAATAGGTGGCACACAATTGCCAACAGTGTCATTGCCGGACCAAATGATATAGTGATGGTCAGTCCAATTGGATTATACCTCAGAGTTGTCGTCGTCCTCTTCTTCGGACTCAAACAGTTCAGCCATTAGATTGAGTTTAGGTGACGAACACTTGGCGGTGGCCGCTGTTTGGACACTCTTCTGGGCAGTCATATCTTGGCACCACTTGTTAACGGATGTCATGCGGTGTTGTTGATCATCACAATTGATGTCCGTCTGATCAATGGTAGTGTTATTGTCTTGCAATGCATTTTGCATTTTCACACAATTTGTTTGGCGATCACTACTACCACTCGTACTACTCGTGTGATCACTCATGCGATTGGTGTCTATCTTAATGTGTTTATCGCTGCGATAATCTGTGGCTGACATGAATTGTTGCGGACATTTGGCCACCAAAATAGTCGGCGATTATATGACATAAACTTAATGGCGATTTGTTTCACAATTTTGATAATCACTTCAATCAAAACCTTATTTACGTTTCACTCAGAGTTCACTCGATATTACATACAGTAGTAGTACTCATGATATGTATGTTAAATGTATAGCCTTTGTATGTATACATCAATTGTTACAATTCAAGTGAGGGTTGCCTATAGTTCTCCACTCATTGGACATAACAATGGGGGACATGACGTACATTATACTATACACTCATATGATAGGGAGCATAACATGTGCACCAATGGCACCCTTTCATGTGTCGTAACAGTATTTATGAATTGCCGTCATCTTTGGCCAACATTAGTGTCACCTCTTGTCTGATAATATGTACAAACATTTTATATTAATATAAGTCTATAATATCTATAATACTATTATTAATATTAATATAATATACAGTAATATACTGTATATAACATCATAAAAGTTATGCTCTAAAAGTTTTGGCACACAATCTCTTTATTATTATTATAATAATATGTCATAACTTTTTGAATATTAATATTTCATATTTTTCTATATTAATAAACAATTTAATGCCTTAAAGGTGTGATTGTGCAACAAATCACATATTTATATAGATATACCGTTTCATACACATGTACTATATATTTAGATAATACTAATATCATATAAAGTTATTATTATGTATATATATAACAGATAGTTCATTAATTTTGTTGTTGATCGTTAAAAAACAAAGTTTTCAACAATTTATTTGCATTTTTAAAACCACCATTTATATAAATATACAATTAAATAAAAATATAATATTGTATATCAATTATCAATTTATATTAGTAAAAGTATTAATCATAAATTATATGAAAATTATTTTTATATACAGTAATATTATTAAAGCTGTTTAAGTTTAAATGTAATTTGTTGCTTTATAATTTCTATTTTTTTATTAAACATTGTATTCAAATTATAATTTAATCAAATTTATAAAACTTTATTAATAAAAATCAAGTGTTTAATATTTATGCTATTATTATGAATCCTAATTTATGATTGATAATTGCACTCCTTTGAAATTAAAGTGCAAACAGCTATTTTGAATTATTGAAAATTACAATATTATTATTATATTTTGTTAAATTTTTTAAATATATAACTGTTAATACTGGTCTATATTTTAATAAATATAACTTTGGGTAATTAAATTAGATAATTAAAAATAGAGAAAACTTAATAATTTAATATATTTAGTGTAATAGTTATAAAAGTAATAAGTAATTACTAATAATAATAAATATGTGTATTAACTATTTAATAAACTATTATATTTAGTCTACTTATTAATTTTTATCAATTTACCTGTTTATAATGTACTAAAATAATTATAGCATAAATATTGGAAAAATATTTTAATTAATATACTATAAATGTTTTTGCTAATAAAATTACAGTATTACCGGTAACTATTAAATTCTATATTATATTAAATATTTTTTTTACAATAATAACATATTGTATAAATTAATTCATTTACTGTAATACCAAAAGGGTTATAACTTATTTATTATCTTATATTATGAAATATATACTGTAGTAGATTATTACAATAGCAATGAGATAACATCTATGTATTTATATGAACTTAATATACTTAGGTATTGGAAATAATAAAAATGATTTATAAATACTAGTGATCTCTGTTACTCTTAACAAGTGTCTAATGTTTAAAATTAAATTTATTAGTCGTAAACATGAATACAATTTTATAACTTTTCTATTATTAGTAAATAGTCAATTTGAAACCATATTTTGTAATGTTTTCTGCATTACTTATTGATTTTATTTATTATTTACATAAAAGTATCAAATTTTAACTAAAAACTTTTTTATAAAATTAAGCATTTTATTATTTTTTATTTAAGAAATTAAATAAATCACATAATATTATTATATACTCAGTATATACTGTATATATATATATATATAATTAAAACCATATAAAACACAATCAATTTGCCAATTTTACATATATTATCATAAATTTATATAAACTTCATATAAAATACATTTTAGCAATTGTTACAAATACTTATTTATAATAATATATTTTCATACCTGTGTTAATAATGTAACATTTAAAAGATCTAATGATGTTTAATAATTTAAAAAAATACCTAATCTTGTTTTTGATCACATATTTATTCAAAAATGGCACTTATGTATGTATATAACTCATCGTTATTAAAAGTATAAATTTTCAAATTAAAATTATTTCATCAAATTGCCATAAAACATAGATTGATATTAAAAATTGTATTAAAAAAATTATATTTAGATATATATAAATTTGTAAATAAAATAAGTCATTTAGCTTATTAAAGACATACATCGTTCAATAAAATTACAAAAAAACAAAATTATTGGCAAATATCGCTTATTTAGTTTGTATGTTGATTTATATATGGGTTTTATATAGTCTTACATTAAATGGCAGTTTAATTAGTACCGGTAATTACATATCCATATCAAACTGTGGTTCATCGGAAGCACCGGTACGCGAAACACCTAAGTATTAATAATTAACATTTGGTTAATTTAAATATATGATAAACTGTAATATTGATAATGTGAATAAATTAAATCAATAAACTTTAAATCAGTTATCATAATATTGAAATGATAACAGAAAAAAAACAAGTGTCACCTGTTGTTGCTTTCGATACCATCGACTTCTCCTCGACACATGTTTCTAATGGTGTAGTAGATGTAGGACTAAAACCGCGAACACCCGGTGCTCTTCGATTATTGTCTTTAGTTGTGGCCGGTGAGGTAACGCCGGGAATTGACGGTAAATTTTTGGGTGGAGATCTGGCCATTGGACTATTACGAAGGTGCATCAAATAGGACCGGTCGTAAACAATTCGGGTACCTATCCATGGGGATGGACAATAAGGGGTTACCATAAAAAACATAACTATCTTATCAATATGTTTGTCATAATTATAACTGTGTTTATCAAACAAAGGGATTATATAATTTTTAATTTTTGAAAAATACTTATAAAACTAATAAAATTTTGTAAAATCAAGAATTTCTGCATAAATAAGGAAAATATGAAAAATGATTTTTTAATGTTTTTAAAGAGTTTTTAGAAAAATGTATGAATAAAGTGAGAGAAAAGCTAAAAATTGTTTGTCTCTGTCCTTGAATTCACAGATAAAGCTGTAAACAAAGTCATGTGCTGTCAATATATAGCTTATAGTTATGTATAATATTAATGCACAACAAAATTGTGTATTCAATTCAATTGCTAAAAAAGTATTAACACATTTAAAACACATACGCTTTTACACACAATATTATAATATAAGTATAACTATAACCGTAAATCCTATAACAAAAACTAAGTAATAATAATAAAGACTAACCTCCCGGTGTGGTTGAGAACCAGGTGCCACCCGGAGTGGTCGAGTAGTCGAACGGTAATTGACTTAAATCGTTGACCACAATCTTTCGGGTCGGTATCTCTCTGCCATTCAATAACTTCTTAGGCGATCCAACTGACGACATGACTTGAGAGAGGGACAGAGTATATCAAACACAAGGAATAGTTGTTATATACAATAGGGACAGGTATTGCAAAATGCAATTATTATTAATAATACCTTAAATTCTTGATTTAATGTGAAAACAAAGGCAACGATAACACAAGTATATGAGCTGTTGGTCTGTATGTCTCTTCTGTCTTCAACTTCTCTCACTTTATCCAATGCAACGATGAATGTGACGATTAAAAGGCAATGCTATACATGTATAACAGTTATACATACAGTCATACACACAGTCATGCATTATGTGTATAAACACACCACTACTGTGTCTATAATACCTGTGTATAGACGGCACAGACATCAACAATCACGTGCTTTCACTTCCAATGTAAGGCTATTTCATAATTACTTTACATTTGCCTAAAAACTCATACATCACTACAATTGATAGGATTTCTACGATACAAAAGTCCTAATTTAAGTAAAGCTATCGATTAAATAGAGATTAAAATTATTATTAAATAAACACTTGTAAAGTATTTTTGCGATAAATATTATATCATATTATTAATGTTAGTCCACATGTGATAATACACACCAACGAGTTTTCTGTCGACTACTGTAATAGTTGTATTGAAACTCAAGACAATATCAAACAGATGCACAACATTTGCTTTTGGGAACTGCTTTGGTGTCACGCGTTAGTACTGTATATACAGTATATTGATATATTAAGCACCGATAGCTATTAAATTATTATCTATATAACATAAAATTGTCATATAAATAGTGTATAATTTGAATGGCATCTGAAACTGATAACTACCCTAAGATACTCAAAGAACAGTGCAATTGGTCTGCGGCTACCATTACCTATCAAAAGCCAACGTTTCTATATATGAAAAATGTTAGACGAAAACAAACATGAATTGCACAGTCAGGTATCAGAACTGTTCAGGTAATGATTGAATTAATATGATATTTAATTTTTATATTTAATTTCAACATATTTAATAACAATAAAAATTTTAATATATATATATATATCTGAAATCTCCAAACTAAAGGTCCGAATAGCCGGTAAAACAATACCGCCCGAGAAGTTTGTTTGCGTTAATGCTGTCAAGTATTTTGATCAAAACGAGTCGCTAATATTGCCAGCTTTTGTAAGCATTTTTAAATAATATATATATATATATATATATATCATAATTAAAAACTATTTTTAATATATATATAATTTAGGAATTAATGTATATCTGGAATGTATTTACAATTGTCGATCAAAACACGACAATTGTCCACAAAATGGTTGAACGAATTAATCGTTTGATAACTAAATATATTAATGACAGTCAGTTGTTATATAATAGTTTATTTCAATAATTAAACTAAAAATTTATTTATAAAAAACTATTAGGAGATTCAATTAATGCTATCAGCGATTAACGATTTCAGCGATTATTTACTTGAAATTGTTGTCCATTTTCAAGGCTCACAGTTCTGTCGGATCAGACAATTGACCAAAGATGAAGAGTTGGATGCCATCAACAGCAACGACAACAACAACACCAATAATAATAATAATAGCCGTAAATAACTATTGTTTGTTAAGTTTTTAATTTATATTTATGGAAATTATTATAATAAATATAAATTATACAGTATTACCGACAATTAGTATTTATTTTGTTATTATTATTATTATGCATAAAGTTATATTAAAATTTGATTAATAAAATAATTATTTAACATTTTGAACTTTAAAATGTAATAAAATAATTATTTTTATTTAATAACTTGTACTTTAAATTATAACATATAAATATAATATAAATTAAATAATAGAAAAATAAATAAATATTTTTGTTTGAAATTATATCATTGAATAATTTATTTATTATATTATTAGTTATATGTAGAATATAAAAACATTTGTACTACCGGTAATTTTTAATTAATATAAACAACTTTTTATTATATAATTTATTATTATTTTTATTATTAATAATACAGATATATAAATATTATATATAATGATTTAATATATACTTGTATGTAAAAAATAATAATTTATTTTTATGAATTTTACTATTTACTTTTATTAAATAATATATTAAATTAATAAATAAAACAGATTAATAATTTTTTAATAGGTGTAATTTTATTATAAAAATAAAAAAATGATAAATGTTTTGACTTTAAATAACATATAAATGATGCCTATTAATGATAATGTAGATTATCATAAAATATAGTTTATTGTAAACAATAGTAATTAAAAAATATGATAATTTTAAATAATAAGTTTTTATAAATAAAGTTAATAATTAATGACATTATTCTTATAATGTATTAAATGTTTTCAATAAATTATAATTAATAAATAAATATTGTCTATAAAATTAGTAATAAAAGAATCTAAACTTTTATAAAACTTATTATTGAAACTATTAACATGATTAATACATTTATATAAATTAATCATACAATTGTGGCATTGAAATTGGTCCCACCAATTTGTCCAAATAGTTTAACATATAAATGGTGTACAAATCATTATTTGTCAAATTTTGTTACCATTTTCTATGAGAACCAAACACTCTAATAGTTTATTGCATCCAAAATCACAGAAAGTTTTTGGTAGAAAATTTGATAAAAAAATTGTCAACAATTTCTATTAATATACTATTGTTTTATAGAAATTTTTTAACAAAAAAAACATTAATAATCATTTGCAAAATTGTTGTCGTTTTTTTAGTAAATAAATAAGTTAAGATAATGAGCTAGATCAAACAAATATTTTTATGCAACTAAGAAATTTCTAACAAATTGTAATGATATCAAAGTTATCATATAATTCAGGACAGGTATGTGGGGACAGGGATGTGGGGACAGGGATGTGGGGACAGGGATGTGGGGACAGGGATGTGGGGACAGGGATGTGGGGACAGGGATGTGGGGACAGGGATGTGGGGACAGGGATGTGGGGACAGGGATGTGGGGACAGGGATGTGGGGACAGGGATGTGGGGACAGGGATGTGGGGACAGGGATGTGCTGATACCTTAAAATATTATTATAATTTACCAAAAATTCCTTAATTTGGTTGAACTAACTCAATATCTTAAAACTATTGTTACTATAGCTCGTTATGTAAAAACAAGTGTCAGTTATTTTTGAAAAATTATTATTATATATAAACAAATATTTAGAAAGTTTAAGTAAATTGTAATTTTTAAAAATACTTACTATTGTTCTTAATATAAATAATTAATTGCTTTCAGTATGAAAATCATTGATATCTTTATTAATTTGGTTAACTATAATATAAAATTTATTTAAAAAATATAATGATTTGATTAGTTTTTTTTAATATTTAAATTTAAAAAATCACTACAAATCATACCATCATTTGCTTTATTTCTCTCATTAGTGGTCAAAGTGGTGATCACTTCATCACTTGTGTCTTCATTTGTCACCACATTTGATGACATATTACTGATTAAAACGAAAAATAAATAAAATAAACATATTTTTAAAATATAAAAAGTAAATTATAATATATAAAAAAAATCTAATGTTTATTCTGATAGATGAAGACAATAAATGAATGATTTTTTCAAATAATAAAATTATTTATTTATTAAAATAACTTATTGTATATAACGATAACTTATTGTCAATAATTTTGAGCCAACATTACCATTACGGGTCCATCGTTTTTATGAATGTTTTTTGTGTGTAATTTATATAATTATAGTAAATATCATATGATATATTAAAAATAGAAATATTTTTCGAGATATTCGACTTTAAAGTTTTTTTTTATTTTTTGAGAATTCTTATATATTGATACATATAAAACATATACAACAGTTATAAAATAGTTAAAATATCACAATTAGAGCACTGATTAAATTTACAATTAAAAATTCTAAAAGATTATCATTTAAATGATAATTAAAACCGTGGCCGATCGGCACAAAAAAAATGAAAAAAAAATTTTCGACTAAAGTCTAATATCTCGAAAAATATTTAAATCTATTATTGAATCTATAAATATCTTATATTTACTATAATTATATAATTTACATACAAAAAACACATAAAAACGATGGACCCGTAATTGTAATTTGGCCTAATTTTGTGATTCAATGTTTTAAATTGTTTTAAAATTATTTACTTAAATTTTATTTTAAGTAATAATGTTATTATAATTTAACAAAAAAATCAATAATTATTAATTATGATATAAAATGCTAACTTGTGTTAAGATTATTGGTTAATATGGATGACATGTTAATATACTAATTACAGTATATCTATATATTTTTATTAATTAATTAAATGTTATACTTTCAAATGTGATTTCGATAAGGATTAGGGGGATTCACATATTACGCTCACACTTTTTAAGAAATCTACCCCTCTCTCCTCTATGTTCAAAAAATTGTTCGTATGTAGTCATTTAAATAATTACCCCCCCCCCACCACAAGAAATAAAATATTATCTAAATGCGAACGTTCTTAAAGTCTCTACCCTCCCCTCCCCTTTGTTCGCAAGTTTGCTATGTCCAACCCCCTCCCCTCAAATGTGAACGTAATATATTAACCACCCCTTATTACTATTACATTAACTTTTTTGTATAATTGATTTTATTCAACATTAATTTGTTTTATGCAATTAAAGTTATAAAAAGTTATTTATTAAATAAATTAATTTATTGATAAAATATTATAATATTCAATAGAAATAGTATTTTTTATTAATTTTATTCAATTTATTGAACCCATCGTTCAAATGATGTGTCATTTAATTAATTGTTTAATACAATTGTGTGACAAAATTATAATAATAATTAAAAAACTAAACAAAATTATAAAATGCGGTGAAATTTATAAATTAATATCTAAATTAATGCTAATTTAATTTTAAAAATAATTTTTTTTTAATATATATATATAATTCAAAAATAATTATAATAATAATAATGATAATTAAATAATTTATACATAAAAAAAATGACGACTCGAAATACATTTTACAATTAATATATAAACAATTAAATTACTTTTAATAATAATAATAATAAATCCTAACTCTAATGCTATCACAACTCCGAGTGCTCGGCATCGGCAGACGTCTGGCCACTACTGGAATGCGGTTTTATGTCCTCTTTATCGTCACGTAATTTGCGTTCAGCTTTTGTTTCGGGCAATTCGTCTTTCAACTTGTCTTTCGACGGCTCAACAGTTTCTGGTTTATCACTTGTTTCCGGTTTTGTCTCACTTTCTTCTTTATCATCACTCTTTTCGTCAGATTTTGTTTTATTTTTGTCGTCACTGTTGTCATCATCTGATGCTGTTGTCTAAGATTTAGCAAAAAAATAAACAATAATATTTAAATAATTAAATATTTTCATATTTTTTGTTAGTCATGAAATAAAAAACCTCTGGTTTTTCTGTTGGTTTCCGTTTCGGTGGTGTTATGCGCGCCTTATTCAACATATATTTGACCTCCCGATCTAAAGCGGCAATCTTTTCAGCAATTGATTTCAGAGTCAATTTCGGCGTCTCGTGTTTGGCCAGTTTGCTCTGTTCGTGGACCGATGTGTCCACCCATGTCTTGGTTTCGTCGATCAACTTTTTCAGTGTATTGAGCTCTACTTCGGTAAAAATCTGGTCGTCATCGGACACATTGGTGGCACCGGTATAAAACATTTGACTAATATTCAACATGTTATTAATTGCGGCCAATGCTTCAGGTCGTTCCCGGTGTTCCTTTACTCTATCGAACAGCGCTCGGGTCAGTGATCTGAGATCGGCTAACTTATCGGTGATAACTTTGGTTTCGGCACCGTCCGACTCGTACTCCAACCACTCCGACTCAGCCGACAATTTCGATTGAATGGTGTCTTTCTCAGTATCGGTCGATGCGCTGCTATACTCTTCCTGATCCAACTTATCTCTTGTTTCTAATATAAACGACTCCAATGTATTCTTTACTTTGTCTCTCTTCAGTTTGTCCGCCTCTTTATCATCCAATTCTTTAATCTTATCGCGCGATTGTTGCAAAACTTCGGCATCAGTTTCTGGTAAATCCAGCAAAACAAGCGACGTATCTATCGGCTCTTTAATGGTTTTCAATTTCAACTCTTTCTGTGCACCACTTTGTGTCCCATTTGTGGTCGCATTCGCCGACTCTGTCTTATTTGGTGCCGCTTCAGACGTTGCATTTGCTTCTTGTTGTTGATTGGCATTGTCTGTAGTATTAGCCGTGGCATTGGTTGCTCCCGAAGTATCCGTATCGTTAACCTACAAAATCATCAAAAATTACGGTAATCACATAAATACGATAAACAGTTAATTAATTAAAACCATACTTTTTCAACATCCGCCTCATCGTCTTTACTACCAAACAGTTTTGATATCGATTCGCCAAACTTAGAGATAGCGTCGCCGACAATATTGCCAACCTCTTCGGCTTCAGATTCGACTTTCGACTCAAAGACGGCCTCAACGCTCTCCAGGTTTAGTAAACCGCTTTCATCCATACGGAAGTGCGCTTTAATGCCCTTCGAGTCTTCGGCGGGATGTTTGCCAATAGCTTCGGAGACACCTTTTAGTGATACCTAATCGACAAAAGAGAGAGAAAAACAAACAAATCTTTTTAATAAAAATTCGGTAAAAGTATCCACAAAAAAATTACATTGAATAAAGCGGTCGAATAATCCTCGACTTTGGAGCCATAGTTTACGGAAAACCCAAAATCTTTGGTATGTTTGTTAAATGTCAACACCTTTTTCTGTGGATAGGCATTGTTTCGGGCAAACAGTGTCCGCGACAGTGATTTACGCGAACCTCCGTCTTCGGTCTCCCGTTCAAAGTCCACTTGTATGGGATATAGATTGGCGTCTTTCACTATAAATGTCTTAACTTTGAAACCTTTGGACAGATAGGCGGCCTGATATGCAGCTCCCAGTGCGGCGCCTTCGTCGGCATTAATACTTTTGGACAGTTCTCGATTGAAATACTTTTGTAGGACAGTCTGTATTTTCGGTATACGCGTATTGCCGCCAATTATGATAACCGTATCAATTTCGGCCAATGTATAGCCCGATGTTTTGAAGGCTTCGTCAATCGGTTTGGTTAGCCGTTCATTGAATAGATCGTCACACAGTTGTTCAAACTCTTCACGAGTGACCATCGCTTTCAGGTCGATGTCGTTCATAACGTTCTCCACCTGTGCCTTGTGTTCGGTGTTGGCCGACAACACTTTCTTCAGACGTCCGGCCTCTTTGAACAGTTTAGCCATCGCCCGATGATTGCCGGTAATATCGGTCAACGGTTTTTTAGATTGTTCGGCAAACAATTTTGCCAAATGGTCGCGCAATCGTAGCTGCATTTCGAGTCCTCCGAGTTGCCGATCATAACCTACACCCTTGACGGTCAACTGTGGATTGGTTTCGGTAAATCCACGATCTTTTGTTTTGATCAACTGATAGGACACAATGGTAGCGGTAGTACTGGCGGCGCCCATATCGTAGAATAATATGTTGGTCACTGTTGTGTTGAAATCTTTTCGGCGAAACACACCGTAATTAAGTGCAAATGCAGTGTTACTGTTGACCAATTGGAGAACCTTGAGTTTGGCCAAATCGGCGGCCACCAGAATAGCCCGCCGTTCGGCTTGAGTGAAATACGGCGGCACAGTAATGACTGCATCGTTGATCGGCTGTTTGCTGGTCTCTTCGGCATACTTTTTGGCTTTTGTCAACACCATTGATACCAGTTCTTCCGGGGTAAATACGAGGTCATCGCCAGTGGTCAGCGACACACCGTTATTAGTGTCATCGATCTTGTGGTACGGAAAACGTTTCAAAAATAACTGAACTGAAGACGAGTTACGGTGTTTGGCTACCAGATCGCCAAAATAGGCAAACGCTTTATCGGGGAACCGAGTGGCAACTGTTTGGGCAGAATCGCCAAAAAGCCGTTCGCCATCTCTGAAGGACACCACTACCGGTGTCTTGCGTTGACTATCGGTGTTCAGTACGATCTCCATCGGCACTCCCGGAGACACAATCGCCACTTTCATCCACTCGGAGCCCAAATCGACAGACATGACGGCCACTGCCGACACTATCGGCGATAATAATAAAAAAAAAACTATTATTACAAATGTTATAAAAATAAATCTAAATTAATGTTTACCTGAATTAGTGGTCAATTGACACACAATTAACAGTAATAGCGATAAAAGTTTAAACATTTTTAACAAAAAATTTTTTTGTATTATTTTTCTATCGGATTAAAAACAGTTGTTTTTTTTGATAAAATTAATTAAATAAACTAATTATAAATATAAACACTACTATAAATTAATTATAGATTTTTTTTCGTCCAATATTTGTATGAAAATCACAAAATAATTTAATAAATTAAATAAAAGAGAAAAACAAACAAAAGTTTGTCAACAAATTATTATTATATCTGACACACACTGACTATAATACTACTATTACTGTCCACTTAATCCCCTAACCCCTAACACATACATACAGGTGCACAATGTTTAGCTAATAATCTAAATATGCAAATAGTGTTATAATCGATAATATACTTTCCAACCAAACAGTTAATAAAACTTTAACTAAACAATAAGCCGGTAATATTAGTATACAATTATTGTACAATTAATGTATAATATATTATACAGTGTGTACAGTGTGTGTGTGTATTAGGAAATTATTGATGACATGTTTCTACACTGTTTGTAGTCTAACACACACTTGTCTACATATGATTGGCTATAATAGTATAGTATATCTCTATTATAAACAATAGGCAAACACCGACTATTGTTGACGTCACACATACACAGCTTTTATGGGACCATTCATAAAGTATGTAACATTACATTGAAATAGTGGTTATGTTTAACATATAAATTAAAACTATTGATAATAATTGTACTTGATACAAACAAAAATTACAATATACAAAATCGTATAAATCTATTTGAATTATAAAAAATGTATAATCATAATATATTTATTAATTATATTTATTTTTAAATTTATTAAATATTTATTATTATTTTCTTAATTATTAAGTACAATGATTAATTTAATTATAATTAGTACATGCACAAATTGTGCTAAATTATATAGAATTTTAAAAAATAAATAAAATATTATATAAACAATATTAAAGAAAAAATTGATTTAATTATTAATTATATCTAATTTTTTTCAAAAATGTTAAATATATTTTGGGGTTTAGTAATAAACTTTTATGAAGTAATAGTGTTTATTAATATCAAAACTATGGTTGCATTACACACACTATTAATACAGACTGTTTGTCAGCTTATCTTACGGTGAAATCTCTATCCGACAGACGGTGTTGTGGTGTCCGTCAAACACACTTACAATAACCCTATACTGTACCTGAATATCACATTCATTATCATTGGAGAGTGTCTATGTATGTGTGTGTGTGTGTGTGTGTGTGTGTGTGTGTGTGTGTGTGTGTGTGTGTGTGTGTGTGTGTGTGTGTGTGTGTGTGTGTGTGTGTGTGTGTGTGTGTGTGTGTGTGTATGTGTATGTATGTATGTATGTATGTATGTGTGTGTGTGAGTGTGAGTGTGAGTGTGTGTGTATGTATGTATGTATGTATGTGTGTGTGTGTGTGTGTGTGTGTGTGTGTGTGTGTGTGTGTGTGTGTGTGTATGTATGTATGTATGTGAGTGTGTGAGTGTGTGAGTGTGTGAGTGTGTGTGTATGTGTATGTGTATGTGTATGTATGTATGTGTGTATGTATGTATGTATGTGTGTGTGTGTGTGTGTGTGTGTGTGTATATGTATGTATGTGTGTGTGTGTGTGTGTGTGAGTGTATGTATGTATGTATGTATGTATGTGTGAGTGTATGTATGTATGCAATCAATCAATGAGTCAGTCCGTTAAAGTTGCTTCTGGAGATCGGATGTATATCCCTATCGGTCGTCAATAATTGTATTAAAACAATCTAAAACTTAAATAAAAATTATTTAATTATATATAATATTCTATAAAAAATAACTTTTGACTGAGTTTTGCATAAATAAAATAATAATAGTTTTCTTTTCGTTTCAAAAAAAAAATTATATTAATTATAATTATTTTTTTCAAATAAAAAAGTTTCTAACTTAACTAAAAATAAATTTGATAACTTTTAATGTGATTTATTTATTGTTAAATAGAAATAAATATGATAACGTTGTCTAAGAGTGACCTAATAAGAATACACTATTAATGCTATGCACACACTTAACCCGTAAAGACCTATAATGAATCAGATGATTGTCATACTATTAGTACAATAAATGACAACATGTAATACAATTTTATATCTATATATTTATATCTCGATATATATGAATGTACGATACATAACATGATTACATGACGTAATAATCGAGAGTCGTTATTCAACCACAGGACTGTATAATAGAGTAAAGAGTTTTTTGTTTTGTTTGTAAAAGTTTGACAACACTTTCATTACATTTAAATACAGATTTTTATTAATAATAACAAAATTATTTTGTCGTTACTATTATTGTGATATTTGTTTGATTTTGTCGGTCATAATGAAAACATTGTACACAATCGGCGTTTTTATAGTGATAGCGATAACATTAGGTGTCGGCGACGGTCACAATAAATACTCGGCCGAAGCCAATGTCGGGCCGGCGGACAATCCGTTTCGTATGAGAAAGTTAAACGACTTCTGGCATAAAGCGGTCAAAGTATTGATCACCAGATTATTGACTCTTTGTTTACATGAAAAGTCTAAATAACATTATTTTCTTTTAATTTTAATCAGCGATTAGATCCAAACAAATTGAAGGCATTGATGGCAGACTTCAAAGCTCAAGACAAAGAAGAGATAACTCTCAAAAAGTTTAAGTCCGACGGACAGGACAAGGATGGCGTCAAAGAAGCACAAGTGAGGAAACAATTGGCCGCTATTTTAAAGAAATACGGATTATCTGATTCCGATAAAATCGATGAAGAAGTGGATAATAATACTTCTGGTAAACATCGGGATCACTATATAGATAAACAAATATTTCGGGACAAAAAATTAGACAAACTGTGGAAAAAAGCGCAAAACAGTGGTCTAAATGATGAACAACTGATGATACTTAAGGAAGAATTCAAACACCACGAAATGAAACTTAAAGAATATAAACAACTTATCGATGATATGAATGTTAGTGAAGATAAAAAGAAATCCATTGATGAAGAAAATCGAGACAATTCATTGAATGTCATTCTAGACGAAGAAGAACCACAAGATAAAGACAACAAAGAGGCCGATGTTGTGCTTAAAGTGAAACACTTTGAGATTAAAGAAAATTTCCGACGACTGAGTGATAAAGTGATAAACAACGCTCAAGACTTAAGATCATCCGGTGATGAGTTTGACGAACCAAAAGCTCAAACATTATGGGAAATGGCTCTCAAATCTAACTTCAATAAAGAAGAACTCAATTCATTGCGCGAAGAGTTGGAACACTTTGAAACAAGAATCAGAAAATTGAAACATTTTGAGTCTCAACTGGATATGGATTCAATCGCCGGTAAATATATCAATGAAAACATAGATCTGACCGGTGATGACAGTGATGACAAACATTTGAAAAGAAAAGTCAAAGAACTGACACATAAAGTAAACAAACTTCACTCAGAATTGGAGTCACGAATAGTTCAAAGACATCTTGAGTTATAAAACAAATTTATTTTTTATATAGTATTTATTTATACAAAAAAATACAATTACGGTAAATATCTATTGAATTTATTTATAATTTTATTATATAGTTTGTATTTTTACAATTTATACACAATTTGGATAAAAATAAATAATTAGAATCTGAATAAAAAAATCCAATTTAAAGATATTTATAATCAATTGAATTTTCTTTATTTTCTATTATATTTACAATATTTCAATACCCGGTGAATAATTTTTTGATCTAAAATATAATTATCGGTATAAGAAAATATGTTATTAATACTGATTGACTGAATTTAGAAAAAAATTAGTCAAAGTTGGTTCAAAACTACTGTATCGGTACATATAAAATTGTAGTATATGTTGTAACGATATTATTTTTATATTTTATTAATTTGTTGTTACCGTATATTACGAATATAAATACATTTAAAAGAAAAAACTACCGATAGTTTTTAAAATGTAATCATTATTATATATTATATGTTATCTAAAATAGAAAAATCTTAATGAAATACAATTAGTTTGATTATAATTAACGTAAAGATTAAAAATTCTATATAATGTTAAAGTCATAGATACTTCAAATCAATAATATATTTGAATGAAGTAATAAAATTTATTAAACAATCTATAACTTATTTATTCACATTTTTGAGTATATTGTAAATCTTGAATTTGTAATATATTATTTTAAGATTGTTAAATCAATATTATTCTTAAAATGGAGATAATAACGGTTCAAAAATAAAATTGTTGTCAAAACCAATTTGATTTTTAATTTTTAATACTATCCAGGTTAGATAAAATAAATTTATATACTAAAAGTAATATTGTGAAAATCATATTAATTGAATAATTGCAATATTAACTAAAAATTATATTATATTTATTAGAATACAATGAATGCACACATTTAAAGAATATCAATGAAATTCTTTATTAACATAACTTATGTAAAAATATAGTACAGTATTATTAATATTAATTACCGTTAATAATAAATATTGTTTTTATATTTTATTTCTAAGGGTTAATAGAAATAAAATTTAATAATATTTTTTAAATAATATTCTATCAAATATTGAATAAATATAATAATTAATACTAAACAAAAATTATAAATATGCAATTTTAAAAAACTGTTATATTATTTTTACTTTTACTTTAATAATACAGATTAAGAAATTACTTTAAAATAAAAAAAATTGTTTTAGATATTTATAATGTTTTATTAATTAAATTTAATAATAAAATGGAATTTATTATTACATAGAGATGCTATTACTTTAAGTGAAAACAATTGATAATAAAATTATTTTACTTAATATCCGACAAAAATTTGGTTAAATTATACTTAGACATTTTTTTCAATTTGTATGAAAACAAAATTATTAGTAAATATTAATTAATATTTAATTAATTAACAAAATTAATATCAGTTTAACAAACTAAAGTTTATAATATACCGTAAATTTTCATTAAATTTTGAATATATATTTCGGTTTTTCTAAATTAGTTTATTGATATAACTAATAATAAATGTTTAATTTGACATTTGGTAGTACACACGCAATAATGATATGTAAATTTTATGTATCATAGAATATTTAAAATGTATTATACAGTATATATATATATATAATTTTTATATACTATACTGTTTTAATAAAATTAATTGACATAAATTAGTTCAAACAAATCTATTAATGATTTTGTGTTTTTGTTAAAATGGTTTTTAAATGGTTGAAATAATTTATTTGATGAAACAATAAATAAAAACTTAATACATACAGATTTATAATAGCATATTAATTATGCTCTAATATATATGTATATAAATGCTTTTTTAAAAAACGGAATGGCAGTGACACTTAATTTTAAATATTCAATTTAATTGAAATTAAAATTTGTATTGTAATATATACACCTATTATATAATTATAATTATTTAAATAATGTAAATATTGATGGAATATTCATTGTTTAAATTAATAATGTAAGAAATTATTATTATATTCACTTAACAGTTGTTCACTATTTTTTGTGTAAACCTGTATTTTTAACATTATTATAAATGAGTCAAATTTTAATACATGATTTTTGTTTATATAATGCTAAAAATACAATCTATACATAAATATAAACTTTTGTGAATAACTGCTAACATGATTCAGCTCTCCATACATGCAATATAATTGTTTATAATTTAATTAATAATACTAAAAAAATTCATTATAATAATTATACAAATAAAATAAAATTACTTTTAAAAAATAAAATATTGAAAATATAATTTAAATTATATAAATATAGAGAAATTAAAAATAAAATTCTATTAAAACAATAAAATCGGATTCTGGTATTACAGTGTTAATCAATATTGAATTCAATCATCATTACGTGTACTCATTAATAAATATCTTATACATTGGATAAACAATATATCTAAACATTTGTCTTAAATTATTGTATAGACTTTCAGTAAATTTTAAATTTTCATTTAAGAGATTCAATGGCTTTCGTTTAAAACATTAGATTCACAGATAATAGAGGAATAATATATGAAGAAAGAGTTGGACATTCAAAGACACACACATCGGATAAATTAAGGAGATGTCGGAGAGTAGGGCTGACCAGCGGGGACTCCGCCCGCTTGGAATCGCATTTCATCGCGACTGGCCCTATATTGTCGATAATTTATATAATAGATATCAGTAAAAAAATTATTATTAACTAATTATATGACATACTTTCGGCCCAACACAAGAGCCCCGAAGAGAGCTGTTATGCCCAATGAGGCCAAAAATCCGAGTATAAAGGCTGGTCCGTAACAGCCAAATGAAACGCCAACAATAAATGGCACTAAAGTTAGTCTTCAGATACAATATTAACATAAAATAAGAAAATTAATATCATTTCTTAAACTAATTATATCTCATTTATTCAGTTCATACGCTGCATAAATGCCTGCTTTAAACCAATAGGGCTTTCCTTCAACAAAGCGACCGACGCCTCGAGCGAAGGACAGGAATGCGACAAAAGAAGGCGCTTCGATGCTGAGGATGGCCACCGCTGCCACTCTGTATTATCAGTCATTTATATTAGTCATCAAATCTGATTCAATACATCTTACAGTTGTAGGATTCCCGGGAAAATACAGTGAACAGCCAATGGACTAATGGTAGTCAATAGACCGCATAATACCAATACCAATGCCAGAGCTGTGGCTATTTGACTGGACCACGACTCCACCCACCTGTCCATTCATTATTATAATAATAATAATATTAATATATTTAATTGTATCAATCAATTCATTCAATATTTCTAAATTATATATTGATATTGTAATAATTAATCAAAATGAGCATGCTAAATAAATTGGTGCAAATGTCAATGTTGTCATATATTTAATATATAAATTGTTACCGACCAGGTCGACCCTGTTTGTTGGCCCTCCGTAGGTGTTCCCACATTCATCATCATTACCAATCAGCCAATCAGTTATCCGATCCGATTTGGATATCAATAAAAACAAATTCAATAACCGGACTATAAATGTATATAATATATGATATACTGTATAACCAGTAAAGTAGATGTCATACACAATATATACAGTAGTTTTCAAAAGCAAACCAATCGATATCAATATCTCCGGCAAAACATGAGAGGCTTAGTATGTTTTAGGGGATTGTATATTAAGTGCAGTACTAAATGTTAATAATAATTGTAACTGGATACATTAATCAATATGAATATGCCATGTAATAAGTTTATATATTTGTTTTTATCAATGTTTACTTTAATATAATATCTACAGTATATCCCAATTTTTAATCAAATTTTAAGTTTAAAGTTTAGAAAATTATAATTAATTTTCAATGACATCTCAATTATAAATTTTATTAGATATATAAATATATGATATAATGTCTTATATGTTATACATGTTATTATATCAATACATTTAAATCTATTTATTAGTTGACTTTATTGAGATGATAGTCATTTAAAAATAAATTATAATTAATTAATAGTCTTTTTAATTTATATTTTTTGTTAAAATTTATTTAAGTATTTTTAACTTAATTATAATATACTGTATAAAGAAATAAAAATAATTATGTATTTTAAGTTGTGTTCAAAACATTTGTTGCAAAACTTAAATAAATGTAAACTTTTGGTTCCCCAGAGTGTCAACGCATTTGTGGTAAAATCTATTCAGACTTCGTCTGTAAAATTGTCTTCATTTGATTGGACGGATGCGTTGATGTTAGACAACAATTTAACTGAAGATGAGAGACAAATCAGAGATCAAGTCCGCAGTTATTGCAGAGACAAACTGATGCCACGGATACTATTAGACAACAGAAATGAAACATTTGACAGAAATATAATGTCAGAAATGGGAAGTTTGGGTATTTTGGGTCCGACTATCAAAGGCTATGGATGTCCTAATGTATCGACAGTGGCCTACGGGTTGATAGCTAGAGAAGTAGAGAGAGTTGACAGCAGCTATAGATCAGCGTTTAGTGTACAGTCATCGCTGGTTATGCATCCTATCTATGCTTTCGGAAGTGACGAACAAAAAGACAAATATCTACCAAAACTGGCGAAAGGATCGCTCATAGGTTTAGTCATGAAATTTAATTTTATGATTTATAAAACTATTATACTTTATGTTTAACTATAGGTGCATTTGGTTTAACCGAACCAAACCACGGAAGTGATCCGTCGGGAATGGAAACTAAGGCTTCATACGATTCTTCATCTAAAACTTATACACTAAATGGTAGCAAAATGTGGATCACAAACGCACCGATTGCTGATATATTCATAGTTTGGGCCAAATATGATAACAGAATTCGTGGATTTATTTTAGAGCGAGGAATGAAAGGATTGTCGACTCCGAAAATTGAGGGAAAGTTTTCATTGAGAGCTTCGACTACCGGTTCAATATCTATGCAAGACGTCAAAGTACCGGAAAACAATTTGTTGCCAAAAGCCGATGGTCTAAGAGGTCCATTTGAGTGTCTTAATAGCGCCCGGTTAGGCATTTCATGGGGAGCATTGGGTGCGGCCGAGTTCTGTATGGCCACAGCTAGAGATTATGTTTTAGACCGCAAGCAATTCAGTCGACCGCTGGCCAAAAATCAGTTAATTCAAAAAAAGTTGGCCGATATGTTGACCGAAATATCTATCGCATTGCAGGCATGTCTTCAAGTGTCGCGACTAAAAGATAAGGGATTACATAAACCGGAGATGATATCTATGATTAAACGCAACTCATGTGGAAAGGCATTAGAGATCGCACGTAATGCTAGGGATATGTTGGGAGGGAATGGCATTTCTGATGAATACCATATAATAAGACATGTCATGAACTTAGAGGCCGTTAATACTTATGAAGGAACTCATGACATTCATGCGCTTATATTGGGTCGGGCTATGACTGGTCATCAGGCATTCACTAGTGATTAATAAACGAGTGAATTGATGTTACAATTATAATATATATTTTATAATATCATATAATAATTTGTTGACCTTTGATACCTATCAATTAATATACATCATTATTTTGTTTATCATATATTGTATATGCAATAAAATTTAATTTTTATTACTGTAATATCAATGCTATTATATCATATATTATTTTACATTTTAATTATAATTAAATAATTATAAAAAATTCCAACATTTTTACCACCTTTAATACTAGAAATCATGTAATAGACATTGTATTAATAAATTTTGATAATTAACTTTAAGATACTTTATAATTATTGTTATATAAATAATTATTAATATACTGTATATTTCTTGATTTATTTCTATTTTAAAACTTTTTGATTATAATAATCGATGGAATAATTAGTTATTATTATTATTTAATTAATATTTTGATGATTGCTTTGGTTTTTCAATTGAATATGATTTCTTTAAACAGTTGTCCAGTTCTGTGGTAATTATTTAATGATAATTATATACCGGTATATAAGTTATAAATAATATAATCTAAAATTATTAATCTATAAATAATTTATAATTAACTCTTACCGTCGTATGAGTGCATTAATAGGAAATCTCTGACTTTACGATTGCTATCATTCAAGTAATAAAGATTAGCGTTTCTCTGATAGCATACCAATCCTCTGGCAATTTCTTCGAGTATGACTTTCTCGTCTAATTCTCTGAGTTTATGTACGTCAGCGACGGACCAAATGTTTTTATACGATGGCATCGTATGATTTTGAGCTAACATTTTCAACCGTAACCGTTCGCTATTGATGGATGTGACCGAATCGGTACGACTATCGGAGCCACAGTTACTCAAAGAATCAGAATATTCTGAACTATTGACACTATTTTTAGTTTTAAAATTCTTCAACTTTTTCATTATTGAACTTTTGCTATGATTATCATTACTTGTTTTGCGGATATTATCAACTTTTTTCTGTATTTCCTTTTTCTCGTTGACCACTGATATCAGGTCCACAATCTGTTTGTCCACCCAAAGAGCTAGTGTTTCCTTTTGAGACCAATGACTTCGCAACCGATGTGTCTTAATCTCTAAGTATTTGGCACCACATCTATCTTTCAAGTCATCCATAAAATCGTTGAACAATGGTATCGATGGTCCGGTATAATCAAGAAGACCAACATCTTTGTTGATCTGTTCGGATATCTCAATGAACTCACAGTAAGCGTCAGAAAAGTCGTTTGACACCAATTGCCAACTTTGACGCAGTCTTGCAATGGGCGGACTTTGAAGGCCCAGAATAATTGAATTCATTGAATGCCAGTTTTGCAGTGTCTTTAACTCTTTAGCCACCTTTCATAATATTCACATAAATTAACTATTAATTATAATAATTTATTTTATCTTTAAAATTGAATAAAATATTATAAACGTCTTTTTAAATTTTATAATAAATCTTTTATATATATACTATCTGTATAAAACTTATGTATGTATGTATGTATAAAACTTTATTTATAAAATTATTACAATAATTATTATTGTAAATTTGTTATACTGTAGTTTAAATAATAATAATTTTTGAATACAAACCTCAATAAAGTAAGCAATTCTTTTGGCACATATTATGACATCTAATTCTTGTAATATATAACTTGATATCAATTGAATGATTCGTTTTTGAAATCCCAAAAGTGCTGATATATTACAACAGTTATCCTTCAAAAATAGTTATTATAAATATATTAATAATAATTAATATCATTATAATAGCTAATAATTTTATTGTAATATAAAATTATTTAAAAAGATTATTAAAACTTTTAATTATAATTTTAAAAATTACTCACAAGATTTATAGAGTTGGGACGAATCAAAATAGTAATAATTTCTGAACTTTTTAGCGCTAAAAATAAATTCTTTGATATTAATGTCAATTCATTGGCCACAATCTGTGGACAATAGTCTTCAAGCGATGTAAAATTGATCGTCTGTTGCTTTGGCATAGATTTGCTACTTATTTTAGGTTCAGATTGTGTATAGTTTTCTGTATATAAAACATAAAATTAGTAAAAATATATTTAATAGTAATCGGGATTTACTTTTGAAAGACGAGGAATCATTAGAATTGGGAACAATTAAGAAATTGCTGGTCTGTGTCATCGGCAGAGAGTCCGGTGAAGATAAATGAAGACTAGTTGTTGAACTCTGTCGCGAAAGAACTTTCATTTTATGTTCGTAATCCTTCTTCTTGTGTTTACTTTTATCCATTGGTGTCCACAGTTCTCCTCCGCCGCGAAAACTGTTTCGTCTGAAAGGTATCGGTTGAGTATCGAGTTTTGGTGGACACAGACTCTGTCTACGGCGCGCCTGAATCATCAGAGAGTAGACATCATTGCCGAAGTGACTTAACTCTGGTGACAACAAATGACGAAAATCTTCAACCGATAGATTCCATTTCAGATGACGTTTAGTCTCCGAGTCTAACAATTGGGAGCTTTCTTTGGATTCGAGAAATAATTCCGAAGTCCAACTTCTAAGTGGCAAACAATTAGCGCTTTGAAGTACTCTTTCGTACGTCACCTCCGGGTGTGGACTCAAAAATATGAATCTCGGTTGAAGTAGTGAACCTCTTCTCGCTGATCGTGTGTTTGATTTTTTTAAATCTTCAAATCCTCTCAATACTTGATCCGCTTCGTCAATAATGTCATTCCATTCAAGAGTTCGCTGAAAAACATTACCAAAGCCTCTACCTTTTGACGCAAGATTTAACGATACATTACATCCGTCATCAACTTCTTTGCCAAATCTGTTTACTAAATGTAATCCATTGACAGAAGGATCGACAATCTTCTTGTCAGTTCGTTTCGTCCAAAAATATGGTGTTCGCCACAACTTGTCTTTGACTTTGGATTTCTTTTCGGTAAAAAATTTATCCAAATCGACAGCATCTTCGTGTGTCTGTAATAAATGGATCTCTTTTCTATCAGTTTGTAACTTATTCTTCACTAATTGTTTGTCTGAATGCAAATAGACGATCAACTCTGCAATACTATTGACTCCTTCTTCTTTGAGTTGATTTTTTGATGATTTTTTATCACCTTTTGATTCATTAGTAATCACTTTGTGGACATAATTACTCGGCAATGAAGTTGTTGATGAACTGGTGTCTGAACTGTTTGAATCAGTTTGACTAAGATTTGATTGAATCAAATATTGATTAATACTTGTACTTGAAATCGGTGTTTCCGATGATTCAATTGCACCGGTATTACAAACTATGGGTTCGCTATTAATCTGAATAACTGGTGATTCTGTATTGAAATCATTTTTATCTTTCTTAATGATTAGTTTTCGAAGAGATTTACTCAACTTTTTTACCATTTTTTCATAAAAACTTTCTTTTATAAATAAATTAAAACAATTAGTGAAGAAATTAATTATATAAAAACATATGATTCACAACAAAAATTATAAAAATTTCTAAAATCAGTTCATATAATTTAAGTGCAGACAAAAGTGTTTTATATAAATGTTTTTTACAATTAAAATATCTATGAAACAGGTATATACAGTACTTAGTGTTGGCAAAAAAAGAGAAATTTATAAAATAATACAAACATTTCTAGAAAGTTTCTAAAAGAAATTTCTATCTATGGGATCCTCATATTAATTTTGTTCTCTAGATATTTGTTATCTTTGTATATATGGGATATGGATTGGATGGGAAATTGGGAAACTTTCTCAGGGAAATTTATTATAAACTTTCTATTTATTCATCTCTAACAGTACTTAATCGTATAAAATCGTAATGAATGTAATAAAATGTCTAAAACTATAATTATTAGTGAATATAATAAAAATTATTTAATTAATGGAATAATATATTTATCATAAAAATTTGTTATTCAATGTGACGACAGTTTTATTGTTCAAAATAATTGGTATCTAATTATCACAAGACAACTGTTTTATAATGTTTTTATTAAACTTATTAATTATATAATGTCCACTATATTTCACAAATTTGTCATGATCAATTAATTAATTAATTAAATGTCAATACCATTTATTATTTCAGTAAGTTATAGATTTATAACAATTAAATAGAAAACACATATAATTAAAATGTTTGTAATTATTCAAAAACCGTATCAATCTTATCAATCAATTATTTCAATATATCATATTATATATTACATTAAATATTATTATAATATATTAAAACTTAATTATACGAATTAGTTTATATGTGTGTAAAACACAAAGACATAAATGTTTAGTAACTCGAAAAATATTAGAGATATTTTAAGCAAATAAAGTTTAAAATAATAGGAAAGAGTTATGGTTTATAAAACTAAAATTTAATAAATGACACCTCCTTTACTTTAAGGAGGTGGAAAAAACTTCAAAAATACATGCAAAAAAATTATTATTTTTTAATGTTTAATTTTTTCACTAATGCTATTAAGAATTAATTTAAACACACTTTCCCTGCACTACAGTAACTAATAAAAATAAAATTTTTGAAAATATATCCAGGCCAGATTTTTGTGGAAATCAATTTTATCGAATTTTTTTGTGTAAATTACATGTAAACATAATAACCTGTATTTTTATTGTTAAAGAGGGTGTCATTTATTAAATTTTAGTTTTATAAACCCTAACTCTTTCATATTATTTTAAACTTTATTTGCTTATAATATCTCTAATACTTTTCCGAGTAATTAGTAAAAGAGTATTAATAAATTGATTGATTGCTTAATACAATTTTTTGTATACAACTATTGATTTTTTGGCAAATTCTTATGGTATAAAAAATTTTTTGTAATACAGCTGAGGTATGTGGGAATAGGGAGGTGTCATATCTATAAAAAGTTTATGAGCTAGATCAATTCTAATTTCATCAAATTGCATATAACTAAAATTAATTCGTTTTTTCATTTATGTTTATTAATTATAGATAAATTATTTGATAAACATTGTTACTTAAAATACTGTACTGAAACAAGTATGCAAATTGTAGTGTAAATTATATACTGTAATTGTTATATATTGTAATATATTAATTATAATGAAAGTACTATAAAATTTATTTTATTAATATAAAAGCATTAACTACTGTACTGTAGTTCAAAATAAAATCTTTAATCATTTGTCTATTTATTATCTAATTATATCTAAATAAATAAATCAAAATTCACTTGAAATTAATAATACAGTATTATTTGACAAATATTTTTATTACACTAAGTGTTTACGTTATGTAATGGATTTTAATGAATTTGATGACTGAATGAAATGCAGTTTTATCTACAGAATAATTGTTATTAAAGTAGTTTAATATATATTAATGAAGTGCATTAAAAAACATTGTCAACAACAATAAAATTATTTGCAATATTTTTTATTATGAAAATACTATTAATATAATTATTGCAATTTGTTTGCTATTTATAAACATAAATTAAATAAACAAACATAAAATACAATAATAACATATATATGCAATTAAATTAAAATATTAGTGCTTTATTTAAAAGATTATTATTAACTAATTTAAATAATCAATTAATTTATAAATAAAATAACAATTGGTGTCTACTATTTATCACAAATTAATGAGAAAGAGAAACATCTCAAAAAATTCTGCACTTTTTATGCATAAACAAAATTTTTGTGTTTCAATAGTGTAAGTGCTTTATTACAATTCAAAAGTGCTATTCATATGATTTGTGAACTCTTTTTTATGGAGATGTTTGCTTCCGGTTGCCGTCGAAGAGGAGATAGGTCTACCCGCATACCTGTGCAATAAACATAAACATTAAATTTCGATACAGAGAAAAAAATGATCACTAATTTAATGTATACTTACTTTAATTTTTTATCAGTAAGATTCATATGCCGTAAGACACAGTCAAAGTGTGGCTGAATGAAAGCCCAATAGCCCTGATTCTTGTGTTCTTCTTGAGACCACAAGAGGTCGGCATTCGGGTACTTAAGAATCTCGTCGCGAACCAAATCAAACGGAAAAGGAGCCAATTGTTCAACACGTGAAATGGCTACTTCACTGTTCAAACCTTTAGCTGTTCTTTCTTTTATTAGATCATAATATGTCTTTCCGCTGCAAAATACTAATCGTTTAACATTTTGTGGATTTTGTGCGGCCGGACCCGAGTCGGAAATCACTTCCCGGAATGTCGTTCCGTCATTCATCTCATCAAAACTAGATTTTGCTTCTGGATGTCGAAGAAGCGATTTCGGTGTAAACAATATAAGCTAAATGTTGATAATAATAATAAATTAACAATTCATGTGTTATATTGTGAATAAAAGACTCACAGGTTTTCTAAAGGGAAGTATTATTTGTCGGCGCAATGTATGGAAATAACTGGCGGGTGTACTGCAGTTGGCGACAATCATATTGATGTCATGCAATTGTCTCATTGTAAAGTTTTCATCAATTTGCTACACAAACAAAATAAATTATAAAAATCAATCAAATCATTATTTTAATACAATTTTAACTATAAATTTACCGGAAACTCATCGCACTCGGAGTTTGTCAATTGAAGAAACCGTTCGGGTCTACCACTAGAATGTTCGGGACCCATACCTTCCATGCCGTGCGGTAGCAATAAAACAAGTCCACTTTGTCGGACCCATTTTGCCTGACCGCTACTTATAAACTGATCGACTATACACTGAGCCGTATTGAAAAAGTCGCCAAACTGTGCCTCCCATATGACTAATGCGTTTGGGTTTGTCATCGAAAATCCTAATTCAAAGCCAAGAACTCCGTATTCAGACAATGAACTGTTGCATACAGTATACGGTGCCTGATCTGCATATAAATGGCAAAGTGGTCTATAAGTTGTCTTATCAATTGTCTGGTGATGTAAAACATGATGTCTATGACTGAAAGTTCCTCTTTCAACGTCTTGACCACTGAGTCGTACATGAATACCCTCTTTAAGTAAAGAACCGAAAGCCATAGCCTCTGCCAGAGCCCAGTCAACGGTTCGTCCATTAATCATTTCAAGTCGTGATTTCAAAATACGTTTAATTCCCGGATGTATTTTAAAGTTTCCCGGCGGTGGAGTGCTAAAAGCAGTACCGATATGCATAAGTGTGTCCTCGTGAACACCGGTTGGATCACATTTGAGTTCATTTCGGGTACCAAAGAAACCACTCCACGGAGAATCCAACCAATCTTTGTTATACATTTTCACCTCTTTTTCTGCATTTTTGTAGGCCTCAGTCAGAATAGCATCATATTTATCATTAAGAGACTCAACAAAACTTTCGGAAACAGTATTTTCTTCGACCAGTTTGCGAGCGTATTGATCCAATGCAGTGACCTGTTTGCGAATTTTTGTGTACATCAATGGTTGTGTAAACATTGGTTCATCGATTTCATTGTGACCATTACGGCGATAACCAACTAAATCAATGACAACATCTTTTCCAAACTTTGCGCGCCATTCAGCGGCAACAGTACACACATAAACCACGGCCTCGGGATCGTCGGCATTGACGTGAAATATCGGTGCATTCACAACACGGGCCACATCTGTACAGTATGGAGAAGAACGAGCCACACGAGGATCGGTTGTGAATCCTATTTGATTGTTGACTACAATGTGAATAGTTCCGTGTGTCGAGTAATCGGGTAAATCGGCCAAATGGAAAGTCTCGTAAACAATGCCCTGTCCGGCAAAAGCGGCGTCACCGTGAAGTAGAATAGACATAACTTTCTTTCCCTGAGAGTCTCCCCGATAGAACTGTTCGGCTCTGGTCTTTCCTTGTACTACTGGATCGGCAGCTTCTAAATGTGATGGATTGGCCACAACTGCCAATTTGATGTTTTTGTTGGTCATTCTATTGAGCCTTTCATGAGACATACCCAAGTGATACTTGACATCTCCAGAACCCTTTGAATATTCAATAAATTGTTAAACAGATGATAACACTAAACATTACATATATTACAGTATATTACCTCATCTGCCGGTTCTAAACTACTAAACTGTGCAAAAATTTGTTCGAGAGGTTTGCGGCAAACATTGGCCAACACGTTAAGCCTTCCTCTGTGAGGCATTCCTATAACAATACTTTCAATTCCGGCATCACTTGAAAAATCAATGATGGCTTTCATGGCGGGTATCAATACTTCACAACCTTCGAGACCGAATCGTTTCTCTGACGACCACTTTTTTGCCAAAAACTCTTCAAATTTATGAGAACGTGTCAGTCGAGCCAATAAAGTTCGTTTCTCTTCAACATTTAGTTCCATGATTTTCGGTGTCTCAAACTTTTCGCGAATCCATTGGCATTGTTCCAGATTATTGATGAACATATATTCAACACCAATACGCTGACAGTAAACATCTTCCAGACGTTTTAGTATTTCTCGCAATGGAAGTACTGTTTCGCCGCCACCAATAAAGGTTGTCGACGGCAGCTTAAACAGTCGATCCATATCTTTCTCCTCTAATTATTTATTTTAAATAAAAATATTTGTTTATAATAAATATATTAATTGTTATAAATATCAAGCAAAAAGCCATTTTTAGTTAAGATGGACAGTGAATTCAAGTGGTCTTAAGAGTTTGGTTACCGAGATTATGAACCTTAAGCCAAGCGCCTTCTCTGTCAAGATTAGTAACATTAATGCTCAGGGGGTCTAAACTTGCGAAATAGTGGCCCCGAATCTAATGTAGGAATAATAATAATAATAGGAATAACGCTTATGTAGAGTATGTTCAATGAAAGAGACTGTGTCAAGGCTTTATGGCATATATCGTATTAATACACTTTTAAAACTTTTAATTCAAGTTTAAAAAATAAGTAAAATAACGCAAAAATAAATAACAGAAAGTGAAATAAGCAAAAATAGCATTTGGTTGTGAGGTTGGGAATACCTAATTTGTGAGTTCTAAGCACAACGGTTGGGGAACTGGGCGTACCAGAGTGTATTGGTGAATGTATATTAGCCGATGTTATACTTAACGGATCCAGTTTGGCAGCTAAATGACCCCGAACCTATTTGGGTTCGGCACATTTGTTTTAAAATAAAATTTTTTAATTATAAATTATAAACAAATTAAATATATTAACAAAATATAAATAATAAACAAAATAATGATAAAATAATTTAAATAAAATTCATGTTATACATATCAAAATTTGTATGCCAATTATTTTAGATTATTATATTAATGTTTGATATTTATATAAAATGATTATATATAGACCTGATATGATCGTATAATAGCCTGAACCGATAAGTGGTCGTCAATATCTCGGTGACCAACAGTAGATACATCGGCTTTTGGAGTGATGGCAGCACTCGATGTGATCTAAATTATAAAAACTATATTAAACTTTGGTTTTCATAGTATTGTTGATATTAATTACATCAATTGATGGCAATGAGACACCACTTGAACTCAATGAGGGCGGACTTTGATAGGCCAGTCCTGGCTGTAGGCCAGCGGTAGCGCTCTTGAAGAATGCATCCCAACTCTACTTTCATATATAAAATCCATTTTTATTTATAATTCATAAACATTTTAATAATCAAAATTAAATTAATAAATAATATTAAATTATTAATGTATTAAATTACAAATAAAATTATTTTTATATTATTGGTATTGAACTTTAAATCTTAGTAAAATTTTTAAAATAAATGCATAACAATTAGTATCTTGATTTTTAACTAAAAAAACTATTTTATTGGTTTAACGCTTATAACTGAGGCTTAGTATGTCCACCAAACATAACCAGTGGACACTATTACGGAAATTTTATTACAACTATAAAAACCTAAAAATACATTTTTTATTAACTATAGTTAACTATTTCAATGATTTTGAAAAATATAATAATTAAACTGTAAAACATTGCACAAATATATGTAAAAATACAAAATAGTTACCAAAATTATAAATTGTAAAATGTTTTTAATCAATATTATCAATTAATCAATTTTTTTATACAATATTATAATAATAAGAATATTTGTGTACATTATTGTTGTAAATATGCTGAAAACAAGTGAATATCATTTGCAAATATTTAAAAAATAAATAACTACAATGTATTTCAACAATTATTTGGCTTTTAAAGCAACTACTATAACAACTATTAGATAGTATAACTAATTATTAATCAATACTTTAATAATAATTACAGTATAGATACTATATAATGTACATATTCTGTAATATACCGGTAGTGTACATTGTAATTACATATGATTGTATACTGTACTAATAAGCTTATAAAAATTGATAATAATTATTGTACACTTACTGGAATATTTTAAAAAATTTTCCTAGCAACCTACATATTATATTTATACTTATAATAAATAATAAAATTAAATTAACAACATTTATGTACACAAATGTATAACTAGTTTATCAATTATTTTAAAAATTTTAATCACTTGAACATTGTTCACAATTAAGATATTTTTTAATGTTACTGTTTTTAGACTTAATTTAATACAACTACATTATTAATTAATTAGTTAATTAAATTAATTATTGTATATATTTTGTAAGTCAAGAAACTATAACCTAAACATTAGATATTTAGTAGTTTATAAAATTAAAAAAATACAATGAAATTAATTTAATATATTCAAAAACATACCTTTAAAATTTAAAAAAACCCCAGTTTTAATTTGACGTATATATAAAATCATTAAAAAGCAATTTTTGTGTTAACACAGACTCTAATCGATAAGACATATCATAATAATGTTATAAAATATATACAGAGTTTGCCTTTTAGTTATGTAATAATTGTTAGATAATGTTTTTAAACATTTATATTTTAGTTTTTAAAATATAAATACAAAATCAATATATACTTTGAAATGTGTGATTTAAACATAACAATAAAATTATATGAATTATATATATATGCTATATTTACTTTATATAAGAAATATCATATAAAGTTAAAACAATTTGTAGGTTATATTAAAATATTTTGAATTATTGCCAAAAATATGGCTTAAAATATATATTTGAAAAAAATAAATAACAGTAAAAACTGTGTGTAAAATGCCATTAAAAACACTTGTAATAAATGTCTAATCAATGGCTAAATTAAATATCATTCAATCATTTACTCAATTATTAGACATTAAATGACCGGCTTTTGCATAACATATGATTTAAAGTAAATTATAATAAAATAGGTTTTCTTCCAAATATTTACTGATTTGGTCCCAACTCTTGTCATTAAAGTTCATGTCTTATGTCGTGTCTGTTTGTAAGACATAACTGAAGAAATATATGCCTACCTTATGGACAGTTTGTGGGTCTTTAAGCCACGATTTGTACATTTCTTCGACGTATACGGAAGACGAACCATTGAGGAAGGGTTCCTGTGCTGCCCGAGCTGTAAACGTACGCCACTGATACTTCTTGCCGTCGGTGGCCACACTGGTCACGGTTGGCAATCGATTGGTAAGACCGTTGACCGCCAGACCATAGTTGCTACCACTCCAGTGAAGTAAATTAGATTTAATCAGACAATTGGTGGCTCTTTGCATGGCTTTTATCGATGAAATACACAATAATAAGACAACAATTTAATAAATCAATCAAATGTTGGCCATTAATGGCTAGAAATTAATTGTTTTGTTGTATTAATTAGTTTGTCGTCCTTTTCAATGATAAATCAAAACTAAACTCTCATTGAATCCCAAAATAACAATATATTCAATGAGTATAGTGTTGTATAAAACTGTATTAATAGGTATAATATGTGTGACAATGTGTCACATGTTAGGCATCGACGCAATTATTGCACTCAAAGCCCAGTTGTCTTACTCTTATTGAGCCCTCAATTGCCGCACAGTTTTCAGCGCCACTAACATTGATCTCAATTTATGACTAGAGTTGCCAAATACATACAGTTATATACATGTATTTATTTATTATTATAATTTTTGCTAAATATTTAACACAATATATTTTAACAAATATTAATGTATTTATGTTAAAATGTTTGATTATATATTAATATAATAAATGTATAATAATTAATGACCTAATAATAGATTAATTAGTTATATATATAATTATTAATAGTCTATTGGCTCAGTCATAATGGCAATCATTAAAACTATTTAATTTATTATACATATTAGTTATAAATTATTGCGAAATTATTTCATTTTATATAACAAATGTTATGCAATAGGATTTCATTAAATCAATTGAATATTTCAAATAAAAGGGTATAATAAACAATTATTTATCAAAAAACAAATTACACCAATCATTTATTTAATTAAATCATTAAAATATAATTAATTTATAACTTATACAAATTGGTGACAATTTTTTTTAAAGACATGCAATTACCACAAGTGATTACAAAGTATTTAAGAGACGAAATAAAACTAATTTTTAATTAATTTGAAGTAAACTTAATTTCTCATTCAATACGAGTTGTGTTTTAGTTAGATTTGTCAAATAGACAACCATTAGAAGGTCTTTAAGATTAGCATTCAAAGAGTCATCGTCTTCACCACCAAATGGTACAATACTTTCAATTGTGGCCATCAATTGTCTGCCGATATCATTGCTATTACTGGGTATTGATTTATTACCAGTCAATATGCTTTCATCGATAAAATGCAAAATACTGGCAATAACTTCCTGTGCTTTTTGCGATGTATTGATAATCATATCTAACTCGCTGTCCATCGACTGTGCTTTACCGAAAATGGCCAAATTCGAGGCCAAAGTACAGGCGCGCAGACCTATCATTTCGGGTTCATAGCCGGCCGCTATATGCACGTCAGTTAACTGAGAAAACATGGTTCCGGTAGTCTTTCCCGGCACACCAAATGGTGTCGAAATATAGGCCTTGATGTTAATCCCCCGATCCGACGGGTCAACAGTCAAGTGAATCGGAATTGTTGTCTCACGAGAGTAGTAGTCATGAATGACAACTGAATACTCGTTGATTTCACCGCCGCCGGTAGCAAACCAACCGATAATCGATTCATTTGGATTCACTTTGCGGTGTAATTCATACAGTTCTTTGGCCACTTCGATATCGATGGCCACCTCATTGTTAGCCTCCCTGTGCTGCACAACAAACGAGTTGCTGATCTCGACGTTACCCGACTTGTCTTGTTGGCCAAGAAGTGTGCCGATCACCCGATTGGCATCCGAATTGCGGCGTTGATAGATATCAACGATGTTGAACAATACAACCGGATGTATCCTTACTGTTATTGATGTCATGATTATCACCAATTGGTGGCCAAACTTATGGTCAAAATATGTGATAATTGTGTGTCAATTGTGTAATCACTGCCAACGCGTGCAATGCTGTCAACAGTAACACCTTTACAACGCATGCGTCACAAACACATTAAAAACTACTATTAGAGGTGTTAACCACATATTATCTCTGCTATATTATGTTTTTCATAATAAGTATAACAAATGTATATTAATTTTATTTTCCGATTGATTTCCCGCGATTGTAGAGGTGTTAGTATTTTGTAATTTTTGGCGCATTTTTGTTGCGTAAACTCAATGATAGTCTCATTGATTGTCAACTAAACGGTGACAACAATTGACTGATTCTTTTGACTTCAAATATAACGACAAAAAGTAAACAAATAATGAATTTAATCAACAGTTTAGTTGACCGACAAATCGGTGGTCGAAGAAGTTGTCCACTCATTGACTTTGCATTTAATAAACTTAGTCTTTGCGGTCAATACGAGTTCAATGATTTGAATGATGTAAATGATATAAAATAATTGTTATTTTCAATGATATTAATAATTTGAATGAATGACCCGTTCAGGTGGGGGCACCTCCTCTGGCAATGGCTATGAATGATGGACTACTATCGGTGGCCAACGATGGTGGCGATATGGCTCTTGTTAATAGCCGCGATATGACTGTCCGCAAGACTTGGCGCGCACACAATAATGCCATCTTCGACGTGAAGTGGAGGCCATCATCTGACGATCACTTGGGAACCGCTTCGGGAGACAAGTCTATTACCATTTGGGACGTGAATAAAGGTTTTTAATATAAATTTTGATTTTTTTAAATATACTAATGTATTGTATTTAACAAACAAACAGTTGAAAAGGTCTATTCATATGAATGTGCTCACAACGGATCAATTAAGTCGATTGATTTCAAAGATCAGAATGTGGTGGCCAGCGGTTCGCGGGACGGACTCATTAAAATATGGGACTTGAGATGCGGCAGAGGTTTGTTGCTATTGTTTTTAATGACATTTAATATTTAATACAATATTTTTGTATACAATAAGGCGGATCAGTTATAGTGATAGAAAACGCACATTTGAGTCATTTGCCATCATATAAGTCATCGCCTAAAGTGAGGTCACAGAAATCATCACCACTTAATAGTGTGACCTGTGTTTCCTTTAATAGTCACAATGAATACTTGTATAGTAGTGGTGCTAATGACGGTACCATTAAGTTATGGGACTTAAGGAAGTGTAGGCGAAATAAAATGAATAAAACATTTCCAGTTCCCATCAAACAGTTATATCTGGGATCCAAAAAATGTTCACCGAGTCATGGATTTACTTACATAACTTTTGCCTCAAATAACCGATTGTTTGCAAGTTGTAGTGATCATAGCATTTATGGTTTCTGTGGTGATATGTCTTTCCCATCGGTTAAATGCATTGGACTTCAAGTTAATAATTTTACCCGAATTAATACATTCAGAGATAATTATCTTATCAGTGGATCAGTTGATGGCCGAGCGTTCATTTGGCCGATTCACACGAATCGATGTACGTCTTTGATGGATATGACTCCGATATTACCTATAAATGTATTGCCACATTCAGATGAAGAAGTCACTGCAGTATTAGCCGACAATCATTCATACAGTATATATACGTGTAGTGACGATCAAAAGGTTAACAAATGGTCGCTCTTCAACACAAATGTTGAAAAAGAGAAAAATAATTCGAGTCAAGAATTTGTTCCCAATAGTGACCAATTGAAGATGATTGAGGTTAAAGCAAACAATTCTATTGATATGATTTCACACAATAATGGACAACCACTTTCATCGCTTACCAATTGGTTGGAGCGATCGGGCAAACAGCACATGACTCCATCAAATCCAGCCAAACGAATGCGTTTAACTCAAAGTCTTCCCACAAATAAGTCAAAAGAAAACCATTCGAGACATAAATCATCGAAAAGACAATTATTTAATAATAATCGAAAAATTAGTGACTATTTTACCCCTTAATTTCTTTAATACTTTCTATTTATTTGTTTTGAAATTTACAAATTATTTTCATCGGTATTATTATCATATCATTAAAAAAAATGTTTATAAAATGTTAATTAAACTTCTAATTGTGAAAATATTTATTATATGAAAAAAACCAATAAAATTTATGAATAGATTTTAAAATGTGATGTCTTATGAGTCGATAGAATTAAATAACAATTATTTTTATCAATATTTTAAAGTTATAGGTTTGGACAGCGCTATGATATCAGCCTTATTGGGTGTAAAGCTGGCAATTGTTAGCTTCGGGTGAGTGCTTCGGTGATGAGATTCCAGTTCACTCGTATTGGCCACTCGTTGCCGACAATGAAAACAAATGAGAAAAGACTCAACAAACGTGGTCTTTGTCGGTATCACTTGAATGGGATTAACCGTCGGTGGTGTCGGTTTTGGTGCTATTTTAGGCAATAATGTAATCTGTCGTCCATTAGCCTTAAAATTAACATAAATTATAATTAAATAATAATATTATTAAAATAACCAAGTACATACCATTTTTGTGGGACTAAATAAAATAGTCTTTAGTGCATTGTTTCTATTATTACTATTAGTAGTAGTAGTTGTTGTCGTAGAAATAGTTTGATTGATTGAATAAGTTTTGACAGACGTGGCTAAGATTTGCGGTACATTTACAGATGGCATAACTTTTCTGACCATTGGAACCACTTGTGCTGTTATCGGTGATTGTGTCGTATTTGTCACGTTTGATAAGTTGATGCCACCGATGTTGGACACCAACGATGACTTTGACAATTCCAATAATTTGCGTTTTTTAGACTCGCTATCAATTTCCTCTAATTTTCGCTTAAAATTAATAACAATAGGATTTTCAATATCAGATGTCCTATTGGGGAATAGTTTACTGTCGATAAACTTTTCCAATTGCGATATTTCATTGAATTTAATAATCAATTTATAAATCTCTTTTTTAGTCTTATCATCATTAAAGTTGATGCCATGAAATTTATATAAATGTTTTTCAGCACTTTTATTATATGTCGTGAAATTAACATCCCGTCCTCCGTACAAACAAATGGCACATTTATAAGGAAAATAATTTAGATGTTGATGGATATGATCTCTGATTTCATTTACAATTAATTTATCAAATTTTATAGTCAAACTGTTGTCTTTAGTTTTTACTAATTTATCGCATATAAAGCAATGTTGTCCATAAACAGGCGAAACTAAACCTTTAAACTCGTGAGTCTTCTGGAAATCAATGAACGATTGAATCCATTTCTCAACTTTTTCATCCTCTTTGACAAAATGGAATAAATTATTTTGATATTTTTGATGGTCGACCACATAATGCGACATCAAAGTGCTTAAATCCATAAATCGTTTATCACATATCATACAGACAACGGGATGGTAGTCAAAGTGTATGGCATAATGAATCTGTGTGTCAAAACTTGATGGAAATATTTTGTCTTTACCACAAAACACACACAAATACCGAAATGTTTTGTCTTCGATTTCTATCACTTTCTATATGATTAAGACACAAAAATACCGGTTATTTTCACATTATTTCAACAGATATTATTGACAGACAACTCACCGGATCGAGACAAAGAACTCCCAAATCAGTACTTTCAACGGCAATGGGTTCTAATTTAAGAGTATTACTCGATGGCAGAATCATTAATGGCGTTTCCATTTGATTCGCCGAAACGTAGGTATGAGGAAATCTTATGAGAACTTTGCCATTCACTTCATTGACAGAGGTATTAATAGATAAACTATTCAAAGTTGTGATCGGATCTACTATTTGAATAATATTTGGTTTAGTTGTTCCCGCGTTAGTTGGTGTCTGTATCACTTTCACAACTTCTGTATCACTTGATTTAATCGATGTTTTCATCGTCACATAAGTCGATGGTGTGGTATCACTATTAGTATTAGACAGTGGTTTAGATCTCTTTCGGCTTTTTTTATTCATTTTGGGACACTTTAGTCCAAAAATTTCTAAATAATTCGATATGAATTTGTCTAAAGCAGATATAGTATATTTCTTATTAAAATAGCTATTAAATGGCGGCGAATCCAACAGTTCCTTGTGATCGGTGCCAAAATGCTTGCGACAGCCGTCCAAAACATGTATTCGATATTCGCGTCCATTTTGTTGACATATCTTACAACTAAACGGTAAATAATGGATGTGTTCGTGAATATGTCCCAACACTTGTAAAGGTTTAGGAGTTGGTATCGTATCGTTAGGATTGTTAACATCGGGAGCACTCAAATGAATCCAATCACAAGCCGGACAATACTTTTGTGGATTAGCTTTGAAAGACTCGTTTGTTCCGGTAGTCAAATAAGTATGGATCCAATTGTGAAAATTTGCGTTAAACTTATGAATATAAACCGCTTTCTCAAGATTTTCGTGTTGTTTTCGACAGTGCTTCGCAAACGATAGGACATCAATGATAGCTTCATCACAGATTGAACACTGAATCGGAAAGTAATCGATGTGTAGTTGTAAATGACTGTATGCCTCGCGATAACTGCCAAAGTCTTGCGATTTCTTTTTACAGAAAAAGCACGAAAATTGACCGTAATTTGGCTAAAAAAGACCAGAAGTTAACAATCATCGATATATCTATTGGTCACTATAATAGCTACTTCATTGAGAGATTCGTCGTTGACATTGGTCTCGATTTCAGCCAAAACCACTTCAATCTCCTCTTCCTCTATCAAATCAGTGCCATCGTCATCATCAGTGCTCACTTTAATGACCACTTCGTCTTTGATAAGATCGCCATCATTTATCACCCGATGTTTGGCCGCTTCTTCAGCACTGAGCCGTTGAGAAACCACTGAGAATGGCTTCAATTGTTTGAGCAAATCTTCATAACTGTTGAAATAAAAAAATGAAAGATAAAAATGAAGGCATTTTGTTAGTCAAGACAATCATATTATTTATGAAATCAATTGTCTTAATCAAGAGTTCTTACCTTTCTTTTGATTCAATCGGGTCCGACATATTGCCGACAGAAATATGTCATCAAAACAATTGACACCAATTGCGGATCAATTGTTTTTTTTAACTATAAATAAATATAAATTATATTTGATTTAAGTTAATCACAATTATAGTCAACAATTAGACAACAATTTGTACAATAAATCAATCAATGATTATATAAGTGATGGAAATCTGAAAATCATTTGTCAAACAATAAAAGTGGCGCTTATTTTGCGCTCAATATATTCAGTCAAACCATTCATCAGTGGATTAACCGATAACTAACACAACACTAACACTAACTCAATATTATTAATACCAATACTCACTATACTGTAGTATAGACTGTATTATTGTGTAATGTTTTGACAATATCTATGTTGAGTAGAAAACCCCTCAAAAATATATTGTTTCACATATAACGTGACATTTGGCACAACAATTGAGTTACCGTTAGCTATGAGTTAACATTAAAACAATATGAATAACCCTTAATATAATGTAATATAAATATAGTGTAACAGTGTTTGCAAATGAATGGGTAGTAAATGTCTAAAAAATTGTTTGCATTTCTTATAAATTGATTGATTGATTGATTTATTGGATCCACTGTTTTGAAGATCTAAGTGTTTGTCCATTGAAAGTGTGGTTGATATCGCTGACCACCAAAAACACAATCATGGATAACAAGACTTCCTGTAACACCAACAATGCCATCGATACCAAAGAGGCCAAAGATGTGGTGCAGTTTGTAAGTGAAGAAGACATTAATGTTTTGCTCATTGATATAACATTTGGTGATATATTAGGTCCAAACACTGTTGCAATCGGTTGAAGATAAGTTTCAGCAGATGTCCGATCAGATCCTAAGCCGTATCGACGAAATGGGTCATCGCATCGATGACTTGGAGCACAATCTTAATGAATTGGTCGCTCAAAGTGATACCAACAGTGGTATCGGCGGTGAAGACAATGTTAATACTAATCATATTATTAATTCAAACGCTCAACAAATTAATAAATGAATCAAAAAAAAAAATTTATTTGTCGGTAAAATATTTATTTTATATTAAATTTATTATTAAAAAAAAGACATTTTATTACACAAATGTGTTTATAATTGGTTAACAAAAATATAAAAATTTGTATTAATTTTAACACTTTTTCTCATTTAATTATATCATGTATTTATAAAAATTAATTCTTTGTGTATAAAACTATATATAATTTGTAATTTAGTTGTATTTTATGATACTTTAAAATAATTTGTAGTAAATATTATCATCATTTATGTTATTATTATTAAATGATTCATTTAGTAAAGTATCGACTATTATCTTGAGCTTTGATGATAATAAAAGCTCTGAATTAGTTATATTTTTGAGATGACATGATATCGGATTTTCATTGATCACCAATTTTTCCAATTTAAGACACTCTTTCAGATGTGTCAAACATTTCTTATCGTAAATTTCTTGATTAAAACAAATTAAAAAATAGTATTCAAATTATCAACTCTTATTTGTTTATGAATATAACTTACTGTTATTATTGAGTGACAATATCTTAAGATTAACTAATCGCATATTTTCATCGATTGTATAAATCTTGTTTGAGTCCAACATTAAGACTTCGAGAGACACTAATTGGTTGAATGATTGACTCAATTTAAGTAAATTGTTTTGACTGAAGTCCAGTGTCCTTATGTGAGACAAACGATTGCAATCATATAAAGTCGTTAAATTCAGATTAATTAGTGTCACATTTGAGGCCAATTGAAAACTGTTTATCTTTTCTCTTAATATGGTTTTACTTTCTGAAAATGTTTTAAAAATTTATTACTTGTATTATAGATGTTAATAATAGTTTTTGAAATCTTGTTGATTCAGAAATTTATTACAGTTAGTTAATTAGTTTACTAATAAAATTGTAAAATACTATTAATTAAATACGCAAATTGTTTACTCACTCAAATCATTATAATAGTTGACTCTTAATGGATCCAATTTGATAAGTTTATCGAGAATATCATTTACTTGACTGTTTGGATCAGTCCACGCGAGAGTAAGATTAACCCCTGAAATGTAATTATTTCTTTTAATGATAAGTAACTTTAGATATATTAACTTACATTTATTATTGGGTTCTAATTTGTGTAATTCACGTAAGGATTTCAAATACGACTCCTCGAGAGTCAAATTATTGTCCAACAAATTAGAACTTCTTTCCCAAACTAACACTTGTTTATCAGTAATATCATTAAGATTATCCACTTTTATAGTAATTTCTTCAATTGCTTCACGATTTACGTCAAACGTTGGAATAGACATTATAGTGAGTTCCTTGAACTCATCCAATTGGTTGAAGTCGATAAACCAAACACTTGAGTTGCCAACAAATGTCGATTGCCATTCAGTTTTTGTCAACCAATTGTTATTAATTTTAAGTGATATCAATGGTTTAAATTTGAGTGGACGGGAAAAGTGGACACTTAATTGAGCGGTAGTTTGATTATATACAACGCGATTAATTTGGATATTTTTAGTTTGTAGTTCATTGGCAGTGCAAACAATGTTATGTCCATAATTAGTAGCGACCAGCCATTTGTGGTAAAACCAGGCCGACTGATCAGTGGGATCGGTAAATATGGCGTTCTGTACCAAATCGTACTCCTGATGCCAGTCTTGACTGAAATCATAGTTGTTTTGAGTGACAGCAGTTCTGAACAAACAGCTTCTGTAATACCACGAACTGAAATTTGAAAAGTTTTCCTCAATCTTACGTAACGTAAATTTTTGTTCTTCTGAGACATCGATTTTGGCTATTTTTGACACAAACCGTCTGTAATCCCACGCAAGAACTGCCGATAAAAAAAATATATAAATGTTTTTACTGTAAAACACGTCTCATATTAAAAAAAATAATTTAACAAACAATTTCTTTCATCCAAACTAAGACATTGATTGCATAATAGTATTTCATTCTTTAAGTCTGGATTAGCCATCAATTCAATTATCCATTTCCTTTGGTGCCAAACACAGTATGATTTGGGATTAACTCGCAAACAATTTTCTGTTAATTGTAACTCATTTCGACAAATCGTATCAAACGATTCACTGTTTTCCAGTGATTCGCTTTTCAATTGAAGAAGTATTTCTCGCCGATAGTTCCAAGCGGTGGATAAATCAGGATTTGCTGCAACCAATTGGGCGCTTAAAGACAGTGATTCCGTACCATAATCTTTATGTGTCCGCTATTGTTAGTGATAATTATCAATTAAATATTTACTATAAAATTGTCAAACAATCGTCAAGTAGTGGATCAAAGTATAGACAACAAACCCTATCGAAGACCAGATTCTGGAGAGCAATCAGTTGTCGACATTTGTCTTCCTTTTCGCGTCTCTTTTCTAACTCTTTCTGTGAATCGCTTTTGACTTTTAATCTGTTGTGCTGTCAATCATAAGATGAATGACATGAATGACATCAATATATAAATTATCATTAAATACATACCATTTTGTTTGTTGATTACTAACTATAATATAGTTATAACTCTTGAGATAAGACAACAAATGTTAATAAATTAGTGAAAATTATATCAAAATATTCATCACTTTTACTATAAATTTAGTGTCGATTGCAAACCCCTATCCGTATAGACCTCTACTTTGATTTTTAGTATTAATATTAAATAAATTCAATGAAAGTGTTGGCCAACAGTAGAGATGTGAGTATTATATAACACAGTGTTTATTGCATTAATAATACCAATACTTTCAACACATACTGTATATACAGTTAAGGCGTTATTCAATACATTAGACACAAAACTGTAGTGTTTTTCACTGATATGTCTCTGACGTGGAGTCAACCAAACCATTGGTGATTGGATTTACCATTTGATCCAAAATTTGTTTTCTTTGATATATTGCTTACAATACACAACATTGTTGACAATGACAACAACTGGTCACTCATTGATTGTCGTAATACTAATTGTCGTCTGTCTCGTCAGCGACTCCTTCAGCGATGAACACTCGCACACCGTATGTAGCAATTGATCCGCTTTTGGTGATTACGTTTTCATCTGATTTGTATATTATTTTTTGTAGTATGAAGACAACGAGGAAGTGGTACTCTGGATGAATACAGTGGGTCCGTATCATAATAGACAAGAGACGTACAGTTATTATTCGTTGCCTTTCTGTTGGGGCACTAAAAAAGGTATTATTTGTGTCACCAATCAGTTGATCCATCCATTGACAGTTGTTTGTAATGGTTTTAAGGTATTTCACATTATCACGAAACTCTCGGAGAAGCTCTACAAGGCGTCGAACTAGAGTTTTCTGGACTTAATATTGACTTTAAAGGTATGACTCAATTAATAGCCGGTTATTATTGTTATTATTATTACCGTAATATTAATTAATTAATTGACAGCAAATGTCGGTCCGACGCCGTACTGTGAGATCGAGTTAAATGAAGAGAAACTTCAGGCACTAGTCTACGCCGTGAAGAACTACTATTGGTATCAGATGTATATCGACGATATGCCCATCTGGGGTATTGTCGGTGAAGTGGACGAAAACGATAATAGTTACTATATCTGGACCCACAAGAAGTTTGACATCGGCTATAATGGCAATAGAATTGTTGACGTGAATCTGACCAGCGAAGTGAAGATTAAATTGGAGATCAATAAAAAGATGTCATTTAGCTATGAAGTCAATTGGAAAAAGTCGAGCACATTGTATGAAAACCGTTTCGACAAATACTTGGATCCAAGTTTTTTCCAGCACCGGATCCATTGGTTTTCGATATTTAACTCGTTTATGATGGTCCTGTTCCTCGTGGGTCTTGTGACTATGATTTTGATGAGAACTTTACGTAAAGATTATCAACGTTACAGTAAAGATGATGATCTCGATGACATGGAACGCGATTTGGGTGATGAATATGGATGGAAACAGGTTCACGGAGACGTATTTCGGGCACCGGCTTATCCATTGATGTTCTCTGTGTTAGTCGGAACTGGATATCATGTAGCAGTTGTCACATTCACTGTCATTATATTCGCAATAGTGGGTGATCTTTATATAGGCAGAGGTAAGTGTTTTTGGTATTTAAATATTACGATAATTTGAATGATTTTCCTAAACTATTGTTCAACAGGTTCTTTACTGACGACTTCTATCTTTGTATACGCGGCCACATCTCCTGTGAACGGATACTTTGGAGGCAGTCTTTATGCACAGACCGGTGGCCGACTATGGATCAAACAAATGTTTTTGAGTGCATTTTCATTGCCGGCACTTATCTGCGGAACTGCTTTCTTAATCAATTTTATAGCCATTTACTATCACGCCTCCAGAGCCATACCATTTGGAACAATGGTATAGATTACACAAAAATGAAATTTAAGTTTTATTTATTTTTTTTTTTTGTAATTATCGATAAACAGGTGGCAATTACTAGTATTTGCCTTTTTGTGATATTGCCTTTAACTTTGGTGGGAACTGTATTGGGTCGCAATCTGGCCGGTCAGCCGAACAATCCGTGTCGTGTTAACGCTGTTCCACGACCTATACCTGAAAAGAAGTGGTTTATGGAGCCATCGATTATCGTACTTTTGGGAGGAATATTGCCATTCGGCTCAATCTTTATAGAAATGTATTTTATATTCACATCTTTCTGGGCCTACAAGATATACTATGTCTATGGCTTTATGCTTCTGGTGTTTCTCATTCTAACCACAGTCACCGTCTGTGTCACTATTGTTTGTACATATTTTCTGCTTAATGCAGAAGACTATCGATGGTAAGCATATATCACATGAACTTAAGTTTGCCATTGCATATGATTGCAATTAATGTCTTGCAGGCAGTGGACCAGCTTCTTGTCGGGTGCTTCGACCGCAGGTTACGTATATCTCTATTCGTTTTACTACTTCTTCTTTAAGACAAAAATGTATGGATTCTTTCAAACGGTCTTTTACTTTGGATATATGGCTTTATTCAGCGCAGCCCTGGGACTCATGTGTGGTATGTTTGGTTAAAAGTGTATAACTTATCTATGTTTTGATTATTAATTTTGTTCAAAATTTAAGGTACATTTGGATATCTCGGGACCCGAGCTTTTGTACGAAAAATTTATTCTACGGTCAAAATTGACTAAACGAGTGAATTATAATTGTAAACATTTTTTTTCAATCAAAAGCCATCAAAATGTGATGCCATTTGTCAGTTGTGTTTAATTCATGTATTTTCATGTTTGAAAAATATTTGATGTATTATTTGATTTATCATTATTTATACATCGATTGATTAGTGTTTTAATTTATATGAATTGCTTTAAAAATTTTAAAGCAATTGAAACTAATTTTTGCTAATTTATGAATTTAAGTCACTATCCAAATGTTTGCAATGATATACTGTAATAATTGTATAATTATAACAATTAATTGTAAACTTATTGTAAATATATGTGTCATAAGTTATGTTAAATATTTAAAAATAATTTCGTGATTTCATCAAATAAATTATATTAATTTAATAGTATTATTAGATTTGTAATTCATATGTTTCCAAATTATTTAATATAAAAAGTTCAATAAAAAATATAATTTTTAATTACTCTACCGTATATGTTATTATTCAGCATATTTATATTATATATTATATATTTTATTAAATGACTATTGAATCTATAGGAAAATTATTTTTTGTTAATCATGTATATAACGCAATAATAATTATAAACATATTGTATTTACATATTATATTGTGAATAATTTACAAAAAAACAAAGTTAAACATTGAGAGATTTATTTTGTCAACAAAAATATAATATACAAAAATTTTATGCATAAATATATCAAAAAATTAAAAAAAAGTTATAATACATTATGAACTACAGCTTTAAAACATATGGCGTTTCAATTAGTTTTTAATATATAATTTGCAAATTAATAAACAGTTTCTCGTTTTCTCTTCTTTTTTGACTCTCTTCTGATGGGATCGACCCGACAGGAACACCCTATTTGGACACAAATATGTAAAAATTAGTATAAAACGGATCGCAATGAACCCGCGGAAATCCGCGTATGTGTGTGTGTGTGTACAAACCCGCGGGAAACTTGAACAGAGCTACCACTGGACTTCGGTTTTGATCGTTGGGATCGATGGCTATGAGTCGGTGAAGACTAAACCTTTGCTGACACGTCGACTCGTAAAAAGGCGCCACAAAATCGCACGGTTCGTTAGCCCGACTGATAGGATTTGTTAATAACAATAGAATTATTAATAATTATAATAAATTTATTGCAAAAAAATGATTTTTAAGGTAACTATCAGTTGCTATCAGTAATGAAATACTTACCGACAACTTTCGGTACGGACTTTTTGTGGGAATATATCAGTGTTGACAATAACCATCCACCCACCAGTCAAAGCGTCCTGAGCCCAACCGGGACGCATAAAATTGGATTCAGTCTGACAGGCGAACTGTCCTCTCGAGGCACTGCTATTACCCAAATGGCTTTGAAAGAGTTCCGGATCGCCAACAGTTTGCAGCTCTTCATACATGAGACGAATTCTTTGGAAGCTCTTGTCGACCACAGTCTTGACATCACTCCTGAGGGGAAATAAAATATTTGATAAAATTTATAATTTTTATGAATGATTGGGATATATATGAGATATATGGGAATATTACATGGGATAGTCATTTGTGAGAATACAGAAGTTCTTTCCCTGCAAACCGCACGGAGGCATTGTTCCGTTAGGAAGTGGTCGGTCAGGTCTACTAAGGGTTACCGCTGGTCCTAATTGTGGATTAAACTGTAAAACTCGATCTTTAGTTCCCGGTTTTGGTCCGGTTTTAATTCCAATCAAAGGTTTTTTAGTTGGTCTTAATGTCTGCACTGGCAGTCGAGGCACAGGTGGAAGAATGATAGCAGGTTTGCGTTCAGGAACTTTAGGAATCAAAGGCAGTGGTTTTGGAATGAGTAGACCTCTTTGCGATGGTGCCGGTGGTATTGATGGACGTACTGGTGGACGGACTAGTGGACGAACTGGTGTTGGTCGCGGTCTTATTGGCTCTTCAGTTATCTCATCTTCGGTAAAACTGGTAGTAGACTCGACATCACTAGTAGTTTGAGTAGTTTCGGGACTTTCTGTAGTTGTTTTAGTAGTAGATGACCTAATTGGAACTCTTTGAATAGGTGGCACTGGACGAGTTGTTGGTGATGGACTCACTCGAGGTTGTTGTACGAAAGGTCTCGGTTTAGGACGTGTGGTTCGGGTACCAAATGGCGGTTCAGTGCTTGAAATAGCAAAATCTAATTCTGTTATTTCGTTGGTTAATTCAGTAGTAGTAGTGATGGGTGTCTGTGATGTTGATATCTGTGAGTCCCCGGCGGGTGGGAACGGACGCGGACGGAATGTTACTGATGGTGGCGAACCTTTAATAGGTGGAGCAAATGTAGGTCGAGGTCTAAATGGTGGAGGAGATGGTACTCTAGCGGACGGTACTACAGGTCGCGGACGTATTGGTCTTTCGGTTTTCTCTTCTTCTTCTTCATCGATTGGTCTCTGTGTTGGTAGTATTGGCTCTTCCCTTATGGGGGGTCTTCTGGGTCTAAATGTTGGTTGTGGCGGTGCTTTTATAGGCGGTAATGAAGTTTTAGGTCTGACTGAAGGAATGTCATCTTCAATTTCTTGAGCTATTGTAGGTCTGGGAATTATTTTTGGTGCTCTGGTTACTACTGGTTGGAATCCACCTTTAATTGGCGGCGCAAATGTTGGTCGCGGTCGACTTGGAGGGAACGTTGGTCGGCTAGTTGTAGGCTGTTCTTTAATAGGAAATTGTGGTCTTGGACTAGGAGGAACTGGTTGTTCTGTTATAACTTCACCTTCAATTTCTGGTAGCGGAGGCGTTGGTCTCGTTTGTATGGTTGCTCTGGTTGGCGGTGCTTTTATGGGAGGAAGTGTAGGTCTAGGTTTAATCACAGGTGGCTGTCCTTTAATGGGAGGCGCAAGTGTTGGTCGAAAAGTTGGTTTTGGTGGCGCCGGAGGACCTTTAATTGGCGGTAATTCGGTTTCTTCTTCTTCAATTTGAGAAAGAGTTGTTGTCCGGAAAGTTATGGGAGCTCTTGTCGTTGTTGGCGGTGCTTTCACTGGAGGCGCTAAAGTAGGTCTCGGCTGAGGTGCTGGACGACGTGGCGTTGGTATCGGACCTTTAACTGGTGGCGCAAACGTCGGTTGCGGTGTTGTTCGGGGTCTGATTGTTGGCTGTGCTTTAATAGGTGGAGAAGTCGGTACTGGACGGGGACGAGTTCTGGGTGTTGTTTCTAACATTTCTTGCTCTATTTCTGGTGGTTGTGTAGGTCTGGGTCTAATTATAGGTCTTGTTGGAAGTGGCCGTTTGATTGGTGGAACTGTAGACGTTCGAGGAATAAAAATTGGTGCTGGAGTTCGGGGTGGAATAGGAGGGCGACCTTTAATGGGAGGACGAGTTGGAGGTATTACAGGTTTTGGTCTAAATGTTGGCGGCAACTTCACAGGGGGTGGTGTCGTAACTCGAGGTTTAACTGTAAATTTTGTTACCTCTTCTTCTTCCTCCGGCGAAAGTGTAGGTATTGGCCGTTGAGTTGGCGGCTGACCTTTGACTGGTGGCTGCGCTGTCGTTCTTGAAACTGGTCTTATGGTCGGTTTTGGTGGTATTTTAATTGCTGGAGATATTGTCGGTGCAGGTGTTTGCTCCTCTATTTCTGGCGGTGAAATAGTTACTGGTCGAGGACGCGGGGGTGGCTGACCTTTAACCGGAGGGGCAAATGTAGGTCGAGGTCTTATTGTAGGTATAGGTTGCCTGCCTTTGATTGGTGGCAGAGATGTTGGTCTAAACTGTGGCTGAAACGGTCGGAATGATGGGGGAGGAGATGGGACTCTAAGGGGTGGTTGAATAGGAGTTTCTGAATCGACTTCTTCATCTGCAACCGTCGGGGATGTCGTATAAAAAGGTCGAGTTTGAATTGGAAATCTTGTCATCATTTTTGCTGGAGTAGCAGTAGGTCTTCCCGGTTTGAAACTGATTTCAATAGGTTCTTCAGTCTCTTCAAAATCGGTTTTCTCGTCAGTTGGAGTAACTGTTGCATCAGTTGTTGTCGGTTGTGGACGAAAAAATGGTGGTCTAGTAGTTCTTAATGGAAGTGTTTGGGGTTTTCTTGTAGTAGGAGTTTGTATAAACTCTTCAGTTGTGTCGATAATCTCATCTTCATCTGTTGAGATTGTAGTAGTTGTTGTAGATTCAGGTCTGAAAACTGGTTGTCGCGGCCCTACTGTTGGTCTTAAAGGTCGCGGCGAGGGTTTCTCGACAATCGATGGCTTAATAGGACTAACAGTTGTTCTGATCTGTGGTCTCTGGGGTGGAATTAATTCACTTTCTTCTTCTTCTTCATCATCTATATGTGTCTGCACCTCATTGTTTAAGCTTAGGATCTGATGTGCATTACTTCCAGTCAACAGATATGGTCTAACTGTTGGGTCCGTCACTTCTGAGATGTAATCTCTATTCCTCGTAAAAATATAATTAAATTGTGTTATACTTAAAGTTAATACTAATATAAAATTATATCAGATATACTGTATATTATTATATAATTATTAAAATATTGGTTAAAATATTTTTGTTTTATGATTACCTCCACCAAGACTTCCACCATTGAGGCGATGGTTTGCCAACTAATATATCATTTGATTTGAGACCTCGTTTTGACAATTTATGGGTTGAATTGGATTTATGGTCTAAACTTCCATTTGTTTCGATTAATTTATTAATCGCTAATATACTCAACAATAGAAACCAAATCTATTTTTGTTTAAAATTATTATTATTTATAATATTTACAGAAATTGAATGACTGTATTAAATATTACTTTATAAAAAATTAATTTATAAATTAAAAAGAAATATTATATTAAATAATTTTTTTCTTATTATTAAATAATAATTATTATTATTAGAAAAAAACATAAATAATTATAGAGTATTCAACATTAGTATATAATTTATAACTAATTTATGAAAAACTATCTTTTAAATTATTATATAAGCTTTTCAAGTATATAAAGTTAACTAATTTAGTGACAAATAATAATATTTATTAAAAAAAATTAATTTTCTTAAATTAAGGAATTTATATTTATTTTAAATTGAAAAAACAATAAATATTGCAATATTTTATAGCATTATTAATAAAATAAAATAAAATTGAAAATACAAACCTTAGGATCCATTCATTAAAATTTTAATTAAAATAGATTTTCAATTTAAATAATAGATAAAATTTGTAAAATTTTCAACTTTGCAAATGCTGTGCATTTTAATTAATATAATAACATTTTGAGATCACAAAATCATTTTATTTGTAGACCATTAATACAAACATAATAATATAGTCACCAAAAATGTAGAACCAATTTATAATTGGCCACAAAATTTCTAATAAAACTGTTTGATGTAATACACAAACTAATTAATCACTTACAAAGTTAAATAATGTTTTTTAAAAATATTGATTATTTAGTAAAAATCTTTACTTATATTTATCTTAAAAACTCTTATTATAGGTCAGTCAAAGAATATATGGTTTTTTATGAAAAATCTAAAACTGGGTTTTCATAGGAATTGATGCCTTTCTCTCTCGAAGTATATCTTCAGTGTATTGTTTGTTAACATCCCTCTAAAGGCGTCTTAAGTGTTCACTTTCACCACTCATTTGGCTGTTTTTTAGCATATGTTTGCTTTACACACATTTTGTGGTTTTGTTGGTGTTATATGTTTTCAAAAGCTAAAGAAAAAAGTGTGTCATCTCTCCTGAATACCATTAAAACCATCGCTGTTTGGATGTGAGTGAATGAGAGAGAGAGAGAGAGAGAGAGAGAGAGAGAGAGAGAGAGAGAGAGAGAGAGAGTATTTATTTTTCAATTTTATTGCAAATGAATAAATATAATATATTTATTAAAATATATATTAAGAAAACACAATAAAGACTTTTTTCTCAATATAACAGGTCTGTTGAAAGAGCGGTTCCCAACAATTACATTATAAAGTGATTATTATATTAATAAAAACTATTTTTGGACCCAATATTACAATTCTTAAAAAACCAGTGACTCTACTAAAGGAAGTGCTTATCTATTGTTTATTTCATAAAGTATTTCTTGTGTGTTCAAGACTGCAAACAATTGAACTAATTATATAAAATAACAAACATTTTTTAATATTTTATATTTTCATATAAAGACAAATTAGAGTTTTAATTAATATATTTTATAATATATGTTAAATAAAAATATTTTTATTATTATTATTAACTTATTATTTTATTGAGAAACAATTAATAAATTTTTTTATTATTGAAAACATCAACAAAAGTTCATTATTCTTATTAATATTTTTTTCTGATAAAAGACAACTATTTATTTTTAAAAATAATTAAAATTTATTTAAACTAAATATCTTTATAAATGGTAAATAAATAATAGTTAATGTTTTCAATAGTTTTTCTTCTAAAATAGTGAAAAAATTATTAATCATTTGTAAATAGTATATATAGACATAAAGTTTGTGTTGAATGAAAAAATAATATGAATTAGTTTATGATTGGTATTGAAATATAAATCCTGTGGTGAATGACATGAAAACATATAAATTTTTTTAGTTAACAATAATGTTTGAAATTGTTTTTAAAGTAATGAGTTATGACTTATTGTAACTTTAAATGTAATTTTTAAGTTCAACAAAATAATTTTTGTTTCAATTGAATAAAAACTTTTAAAAATCTATGGGAAATGTTGAATAGTGATAGTAGTCTTTCTTATCAATTAAAATAATAGCCTATAAACACAAATAAATAGTTTAATTGTTATGACAAATGATAAACAATTGATGACAGATTACAAGATATTTTATTTTGTCAATACATTTAATGCTAATAACTAACAAATAAAATAATATTTAATAACAATCTTATATTAGTGACGATAACCCGATAGACAGGAAGACATTCACACAATTCTAACCCTTAAAACCCATTTCTTTATCCATTTTACAAGTCTTTCAAATTTTCACAACTCTTTGTTTGACAATAATATCTAACTATGAATACTATGACTACTACTGTATAATATATTTTATAAACTGTATATATATTTCGACTTCAATTCATATCGACATTTCATTTAACTTCATTAGACAATTGAAACAGTTTCTCATAAATTATATTATTATTATTCAAGTAAATGATTTTTTATTTAATCCTATAATTCGGTTATTTTGTTATAAAAAGGCATATATTATACATGTATAATAAATTTACAGTATATTTCGTATTATTATTAAGCAAATTAATATTATTTTTCATTTTAAAATATGTAATTATTTGATTACATTGAGACAGACTTTTATGGAATTTATTTTATAATTTAATGATGAATTATATACAACCGTATAAATTAAAAAATAAATAACTTTTTTTTTATTTAATAATCTAAAATATTGGAAGTAATCTTAAAATTATAGCATATACTGTAGACTTATTATGTGATTGTTTATTATTATAAATAACTAAGATATAAATATTGATTTATCATATTAATTTATATATCTTTTAAATATATAGTTAAGCTATAAAATAATTTAATATCAATATAAATATACTATAGATTTATTGTAAACATTAAAAAAACTATTATTTCATAGAAAAACAAATAAAACACTTATTTGTCTAATATTTACGAAAAAAATATGACTAAAATATTAGAGTTGTTTGCAAATATTTGCACCGATAGTCTAAATTGGCACAGGGATGTATTATGGACTGTTATGTTTGTTAAATAACACACTAATTTACAAATTGACATCAATTTGTATAGTCATAAAATTTATCAAATAGTATGTAGTAGTAAACTTATACGGTATAGTATTTAATAGTAAAATTGCAACACTTAAAGTAAATAAATTTTTTTTACTCAAAATGTTTGTCTTTAATTTGATTAAGAAAAAGTCGAAATATCCGTTAATCTTAAGACTGTATGCATTGACTACCAAAACAAGTCAATTGATGGTAACTTATTTGTTATCCAAATTAAATATTAAATACTTGTCTGGTGTTTGTGAAGTTTATATTGTTATAAAAGTATAAACTTTCGCTATTGTGTTATATAATGTCCTTTAAATTAGATATGACTAAACTTGTATTGAAATCTATTTGTTATCAACGGTGTACTCATTGATTACACTTTGAATACATTAAAGCACTATATATTGAATTAAACGCTTCTCCAAAATAATATTGATTTTATCAATAGATTCCGATTAAATATAAATCTAATTTTCAATTATTTTATTTGTTAAAAAATAATTAACATCACAGGAAGTTATATTACTCTTTATAATAACAATAAAAGTTTTTTTTAAATATTAATTGATAACCATTGTAATTTCTAATTAAATACAAAGACAGCATAATATCTATGAGTTATCTTTTGATAAATCTAGAGTTTTAGATAATATTATAATATTTAAATTAAATGTTTTAAAAATATCAATTTAATTTGCATATAAATTGAATACATTCAAAAATATACAAAACTATAAATGAAACAATACACAATTAAAGGGATATATTGGTAATTCAATTATATAATAAATTGTGATACATTTTTGTTGTTATTGCTAAACATATTGCTCATAAATAAACTTATTGTTAAATTTTTATAAATACAATAACTTATTGATAAACAATAGCTTTTACCCCCAATTATATGATTGTTTAAGAAATTATAATGTATTGCTTTCAATAATATTTTATTGTTTAGAAAATCTTTCGTTATAAATTAGTATCAAATATTTGTTAACAATTATCTAATATATTAACGATTAAATAGCGAAAGAATCGAGTATTTATTGAATAATAAATTTTTAAATAATTTTGATAATTAACATTAAATTTAAGTAATATTTTATAGCGAATACTGTATTTATTTCATTATTAATTCAAACTCAATTTTTTTGCACTCAAAATTTTATGGCTATAAAGATTTTTTTTATTACAAAAATCACTATTGAAACTTTTAGTTTATTAAATAATTATAATTTTATTATAATAATATTGCAATAATTCGTGATATCTTCATTAAATATATTTTTAAAAATAAACAATTAAACTATATATTGATTGCATTCAACAAAAACAACAATAAATTAATGAATTTATTGCAGTTTATTGTGTAGTGTGTTATATGCAAAAGTAGATAACATTTATATAAGAAAATAATATATAAAAATATTTAATGTATAAAATTACTTTAATTAAAGCATGAAAACAAAACAAAAAATAATTATCATCATTTATACTTAATACTACTATTAGGATTAATAAAAAAATATATTTGACATTGAATTATTTTATAAAAATCATCTATAATTACATTATATATCATATTAATTACTAAATCTAATAAACTTGAAATTTTATTCATTGTTTATAGTTTTTAAAAGATTAATATAAAACTATATATAATAATAATATTGTATAAATGTGTTGACTATTGCTCAGGTAATTTATTAGGTGGGAAACATCATTATGTGCTGTATTTATTGCCAAATGATATATTGTATTAAATATTTGATCACATTTTTGTTAGATACATCACAAACAAGCTATAAATCCTATTGATAAATGTTTTTATTATACTCTAAAACAACGATAAGTACAATAAATTGGGAGATAATAATCATTTTCTATAATAATTGTGTTTACAAATATTGTTTTATAAGATTTATTAATATTTTTTATATTAATCATTGCAAACCTACAATTAAAAGCCTATCGAAACAATATAAGTTTCAGGGATTTATGCGATAAAATTACAATTTTTATAATAAAAATATAAAATGAATCTTTAAAAACGTTTTGTCAAACTTATATTTTTTTAAAATCAATAATTTTTTAATAAATAATCAAAGCTAATTTATAATTTAAAAAATTATAACACATTTGAAATCTCAATTTGAAATGAAAAGTTAATTAAATAAAATAAAGGTTGATTTATATTTGAAAAGTAAATTAAAATCATAAATAAGTTTTTTTTTTAAAATTCAATGTATTAATTGTGAAAATTATTGTTTGTGCAGTACATTTGCATTATTCTATATAATTGTATAGTACTGTACTGTCTGTACATTATTGTGTTATATTTCAAAAAATGACATTTAAATAAATTATAGCAAAAATTCATAACATGTCTTCATATAAGATTCAAATCGCTTTATAAATCGATAAAACGGGTGTTCAATACACAAACATAAGGAAGAAGTCGATGGATATGTTGAGTATTAGTGAGTATCGCTCTCAGGGATGGAAACCATCATAATAGAGGAAAGGGGTCAGACGTGATCAATGAGAAAATCTAATAAAAAAGTCCTTTTACGGCAAAAATATTTGGTTAACAATAATAATCTAAAACTAATAGACTTAATAGTATTGTAATGACAGGCAATGAAAATATGAACTATTGCTACAATAAACTACAATAAAGTACTACTTGGGCTAAACATACAAACAACTGTTCATTAGTCTTGTTATAATAAATTATACAACACTTACCTGTATATCAAATAATAGTCTTAATTTGTTAAATGCCATTAATTATATCAAATTATAGATCCGAAAACTTATATGTACTGTATATACAGTATATTTATAGTGTATATGCATTGCATTAATACTTTATTTTTCATGTTATTTTTCATTGTAGTTTTCCTATTAAGTTATAATCATTATTATAATAGTTGTAATTTATATAAAGATTAAGATATTGATGATTAACATTGTATCCATAATATTATAAGGTTTTTTTGTTATGTAGTTATTGTTTATTATAATAAAATAATATACAAATACATTGCTTTAATATAAAAGATTAATATCGGGAATTATTGAAATCATTATATAATATAGTATTTATTTGTTAACAAGTAATCAAATTAATTAATACAATAATTAATATTAATTTTACATGTCTATGAACTAATCATAATTTATAATAATTAATATATTATTATAATTGTTATAAGTAAAAGTAATTATTATTAATATATGTTTCATAACAATCATTAAATATACAGGTAATGTATATTTAAATTATATAAACAAAATAATATAAATTTAAATCGAAATTTTTATTTTATTGATATTATGTATAGAAAATAAACAAATAAATGAACACTTTTAGCAATAAATTAAAAAACATTAGTATTGAGAATACTATATATTATTTTAAAATATAATTATAATTATTATAATAAATTTTGCTAAATAACTACAATATAATGAGTATAATTTTAACACTCGTTATTACAAACTTTAATATTTCCTTATAATAAAATTGTTTTAAATAAATTCAGATAATTTATTAATAAATATTAATAATCAATAGAGGATTAAGTTAAATCATGTTAACATGTGTTTATAAAACAAATATTATAAAATTGTAAATACTTTTTATATATTTTTTTTTATGAAAACATAATTCAAAAATATTGCACATTGTAAAATCATTGCAATATATTTTATTTTAGATAATCAATAGATTATAATATAAATTATTATATTAAATAAATCTAGTTATATCTATTTAAGAGATAATTTATTGTTAAATATACAAATAACAATCAAATCTGTCAATAATTTGGATTTATATTTTATATTTAAGGAAATACTAATATTTTTAAAATTTTTTATTGTGTTTATTTTTCTTTATCTTTAAAATCCCATAAATATTGATTATATTGTATTTTATTTATTTAAATTTATTTATAAACTTTAATTAATGTTTGCTATTAATTTTGTAGACATTTTAATCAATCGATTGAAATATTGAGAAAAAATAATAAAAAGTTTTATTATTTATACTAAATAGCTTTTATATTGATAACTACAAATTATATTATAATAATAATGCAATTTTATTTGGTTAACAAAAGTAAATCCATTATAATAAAAATTATTCAAATTAGCAATAAATTTTTTTTGAGGATACAACTTAATATTTAATATGTTAAGTATAGTATAGAATTAAATATATTACAAAAATTGTAGTTTAATACTGTATATTTAATTTAAAATTCATAATACATAGTGTATTAGCATTATATTGTTAGTGTTTATCAGGTTAGCAAAATAATTTCAATACATTATTAGTACAAATATCTTTAATTTTTTGATGTATTATTTAAGACAAATAAATTTAAAATATATAATTATTATAAAATATATTTTAAAGATAAATAGAAATTTCAAATCAAATCTTATTGAACAATGTTTCAATACAATCAATAAGTTATATATCACTTATAAAGTCAAAAATATTGATATTATATTAAATATAATTTTTTAAACGGATCAATGCTTTTAAAATATTTTTATTATTTATGAGTTTTAAGAAAAAATATTTGAAAATATATATAAATAAATAAACAATAATAATGTAGTACTAATAATGAAAATAATGATAACAACAATAATAACATAATAATAAAAAAAACTTCTTTAAGACACATTAAATGAATATATTGTCCAAACATTTATTTGATTGCTTTGATATCAATTGCTGGTTTACACACGTATAGTAATTTCGGAGGTAATGTTTTCTGTAATCAAATTACAAGAAACTTCAATGCAATCAAACTTTCATGAATTTCTCTCTCAAAAAAAAGTTTGTTTGTTTGACTCACAAGCATAGCATAGGATGTGATTTGAAATAAATTTAGTTTTCAAACAAACAAACGTAGAAAATAACATTAATATGATATAAAAAGGCATAAAATACAAGTGTCTTGACTTAAAGTATGTTCACTTAAGATGATTATATCCTATGTCTCAGGTATGGGTATGCAGTTATATAATAGTTTTTATTTGAGATATGAGTTTCAGGTAAGGTATGACTGGTGTTCGAGACGTGTCATATAATAGATCCCTAAGAAACAAAAAATAATAATAAGTGATCCCCTAATGGATATTATAGACTTAGTGTATATGTCAGACACTATAAATGAGTTGAATGTTAGCGCAAACACCGAAAAATATAGAGAGAAATGTAAGAAAATAGATAAACATATCAAACATTTTGCTATATATATTGAGCAGTCATTTAAAAGGCAACCGTCTATTCAAAACATAGCTCTCTCTCTCAAATGTCTCTGAAACTCAAACATGCATTGACTTTCACTACACTATTATTACTATATTATCAGTGAATTTTGTTTACACAGAATATACGATACGCTAATTCAATACCCATACCTACCACATAATATAAACATACCTGTGCCTAATTTGATACCTGTTCAATTATTTATTTATTTTTTTATAAATAAACATTTTAAATGCCTTATTAACTAAATGATAATTTTGATGTCATAATTATAATATAAAATAGAGGATAAATTTTAATAGTGAGATATATATGATAATTAAATGTTGTTTCAGACGGGCAATGAAAAGAGGGATCAATTGGTTAATAATAATAATAATGATAAAAATATGAGTGATGTCAACGAAATGGATGACAATTTCGATCATTTTCTGCAAATTCCGTGGAATGACATAATATTTCCATATATTCTGAGATACCTTTCCTGGAGAGACCTGTTTAGGTTGAGATCTGTGTCATCAGCGGCTCAACAGATGGTCAGCGAGTATTTCTCGTCGCTGTCGGTCATCGACTTGACTCCAGTCAGACGTCGATTCACTTCTCATTGCTTTGACATTATATCACGCGATTGTCACTCAATCCGTATCTTAAATTTGTCGGATTGTAAGTGGATATCATCGCCACAATTGTATGGTGTCATCGCTAACAACGCCCAACTGGTTGTAGTTGACATCAGCGGCTGTTATGAACTGAACAATGATATCTTGCATATGTTGGCCACAACTTGCAAGTCATTGAAGACACTAAAACTAAAAGACTGTCATTGGGTTAACGGCAATGCCATCAGAGATATTGGTCTGAACTGTACTTTTCTGGAAGACTTAAACCTTAGCAGTTGTTGGGAAGTGTCCGACGAGTCAGCCATTGATCTCATCACTCATTGTCCTAATTTACGTCAACTTTCTCTGTCAAAAATCTACGGTATAACCGACCGAACCTTATTTACGTTGGCATCCAATGCACCAAATCTTGAATATCTTGATGTCTCGGGCTGTTGGAGGATCACTGACTATGGCATTAGGTTTATCATTGGTTTATTTGTTACAATTAAGTTCATTGATTTCATTATTATCTTTAAAAATATAGAAAAGTTGGTGAATATTGCAATGCATTGTCTCATCTTCATGTCGGCGACTGTCGTGATGTGACTGATGATAGTCTATCGTATCTGAAAGGGAAAGGCATTTACATAGACTCTCCTCGAAATCACCGAACAATTCATCTCAACCCATACCTCAACCAATTGGCCAAAATTAGACTTCAAGTCTAAATTGAAGACAATTGATAAAACAAATATATTAATACTAATTTTTATGGATTTACTTGTGATTTATAAGTTGAATATATATTTTGATTCTTATATTTTAAATTTTATATTACAGTAATTGTAAATAAGTTAACAAATATTTATAGAGTATAGTATGTTATTAGTTATTAGTCTTTATCTACAATATAATATAAAATCTTTAATTCAATTTAAATCTGTTTTGCATACATTTCTAATATAATTTATATAATTAGTGTAATATTCATTATTTTAATGTGATTTACAACCAATTTTATTAAACAAAATAAAAAGTTTAATAGAATTTAATTTAATAGAGATTAAGATTTATAATTTAAATCAAAATTTTCCGCATTATTTTGTAAGACCTGTTTTTCTATTGTATTCACACATATAACTGGTTGTGAAAAATTATAAATAAATATTTATTATAAATAAATAAATAAAATTTTAATCAATATCTAAATAACTTTGTATTTTATTTTACGGATATATTGTACTTATTATATTAATATATAATTTATATTTATTTGGTTAGTTAGTTATTTGAGTTTTTGTATTGTATGCAATCAATTGTTTAATATTTATTGGTATTTATAATAACATAAAATCATAATATTAAAATTAATTTGATATTTTAATTATATATTTAGATAAATATTTTTTTCGATATTAGACTTTAACGTTCTTTAGTTATAAATATACTGATATTATTAAATCGTTACACTTTTTGTTATGTGATAACTGAAAATAACATTTGTATATAATTAACTATTTGAAATCATTTTTAAATATTCAATAAAATTATTATATTTAGATGTTTGTGCTAATTAAATAAATACACTAATGCTGTATATTTAATAAAATCTAATATATAAAACTTGTAAAAATAAACTAGTAATTTGCTAATATTTAAAAATAATTTAATAAAAAAGAATTACTATATTTTTAAATATTTACCAATTTTTAATGAAATTTTCACAACTTTAATATAAATAAGTTAAATGAGTCGTATTGTTAATCTTAATATATTTCCAATTTATAAATCAATTAAATGAAAATGAATTTTCAGAATATACGGTATATCTTATAGAAAATTTCTATTAGAAATTATCAAATAAAACAATGACAATAATATAAAACATAATTTGCTTCTTTACAATCATATTATAACTGTAAAATTCATTGTAATATATATATACCCAAAATAGTTATTAATAATATAAGTTAGTTATTTTGAGTTATATTATAAATAATAATTTCTAATATTTACTAATTTTTAAATATTAAAAATTTACTTTTTGTCGGCCATTTTGACTCTGTTAACGGCAATATAGAATAATCCTATTTTACATTTAAAAGCTTTATATGAATTCATAGTAAAAATTTTAAGTAAATTATACACTTTTTATATTTTGGTCGCCATTTTGTCCATATTCCTAATAAGTATCTTGGTCATTTATGATGCTCATCCCCTATACCTTATTTTTGATGTTCTAACAGAATCTGAAGTTAGAATTTTAAAATTCACAAGTTAAAATGCGATACACATACACACACATACACATACACATACACATACACATACACATACACATACACATACACATACACATACACATACACATACACATACACATACACATACACATACACATACACATACACATACACATACACATACACATACACATACACATACACATACACATACACATACACATACACATACACATACACATACACATACACATACACATACACATACACATACACATACACATACACATACACATACACATACACATACACATACACATACACATACACATACACATACACATACACATACACATACACATACACATACACATACACATACACATACACATACACATACACATACACATACACATACACATACACATACACATACACATACACATACACATACACATACACATACACATACACATACACATACACACACATACACACACACACACACACACACACACACATACACACACATACACACACTTACACACACTTACACAGAGACATATACTTTGCAGAAAACATAACTTTTAAAAAGTTTGTTTGAATATAATGTTTAATAATAAAATTTAAACATTAATCTTATTGATAACATTCACTTTATATATACAAAATAAATTGCATAATTATAATTTTGGCACTATTATGTTAAAGATAATTTTAATAGAAAATATTAATTATTACTGTTTTTGAGTAGAATTTGAACACTTTTACTAAATAATCTATAAATGATAATACATTATCAAATTTAATTTCAAATTAGATTATTAAAACAGTGTCTTGGTCATTCATTAGAATTGTGTTAATTTTTATAATTTATATAATAATAATTAATATCTATTAATTTCCAAATTATTTTTTATCATTATTATTAGTGTACACAATGGCTATCATACAATAAATATGACCATTTCCTAGACTTAAATATATTGATTAACATAAGTTAATAATATCATAATTTTTAATTAATTTATATTTTGTAAAGTTTTGATAGTTTCTGTATAAGTTTCTATAAAATTTAGTATTAAATTATAAAATAGTATATAATTTATGAGAATCTATCAGAATTTTTGTTGTATATTGTTTTTATAGTAGTATTCACATTATGCACATATAATAACACTGTTTATAAATATATATGAATAGATATATAATAAAATTATTTTATTATGACTAAAATATATTATTAATTATAATTTAAATACTGGTAAATAAAAAATAAATATAATTAATTTTAGTTGAACAAAAATTGTTTAATATACAGTAATAGTAGTATTATTAATAATAATAATTTAAATTTCTTAAAATATTTTTTTAACTCAAGGAAAACCTTTTTAAATAAACTAATTTAAATATATTTATACATTAAATAATATACAATAAATATACAAATAAGTCAATTGAAATTTGGGAAATCCTATTGAAAGATAGGGATAGTTGTGAGCAGCACTTAAAATTGTGTCATATTAAGCAATAATAATTGTTGGGCACAGTTAGCAACAACAACACCAGATCATAACGTAATGATAATTCATGGGTAGGAATATTATAGTTAGGGTTCGATCAAATTCCCCACCATAGTTTTATATTCCTAAAGTTCCTTATTTTTGGGAATTCCTAGGGAACCTGATACTTATGCTATCACCTATTGAAACATAAACAATACATTTTAGTATGTTTGAAAAACAAATATTATTGTGTATTTTCAGTGATATTGATAAATAGTATCATTAAATTTATTGAATTAAAATTTATTTTTCAATTTTAAATAATTTTTTTGAAAAATGTTTAATTTTGGTTCTATTTATTGTAATAATATAAAATTTATTTTCACTTTCTAACGATGAAGGGAGAAAAAATAATATATATTCCGGAAAAATTGGAGATTTTATTAGAGAACTTCCCTCCCGGGGAAAGTTGGTCTAACTCTAATTATAGTACAGTATATTAATGGTTGGCTAAAAATAAAATTGTGTAACTAATTTGTAGATCATTAAATAATTATAAACATTGTTAATAACAAATTTTAACATTGATTTTTATCATACAATTTGTATAATATAGTGTATAATATAGTATTAAGGTATAAATAAATTCAAAATTTATTAATAAGTAACTAATTATTTGTTTTAGTAAATGTTTTATTATATATTATATTAACTAATATAACGATTAATTAAGTGATAAAAAATTGTTTGATTGACAGCAATAGCTCTAACATTGAATGGGCTGTCAATTGAATGTCATTTAACGGTAACGATAGTAATGAATGGTTTGTATGTTTGCATTGAATTGAATGAATGATCAGATGTTTGTCTGTATTGTTGACCGCATGTCATGTCTTTGACTTCATTTATAGACATTATTATTGAATATTATATAACAGTCTCTTCACTGATGACTAAATTGTTTACCAACTGATCCATTGAAGATATTGAGAGGTGATCTCTGGACACAAAAAAACAGTTTCATATATTGTTTGTATCGTGAGATCGATTTAAATAAATTTTCAAATTATTATTAACGACGTGAAGACCCGTTTGATTTGATTGTTGATTAAAATAATTATCAATCAGTTGTGATGTCAAAAATGTTGCGAAACCTTAATCAATGCACAACTAAATTGTTTGCCACCAGTGGCCACAGTTCAGGCCATCGATCGGCGATTCCCATTGCATTGTCCAGACATCTGTACTCATCGTTGAGTACATCCCATGAAATACCAGAGAATCTGCGGTACGTCGAGGAGTCAGAAGATCCGTCTTTCTTTCATATGGTTGAGTACTTCTACCACAAGGGATGGCAATGTGTTGAAGACAAACTCGTCGAAGAGTTCAAAGGCAAACTGACACCGGAGGAGAAACGCAAGAAAGTGAGAGGATATCTATCGATATTAGGTCCGTGTCATGCAGTTCTTGAGGTATCATATCCTCTCAAACGAGATAACGGAGACTACGTTATGATCAATGGCTGGCGCGCACAACACAGTCACCATAGACTTCCCTGCAAAGGAGGTACTGTTTGCCAAACTCGCAGTTGTCTGTAATAAAATAATTATTGTATTTGTCTTAATATAAAGGCATCCGTTTCAGTACTGATGTCTGTTTGGATGAAGTGAAAGCCCTCTCCGCTCTCATGACATTCAAGTGCGCTGTAGTGGACGTGCCTTTCGGCGGTGCGAAGGCTGGACTTAAAATAAATCCCAGAGATTTTAGCGATCATGAGTTGGAGAAGATAACTCGTAATTTTGCGTTACAATTGTCTAAAAAGGGATTTCTTGGACCCGGTATTGATGTGCCGGCGCCCGACATGGGAACAGGTGAACGGGAAATGAGTTGGATTGCCGACACTTATGCCCAGACCATTGGTCACACTGATCTTAATTCACACGCCTGTATTACCGGCAAACCTATAAATCAAGGAGGAATTCATGGAAGAATTTCGGCCACAGGAAGGGTATGTCATATATTGATAGTCTGTCCGATAAGATAGTAGTGTTTATCACTTAATCCTTGTGTATATTTGTTGAATAAATAAACAATTTTCAGACTTTCAATATATTTAATGATAAGATTAATAAAATTATTTATCTGTTTTGAAATTATAGGGAGTTTTTCACGGAATTGATAACTTTATAAACGAGGCCTCATATATGTCAATGGTTGGCAACACTCCCGGTTGGGGCGGAAAGACGTTTATCATTCAAGGTTTTGGTAATGTAGGCCTTCACTCTATGCGATACTTGAATAGGGCCGGTGCACGATGTATCGGAGTACAGGAAAGGGATGGTAGTATTTATAACCAAAACGGCATCGATCCTAAAGATTTAGAGGAATGGAAAATGAACAATGGAACTATTGTTGGCTTTCCTAATGCTCAACCCTATGATGGGGAAAGCCTACTGTACGAGAAATGCGATATTTTAGTACCGGCGGCCACTGAGAAGGTCATCACCAAAGATAACGCACACAAATTACAGTGCAAAGTATATACACTTTTTATTAGTGGGTGTCCTTTGATTTATCTAATGATACAAATTATTTCAGATAATAGCAGAGGCGGCCAATGGACCGACAACACCGGCTGCCGATAAGATTCTTATCGATCGCAATATTCTGATAATTCCTGATTTGTATATCAATGCCGGTGGTGTCACTGTTTCCTATTTTGAATGGCTTAAAAATCTTAATCACGTCAGTTATGGCCGATTACTCTTCAAATATGAACGCGACTCTAACTATCACTTATTGGGTACACTTATGACCTTCATATAAGACCTTCAATTTACTTATCAATTGATTTATTGTTTTTTTTTTGTAGAGAGTGTTCAGGAATCTCTTGAACGGCGCTTTGGTAAAGCCGGTGGACGTATACCTATAGTTCCGAGTGAATCGTTTCAAAAGAAAATATCCGGTGCTTCTGAAAAAGATATCGTCCACTCTGGGCTCGACTATACTATGGAACGATCGGCTCGGGTATGTAATATAGGAACAAAAATGTTTATCGGGAAATAATAATTTATTTTTATTATAATTTTGTTTAGCAAATCATGAGAACTGCCATGAAATACAATTTAGGTCTTGATTTACGGACAGCCGCTTACGTGAATTCAATCGAAAAGATTTACAACACATATAAAGAGGCCGGACTTACGTTCACATAACCGATAACTTTCAGCAATATATACTCTATAAGCGTATTTCAAATACTAATCTCTTAACAAACAATCGTTAGATACAATTGTTTTTTTAAAACTATAAAATTATAATCGTTAAATAAGTTAATATATATACACTTTATATGTCGTGATATATAGATAACGTTTTAGTGATTTAACATTTTTTGGCATAAAATAATAGGATTTTAGTGATTAGATATGAAGTTATGAAATTATTAATATATTTATATTAAATGCCATATAAATTATATATATATATATACTATATAGTATTATTTGCAAGTGTTAATTTTTGTTGTTAATAACTATTATATATATATTTACTTTTATTTCAAGTCATTTTAAAGTTATACCAAACCTTTTAAAAAATTTAAAGAAAGAAAATTACAATCATATCATGTCTTAACAAAAAAATTATTTCATAACATTTCATTCTCTATGCACTCATTCACTATTGATTGAGATTTTAAATAAAGCAATATATATGATATAACTTAAAAAAAACTATTATAAAATATAATGTCAATTATTAGGCTTGTCTTCAATTATAAGCCACTTTGGATCAGATAGTGTCCGATCATTGCGCGGACCGATAAGGACAACACCGGAATGAAGTTTTTCGTTAACCAAATATCTAGAGATATAGAGTACACGTAAATATTGAAAACATAATACTTAACAGAAATAGGAAATTCAAATAAAAACGACTAAAAATAACATACCTTTTGGCTACTTCTTCGATGTCAGCTTTGGTAACATCGAGTAAACGCATCCTATAGTCGTGTCTCATTTGATCGGTAATCCCATTAACAAACAAAAGCAATCCCTGTTCACTGGGCATAATCGGATGGTCTACTTCTTGAAAGACGGAAAGTTTTGCTTCATCGATGTCCTGTTCACTATAATTACTTTGATTGGCCAACCATTGGGCCGAATCATTAAACGCATCGATTGTTTGTTCAACATTAGGGTCGCGATATGAATAATAACTGTAAACACCACCCAAATTGAATTTAGCGCCCCCGCCATAAGCGCCTCCCTTTTCTCTAACTTCTCTGAGAAGATATTTGGCCGAAACTAGATTAGCGGCTATTTTAAGTTTGGCGTAATCGTTGTGAACAAATGGTGTACAATATACCGATTTTCCTAAATAATTGTTAGCAAATGGCAGCACATGGTGTTCATTCAACATCGACTCAATGGCTGGAATGTCGCCATTGTTACCGCATTCTTGAGTTTCACCAATCGGTTCAGTTCTTTTGTTAAGTGAATTAATGAATTTTTCGACCGATTGAAGTGATGACCTAATAGTAGATGCTTCGGCATTGATAGAACATCGCATAGAATCAGAGTTAAGTAGTAGATCGGCAATACTCTTGAGATGTTCGACAACTGGTTCCGAAGACTCTAGAGATGCCATCGACCGAAAGTGATCAACAGATGATAAACCACTGGTCTGTTCCCGAAACTTAAAAGCACCACCTAATGCGGCGGCCGATCTCTGCATCGCATATCTCTGGCCATAATGAGGTAAACTCATTGCCAGTTCGGCAGAACTGATTCGGATAAGTTGAAGCAAATGGTCGTAATCGTCATCAAAGCGAATACTATTAAATATATTCGTCAATAATCTAAACATATGATCAATATTTCTTTCTAAACAATGTGATGATATGATGAGTCCCTTCTCAAAGAGATCAAACTGTGATGGATGGTCAGTCACGTGAACCGACATCTGAAGTCCACCTGTCAGTAATTGTATCTCTTGATCCAATTGTTTGCGGTCTAGACTTCCGGCGCCTAATTTGGTGGCCACTTGATTAAACAATGGCAGATATGGTACCAGATGTTGAGGGAAATTACTGAAGTTAGGTTTTAAAATGGCATTAAAATAAGTGATACCATTAGTCGGTTGTGCCGACCATTGAACGCTGGTGTTTGATATTTGTGTTGTTTCAACATTTGTTGCATCAAAGCTACGAGAAATGTCAGTTTTGACCACAAGAGTCGGCAAAATATCTACTTTTTGTTTATCATTTTGTTGTTTTTCCAATTGAATTCCCTTATTATATATATCTTTCAAGTCTTCTTTAGAAAGTTTCCTCAGTTTCTCATTCAATAAATTTTGCTCTTTTTCTCGTAAATTCTTCTCAAAATCTTCAGAAGGATTCATCTCTAAAACTAATCGATGAGTGTTTGATATAAAATATTCTTTAATTTTCTGTTCCAATAGTTTAGGATTTTGTTTGAGTTCTTTGCGAAACCTATTCACGTGATCATTAACTTTGAGACCGACAATGGGATTGCAATCGTGTGTCCAAATAGAGTTCAAATTCATAGCCAAACCTAAACCATAGTTATTTGTTTGGTATTTAGTGCTCAGTTCCAGTCGATGTAAAATGGCTTCAATTCGTTCCTCAGGAAATCCATCGTTGGAAGCATTCTTCAGTGCCGTATCGATGGCTTTTACAACAAAATTGACATCTTTTTTAGCTATTCCTTGTAAACCAATAGAAAAAAATGCTTGTTTTGTATAACCAGCAAACCCACTGTTCGGGCTATAATCAGATCCCAAACCAGAATCTATAAGCGCCTGATATAAAGGTGAATTGGGACCATCCATCAGCAATGAACAAATGATGGATAGTGTAAAGCATTCGTGTGTATTACTCTTGTCTTCTAACATATAACTAATGCTGACTGTTGTCTGTTTGTCCGGAAAAGGTGCCAAAGGATCGGGTTGTGACTGAATCTCTTTACGCATCGGTTTTGACCATTTCGGTTGATTTCGAGCTTCAGTTGAATTCCTAAAATTTTCATTCAGATTAAATCGATTCAATACATAATCGTCTATAAAAGCCAAATGTGACTCCAGAGGAAAGTTACCATAAGTTATAAACCTATAAAATAATAATTTTATTCAAACAAACAATAACTAAAAATAATATCGCATTCAAACCTAGCATTACTCGGATGATAGTGTTTTCGGTGAAACTCTTTTAGATCTTCATATTTAAGTTCAGGAATAACAAGTGGATCGCCACCGGATTCGTTGGCATAAGTGGTGTCCGGAAATAAATGATTTTGAAGACTGCGGACATAGATTGCCGCCGGACTTGACTTTAAGAAAATTATTATAACATTTAGCATTTCATACACTAAACTAAAATAAAACTTACAAAAACTCCTTTCATTTCGTTAAATACAACGCCTTTAAAGATAATGTCTGATTGCGGATCATTGATGTCCTGATGCTCGAGACGCCAACCCTCCTGATTGAAGTCTAACGGTTGCAGAAGTGGAAAGAAGACGGCATCTAAATATACAGTCATGAGATTGTAATAGTCTTTAAGGTTTTGCGTTGAAAACGGATAAAACGTGTGGTCAGGTGTAGTAAAGGCGTTCATGAAAGTGGTCAGCGATCGGTTCAACATTTTAAAGAACGGGTCGCGAACCGGGAACTTCTCGGAGCCGCACAACGACAAGTGTTCGAGTATATGGGCCACACCCGTACTGTCAGCCGGTGTTGTCCGCAACGACACACCAAACATATTGTTGTTGTCGTCACGTTGGATGTGTAGATGTTGGGCACCAGTCTTCAAATGATCCAATAGATAGGCCGACAGACACAACTCGGGAACTTCATCCACGACTTTCACCTCATAGCCGTGCAATTGATGGCCAACTTTAAGCGTCTTATGCATATCGACGGCGGCCGCAGAAGACACCGATGTGTATGCCTTTGGTTTTAGATATCGACCGCTGACCAGATTCAGCCGCGACAGACATCTAGAAATAGATTATTATTTAATTTATTGGTTAATATCAGTTAATCTAATCATTAATACCTGATATGTCTACCAAATCCATACATTTTTATAATTATTGGTTTAAATTGATAGTCAATTAAAAACCAATTCAATTAAATATTATATATTAATCAATGTTTACATTCTGTGAAATGCAATGCTATTATTGCATCAAATATTGTATTTAAAAACAACAAACACATGTGTTTTGCGATAATACCGGTGCCATCCGTTTGGATGCACTGCTGAGAGTGTAATAAAAATGATGAACACTTGAAACACTTGGATTGGATGGACGGGTAGCTAAAAGAGGAGAAGCGATAGGGAAGAGAGTGTTAGCACAGAAAGAGAGAGAGAGAATCGGTTTTGACTTTTAATGTTTCATATGTTGAGAGCTAACGCAAGTGAATAGTTTGCAAACATTACTAAACAAACTCTTATACCGTATATATAAATATAATGATATGTTTTATAAGTTAGTAATGCTGTCGAAAGCTTTAAGTTTTTTCAATTGGAAATCAAAATGAAAAAAAGTTTTTCATTTGATCTGAAAAAATGTTTGTAAAAAATGTAAACCAATTAATACATTAATTTTTTGATGGTTTGATTTTTAGTGATTGCGATACAAATGTCTGCTAAAACATCACTCATCTCATCACTGTTTGTGTGGTTTTTAAGCAAATATTGTTTTTGCTTTTATTTAATTTTAATTTTTGTTTTATTAATCAATGGCTTACAACATATATATGCAAATGAAGTGCTGACCGATAAATCAGTTATACGAAGGCCTTTAGTATTAAGTTTGTTGCCATCAAATGAGACAAATCAACGAAATAGCAATCATCGATACAATCATCACTTGTTTAAGTTATCAAATAATAACCACAAACTGTTTGATGACGATCTGAACAAACTGTTTGCCAAAAATGCATTTCATCACCGGTTCTTCAATTCAAATAACCACTTGAGTGGTAATAGTAATAGTAGTCATCATTGGATATATAAATCAAAATTTACGAGAAGTGTTACTAATTCAGGTAAATATTGTGATTACAATTTGTTTAGTTTGTATTGTCGTTTTACTCTCAATAAAGTAAATAACATTTATATATACAGTATATATACCTAAATATAACAAAACATTTGTTTAGATAAGTTATAGTAAACCCTAAACACGATTAAACATATTTTCACTTCAAATGTGTGATTAATGCTTAGTCTCACTACTAATCGCTAAACAAACAGAAACTCATGCATTCATGTGTTGAATGCAATATATTTTCCTATTATTTTGGTTTAATTTATTTAATACCTTATTGTTAATATGATATTTTGTGAATACAATGAAAAAAATTGATATCACTTTAACATCGCTATAAAAACGATATTTTTTTATAATACTGTACAGAATGTATTACATATACTGAATATTGTATTATTAAATTTTCTCATATATTCAATGAATTTTCTGCAAAATTCATTGAACCCAACCGTTGCGTTCAATACTAATATAATCTTGTTTTTTGGTTAAACACCAGATTTTTTTTGGCTATTTTTTTGTTGTAGAAAATTATATCTTTCTTTTCATTTTTCTCTGAGAGAAAAGTATGTCTTTCGCGATATAATCACAAAGTTTTTGGTTCAAAGAGTCAGTACATGTGATGTGTGTCCGTAAGGATAGTCTCTATGAGTTGCAAATTGCAAAGTACTGTACCAACAAAATCCTGTCTTTAAAAGTAGTCTTCAATGTCTATTGAATGGCAAAGTTTTGTAGTATCGTTGCTGTAATAGTTGGTTGTGGCGATAGTACCGGTGCTCTGTCTCAGCATTAATAGCTTTGGGCAGATCTTATCATTACTTAAGGCAGTCTCGCATTACTCGGTCTCCAACTCCTCTCAGGACTGCTCTCTCATCTCTGTCTTCGTCTATATATATGTTTTGCATTCCTATATAATTAGTGTTTCCCTTAGTTTGACCCCCAAATTGGTGCCCCTTTTCAACAGAGAGTGGTATAGACAGTGCAATGAAATGCCTGAAGCCTTAAACAAGAGAAATCTCTCTTTTCTTTTTGAACTTAAGTCCATTAAATCTTATAGTTTTAAGTAATCAACTGCACAGCTGTGGGCCCTCACTGTGTGTCTCACTATTTACTTTAGTGTACATATAATACCATTACATATCATACATACATATTAATACAACTCTATAATAGATGTGATGCCTGTTTTACCAATCATATACATATACATACTGTACATACATGGGACCAGTTATGTGAGTGAGGCACTGGTACTCCAGAGTTTACTACTCGAGTGCCGAGTTGTGGAACTGCCGGTCGACTACTCTATACCACATCTCAGCCTCATATGGTCTTTACAGACATGTTTTATCAGCAAAAAGGAGAGTCAGAAATATCTATTGCTTTTTACTCTACTCTGTTATCAACCGGAGAACCGCCTCAAGAGAGAGCACTCAGTCAGTCAGTCCTAACCTGTGATTGTCGATCCGATTCCCAAATAGCTATTTGTGAGTCAAAGAAATGATATAATGATAAGCATTTTCAAACATATAATTGCTTTCAAATGACTTCAACATAATGGCAGTCAACAGACATATCAGTGAAAATCACGAATTTATTGTAAAAATATTGAGAACTCAGTCGTCGACAGTTTGTATGTTATTTAGTCTGAAAGTTGAGGCAATAAAAACTGAAACATCAGATTATTTGGAAATAAATTTTTTATCAAATCATAAACCAAAACACATTTACCATAATTTTCGAGAAATTTAATTTTTTTCTCTTTTCTCTGATTTGACTTATGATTGATATATAAAACCACTAATGGATTTGGTTTTGCATAGATTTTTTTGAAAGAAACAAATGTCTAGAGTCTAGACTCACAAACCAAACGCACACTTAATCATAGATTATTACAGTTATTATTATTGTTATTATTAGTAATATTTTTGTTTTACTAAATAATAGTTTTCAAAAACATTGGGTTTGCCATTAATTTTTTCAATTGTTATCAGAGATCCAAAATGTATTTTTACGGTAAAATGAAGAGTGAAATTGGAATTACTGATCAAAACTAGTTTTATTCAAAAACGTTTGTTAGAAACGAAAAAATTGTATTATATTATTATCAATAGTAAACCCCATATGTTGTGAATGCCTTTCCCTATACAACAACCGACTGACTGACTGAATGCCAACTTTTATTAAATTCTTCATTTAAAAAGACTTTTTATGGCAAACCATATGATAAAAGCATTTCTTATGAGAAAAAATAAATTATTGGCCAAAGATTTTTTAATATCGTATAATATTTGTTAAGATTAAGGCATATAATTCAAACGCACATACAGTATAGTTATGAACCGTTTATAACTACTGTTATGCCATATAAATAGATGAAAAATTGTTATTTAAGCTCAAAATTTAAATATATAATATTTAATATAATAAAATTTTTTAATCTTTTATCTTAAAATAAAAAACAGTATTAAACATTTTTTAGCGTTTATTAATGTAGATATTATTTTAATATTAAATAATAATAATACAGTATATAACAAATGTTAAAATAGTTAGCGTAAAGTTTAATGACATTAGAGATTACTGGCAATAACTACATTAATGATATGCTTATATTTAATATACTAATTTTGATGTAATACACCCTAAATATAGAGGTAATCGACAACATTGGTGGAAGTGGAGGTCCGACCTTTGATGAGGAACCCAGCGATTCATATATAGTCCGAAGCAAATCTGCAATTCTTCGCTGCAAAACATTGAATGCTTTGAAGGCATGGTTTGCATGCAATACGGGTCAGTCATAATCATTAAGTCATTAATATACTGATTGATTAATTGCATGACAAGACATAATTAATTATATAAACAATTTGTATGTTTTGCTAATCAATAGAAGATGAGAGAGTCATTCAAGACAAGCAAATCGGCCACAATTATGTCGATCCGCAAACTGGTATCAGAATTGTAAGCAAATTACTATTTTAGTTAAATATTATTATTATTATTATACAAAAGCTTATTATTATTATAATAAGATTATTGTTTACTTGATTTTATTATCGCTTAATTTTATCTAAATTTATATTTTTTAAGTTCGTGGGTAAAAATATTAAACACATCCTTAATAAATGGGAGAATAGGACAAAGTTAGGGACTTAGGTTCAAAATCCAACCCTACCTTAAAAAAAGTAAATATATAGTTAGCTAAAAGTTAATGTTTTCAATGTTAAGGTTTGTTTTGTGAGCAATCAATTTTGGAGGTTTGGGAACAATTTGAAAGCTCAGGGAACTGGCGGTTGTTTACTATACTTATAATATATTATATTTTATATTAAACTTGTAGTCTCTTATTAAGGATTATTATTATTAAATGCCATATGAAATAAAATTGTTGTAATGATATCAAATGTTTTTTTATTTCCCAATTAGATTGAACTAGAATTAGAGGTAACCAGGAATGACATCGAAGAGCACGCAAAGGCTGGTTATACCACACCATACCAGTGTTGGTGTAATGCCTACGGCGGACATCAATCGATACTCAGTCGACGCGCATCCATCCTATTCTCGTGTAAATATCAATAATATTATATAATATTGATTATAAACTTTTATATACGCTTTTAAGTATATATCGTATATAACAAATAACTTTTGAAAATTTTATTGAAAGTCATAATGTATTATAATCTTTAAGTGCAAATGTTTAGACACCAAACACATACACAAGTGGTCTGTTTTTTTGGTGATGTATTTTCTTTCAGTAAATACTTGCATCCAAATAGATGTTGTATTCAACCATATATACTGTATGATAGTATGATATATACAGATAGTAATAATAAAGTTAAACGAAAAGCTCATAAAACAGAGTCGACTTTCCTATTCATATCAGTTTTATATATGTGTTATACTGTGTATTATACAGTCATTTTATATAGACTTTAATTTCCTTTAAATTGACTCACAATTTCTAGGGTTATATGAGTTAACGTTTTTGGACTGACATTCCTTCTTGTTTAGCCTCTATGTCTTGTGTATGGATCCATACTATGGAAATGTTAAGTCATTATCTGCTTATATATTATATGATGTACTATACTATACAGTGTCGTGTGTTTGGTGTATAAACTAATTCACATGACTGACTAAATATCTGTTAGTTAATATATATCATCGTTAACTATGATATACCCGAACATTGAGGGTTAGGATCGGTGCGGGGATTACCAGTGAATACATGATATGAATCGTAAAGAGTTTTCTCTATTTCATTAATTGCTAGCTTTTGTTAAAACTTAATGTTTTTGATATAATATTATCGGACAATCTTATTGTTCATATTTTTAGACAATTGCTTTACAAATGGATAGTCATCCTATTGTTTTGTGTATATGTATTGTATCTTATTTTGTATAAATGCTTATTGTATGAATCGCTTTATTTTTACCATATAAGGGATAGGCTTTTAATACATTGGCTGTGATGGCAGAACCCAGAAAAAAGGCAGAGAATAGGCACTACTTCTATAGCCCGTCAATCAATTATACCGTCAAATGCAGATATAACTCAATGCACTTAATATAATTGATTTTTGCCGCTTTTTTCAATGTCTCAAACAGACTAACTCTTGAATAAGTGAATCCTAAAAGAGAAAGGAGAGCACCAAATGGAAAGGCCTACTAATCGCTTTATGTAACGGCATTTCACTCACTCTCTCTCCCCTTTCCTTTTCAAAAGACACCAATGCTTTGACATCCCTTTGCTATTGTATTTCAATGCAAGTTATCGGGCACTCAGTCTTTACAGTGTTAAGTGTGATGCCATTGCTCTCTGTGCTCCTCTCTCTCTCTCTCTCTCTCTCACTCACTTTCATCCCATCTCTCTCTCTCTCTCTCTCTCTCTCTCTTTCTATAGTCTATTCTATATTCTTGTTATACAACTCACGGTTGTGTTGTTGTGTGACATCAATCAATACAAATCGATTTAATCCCTCAAACTATATAATAACTTTTGTTAATGACTCCTAATATATAGCCGACAACTTTTCACATCAATTCATGTCTTTTCCTTAAATATAATGTATATGTTATACAACATAATACTCGACCTAACTGTGCAATACTTTATTTTCTTTATTGACTTCCTTTTAATCCAATTTTCATTATCTTTTTTGCTGATCGTCTAATCATTTGTTACTATTATTATTATTATTATTATTATTATTATTATTATGTAATTGTCTTATACTGTACATTGAATTATGTTTTTGTTGCACAAAAAGCAATATAATATAATTATAAGTTCAATGCTATAATATTTTTATTTATTATTATTTAGATATTTCGTATTTAAGTTATATAATTATAATTTATGTTATATTTTATTTGAATTAATTATTTTGTTTATTTGATTTTCTGGTTTATTTTTGTTTGAATTATAATTTATTTTTGGCCACAAAACTTGATGGTATATCCAGACTTACGAAAGCACTTCATCAATGAACCGCTTTCGCATACTGTAGGCCTGAGCTCACAAACTAGTTTTACTTGTTTGCCTCCCGAAGGAGACCCCAAACCCACACTATTTTGGTTAAAAAACGGAGAGAGAATAAATGCGAGCACTGGTGGCTCACAGATCTGGGAGGAYTCATCCGCGTCGACTGCCGATGATTTAATACCCGAAAACATGTCATCGATTGACCACAAAAATTATTTCATTGGACACGACTCGTCACTGATTATTAAAGAAGTGTCAATCAAAGATCAGGGCAATTATACCTGTGCTGTACGCAATCCAGCCGGTGTACGGTATAGTGAGCCGGCACAGTTACTAGTTTTTGGTGAGGATAGACCTAAAAATAAAAATGATCGTCAAAATCATTGCCTCTCACAAAAAAAACATTGTTTTTACTGCATTTCAAATCTCTTAATCCTATTTTCCGACTGTTTTTCCAATATATGAAATACTTAAGAGACAAACGAAAGCGAAAGCCATATAACATATTGTTGTATAACATGACTAATATAACCAATACTTTAATGCTTTTTCTCTTTCTATTGCTTTTATTAACATAAGAAAGTTATAAATAGTTGGAGAAGAAAAATGCTAATCTTATTATTATTATTTAAAAATATAGTGAACGGCGGTTGGAGCAGTTGGGGTGCCTGGTCTTCATGTAGTTCCCCTAATAAATGTGGCCGGGGATCACAAAAGAGAGTACGCTATTGCAGGTATGCCCTAAACATTTATACTGTATATACAATATATACCAACACTAACACACTTATTATTAGTACACTTTCGCTAAGAGTCTATAAAATAGTCGTAAACTTTGTAGTCTTAAGACTCCATCCATATGTCATAAGCCTATTCACACTATGATTGCTTACATTTACTATACCATCATTTAGAGTAACCATTTGCAAAGTTAGATAAATGCCAGGCATTCAATCATAAATATATATTTATACATATGTTAATATATATATATATATATATATATATATATATTATGAATATACTGTATGTATAATGCATTTTTACTATTTAGTCTATTCATTGGAAATATCAACAATTAAACATTTAAATGAATTTCAAATAATATTCAATTGAAAATAATTAAGTTTATACAGTACAATAATAATAATTGTCATCAACATTATAATAATATAAATAAATAAAGTAAATATTTCCTATTTTAGATTTATATCTTAATTATTTTCAATTGAATATTTATACTAATGAAATGTAAAGTTTGCATATTTATATTTAAATAATAATTTATGTGATAGATATGTAATAAATATTTTGAAAAAAACATTCAAAACTTTTGGCAGCTATTTATAAAATCATGAATTTTAAAACAAGTTGCTTAATGAAAATAAATTGTAAACAAAATTAACATAAATAGTTTTGTTGAATATAAATATAAATTTGAGAATATAATAAAATGAAAATGTAATTATTATTATAATTTGTTTAGTAATCCGAGTCCCATAAACAGTGGTCAGTTTTGTTTTGGGGAAAGTCTACAAACCAGTGATTGTAGTGTTATTTGTTCGCCAATTCATGGCTCGTGGACCTCCTGGAGTAAGCCTTTTACTATATTACTATACCATTGCTTTTAGAGTTTACTTTACATAAACTAATTGAATAAACAAATCTTTTTTTGTTGTTTGTTTGGTGAACAGGCAGTTGGTCTACATGTTCTCATGAATGCTCACAAGTGAGTCAATTATTTAAAAATATTGTAACAAATTTAATATTAAAGTTGTAATTAAAATGCAAACAATAGGTGAGACGTCGTATTTGTAGTAATCCTCCGCCAAAATATGGTGGACAGCATTGCTTTGGACACGATTTTCTCATCAAAAACTGCACCGGAGGAATGTGCAGAAAATTAGGTAATTCATTAATTGCATTATACAGTACAGTCAATGCACTCATAGTATTAAAACTACTGTACTTTTCCATACGATTTTACGAGAATATAAATACTGTATATAATATATTAATTAATTAAAATTAATGAATAAGTGACACAAACATTATTATAACTCATTATATTAAAAGTTTGTGTTGTTTGCGATGATTTGTCACTAAATTTCCTATCGGAAGCTTACTTTCTCACGGCTTTAATGTACGGAAGCTTTTATCTAAATATTTTCAGTTTATTTTATATATACAATCATAACAGTTAGTCATTTAGTTATAGTGATACTGCAATCACTGTCTGACATATAAGCATTAGGATTGACGATATTATACTGTAGTAAACATTTTGGTTGTCCACTAATGTTTAACACTGTTTTTACTACTTTTTTTATATTTGTCTCCAAACCAATAATATTGACTTTTTATTAATATGTTTTACCATTTGTTTAATCATACATGTATTGTGCATTAATTATATGTTAAAATAGATTTAGATTTAATGTAAATTATTCTAATTCAAAATTATTTGTATTTTCAACAGCATTTCAAAAGCATTTAATTTATTATTTTAAAACTAGTTAATGTCCCAATGGGAACACCCCTTATTAGCAAAACTGGTTACACGCCATATAGCACAGTGTATAGAGTATATACTATATAGGGTGAGGGTGGTTTTTGGATAAGAGTATACCAAAGCTATTACAGTATGTATTGAGCATATTATACATACAGACACTAATGCATTGATTAAACATTTTTATATCTCAAACAAAATTAATATATTTAAGAAGCGATGACTCATAAGACTAAGTAATGGTTAACTCATTGTAATTGTAATTTTATAGTTAGCCATAAATGGATCCCAGAATTTGCTTTTATGTTATATTAGTCCCGTATTTGATTTGATTCATATCCTGATTCTCTCTGTGAACACACACTTATACGGTCAGTCTGTAAGCCATCAAACCATAACATAACATAATATAATATTTTTATTTATTCTTATAGTTATTCCTAATATCTATATATATTCATTGTATTGTATTTATATATATTATGGATGTATAAAGTTATCAAAATCTTATTCACTCTTTTACGAGTTAAACAACTGTCACATTGCTATCGATAGATGGGATATATTATATATACGGGTTAGACGTTTATGACGAGAGGCATAAAATTGTAAAAATACATAAACATATCATCCAATTTACTTCATGAATATCAATGAAAGATATAACTTATATACAATTGATAGCAAAAACAGCTTTTATCGCTATTCACTTTTATAGTGCCCTTTAAATCTCATACGAGTCATGCAAATTGAGTTTTGTGGGAGTCATGCAAAAGGGCTGTTAACTATTTGGATACAACACTATATTAGAGGGGAGAAAAAGAGGGAAAAATTGATTTAATTAATTGGTTAACAATTGCTATCACTGTTTTTACAACACGATTGTCTATCATTTGATTTACTAATACTCTTACCGGTAATATTGTTACCACAAATGTTTAGTGAATAGTAATGCTATAAAACAGTTTAGATTTAATAACTAAATCCCTGAATGAGGTTTTAGTTGGTTTGTTGACTTTTCTATTAATTTTTTTTAATAAAAAAAACAGTTTACTTGTGTTTACTGTGTCTTAAAGATTGTAAAAAAGGAAAAGATTTAACAATATTAAGAAAAGAGAGAGAAAGAGATGATAAAAATGGTAGCAAAAAGCCTTATGATATATAAGTAGTGTTTTTAGAAACCAATCGATGGGATGTGTTATGTCTTTGTCTTTATGCGCTACTATTTGTAGAGTTATGTAGTTTTTATATATCATATGAATGACTCACTACTGATGACTGACTGACTATTACTTACAAAATATACTTTTGTAAGTCATTGCTCATCCGAAACACTAACATATATCAGTCAATATTATCCGTTTTCCTATTATGGCAGTGCTCTCCATCCATCCCATCCTTTCAAATGCCTTTATCCATCTCTATATGCATTGAAACTCATTTTGTATATCTTTTTCTTTCTTCTCTTTTCTCTGACTTTCAAAAACTATGTATCAGATCGTAGAGATCACAGACCATTAAGTACATCGCTAGCAATTGCACTGACAGTATAGTACTTTTATAAGACAGTATAGTCAGTCAGTCATTTCTGTCTATCCACCCCTCCTCTGTTGATGGTCTCCCTTAAACTCCCTCACTATCTCTTGTAAAATATCCTCACAAACAAACTGGTAAACTATATACAACAGTATACTACTGGTGTATATGATATATGGATAACAGCGTTAGGAAAGCATAGCATTAGTGTTTGGTTCGTTTGCATCGCATATATCTTAACTGAAACACCACTTTGTGTGTGTATACTGTATGTATGTGTGTGATCATCAAAATGCCATCACATCACATCCCAGTGCTCAATATATTCAATTTTCTAGACATTTATAGTGTATATATCTATACATAACATTGTGTGACGGCTTGTCACCACTGATCTCGATTGCCACACACACACTCATACACACATACACACACTCATACATACATATACACACACACACACACATACACACACACTCATACATACATACATACACACACACACACACACACTCATACATACACACATACATACATTTATACTGTACATACACATTGATTTTGTCAGTATTTTGTATTTTATATGAATCCTCTCTACTTATAAAATATATCCATAGATTCCGGTTCTTTAGATTTGTCTTATTCTTCTTGATATCAATTTCCTAAAAAAAACTATTTTCCTCCACTAAAATGTATTTCCCTTCGCGAGAGAGATAAAAATCAAAATCCCGGCGATTGAATAGACATTTAGGAGAGACGACAGTTATGCCGATTGTAAATAAATATAATATGTTTTGCTGTCTTTAACCAAACCATTTAGATCTCTATCAATTGCAACGAAGAGAAAGAGAGGAGAGCGGCGCGACTGACAGACAACAAATATATTTGATGGCAATTATTATTGCCACGACTTTTATATTCATGTTTATAGTATTTGGATTTATTTTACTTAAACGGAGACAACTTAAGACTCAGAACTGGAACGATACTGAAGAAGAAAGAGTTGGTGAAGACGGTCAGTCAATACTTCTACTTCTTCAACAACAACAGAATCAACATCTGCAACAACAACAACAACAAGGCTATCAACCACAACAACAGCCGGATCTCATACGCAATGGTGGATCCAAAAAATGCCAATTGATTTCAAGACTAAATGATTGCAATACAAACTTATTAAATCATTTAGTGGTCAGATGTGATACCATGAGTTCAGTTCCTCACACGTTAAGTGCCAACTCAGAGACGTTTAGTCATCTGAATAACTATCATCTAAATGGAAGTCAAATGTCATTTAACCAATTAAATGGTTCGTCATCTATCTCTGGTACACCCAAATTAATGCCTACCTCAGCCATGTTTAGGACGACCACAAACTCAACAACGACGGCCACAATGACTACCACTACCAGTGAAGAGGATGAGGACAGTAGTAGTGACGAGAGTGAACACGATTACGCCGAACCCATCTTCACTAACTGTCGGTCATATAATTGAGTGACTGTACGACCACTATATACAGTCCTCTTGTGTGCCAAATATTATTAAACTATAAATTAATAGATGCTTTATATTGTATATAAAATATTGTCATAAATTATTTGTTTTTCTAGATGTGTATAAAATAAATATTTGTTATAAAATTTTTAACGAAATATCCTATTATTTAGAAAAAAACAAAATACGGAGTTTCGTTGACTTAAAGAAAAATTTATTATTAAAAAATATATATATATATATAATTAATTTGTTTATTGATTATTGTATAGAAATTTATATAAATAATATTTGTATTTCTATTTATTATTATATATTTGAATTGTTATTTATTTGTATATCTGAATAAAAGATATCAAGTTTTAAATTAAAAAATAATTTTACAAATTAATATTAGTTTATCATTTTTTATTTAAATTAGAAAAAATTAGATTAAATTTAAATGCATTTTGACTTTTATATATTTGTTACAAATATATAATTTAATCTATCTTTAGAATCATTATATCAATTAAGTATATTTGTTAATTAATAATCTATTAATAATACAAATGTATATTATTAATACATAGGAATATATTTAATGCTATAATTACAAATTATGACATTAATTATATTTATTATCATTATTATCGAAGATTTTAATTATTGTATTTATTCAGATCTAAAAATTTACAAAACAATTAACAGTTTAGCATAAATTTTTACGTTTTTAAAATACTAGATATTCTCATACATCAAATTATTTGTTCAAAAATTGTTACTTTTTCTAAATATTCAGTTTGAGAACCATTGACATGTGTTTCATATGGCATTATAATTAGTTTTTTTTCAGTAAATATTAGAGCAAACAAAACATAATATACTTTTCTTTGAAGAAGTTAGTGACAAAAATAAACAAATATTAGTCAACTGTTTTTCTTAAAAAATTTAAGTGTTATTAACAGGAATTTTACCAAAAAACAAACTAAACATCAAATAATATATGTCTTTAAATATATGAAGTTTCTTCTTAAGGAAACGCCTAATGAATCTTCTGATAAATGCATAACTTCTGTGCGATTGTTATAAATGATAACATTTTTACATCTAATCCGATAGGGAGTAGAAAAGTGCAAAATGAGAGGAAAGAGAGAGAGAGAGAGAGAAAGAGAGAGAGAGAAAGAGAGAGAGAGAAAGAGAGAGAGAGAAAGAGAGAGAGAGAGAGATAGAGAGAGATAGATAGAGAGAGAGAGAGAGAGAGAGAGAGAGAGAGAGAGAGAGAGAGAGAGAGAGAGAGAGAGAGAGAGATTCAGTAATTTGTGTGTGCAAAGAGTCGTCACTTTTCATCCTCTGATTTCTTTCAGCTCTCTCTCTCTCTCTCTCTCCACTGGAAAGACATTTTAGTGACAGTAAAAGTGGAGAAGCGATTTAAAATCAATAACACTATGAGTGAGTGAGAGAGACAAACAAAATCATCAAATTTCTGGTTGTGTGTTATCATTGCAATTCAATTCAATCCAATTGCAAACCTCGACATCACTGTATAGAGACATAACATAACACAACAGAGCATTAGTGTAGTGTATAGTAGTATTGATATATACCAGTGCTCTATACCAGTGTGTAATACCGATTATATATGTCATAAAACACATAAATCAAGTGTAAAACAATTTTTTCTTCAAATCATTCACAGAAATAATCTCATCTATTATATTAAGCCCTGTATTATCACAAATGTATTCATAAAATTTTATTATTTAAAAAAGTTATTGTCATATAATATAGTATTTTTCCAATGCATATGAGTTTGAAATTAATTGTTAAAACTTTTGTTTGTAAAAATTGCAAATTCATTAATAAATTCAATGTCAATGTGTGGCACTGTTAGCTCGTGTTTAGGTAGCTATAAAATACAAGTATATTTGTTTGTGTGTGTGTTGTGTGATGTAAGCTCAGGAGCATACATATACAGTATATAAATACATACATATTGGTAAAGACTACCAGTGCCAATTGGGACGGGTCTATCCGACAATTGCATGCAATAACTGTAATAAATATAAGAGCATTCAGTCAGTCAGTCCTCTCTATTTCAATATTATATGTGTTTATCTGTTTATGTGTTGTTTATGTATTTATTTTGATCTCCATTTGTATGATTGATATAATTGATTGTATATAATGACTGAATGAATGGCAACAATATTTAGACCATAAATCAAACGACAATTTTTTTTTTACTGGCAATCAGTTTCAATGGTAAGCATTTACTTCTTGTTTGAGGAACCGATAAGATTGTTGAAAAAATAGAGACACAAGAGTTTGTCACACAATTTATATGTAATATTAATGTGATTTAGATAAATGTAGTTTTTTTATATTAACGTTTAATTTATTTTTGACGATAGCTTATAAAAATTAATTGAATTCAGTAAATTAAAATCATATATTATATTATTTATAGTGTACTGTATTTAATGTATTAACTTATAATTCCATATCATTTATTATTATATACAATATATGTACAGTATATTAATACTATTAAAATAAATATCTTATATAAAATAAATAGTAATAAACAATACTTGATATATTCAATGCAATATAACGTATAATAAAAATTAAATAAATTTTTATTAATATTTCCTCCTATTGTGTAAATTTGTGCCCATTTTATATATTTTAAAAAATTCATTTTATATTTTATTGAATTATTATTAGTAGTTTTTGTTATTTAAATTTATGATATATTTCAAGTTATATATAAATTTATATTATAATAATTTGATTAATAAGATATTATGAATATTTGGAAAAATGTATATTAATATTATTTATTTATATTGTTTGGGACTTAATATCTATTGAATGCACAAAATCAATGGATTTTATGTTTGTTTGACATTTGAAAATAAATGCTAATGTAATTCAAAAGTTATTTTTGCTTTATTTATATCATTTTCTATTATACAAAAAAGTAAATATAATATGATTTAATCGGAGAAACATTTTATTTTTATTTTGATTTATAATGTAATAATCAATAAGCAAAAGGCAACAGAAAATTGTGTCCTATTTTTTCACAACTATTACTACTACTAAATGCATATCTATTTTATTATTGCGAGTAATATATTCACACAACACATCATAATTCAGTCGCTTTAATATATCTATAAGGCTTATAGTGTGTAAGCGTATGAAAAATACATTATATTTATTGTATACTAACTTTCGTTTCACAATTTTTTCTGATAATGTTTTGACTTATGACTGAATTTCAATGTTTTCATACATTTATTGATATATATTTTCACTTAAAATAGATATTTAATATATATATATATATATATATTTCCTTTTTTAAGTATACTTTTCCTAAAAATATTGAAACGTTTGAAATATTATGGTTTTTGTTAAAACAAATAAAATGTAATATTTTCTTTTATGTATAAATAAAGAAAAATATATGTATATATAATTGCAGATTATATTGCTATAAATAGTTGTTAGTTAACTATAAAAAATTGGTGTCAAAACTTTGAGGCCAAAGGTTATGTGTGCACACAATTTAATTGCAAAACTTTAAAAGTTCAAAACCAATATATCACTTAATGTTTTTATTTATTTTTAGTTTAGTTAAGCGATTCATTTCAAACTAAATATTTATGTTTTGCCAATGCATTTGTATATTTATTATCTATTTTAAATGAGTTCTGGATTTTTCAAAAGTTTCTATCATTTTAATGACAACTCATTATATAATTTATTACATTTATATATATATATATTTATAATTTAAAACACAGAGTGGTATCGTTTTAAAAACCCGAAAAGTTTTATTTATGTAATTATTTTTAGTATAGTGTAAACTATTTATTTTATTATTATATCATTAAATTTATTACTTAAACAATATACTGTATAATAATAATAATAATAATAATCACAAATACTTTACAAATAATATAAATAAAATTATATTTATTTTTTTTTAAAGACGATGTTATAATTAAATCAATCTATTATTAACTGTAAAATCTATGAGTTTTACTGAAACAAATGATTATCATTTAATAAGTGCTTCCAATAAAACCTCAAGAATTCCTCGATTTGTTGGCAATAATTTCAATAATAATTGTTTAAATTATACAAACGTTAATCGTTTTATTAATGATTATAATTGTCAAACAATTTTTAAACGATTGGTGAATCTCAATAATAAAGGTTCAAAAATACCTATTTATAAATGGAGACATAGTTTGGATTATAAAAGTCAAAAATTGCAACAAATTGACAGCTCTGTTGTTAATAAACTTTTTGATTGTAATTTATTTGTCAATAGTATTGATAAAATAATCTCAAATGATATAAATGTATCGATCATTGCAACAAATAAATCATCAATTTATGGTTTAACACAACCACTAAATTATCTGAAAGTATTAATTAAAGTAATTAAAAGCGATATAAGTATTGACAATAAGTTTAAGGCTATTAAACAACTAAGAGATCAAAGACTTAGTATTATTGGAGATCAATTGATGGCTGCTTTTAATGATGAGAAAGTGAGGGAATGGGTCGATAGCGGGTATATCAGTAACAATACTAGTATTGCTCAAACACACGATGATGTTTTCGGACCCAATGAACCACAAACTGATACCATAACCGCCAGTACATCGCATTCAACATTACATTCAAGGCTTAGGGATGCCGCTAACCGACGAAGACATCAAAATATGAGAACCAGAGATTTGATAGCAATGAATAGCAAATACAGTAGTTTTAATTCAGACTTTTCAATGTCCAGTATATCAAGTATTGAATCACTTCTCGAATCGAGACGTGAAGATCCTGAAGAATTGCTTTTGGCGTTAGGTTTTGGTTATATTCCCGAAGACCAGACGGCCAATAGAATACCGAAACGATTTCTTGAATCTCCCTCCTATGCCAAAGGAGTCAACAGTGATAGTATTATGTCTACTTATGGACTACAAGATATTCCTCCGAGTCATTCCTCTCCCATATCATTTCCAACTACAGCAGGTTTGTGAATATAATTTGATGACATTAAAAGTGATTGATTTTTATTGGTTATATCTTTTCTTATATTATCCAATTTTTTTCTTCAATGGCTATTCCAATGACTGATTCTTTATTGGCTTTTATCTCTAATCCTATAATTTCTTTTCATAAGACTTGTAAAGATTTACTATTTTAATGATTACTTATTTAACAAATTTGCGAAGAAATTGCATACAAAATAAACACACAAATTATATATTCATAAATCAGATTATAGAGAAAGAAGTTATAGTAGCGGACGAATTGGTGAGCGATTAAGAAAAAGGATGAATAGTAGAGAATCGTTGATGAAAACGGATTTACCGGAGATTATCACCTCTTCTTGCCATTCATTGCTTCAATCGTCGTCTCAAACGGAAAGCATATTAAATCCGGCAAATCGTAAATTTTTGGAAAGTCAGGGCAAAGAGGATGAGCCAAACAAACTGACCACAAAACGACTTATTATTGGAACCAAATCGTATAAATTGGACATCGATGGTGATCCTCTGGCTTTCCCAAAAACTCCTTCACCATCACCACAGGCTACAACTCCAGTACCCAGTGATGATAATTCTATGGAAGTGGTTCCGCAATCAGATGAACAAAATATAATCTATAATAATGACAACTATAATCAGCAGCAGTTTGTCAAACGAAAACAAATACAGAGGCAAAACTGTATTTTAGATCAATCGATTGGTGATCAATTGTCATCGGACTTGTCGTCGAGTACTAACACATTGATTGGAACTGTTTTCAGTGGCAATAATGAAGTGATGGCCAGCGATCCAAATGATTATCATTTAGAAATGATTGATAAACGAAACGCTTTCTCACAGACTAATAGTGATTTTGTGGTACAAAATGATGGCAATAAAGCAGTAGAGGCGGCACTGGTTGTCGCCATTCAAAGTATTAGATTGTCTCTTGAGTTTTATAGACATCAATCGCTAAGATTGGCAAAGATATCTAATTACAAATATAACGAAACAACCGATTTTAATGAAGATGACCTCTTAATTGTCCAGAAGATCCATGAATTGCGAGAACGCATTCATAAAGAGATTGTTGAAATGGATGTCCTTTTGAATCGTCACATACAACTCATCCATACTTACGATGTGGTGGATATGTCTTTCATACCTCAGGCACACGTATTCATTGAAACTGTTAATAAGGTACTGTACTGTACTGTACTGTACTATATATTATATATTATATATTATTTATTAATTTATTAATAATTTAATTAATACAACCATTTAGGTTAAGCAACTGCTCAATGAACAACAAAACTTGTATTTGAAGATTGGTTTTACAAAATTTAATGACAATTGTTAAGCGATTTCTCACAACAATATTTTCATACAGAGTTTTAGATAAAATATACAAAATATAATCTTATTTTTTTATAAATTATATAAATTAAGTCTTATTTAAAAAAACTATGCTTTTATTATTATAGTATTATTTCATTTTTATAACTTCTGTTTAACTCTTTAAATGGCAAAACAATTGAATTCAAAACGATTATTTCGGAACAGATTTGAACGTTTGAACCTTCGATGGAAAAGATATAAAAATATTTAATGATATAATTTGTTAATAATTTAAATATAAATATATATATTATTTATAAAATTATATACATATAAATACTTTATATATTGTTAAAATTGTTAATACAAAAGTAAATGTATATTAATTACCCAAAACACTGATCAACGGATTAAGTTTGCCGTCGCCATCAAAAAGCGTCTGATTATCGATCTTAGCGAAAGCCTTATTCGGGTTGGGATCACATGGAGTTCCCTCGACCCGCGACCACAAACCTATTGTACAATTGCATCCAACAATTGAATGCAATACCAGTGCGTGATCGTTAATGATAGCATTTTTCAATATAATTGATTCTTTAACCCGAACTCCGGCTCCGATTTTGACGCCTTCACTGATACTAACATTTGGTCCGATCTATACAAATGATACGTTAATTTGATAAAAAGTTAGATTACGGTAATATAATAGCATATTCAATAAGAGTCTAAACATACAGTAGCTGTTGCGTCAATGTTAGCGGTCGGATGTATATAGACGTCGCCCACGATTTTCGGTCCGTTTACTGAATTTGAGGCCAAAATTTGAGCATTTGTTTTGCGATAATCTTTCAAATAATTGCGGTTCGCATATATGGCAGAACCGCCAGTTTTTAATTGACTCCACCATTGCTGGCATATTTTGAACACAAAGACACTCTTAGTTTGTGATAAAGGCATCAATAAGTCTTCTTCTAAACTAATGGATTCACTTATGTTGTCACCGCCAAAGATTCCGTTCACACCATTATGATTGGGCATATCGTCTGAATCATTATAACTGATGGCTGACTGTTCCTCATGACGTCTCTTAAATACATCTCCGATGCGATAAAACAAATCAATTTGAAACAAATAAACTCCACAACTAATTGTTGAACTGATATATGTCTGCGGTTTCTCCACATAATGAAGAACCTGATGATTGTCTTTATTCTCGACTATACAACCTATCAAATAATTATAATATAAAAATAAGATATTTATAACAAAATATTAATATAACAAAAATAATGTATATTACAATTAAATTTACAAATAATATTGTAATCAATACATACCATAATTAAAACATTGTTGTCGAGTGGCTTCTGTGGCCATAATTGTGATTAACTTATCGTTAGGAAGTCGTCGATGAAAGTCAAGCATCTCTTTTAAATCAAAGTCTCCACAAACGTCTCCATTGATGAGAAAAACCGCTTCTGGATCTCCAATACGTATCTGATCTCGAAAATGATAGATTCCTCCAGCGGTTCCAAGGGGTTGATACTCTTGGAGATATCGGACACTAATATTATATTTTCTGATCATTTCGTCAATAAAGTGAGTGAATGTCTGTTGCGGATAAAATCCGATAAGAAATATCTCTTTCATGCCATCAACGGTAGAGCACTCCTTAATCAAGTGCTCAACCATCGGCAGACCGGCCATCGGGAACAGTGGCTTCGGACAATCTAATGAAATGGGCCGAAACCGGGTGCCTATTATCACATAACAAACAATATATCATCTGATCTTAAGTATGACAACAATGGTAATTACCCTTTTGTGGTCCACCCATAAGTATGACAGCTTTCAACATAGTTGTTGTCAAATATGTCAATCACCGTTGGGATCAATTGGTTCAAATAGTTTGTACTTAACTAACGTCTAAAGCAATACACGTCAACATAGCATAAGTCATATTACAGTCAATACATAACATATGATTACAACATAAAAACAATGTTTGTGTTGCAGTATATGTAATAACTTTTCAATTTCTATTACTGTTATTAATAATAATTTGCTGTTTTATCACAATTTTAGTTAAAAGTAATTATTTAATATTTTATTTTATAATACTATATTTTTTTATTTAATATAACGATTATTTTATTTAATCTAAAGTAATTTAATAGATAAAAGTTATTTTAAATGTACTTATTTAATATTTACTGTATTCATATGATACATATCTTACAAAATGTTAAATTTAAAATATAATATAATAATAATAATAATAAATTTATTTAAACTAAATTAATGCAAGTTATAGTAATTACTAATATTTAAATTAATAACTAATAAAATTATTGCAAATAAAATATTAGGACTTTATTAAATATGATGATAAAAAATATTTTGTACATTATATACAATTAAATAAAATGTAATTAAAATCTATCGCTTTTTTGTCGGGCGATCTCTGGATTAAATTGTGAGTTATATGTGCGAAGTCTATCGTCCAAAACCACTGCTTCCTTATTCACTTCCTTACCATAGATCAGCTCTTGAGCCCTCTGTCTCTCAGTTTTTTCTCTTTCGAGTCGTTCGGCTCTCAGTTGTTCCAAACTCTTGGACAACCTCTTTGATCGTTCTTCACTAGAACTCGAAGAACTTGAGTCACTTGAATAACGTTTTCTTTTCTTATGTTTCTTGTGTTTCTGTTTCTTATGTTTTGTTGATTTCTTCTGTATCTCTCTCTTCTCAATACTATTTTTACATTTATCTAAATCCTTGCGTTTATCATATTTTTTGTTATCACTGTTTTTATTATTATTATTATTTTTACTTCTCATTTGATCCAAATATTTCTTCATCACTTCAAGTGGATCACTCATGTGTTTCAATTTACTATCTTTGAGTTGTTTTTGTAGATCATTGTTGTCATTGTCATCTTTAATGAGTTTCATGCGTTTCTCATGTGACTCCAAATACCAATTATTGCTGCCATCGATGTCTTTGTCGACCAAATACTTCAATATTCCTGTCTTAGTCTCGAACTCATCTCTCTCTTGTTTAACTTCTTTCTCGTGTTCAATATTTTTGGTCTCAATTTTGTCTCCGACATCCTTAAAGACGCCCAACTTGTGGTCACTATTGTCTGAATCAATGGCAGTGTCTAATGAAGTGAGTCCTCGTCGTTGCCGAAGAAGTGTAACTCTTGCCTCACACTCGGCCTCATCGACCCGTCTTTGTTTAGCCAACTCTTCTTTGCGGGCATTTTCTTCATCCCTGCGAACTCTTTCAATATTATTTCTATTCCTTACGTGCCATGACTTATGTCTTAAGATATTCATAGTCTTCGTCAGCGATGACTAATATTGTGATAAACTATTGATTCAATAATTCAATCGTTTGTTTTCAATACAAAAGCAATACAAGTCACGTGACTTATAGACTATATTTAGCGCTTATTTTAACTTTTTATTATTTAGTTATTTTTATTATAAACTTTTACATTAATTACATTAATTAGTTAATTACTTTTAAATTATTACTATTATTTGTTAATAATTTTACTAAAATACTTTACATTTAAAAAATATATTTGTTTAGTTATAAACGCTTTGAATAATACCACAAAATAAATGGTAAAAATCCATTTCGTTGTCTAAGTTTTTCATTAAATATATTAAAATTGATTTTTTGTAATCGTTTTAAATAATTTTCATTGGCAACTATTGGCAAAAATATTAGTCGATTTTGTCGATCAATTTGTTGAAGTAATTTTCGGATGACATCCAGATGTTGGTTAGCAACAGATGCTAAGTCATAGGATAACTCTAAGAGATTATCGGTTGGATTACCTCTTAAAAAGTCTTCATGAGTTGTCTTATGTTTTACGAGCAAATCCGTGGGTATATAACAGCGATTATATCTGGCATTATGTGTGATACCTCTTAAGACATTGACAATGACCTGCGCTCGACCCAAATGACTGCAAATGTGATCGTAGTTCAGCCTCTCATTGGCCGACACTTTACCGAAAGCTGTCAAACACTCGACGATAATATAATAAACGGGAGTTACGGACGAATCGCCGTATTTTTCTAACTCTTTCAGTGTTTCAAATGGAAAACTGCTTAAACTTTTCGGATTCATTCGGCTTTCTATTAACTTTTTGAACCAATATTTACTTGTCTTGGTTTTGATGGCTAACTATTCAAATAAATATGATATATACTGTATATTAATCCATCAAAAATATGATTAATGTTGAAATCTTAGAAATAAATTCTTGAAATATAATACATGATTTAATTCACAAGCAATCGGTTCATTGGTGTCCTCTGCAGTCATTGGCGATCGACCGGAAAAAATATCGTCAATTAGTTCAGACCAGTATTGAAGACGCATTTGTGCCATCAGGTCTGTTGATGTCATATCCCTCACATGTGATAACTGAGCGTTAAATGATTTGACTGCAAAAGCCGAGCGACGGACGGCCGAGTCTTTGATCAAAGTTGTGGCCAAATATCCCTCGAAGTCATATCTCCTTCAAGTTTAAGATACAAAATATATTGTCATCAAATAAAATTGATCACACATTTGATGCCATACTTAACACAATCGAGACAATAGTGTTGCGGTGATAGTTGTTGTCTACTATTTAGCCGATTATCGCTAACATTAAGTTTGCTTTGATTTGTCAAACATTTACTAAAAGTTTGCAAATTTCGTGAATTAATTATTTGCTGACAAACTTTGATTTTTAATACAAACATTATTTTAATTTATTTTCTTTTAAAGTAATAAATAAATTTATAATGAAATTGTTGTTTTTGTTAATTTAAATATTTGTTAATTATATTAAATTTTATGTTTTAAAATACAGTAAATATATTTAAATGCATTTCAAAATTAACATCACTTTTAAAGCAATTTCATGTATTAATTATATAAAATAAAACAATTATTATTGACATTATATTATACAAACTGTAATGCAATCAAATAGGAGACCATATGTTCACAATTAACGTCATAAATAGTAATCAAAATGTTTGTCCACACGTATTGATTTCATAGTTGATTGAATACATAATACAAACATTATTGATTGTTGACCTATTAAACTATATAAATTAACCTATCAAATATTACACTTATAAGCTAGTCAATTATTTAAATTTAATTAATTAATTATAATTTGATTATTTAATTAAAAAAAAATAATAATACAATATATTAATTGTTTAATAATTAGTTTTAATGGCAATAATATTGAAAAACAATTTGATTGTAAATATAATCAACAAAAATGTGTTGTCGAGAAAAAATCAAATCTCTGGCAATAATATTATAACAATATTATCACTGAATACTTCCCGAAAGTCCATTGAGACCATCATTACATCCAAATTGAAAGATAGCCTAAAGGTTTGGGTCATTGATTCATATTTTTGTCTATAATTATGATATGATTTTTAAAAATTTAGTAGTCAATTGTGATAGTTTATCATGCTAATTTTTCATATTGATTGGTCATATTGATAAATTTGGTTAGAAATGGCATGCTTATAGTTTTCATATGCCTAATGTACCATGCTCATTGATCACCCAAACGTTTTATTTGATCATTGCTTATAATGATATACAGATGTACTATAAATACTATATTTTATTTTTTTGGTAATTATTAAATGTATATAATGTTTGTTTGTTTTGTTAATATTTATGAATTTATAATATAATTTATTTATTTAAATATTAAAATTTGTATCATTAAATCAATTATATATATATTAGTTGCAATAGTTGTGCTGTTTTTAATAAATTGATTTTATTTTTAAAATGATGATCTGTTATACAAAATCCAAAATTATTTAGTTAAGAGAAGAATTAAATGTGAGACCAATGTCTTCAATAATAGACAAGACTAGGGCTGTAATCTCAACAGACAATCACCAGAACGACTGTTCCCGACGTAAGAGTATTAGTGTGTTGGGCGGCGGCGCCTGGGGTACGGCTATTGCAGATCTCATTGGACATAACGTTACTCTCAACAAACACCTGTTCCACGAAGAGGTCATCTTTTATGTCAGGGATGAACACTTGAGATTAATTATAGAGAAGACCCGTCAAAATATACGTTATTTGAGTGCCATTAAACTGCCGCCAAATGTCAAACCGGTGACCTCCCTGAGCGATGCGGTCACTAATTGCGATATAATAATATTTGTAATCCCACATCAATACATTCATTCACTTTGTTTACAAATCAATGATAGCATAGTCTCCACCCGCAACCCGATCGGTATATCGCTAATTAAAGGCATACATGTGGACAATGTCAACAATCTGGAGCTAACCTCACAGATAATCAACAGAATGTTGGGCATTGAGGTCGGTGTGCTCTCTGGTGCTAATATAGCCATTGAAGTGGCACAGAGACAGTACAGCGAGGCTACGATTGTTAATCCGGTTACTGATAACAATAATTGGGAACCAATACTGAGATCACTATTTGAGTGCAATCACTTTAAAGTGTCTTTTTGTAAGGACGGACCAACCGTTGAGATATGTGGTGCCCTCAAGAACGTAGTGGCCATTGGGTGCGGTCTTTCAGATGGTCTTGGATTTGGTATGAACACCAAAGCTGCTGTATTATCGTGTGGTTTGAAAGAAATGATTAAATTTGTCCAACTATTTCATCCTAATTATCAATTGTCAACATTCTTCGAGAACTGCGGTATCGCCGATACAATTGCCAGCAGTTTTGGTGGAAGAAACCGAAGAGTTAGCGAAGCACTGATTAACTCAAATAAATCAATTGATTTACTTGAGAGACAACTATTGGGCGGTCAAAAACTTCAGGGACCGCATACGGCACATGTCGTACATAAGCTGTTGGAACACAAGAATCTATCGAAAGACTTCCCATTTTTTACATCCATTTATCGTATTTGCAACCGATCTATGAATCCAAAAGATTTCATTAATTCTATACAAACCAGACATTGATTTAACTTAATATTAATTATTTATATTAAAATATTTACAACTAATAATTACTTAATGCCATTAAATTGTATTAGCAATTGATTGCAGTGATAACTTGTTTGATATAATAATTTATTATATTATACTTAAATAATAAATTATTTTTCCTAATTTCTAGTCTTTTTTTTAGTTATGATTCTCTAAATAATTTACAAATTGATTGTTATATTGATATTTTTATGCTCATTTTATTTGATACTGCACAATTTTAGTATTGTATAAATTACACAATTGACTACTTATTAGTTATTAAAATCTATTACTGTAATTATTTATTTGTAATAATATATAAAAATGACAATCATTGTATTAAACTTAATGCAAATTGTGATCATTTTATTATACCTAAATAAATTGTTAATAAAAAAACTATAAATGATTGTAAATATCAATTGTTTAGCCAACATATCTCCGTGTAATCAATGAGAGCCATAAGCATAACGTCCCGAAAGGTTCTGAAACTCACTTTCGTGTGTTAATTGTTTCCCCAATATTTGAATCCTTAAACACATTAAAGGTTTGATAATATAATTAAATTGTTGAAAGTATTTAACATTTTATTTATAAAATATATTTCGTATATAATTATCCATTTATAGCGACATCGTATGGTTAATGATATACTCAAAGAGCAATTGTCAACAGGTATTCACGCCCTCGCCATTCAAGTGCTGACACCCGACCAGTGGAAAGACAGTGACAATCGGATGAATGAATCGCCCACTTGTAGGGGAGGAATGGGATTATGATTTCATTTATCTTATCCAACTTGAGATTAATATCATAGTATTTTTAATTAATTAATTATTTCTATGAATTAATTGTGTTATGTAACACTTAATTATTAAATATAAATTTATGATATAAAATATTTAAGAATTAAAAATAAAATAATATTAAAATTTGTTAGTTTTTTTTGGAGTACAACCTAATCGTAATCACCAAAAATATTTGTTATCACATGGACTAACCCAACCCACCTTTATCTTAAACGCAATTGAATTTGTGGTCTATTTAATAACGTCTTCTACAGCTAATAGTATGACTGTCCCAAACCAAACATTTAATATACATTATATCAATACAAATACAAAGTGCCAAATAATATAAGTTATATTTTTTGAAAACTTTTGAATAATAATATTATATATATTATTGAATATTAATAATACATTTATGTATTCAAATAGTTTTATTAATTAATTCACAATTCATTTGGTTCTTAATATTTGTAACAATCAAATGAATTGATAATCAAATTTCTCATAAAATTTATTCATTTTTAAATGTTTTGTTTGTTTGATATAATCAATGAGAAAAAATTAAAGGAATAATAAAATATAAAAATCATTAATACTTTAAAAAAATAAAAACAATTAGATTTACGGTTTAATGTATAGTACATGTACTGTACAAATAAATAATTTATATTATATAATAAATAATTATTTATATGAATATATGAAATAATAATATTGTGATTTTTGTACATTAAAATGATTTTATAAATAATTTCAACTAAAGCTTATCATTCAAACAAATTTATTTACAATTTTTTAAAAATCAAGATAATAAATTTTTTATTTATATTCATTAATCATCAAATAAATCAAATTTTTGTTACTATAGTAATGTTTTGTTTTAAAATTATCCGATCAACACTTTTTTATATTTGAGCATTTAATTCAAATAATAATGATCTTATAATTTTAGGATTTTAATATTTTTAGCAAATTTTAAATTAAAAGATTACTTTTTAAAAATTAGCATAATTGGTAAATATGGATTAATTTGGTTTATTTTTTAAACATATTTTATTTATAAATATAATAATTACTTTTAAATAATAATACTAATAATAAACATATTTATAATATATAAAATTTTATTAATTTTTTTATAGTTTACCCGTAATCTGACTAAAAATTATTAATAGATTATACATTGTTTTTTATATGATTTTTTTACATTTAACAAAACATCTAATTATAAATTTATGATAAATAGTATCAAAGATATTATAAAAATATTTATTTGTTGCTTATTATTGTTATTTAATTTGTGGTTTCAATAGTTTATTGAAAATGTGTGCACTTCTAGAGTGCACTTTAAGATCATTATATTTTATTACATCACAAGAGCATTACATACATGTATTCAATAATAAGAAAAAAAGACTTTCACATACAATAGAGTACTTAAAAATAATAATAATAAAAAAAGATTTGAATCAAATATTTACAGTTATATAAATAAATTTAGTTATTAAGGTGTATATTATTAATAGAAATTTTCATTGAGTGATAGTTGTTGGACAAGTTTTTTCTGTTTTATAAATAAATTTTAATGTAATGTTTGCATAGTTATAGTCCCCCCGACACACAAACTTTCATTTCACTGCTGGCTTTATTGCAGTGAAGATATTGTGTCTTTAAAAAAATGTTTCATTAGTAGTAATAGTATTATTAATATAATTATTTTGTAGTTATGTTAAGCCATTAGTGGTATAAAATTTTGTATATTATATTATTAGTTTTTTTGTTGTTGAAAAAGTGATTTACTATACAGCTGTCAAATTATTGTCATAAATATTTTCATAATACTTCGGAAAAATTATTGAAATACTTTAATTTTATTTTCTAAAAATTTTTCTAAAGTTTTATATTATACTAAAACTTAAATTACAAATTCATAATATAATACTATATATATAATAGGTTTTAAATATAACAATTGAATCTATAGTAAGATTAGTATATTTGTATGCTTTGAAAAGTGTAAGAAAAGCGGTGCAGTGTTTTCATAACCTACTGAAGAGGAGGACAATGACACCGACAACTGGGAGTACCACCCGTTTGTATGCCTTCTCGATTGTATTGTTTTATGCCTGCAATTGTTGTCTTGCAATCAAATATAATATTTGGTTCAAATATCCGCAACCCTTTACCCCATCGCAACCGTTAATCTATTGTAAAGAAAATGCCACCGAATTTAACGTCACTGCACCCGCCAGTCAAGTCAACTGTACCACTCAGATACCCATTTATGTCAATACACTGGACTCGGAACGGGCATATATACCATATTCATACAATCAATTTGATTTTTGTCCGTCCATTGAGGGCTTTGAATACTCTGAGTCTGACTTTATTGAATGGGATGACAGAATATTTAGGACATCCTATGACATAAAGTTCCTCCGCAACGAACAGTGCCGTCTGCTCTGTAAACGGCCTTACGATTTGAGCCGAATCTTTGACATCCATCGGTTAAGTGTCACAAAAATGCTGATGAATAAAGAATATTATCTTCATCTGTTTGCCGATAATTTTCCCATTTCCTGGTGTTTCAATCAAAATCCACTGGACTGTTATGTTGGCGCTCCAGTAGGCTATTATGTGGACACAAACGGAAATCCTAATGACCAGAGAATCAAAAAGCGAAGCGACACCAAAACCGATACTTTTTATTTGTTTAATCATTTAGACTTCACATTTATCTACGAGAGCGGAGTGGGAAAGTCGTGGGGCGACAGTTTGGGTGATAAAGTCGGTCGCATTACAGCTATCAAAGTCCGACCCCGAAGTATACGCCACGAGAAAAACAATTTCAAGAATTGTGCCGTCGACTCACCGCTTCTGGAGATACCCAACCATTTGAACTATTCGTCCGCATTTACTGTCTATCACTCCTATTCCGTTACATTTATCAGAGATGATACCACCGGATCTGACAAACGCTGGAATCAACTATTGTCGACACTTTCCGATGCAAACTCTGGCAAATGGTTTATATTAACCGCTCTTTTAATTGTTATTTTGTTGGCCATTCCCTTCACTTTCATCTTTTCGAGAACTATTCTCACAAAACACGAACTGTTCGGTTGGATCAATAGTAAGCCATTGTCTAATCCTAACTCTGGCTGGCAGTCCATTGCAAATGATATCTTTAGAAGTCCTAAATATCCGCTAATGTTTTCCTCATTTATCGGTAAGATATGATAATAATTAAATTATTTAATTATCATTTGATTATTTTATTTAGTTTTTTATTTATATGAAAAATGATTTTGAATCAAATAATATTATTTTATTTTAGTATTCATTACATTATAATTATACTGTATATACAATGAATAGTTTTCTCTCAATGTTTAGTATAAATTTTTATTATGAAATAAGGCTAACCTTAATGCTGAAAGACGTAAGTTGTAAATGTTATTATATATAAAAAAAACATTTTTCTTAAATATGACATAAATTTCATTTTAGTTAAATTTGAAATAAGTTTTATTAAAACATAATATACCTGTAACTAAATACAGTATATATGATAAAACAAGATTTGGTCAAAAATCTAGGAATTTATTATTTAATAATATTTATGCAAATTTTAATTACGGTATTCAACTAAAAAAAATTATTTCAATATTTATTTATAATAGAAAATTGTTTTTTTTTCAATTATTAAGTGAGCATTAATTATAACTGAAAAAATCATAAATACAATTTGCTTGTTTTAACATAGAAAAATATATTTAAATAAATTCAATATTATAATAAAAACTAAATAATTATATATATATATACAGTGATTATATGAATTTTTAGAGTAAATTATATACAAAACTTTTTTTTTATTAATATATTAATAGGAAGTAAAGATTCATTTGATTAAACATGACTTTTAAATACAGTATAATATGATTATTTAGATAAAATAATCTATTAGTTTTGAAAAACTAAAAAGACTTACTTTCCCTTAAAACTAATTGAGTATTTAAAAAAATATATAATTTTATATAATACAATAAAACAATAAATTAATGGTTCATAGAGTTAGTTAATTTGTTTATGGTTTTAAAAATGAATTTTACAACAAATATAATATTTACATAAAAATTAGTCATTTAATATCATATAAGTCTATAATTGTGTTATTTTTAAACACTAATTACACTTTAATAACATTTATAGTCACCTAAAAAAAATTTAAAATATATTTCAATTATATTGAAGGGTCTGGTGTTCAATATATATGCTGCTTAGGTGTGGTTGAATTTTTGGCACTTCTCATCCATTTTTCCACATCACTGGTCTTAATAGTTTTGGCCACCATTTTGATGTTGCTTTTTGTCGGTGGTATCGGTGGTTACGTTTCATCCCGTTTTTACAAAAGTTTTGGTGGTCAACAATGGAAGTACAACTGTTTATTGACGGCTTCTCTGAATCCAATAATGTTGACGGCCGTACTATTTTTGGCCCGAAATTTCTTGCTTATGGAACAGTCAAGTAGTCTGGCATTTCCAATAGGACTGACCGCATCGTTATTTATTTTGCTGATCAGCTTTGGGTTAGCTCTGCCATTAACATTTGCCGGCGCATACCTAGGCTTTAATTATCAAACAACTATTGAGTACCCGCTCCGTCCGATTGCCAATATTAGAGACATACCGAAATCCAGTGTTTACAATATGCTACCCATTTATCTGATGATGACAGGATTGTTCCCATTCATAGCCGTGTGGATGGTAGAAAACTACCCGTTCTTCAATTCGGGTGAGTTTATAATGACCTCAGCGTCTATTACAATATGCATACAAACGGCTATCTGTGCGACATATCTTAATATAATGGATGAAAACCACGAGTGGTGGTGGCGGGCATATCTCGGCACCGGATTTGCGGCCGTCTATTATCTCATTCATTGTATTTGTTTTATCGCAACCACTATTATCATCGATGATTTGATTTCCGGATTGCTATACACCTTCTTTGCACTCGTATTATCAGTACTACTGTTCTCAATGATCGGTACGATAGGCTTTATCACCAGTTTTGCCTTCATTTGGATGACATACTCATTAAATAAGCCAAACACTGATATCGATTATTCGACATTTCCTGAGGCAACATAACTGACCTTTTGTTTGTCTTATTTAACATTATATTAATTGTATTTTTATTATAAAAATCGCAGATTTAATTAATTTTCAATTTATTTTTATATAATGGTATTTGTATGTCATAAGTTATAAATTAAATAAATAAAGTTTACAACTGTTGATAATTACCTAATTTTGAAAAGTGAAAAATGTAAAAACTTAATGACATAAAAGTTTATTTTGTAAATACATAAATAAAAGTTTGTTTAAATAAAAAATTACAATATAATTTTTTGTGCTTTATATTTTTTAATTTGCTAACAGATTAACTGTTGATTTATTGATATACATAAAAGTTTTTGATAAAATAATTAGCAAAATAATTAATTTTAAATATATCTTATGTAGAGTTTACAGGTATATTGAAAATATTAATTATAAAATTTTAGTCCATATTGTTGTTAAGTGCAATACACCTATTGTTACCAGTTTTTGATATACAATAAATATAATATTTATACAATAATACTATTTATACTTTATACACTGTTTTTATTTTACTGTATAATTGTATAAATTTATACAATTGTTTTGGTATATTATGTTTAAGTGTTATCAAAATGTTTTTAACTATAAGAGTACTAAATAATCACTCGTCTATGAATTCATTTTATGCATTAAATGTTAATTTATATCAATAAAAGTATAACTCTGTTATATTTGAGTTGGAAATTTAAATTTTACTAAAAAAAATTATTGTAATTTAAGGTTACTTATAATAAAACCGTAATTTTGGAAGTGTTTTACTAGAAAAAAGTTATAAATATTTTACATTCATATATATATATATATACTTATAGTTGTATAAGCAGTTAGTTTGAAATTTTTGAAATTAATTTTTATTTGTCTCACTAAAATAGCATAATAATAGGTTTAACATTATATTATGCAGATAATTATGATATGTTTTGTGATAAAAATATAATGTAATAAAGTTATATTTATACACACAGTATATATGGTTTTGGTCAACAACTTTATTTTAAAATAAATTTCATTATTTCTATAATTATATTACAAATATAGATGTTTGTATAGAGTAGATAACTTAAAAATACAATTTGTTAACAATAGAAATAATAATAATAATAATAATAATAATAATAATAATCCATTAGATATGATTAAGATGTAATCAAATTTCATATTTTATGTAAACTTAATATACTCTACTAAATTGTAAGTATATTATAACATGTTTCTAATTTTATTTATATAATATATTATTTTTAATTTATTTAAATATTAGATTTATTAAATATTAATTAAATTTTTTAAGTTTATTAGTTTTTTATATTATTTATTTTATATTATTTTATATTATAGTTATTTATAGTTTATTAAATAAAAAACTACTAAATAATATTTACATAATTACTTTGCTATTTGTATTATTAGTTGTATTAGTTTTTGTATTTTTTGTGACATTTAGTTTACTATCCATTGAAAGTGATAAAAGCAATTCAATCATAAACCGGTTGACAATTAATGCAACAAATAATGAGTTAAAATTATCGATTGATGTAATCTCAGTATTACAATAATAATCATTTTCAGGCAATTTTTTAAATATTTCTGTAAATAAATCAATAAATCAATAAATATTGAATATTAATATTTAAAATATACTTTAAATTAAACAAAATATACCGTCAATAACTATGATAATGAATTTGACAAAACTGGTTATTGTCGACAAAATTACCGCTGAAATGAAAAGATTAAACGCAAACTTTTTGTTACAGACCAACAAACCCAACGGTGCGATAATAGCCACAAACAATGATATATAAGCCAATAGAGTCCACAAAAAAATATATCGAAAATCTTTTTTATGGATCACTTCTTGACGACTGTCGTCGCGAAAAACTTTTGACAAAAACAAATGTAATGAATGCAAGGCGTGAACAGTGCTCAAGAAGAATAGCTTCCACTTTGGATGAACTGTTGGGACGATATCAATGGTTTGATGGCAATTGTGATGACAATTATGTATGAATAAGTTATTTATTGAATCGATATAATAGATGTAAAAACTGATTAAAATTAAATTTTCTAAAAGTCTTCGGCGAAATGTTTTCGTAAAATAACAGTCTGTTTCTTGAAATTCATGTGTTATGTTAGTGTTAGACATGAAATTCAAATGTTTTTTATACTCATCTTTCACTAGAAATTAATTTAATATATTTTGAAAACATTAAACCTGTTATATATGTAAAAATACTTATGTATTGTATTGTACTGTTGTATATATTTTTATATACTGTACAAACCGTTATTAAAAGAAAAACAATAAATATATATTGAAAATAACAGATCGGCAGCTGTGAAGACCAGAGTTGTGGCCAACAGTTTGTTTGAGTTTAGGACAGCAGAGATATATCCGATGAGTGCAGTCAATAGACGGGTAATTACTGCAATCCTCCAAATAATATCCGAAAATGTAAGCAAACGGTTGGCATCAAAAAATGATACCCAAAAGTAATAGATTGATATCACAAATAATATGAAACTGAGAATAGCTATAATATAAACATGTCTTTTATCATTTTTATGGGTCATCTTTAAAGAACTAATATAATTGTTAATTAATTGTTTTAGTTTATAAATAGTAAATCATATAAATACACAAAAATTATAGTATAATAGATTTGTATATCAAATATACTATTGTAATAAAAATAAATTTTTAAAATAATAATAACATAATATTCTGTTATATATTTATTTTGATTGTCTCGTAAAATATAGAATTGTTAGCAAACAAACAAAAAACTATATCACTATAGAGTAAATGATTGTAAATTTTTTTACAATTTGTTTGATTCACATAAATATTTCAGTAAAATAAATAAATATTTTATAAAAATATCTAAATTTAATTACAATTTATAAAAAATAATTAAAATTGTATAAAAACTCAAAAACCTTTCTTATTATTAAAAGTTGATTATATAATACAATATGTATTTTATCATTCAATACATACTGTAATCAAGTTTTGTATTGAAATGCAATTATCTTTTAAAGACTTAATGTATAGAAAATATAATCAATTATTTAAATAAATTGAAATTTTAATTAATATTTTTTTCCATTAATTTCAAAACTGAAAACATTTAATAATTTGTTTCACAAATAATAAGTTTAATATTTATTATAATTTAGTCATATATTGTATAAACTTATGGACCAAATGGGGTGACATCTTGTGGTGTTATTGTTATGATTGTATGAAACAATTGTTTGATTATTAAAAGGTATTATTGTTTTGTGAAATCAATTGATCCAATGATGACATTATCTATGAATTTGGTGATAGTTTAAGACACAAACAGACAGACAATGATTGTGGTCAACGAAAAGCTGATTCCGTCGGCAAAGACTTATTGTGTGATTCGTGATCTGGATTTGGATGCAATCGAGAGATTGGATTTACCGGCCATTCGACCCATTTTGCCGACACTCGTACGTATGGGTTGGTGCGTACCGCTGGACACGAGTGACCACTGGTCACAGCAGCGTAAAAATATCCAGAAGATGTTGTCGGGTATTGAAGTAATTAATAATATCGTCCACTTGTTGTCCATCGACTTTCATGCCCTCGAAATGGATGTCCGTAAAGAGCAACAGTTGCGGTTCAAAGTGGGCGTTGCGGCCAATGACTCGCTGTTGATATCGGCGCTCACCGATGGTTTGGCTCTCGAGTTTGAGCGCTGCGATGGCATCAAGAAGTTGAGACTCTTATTGAGTGAATTGATTTCTTTGATGGCTTTCGTTCGGCAAACTGTTTACCAAACGCAACAACCAGTGACTGGTCTCAGACCATCGGAACTGTTCGACAATGAAGTCTATTTGGATGAAGTGTCGGATGTACTGTGTATTGCAATTTCTGAATTACCCAATACTTTGCTTATACATGAAGTCATCGAAGCTTTGTTGCACGTGAAGAACGGTACGGCTTTGATTTGCCGAATTGCCGCCAATTTTACCGATAGTTTTGCTGATATTTGTCTCACACTGTTAAACAACGGCGATAAACAAGAGGACGAGTCATTCTGTGGCCGAACCCGAATGACAGCACTGAGACTGTTATGTCAAATGAATCCGTCGGACGCGTTGACTGTAAGGTCAGAGGCCGTCGACATGTGCCGAATGCCTAGCCTTACAATTATGTTGACATTAGATTACATTCAAAACAAACATAAATCAGCCGATTATTTGCCACAAACCGATATCGTGTCCTTTATTAACGGTATTTTGTTGGGTAATGACGATAGGATAAGAAATTGGTTCTCACAATATATCCGAAGTGGTCAGAAATGTATGGAACAAATGAGACCAACAAGTTTGATAGATCTCCGTTCGGAACTATTGAAAAGTGTTAATCTATTGGTCGAAAATGGACTTAAATCGGAAGGTAGTCTCGAGTCTGGTGTTTCCGATGCCTGTGTTTTGATCCGATTGTACTGTGCATTGCGCGCCATCGCCAACATGAAGTTTACTGATGAAGAGACCAACGCATTGATTTCATTGATAATATGTCGGCCACCGGCCAATCAAATTGGCATAAGATTTGTTTCATTAGGACTCTGTATGATATTATCATCACCTTTACTGATCAGCTCCGCTGACAATGAAAGCAAAGTTATTCAATGGATCAAATGGTTGGTCAAAGAGGAAAGTTATTTTGGACGCTTAACTGATGTCAAGTCATCGTTCGGTGAAATGTTACTATTGATTGCAATTCATTTTCATTCAAACCAATTGCCCGCAATCGGTGAGTTGGTATCATCGACTCTGGGCATCAAAATACCCGTCCGGACCAATAATATGAATAGAATTAAAGTGATTTTCACACAAGAAATATTTATTGATCAAACAGTGACCACACATGCCGTCAAAGTACCGGTCACACAAAACCTAAACAGTTCAGTGGCCGGGTTTCTACCCGTTCACTGTATCTACCAATTACTGAAAAGCCGTGCTTTTACTAAACATAAAGTTCCGATAAAAGACTGGATTTTTAAGCAAATATGTAATGCCGTCGCACCGATTCATACAATATTTTTACCCCTAATTGAGATCTATGTCAACTCTATCATACATCCCAATCCTAAGGTGGCGTCCAATACGACAAACGAACCGTTTTCTGAGGAAGAGATTCTATTGATTTTCAGACATAAAGTTTATTCACATGAAGACGATGACGAAAAAATTGATTTTAACGACATTAATGATACTATTGTTTCGTGTCCTCTGACATCGCAACTGTTGCTTCTTTACTTTGTTTTGCTTTACGAAGATAATCGGCTGACATATCATTCAAAGAATGTTTCGTCAACCGAACGAAAGATAATGAAGTATTCGCCAGAATTTTTAGCACAGATTCCCATCTTTTATTTGATCCAATCGGCCCGATATGATCAACAAAATTACGGTGCGATAACATCACCGCTTTTGCGTCTTATTGCTCACCACTATCCACATCTGTGTCTCGTCAAAGACTGGTTGTCATCAGAATTATCTTCACATAAGAAAAAAGAGATGACATATAAATCGCAACAGATTTCAACAAAAAAAGAAAGAAAACTATTTGAAAACTCATTTGAGACCAATTCGCCATCGATTATAATTTCAGAATTGGATCGCCTCATGACTTTGCCGAAGACCCATCTTTGGCCATTAGCTCCCGATTTTATATTAAAACTACCATCGTTATTTTGTCGGTCGACACCACGAAAACTATGTGAAAAAGCAAAGATAGTATGGTTTGAGTTAAACTCAATATTTCCGCGCAAACTATGGGTGATGACAGTTAATGTTTTGAGGCCCAAACTGTTTGGTTTCGCCCCGAAGACTCAGTCGCTTACGTGGAGTGACATAATGTCCGATCCTTTGCATGTACTTCGATGTGATGAACGCATCTTCAGAAATGCCGAACTTATGGAAATTACGTTACATATGTTGAGTGCATTTTTGGCCGCTTCGCGCATAAATCTGTCCCATCATCTAATGGAAACAGTGTCCAAATCTCCAGACGAAGAAAAAGATAGAGAAGAGTTGAGATCAGCTTTGCTTACAGCACAAGAAAGTGCTGCCATTCAGATACTTCTTGAGTGTTGTATCGCCAAACCCGAGGAAATGGACACTAATTTGTTAACTAATTTACGTGAAGTTCAGGGATTGATATGCAGTCATTTGCATCAAGTGTTCATCAGTGATACAAATATCGCAAAATTAGTTCACTTTCAGGGCTATGACAGCGAACTTTTACCGCTAGTTGTGACCGCTATCCCGTCAATGCATATCTGTCTCGACTTTATACCCGAACTATTAGGACAACCGGATCTTCAAAAACAGGTAATTAATTAAAAATATATTTATAGGTATTTCCTTATTTCTTTGTATATCAATTAAAAATAGATAGTTGTCTTGAGGTAAATGAGTCTAAATTTAACTCATTTGTAATTAATTGTTTCCTTATTTTTTATTAGGCATTTGCTATTAATTTATGCTCCCATTTATGCAAACAATATTCAATAACGAAATCATTCAATGTATCTAAATTGTGTTTCAACGTTGCGGTCACACTCGTATCGGTACTGCCCAGCGATAAAAGGGCGCCGTTTTTCACTAGTATACTACCAGCGCTCGTCCAGATGTGCGCACCGTTTCCTCTACTTTGCGAAGACGCCGTCAAACTATTGATTCAATTGTCACAAATCAATATGTCGTGTTTGGCCTCGACTTCTTCGCACTTTATGTATCCCGAGGCCACTCTCAGACAGTACAACAAAAAACTTGAATGTCTTAATTGGCAACAACTCAACGACCATTTTTCCAATCTTCCCATTGAAGACTCACTTTCTTTATGTATTCAAAAAGCATTTATAAGTTTATCAGATCTACCATTCATTAAAAAGATTTATTAATTATATATTTTTTTAATTATAATACTTCATATTATTATTTTATTTTTATGTTACCGTAATATTCATTATTATTTAAGTAATTTTACGGTAATTAAAATTGAATTATTTCCATAAGTTAAATGTTGAATTTGTTTTGTTTTTTTAACGAAGTAAATATTAAGTTTAGTTTAATCTAATTGTAAATTAAAATAAATGTCAGCTGAGTTTATCATATGATAATTAATTACTGTATATAGTTATCAAATTTGTAAAAATTGATTTTTTTTGTCGATATCTTGTATTAAATTTTATTTTTTAAGCAATAATTATAAAATAAATGCCAAATTGTTTGTCACATTTGTGTTATTCATATTTTTTATCAAAATCAATAAAAAAGAGATAAAATATTATCAAAAGCAATGAAAGTTAAATTCTTTTATAAATATTTGATTGAATTTAATAAACCATCAATTGTTGAGTCACTGTATGTATACACTGTTGTGCCTTATGTTAAACATACAGTTATTTGTAATAAATTATTATTAATGACAAATATTTAACTAAAAAATAAATAAATTACATATTTGTTTTAGTATACTTTAAATTGCAATTTATTTTATGAAATTTGTTTATAATAAATATATTAATTTGTTTGTGCATTTTTTTTATATACTGTAGTTCATATCATAACATACTGTATTACTGTAATTAACTTTTAAGTATAAATAAAAATTAATTGTTTTGTTTTATACTTTTATAAAGATTACAATATTGAGATAATACATAAACTTGACTATAGGTTACTTTTGGTATAAAATAAAAATTGAAATTAATTTTATAATAATAATTTAATTTTAATAAATGCAAGTTAATGGAAATTAATATATTAATAATCAAATATTAATTTTGATTTATTTTTATTAAAACATTTTTTGAATATATTTTTCTTATTATTAATTATAATCTTCTACAGTATATACTGTTATATTATATAAATAAAATACTCAATCACTATATAACACTATCGTATATTCTACACAATAGGTAAGTGTTTGTGTGTTTTGTAATTTTATTTGTAATTATGATTATTTAAATATTTCTCTGTTAACTTTTTGTCTATACATATAATGACATATATAAAAAATATGCATGGTAATATTTGAATAATAATAATAATACTAGAATGAATATGCTTAATTTTCCAAATATTATACACTAATATTAATTTATTTTATTTGTAAATTTAATTATTGAATATAATGAGTAAAAGTTATGTATAAGTATTGTATGTATTAATGACGTCAGTTAAACACTGGATAGACATTGGCTTTGAATTAATATAAAAGTCAATCAATGCTTTCAATGCATTCAAACAACACTTTAAACGCTTGTAAACACATGTCTCTCACTCTCTCTTTACTATATTATTGCTAACAATTAATTGAATGCACTTTTGCTATCAATTTGTTAATTGTTTAGCAATTATTTGAAACACAGATATAATTAACTGAAGAAAAAATAGTGAAAGTAGAAGAATATGTCACAAGAGATTACCACTAATGGCTGCAAAACTAATGGCCACACGAACGGACATTCGGCCATTTCGGAAACATTCCTCTTTAGTTCGGAATCGGTAGGCGAAGGACATCCCGGTATGTATTGACCATCCGATGACTCATTTGTCTATATATCAACTATTGTATTACTAATTGGGTTTTTGTGGATCAATTGATTAATGTCTTGATTGTAATGATTTTTTTTTATTTGTCTAAATAGACAAAATGTGTGACCAAATAAGCGATGCCGTACTGGACGCCTATTTACGACAAGATCCCGAATCGAAGATTGCTTGCGAAACGGCCACCAAATCAGGACTTATTGTAGTGTTCGGTGAGATTACGTCCACTGCAAGTGTGGACTTAGATTCGGTTATCCGCGAAACGGTTAAGAAGATTGGTTACGACGACCACACAAAAGGTAATACATTTTTATTGTGAAAATTAATATTAAGATATTTTCAATTAGTTTTATTTTAATAAAAATTCTATACATTTAAGTACACAAAAAAATGATTAAAATTAATGATAATAATTAATGTAAATAACATATTACAACAATTTTGTAACATTTTTTTTATTAATGTATTTATATTCAAGGATTCAATCGTTTATATTAATGATGAATATAAAAATATTAATTTTTTCTCTTAGATTTGCTAATATATAGATATATTATAAATGATTTTCTTAATTACAGTAGTTTTTATTTTTCTTAATAATTGCTTTTATAAACTGTATGTATAAATGACTTGATTTTTCAATTTTACAAATTCCTTATTTTTTAAAATTATATATTCTTTATGTATTTTAATAATTATCAAATTTGATGTTTAAAATTGATTAATAATTTAAATTTAAAAAGATTAATTATAGTGTTATAACATTAATATATTAAGGGCTAGAATTTTAACATTTCATTTAAAATAATAATTGCTTATTTTGATACCTTCAGTGGTTTTCTTTATAACAGGTAATTTAAATATAATTATTTTTTAAAAATAGGAATTGACTACAAAAATTGTGAAGTTTTAATAAAAATGGATAAACAAAGCCATGAAATAGCTTCGGGTGTTCACGTAAACAAAAACATTGAAGATATCGGTGCTGGAGATCAGGGACTTATGTTTGGCTACGCAACCGATGAGACCGATGAGTGTATGCCATTGACAGTTGTATTGTCGCGAAAACTAAATGAAAAGATGGCTGAACTTCGAAGAGATGGTACGTTTTGGTGGGCCAGACCTGACTCTAAGACACAGGTGACCTGTGAGTATCACTTCAAAGATGGTGCGGCCATTCCAGTTCGAGTCCATACGATTGTAGTGTCGATCCAGCACTCGGATGACGTTGAGCTAGACTTTCTCAGAAATGAGATAATGGAAAAAGTTATAAAAGTGGAGATTCCCGAAAAATATTTGGACACAAAGACTGTTTATCATATTAATCCTTGTGGTAAATTTGTTTTGGGTGGACCAGCTTGCGATGCAGGTCTAACTGGTCGCAAGATTATTGTCGACACTTATGGTGGTTGGGGTGGACACGGAGGTGGTGCTTTCTCTGGAAAAGACCCTACTAAAGTGGACAGATCTGCAGCTTATGCGGCCCGTTGGGTGGCCAAGTCGTTGGTGGTATCGGAACTTTGCAAGAGATGTCTGGTCCAGGTTTGACATCAATGACTGACTCTTTGATTAGCGTATAAAATGTTAATAAATTTTTATTGTCTATAATAGGTGTCATACGCTATAGGAATTGCCGAACCGCTGTCTATAACTGTATTCACTTACGGAACGTCCCAAAAGAGTCAGAAGGAATTGGTTAATATCATTAAAAACAACTTTGATTTGAGACCCGGTATTATCATTAGGTTAGTCATCCCTTTAGTACTTACGGTATTTCGTAATTATATTAAAATGCTAATGATAAGCAATTTTTGTAAATATGCAATTTCATTGTTAAATTAACATTAAAAATAAGTTTATAGCACTAATTATTATTTTGAAGATATAATTGTTTAATAGTAAACTTATATTATTTTCATAATTACCTGTAAATCTGATTTAATATAACAGGGATTTGGATCTAAAGAAGCCGATATACCAGAGCACCAGTGTTTACGGTCACTTTGGACGCGTAGACTTTCCCTGGGAAGTTCCCAAACACTTGATTTTTTGATGATTGAACAAAATATTAATTATTTAATAAAAAAAACATTAATCGAAATGATTTTTTATATACATTTTAAAAATTGTTTAGACAATATATTAAATTTTTGAGTTTTATAATATAGCAATAATTTTTATTGTATCCATACAAATTATAATGATTCATATTAAATTTAGTTTATATGAATTATCTGTAATATTTTTTGAAAGTTTATTTTGAATATGTATTTTGTTTTATTACTGTATACACAATAAAAGTTTTTTTTAATTCTATTTTGATTGATTTTTTAAATAGTTTAACATAACTTTTATTTTAATTAAATTTTATTATAAGCATTAACAATTACCGATACTCTAAATGTTTTATTACTTTTCTTATTTGTATCTATTTATTGACTTCAAATACATTGTTTATTCCATTAATTTTAATCACATTATTTTACTAGAATTATATAATAAGTACTGTAGAAGTATAATACAAGTAAATTTTAACATTTAAAAAACAAATTAATTTTAAATAAAATTAATAAAAATGTACTTATATGTACTAATAAAAAACATAAAATTTTTAATTGTGCTTGTTAGATAGTTGTTATTAAACGTGACTATTATAGTAATTATGCAAATTATAAGTTAAAGTTAATACTATACTGACAAGGTTAATTTGTAAATAAACTAAAACATAAGTACAATTACAATAAATTCTAAAAAATATATACATGTTAATAGTTAATTATAATATAATACAAATTGTAAGTTTAATTTACGTGGATAGCACTTATAGAAACAATTATTTTAGTTGATTTGTGTACACTAGTGTTTAGGTACTCACTTATACTTTTTCGGTATAAAAGCTTATTATTATTATTATTATTATTATTATTATAATAATAATAAAATTTACTTATAAATTTACATTATATATTAGGCATTTATCAAAAAATCTATCACTGATAGCACTAATAGCAATGACTGGTTATAGACATACCAGTGCTTTAAGCTGTATGACTGCAATTTGTGCTCATGAAGTGGTACTAACAAGTAAGTCAATACCGAAGCACTATAGTGTCCACAAATCAACTAAATAATTGGTGCTATAAGTTACAATTTACTTAAGTTAAACTTAAAATTTTTATTATAATTTGTAACATCAACTTTAAAAATCTTAATACAGTGTATTATAATTGTTTTTTATATTAAAATTAAATATTTTATAACTTTTTTAGAAGATTTATATATTTAGTTATTACAGTCAAAAATAATTAAATATAAGTTTCAATAGGAGTATCGTCTGAGACATTGTTGAGGTCTGGCGTCAATTCCTCTCGTTTTTTGTCACATTAGTGTTACGGGTATTAGATATATATAAAGCGCACTACAGGTTATATCCCGCTGTGTCTTAGCTTTTATTACACAAATCAAAGCAGTTTCATGTGATCGCAAACTTTTCCCGTTATTTACAATACCGTCCCGTTTGAACCAAACCTTAGATATTGATTTTTAAAAATATCAATTTGTCTTTAAATTTAAAAATTAAATTTATTAATTTGTTTTTATTTTGTTTAATTTAGTTAACTAACATTTGAATGTTTGATTGAATTAATTTATTTAAAAAAAAAGTTTAAGTACATAAAATAATTTATTAAATTACAATAATTTCATTTCATTAGATTATTTTAATTATTAATTTTAAATAGTGATAATGAATTTTTTAGTTTCTTAATTTAATAATGAATATATACTGTTACAGTATTACTGTATTTGAATGAAAAAATAACGGGACAGGATTTTAGACAAACCCAAAATCTTCAATATATAAACACTAATTTCAGTAATCTTTTAGACGGTACTGAAAATAGGTATTCATCTTCACAGGTATGAGTGTGCGAACCCACCAAACGCTGTAAAATACATTTATATATATATTCTATAAGTATTGTAATCAATAGACAAATTCCCATTATATTACAAAAATGTTTTTCTCATGTCTTTCATTTAAACATTTTTTTTACTTAATTCAAAGTTGAGTCTTGTTTAGTATTGAAAGACCAGAAAAAAGTGAGAAAATTTTATTAGTTATTATTGTTATGTATCACAAAGTTTATTGCTTTAGTGGAAATACATTCTAGAAAATTGAATAATAAATATGGATTTGGTTAAAAATTTGTATTTTTTGTTATTACTTGAAAACATTAGATATTTATTTTGTATTATAATACCTGTAATAAAATATTGATCATTGGTAATATAATAATTAAAATAATAAAATATAATATCATAAATAGTATGCAATTAATAACTTAAATTATTAAACCATAAATCAAAAATTATTATTTACATAAACTAGGGTTTTCAATTATTATATATCCTATGATTCTGTATTCAGTGTATAATAATAACATTTTTCATATATTAATAATTGTGTTTTATGTTTAAAATTATAATGTAGAAAATTCAGGGAAATTACAATATACTGTATTGTACATACTGTATGTAAAACATATATTGTATTACAAATAATACACATTATATGCACGAATTTATAAGTAATATGAAGAATATAAAGTTAACAAATTTACGATAATTATAGTCATCTGCACACCTCTGTGGCATACCTGTGCTTACAACACATGATATTATATACACACGCAAACACTTACACACACACACACACCTGTGCATACAAATTTGGTAGCCCATCGCACCTGAATCCCCAAAACAATTTACAATTGTGTTTATCTTGTTATTTGATTTTAAGCTTTAATTTCCTGTCCTATCTTTCTTGGCTTAAATATATTTAGTTTGTAAATATAGGCATTTGTTTGGTTGGTAAAAGTTAGTGACAAAATTATCTCTTGTTATAACATTTGACAGCTTAACGCCAACACCGGTGCAATGCCAGTGCCCTTAACAGCAATTTATATATAATAGTATTTTGATGTCATTTTAGATGCTTTTAAGGCCTACTGTATAGTATTGAGAATGAAATAACAGGTATAATATCTTATGGCAATATATTTGCTATTAATGTTTGGCCAACAAATAATAGGTGCGATGCGATAGTGTGTTAGCAATCATTTGGCACAATGAGCCCAAAGGGTCTCTCAGCCAAAATGGTCTCAAATAGCATTCATTTGACTTCTTTGTATTGATTCTTGAGCTGCAAATTGGTTTCACTGAACACCCGCTCATCAATACATTGAAATGCAATTGCATTTCAATAGTTTTCTTCAAAAATGAATATATATTTCAATGGTATAGTTTGAATAAGATCTGCATTTTTCTCATATTATAATATAACTATTACTAGTGATAGTTGTGAATGTGGCTAAATATCTCACACCTGGTTTATTGGGCAAAAATACCGGTGCGCTTATTCAATTGACCCGATTATAATCCGCATCAATAAACCTATTATACAGCTGTGCCGTCAAATCATTTGAAGCCTAACACTATCGCTGGACACCACTGGACACCATAGGACTGTCCTTTCAATAGCCCTTTGCAATGGACTTAGCATTTGTAGCACATATTTATGTCTTGAAATACACGCTCACAATACCCATCTATGCACTCGTCAAATGTGTTGATCTCCTCCCAGTCCTCCCCAATATCTCTGGCTTTTTTCGTGCCTTTATTTAACAACACAACAGTACAACACATTTCACTGGACTTCTCAATAATATAAGTGAATGAGATTTCCCTTCAAACTTACGGCAAAACATTTTTGTGAAAAACATTTTTCCTTATTTTCAAAACCAAAGCCTACCAGAGCTCTATACCCAATGTTACTGTTTGTTACCATTTTATGTTCAAATTTTTCACATTTGTAAAGCTTTTTACAAAAAAAAATTTAACTTTTGAAACCTTCTTCATGGCTTTAAGTTATTAAAAATTATTTATATAATAAAATATTTTAACTATTTTAGACATTTATTTTAATGTTAACAAGAAGTATATTAAGAAAAAACATTTTGCAAATATTTTATGCAATTATTTTTTTGCATATATATGCCATTCAATTAAATTTTTGCTATTCTATCAAATTGTTAAAAAATAAAATAATAGATTTAATTTTTAAATTTGCTTAAACTTTACATATAATATTTTTAATAACTAAAAATTACTGGAAATATACATTTAAAAAGCAATGATTCATTTGATTTGAATAGAGTGAAACCGGAGGCTACCATCACATGGGGTGTGATCTGTAAATCTTATGGACAGTATTTTACAAAAATCACTAATAAGTTAAGCAAAAATTGAACTCAACTATAGTGAGTGAGTGAGTGAGTGAGTGAGTGAGTGAGTGAGTGAGTGAGTGAGAGAGAGAGAGAGAGAGAGAGAGAGAGAGCTCGTACATGTGTGTTGGTTGATGTAGTTTGGCACCTGCATCAGTACAGCATTCATATAGCATACTAAGCATAGCATCTTTCACGATGGGGTGTCCAGAGTTCTGAGGCCTATGAGTGCTGTGGTGAGGGGTCTGCGTCGCCGTCCGAAGAAGTTTCACTCAAAAGGTGTTAAAGCTTTACAAAACTTGTTTTGTAGTTTAGGTGTGAAGACCAGCCCATCTATCCAAGTGCTGCTTATATGTATGTGCATAGCCTCATGAGTTTTACTGCCAACTTTATAAGCGATCAGTTAGTTTGCCAAAAGTGTGAGAGAGATCTGTGACTTTAAACACAACTGATCACTTGTATTACAACTAATCTTTATTACAGACACTGTTTTGGACATAATTTATATTTTAAGACATTAGTGATTCATTTTATTTTGTTGGCTCCAAGTGTTTAATAGTGTGTTTGGAGTGTTGGTTAGTCGTACGGCATTAAGATTATACATTGGAGTGCACCCTAAAAGTGAGAAAAAGCTTATTTTTTTGTTAAACTTTTTATATCTTTTTTTTTGCTTAACTCATTTAATGTTATTTTCTTTTCTAACTAAATCTTTGTGCCAAACACTTGAGCACTTGAATTGTGTAAATCCATAAAATTTAATCCAAAAAATCTATGTTTAGAAACGTTTAGCTAACAGTTTAAATCATCAATAGCTCCGCTATTTATCATATGTGCACTTATACTGTACTATCAGTTAGTGTTTCCCATATTTTTATAATCTTAAGCACAGTATATAATGATATAATTTATATATCAAATATTGTATTAAGTTAAACAATTGTGTTGATAGCTAAATAATTTTCAATATAATTTTGTAATATATAAAAACTCAAGTTTCTCTCTACTATAACTTCAATAACAACAAAACTTGTAAACTATGTGTTTAAGTGCAATTCAAAAATATGGTTTACATCATATGTTAGACACTAATAACTTTTAAAACAAATGTTTAGTTGAATAGTACTGAACTGTTAGATGTAATCAATAACTTTCATTGAGTTTCAAGTATTTACTGAAAAAAGATTTATATGTTATTTAAAATCGATTTCGTTTTGCTTTTCTTGTCTCTCATAAGTACTAAATATATATATATTTGAAATACACTTCCGATTTGTCGCATCACTTGTTTATATCACCAAAAATGATTGAAAATTACTTCAACTATAACTAACTGTGCTTATGATTAGTCGTAAAAATGCTTATCTATAGACTATAGATAAGATTTGTCAAAACTTTTTGTTCACACTTTCTCTTTCCCATCGATACTACTCTCAAAGCAAATATCTTTTATCGTAAACCTTATCTTAATATCTTAATAAACATTTGTTTGAATAGATTATGTATTTTAAATAGTGATTATCAAACTATATATCCATATAATATTATATAATAGTATATAACTTATTATATAATAAATTGAATCATTGGTTAGATTTGTTAGATAACTATCAATGTATATACAAACTTGATTTCTCCTAACAGTTAACTATACTGTACTCTAATATAAGCTATAAATTACTTTAAGTCAAACCCAATGTCTAATACACTGTTTGGCTCTCATTTGACAGCAATAGTTGTTGACATCGATTATCGATAGTATTGAATGCAATGAATGGCAAAAATGGCTGATTTGTTGTGATTTTTGAAAAGTAAATCAATTGAGTGATTGTGTTATTAAATTGTATCAACAAATCCACTCATTGAGTGTCACCACAAATGTCTTAAGTATTAAACAGTCAAACGTCAATCACATTTGATTGGATACATAGTTAGTGCCAAACAAATCAGTCATCGATAAGATATGAATAAAGTTTTGGTCGCTTATTGTTATCATTTCTTGAGAGACTAATCCCTGAAGATATAGGCGAAGACATAATGAAGAAGTTGAGACGCAAGATGTTAACGACACAACTATTATGGTATCAAGTGTTACAATGTCTGGCGGTTGTCATTACGGCAACGATGGCCTGCAATGTGGACATGTGTTCGCGCGAGTACTCGTCGGTTCTTCAGACATCACAATCGGTGGCGTCGACGGCCACTCGCGATCAACAACAACAATATTGTGGTTTATTGGATGCTTATCAGCACTGTTTGAAGTCGATTGGCCGGTCGTGTCGCGGAAATCTCGAGTTTCATACTTTGCAAACATTGCTGAAGACGTGGAAACACGAGCGAAACTGTTCACACGTAGTCTTTTCCGGACCCATTCGCAGACAACCGGTCAGACAGTTCCAGCGTAAGGCCGGCGGCGGCCAAACAAATGTTAATTCAAATCATAATCACATGACTCAACAGTCAATCTTCGAGCAACAAGAAGTACTGCAACAGTGTTTATCTGCCGCTTATAACTATACGATAAACACCGACCCGTCAGCGCCTATTGATGTGCGTACAGACCATCGAACTCAACGCGTGGGAACTACAAGTAGTCCGCGATCGCGGTCAAGAAGTCGGGTCAATCGCGACACACGTTTTGATAACGATATGTATATGAAAACAAAGTATTTTCCGATTAAAGGCGAGGATATAGTCTATGAAGACGAAGAACTTGGCACGAGTTCAGTGTCTCCAAGTCCTGCGCCCACATCTAAACCATCGACACCACCGTCACCACCATTAACATGTATAATATATGGTGATCCACATTTAAGGACATTTAACAATGTGTATCAAACGTGCAAATGTTTGGGTGCCTGGCCTCTCATCGATCATCCATTGTTCACCGTTCAGATCACTAACTCTAAAATTAAAGGTTTTTATAATTTAATTTACTTTTACATATACTTTAATTTAGTTAAATTACTACAGTTTTATATAGCGATAAAGTAGTTTTTAAAACACAGGTCTTATTAGTTGATAATACTGTATAATCAGTTATTTAGTATTTGTAATATAAAAAGTATTAAAAATTGTTGTTTTCAAAAGTAGATGTCGTGAATAATTAATAATTTAAATAATAATTAATTATATTTTGTAAAATGTAGTTTCTATTAAATTCCGATAAATTAGCATTTTAAACAAGAATAGTATTGGGATTTAAAGTTTAAACATAATTTGATAGCAAAACATATATTATTAATAAAACATATATAAAATATTTTTGTTGTTTATATACAAGAATCGGTAGTTTAATGTCATTTAGATTAGGATTAGATTATATTTAGTTCTAATTCTAAGTTCTAATTGTAATAATAATAATAATAATAATAATAATAATGCTTTATTGTTAATAATAATTGTGTGATTTTTTTTTAGGTACAAATCCTCAGGTATCGGGTGTGACAAAAGTGGTTGTTCTCATTCGTAAGTTTGATAAATGTGGTATTTTAGGTGATCTTTTGTATGAAGCGGACAGTCAGCCGAATCAAGGTATGCTATATTATAATATTACATTCAGACACTGTTTTTTCTAATAATTGTTGTTATATTTAATGAATAACTAGGAGGTCAGCTAATGGGTACGCCTTCGGCTACATTTTTAGACGGCAGTACTGCCAACCAAAACAATTTGGTGCGAATTACCCAATCGTCAAATAATAATGTTGTGACCATACATTTGGATCACATCGGTGTTCGTGTATATATCGGTCAATTTGAAAACTCGTCGCATCTGAATGTGGTGATCAAGTTTCGGTCGGCCACCTCAACAGTCAAACAACAATTAGTGCTCAACTCTATCAGTTCAAATTCATTGTGCAAAACCGGTTGTCCTAAAAGGGAACTCATAGACATTCGCAATATTTTAAGTTCAGCCGGTTTTGACTTAAGTGATAACAATGTAGTTGATGTCCGACAATCAGCCAAATCATCGGACAATTCTATGACTGATTATAAATCAGATGTTGTGAGTGACGATGACAACAGTGATGATGAAAGTGATGATAACACTCATGTTGAAGATGATGAACTAAAAGAGGAGTTGTGTCATGAATTATATGGTTATTATCGGCTCTCCTGTATATACGAGTCGGCCATAAAAGGGATGAAAGATGTAAATAATGCCTACCGTTTCGCCCAATCATTTGATGAAATGAAATTCATTCAGAACAGTATTCTCAACAGTGGTGTCAATAGTGTCAATCACAACGACGACAACTCTGTGATGATAATCGCCAATTCATCTTCCATTCATCGTTCATCATATAGTGTCCAATCATTACTCATCTATATTTTAATTGTTTATTTTTTATCACAATCATGCCTTAACCATAATTTTAATGTAAATTAGTTGTATAATTGTATTTAATATATTTTATCATTTATAATATAATTATAATGTAGTTATAAATAATTCAATGAATTACCGGTTATTTTTGTCAAATAATGTTAATAAAAATTGTATATAATTTTAATAATAATAATAAATTAATATTATTAATAATGATAAAAGTTTATTCATATTGTTTTATTGTTTAATGCTTTAGTCTAATGTATTTATAATTATTTAATAATTAATTTTAAGTCAAAATTTTGTACAATAATGTTAATAGAGTTTAGACGGTATGTGAGCTAAGAGCGCCAGTATGTGACTGGACATCAATTATCATTTGTTGAGGTAATTAACACTAACTATTGGGTCGACTATGTATTGGGTTATTGTGAGGTACCGGTCGGCCTAAGGGCTCGACACTAGTTTTTCAGAAATAATTGGTACCTTATTTTAAACCGTAAGCGCGATATGAAAACTGACGTCACTTAAAGGCCTGTATGTCCTTCAAAGCACAATCTACTGTTCCTCTACTAAACACAAGGTCTTTGGGATCTCCAAACTATATGCTACTCATATCAATGATGAAGACCACCTTATTTTCTTTGCTATCAGTTTGTCTATACATTTAAGGACAATGGCTTTTAAGTATAATCTATGGATAAGAAAATTAATTTTTTGTTATTAATTGCTATTAAATATCATAATATAATTTACAATATTAAGTAATGTATTAATAATGTAAATCTATGATAAATCACATTTTAGTTAAACTGTAGATAAATTTAGTAATTATATACAATACTATTGAACTACTAAAGGTAGATATGGTACTACTATTTTCACATTATAGTACATCAATGGTTAATATATGATAAGTTTATGTAAACTACTATTTAATTAAGAGAAGTATCTTAAAACTCGACTGATTTCGACTGCTCGACTGATCGACTATTGATTGTATATATTAAATATCTGGTCAATTATACTTTAAATGTAAAAATGACCAAGGGCATTATTATACTGTAGATAATTTTACACTAAACATTATTGTCATTGGTCATTTTTTATTAATTGTAAATCTAACTAGATAATAGTATAGACTGATAGAAAAAAATGATTATTTTTGTTGTAGCAGTCGATGCTATTTTACAATTAATACAAAAATGACCAATAACAATAATGTTGAGTGTAAAATTATCTATAATAATGCCCTTGGTCATTTTTACATTTAAAGTATAGTTAACCAGATATTTAATATATACTATCAATAGACGATTGTCGAGCAGTCGAAATCAGTCGAGTTTTAAGATACTCTCTTTAATTAACATTATTATACAGTATAATCATATTCTCTACTTTACCTCAAATAAGTTAACAACAATTGTTAAAAAACAAGTTAAGATAATTAACTATAAAAAATATTTTATTTATTTTAAAGATACAAATTATATAAAAATTACTTCATAAAGAAATCTTAATTTGCAAAATAATAATAAAATAATTGTTGATTTGCATTAATTCACTAAATTGACATGTTTCAATTTTATTTTTACAAAAAGTTTTAAATATAATTTAATAATTTGACATCAAGATAGCGCTATAAACAAGTTGTTTTAGATTATATTAATATAAAGTATAATATCATATGGTTTCAACTAATGGACTAATAATAAGTATTGTAAATAAAATGGTAAAAGTACCATGTTAATCTGTTAATATATAAATGTAATCTAGTATATTTGATACATACTTAAAAACGAGATGAATGTTAAATATAATATATAAATGTATTTATATATTATATGGTTTAATACTGTTTTTATTAAAAATTATAATGCTAACTTTTTATAATCATAGATTATTTAATGTAAAATTACTTAAGTTAGCATAATTGTGCTCTATTTATGTGATTATAAATAAACTAACTGTCTCATTTTAATTTACAAAAATAATTTAATTATATATATATATATATATACAGAGATTATCTATAAAAAAGAATATTAGAAAAAGATTTTTTAAAAAGTAATAATTATTTTGTTAACGTCAAGGGGTTTGTAATATAAAAGTAACGTTATATATGAATCTTAAATATAATTGGAGTAAATATAATATTAATACGATATGTGTTTACAGTAATGATTTGTCGACAGTCATAATAATAATAATAATAATAATAATAATAATAATAATAATAATAATAATAATAATAATAATAATAATAATAATAATAATAATAATAATAATAATAATAATAATAAAATAATAATAATAATAATAATAATAATAATAATAATAATAATAATAATAATAATAAAATAATAATAATAATAAAATAATAGTAATACTAAATAGTAGTAATAATAATAATAATAATATTAATAATTTGGGTTATTATTAGTTATATACTATTAAGACATTGCAGTTATTTTTATATTCAATAAGTGATTATCCCATTAATGTATTGATATGTTTGTCACACAAATGTGAGACACATATTGATTGACAACTCATTTGACGACAAAAATAATTATTATTCAATTGATTTGTAAAAATGTTTTTCATTTAATAATTTTGTCATTAACTGTGAAAACTGTTTAAAAAATAGTTTATTTATTTATTAAATTTTTGTTTATTTTTTGCTATATTTTTGTGACGATTGTGATATCAGACATCAAGAGTTGATCCACGAGTTGATGTTGTGTTGAGTGCTTAAGACATGTGACCATTGAGTTTGTAAACTAAACTAAAAGATAACAAATTCAAGAGACATGTGATTTGATTTGAGAAATAATAAGTGTTTTACATATTTAGTGAATTTGTAATTATTTTTTTGTTAATTATCTTCTTTGGACACAATTGTCTCGAAAACTCTTTTCATTAGTGTTTGCAATGTCTTCGCAACGCGAGAGACAAGAGAAGAGGGAAAGGGAGAGAAGTCAAAGACAACATCTTCAGCCAACAACAGTGTCGTCGACGAACAACAATCTATTGTTTGGCGATCCGATACGCAAGTCGGCCACCGATGACGAGACGGCCAAACGGATCAAATCCACTTTAGGTGACTTCGATTCGGTACAACTCATGCTTATCAATGACCCGAAGCCACTGCTCGGTATATCGACCCGTGAGATCACTCGCATCAAAGGCCATAAGGCAAAGATTGAACAGATTCTGTCCGAAATGAAACGGACATTACCGCCGATCACCGATTTAGACGATTTTGACGACAACGAGGGAAACCAAAATCCATACTTAAAAGCAATGAATAACACCGACGGTCACGACTACGGCTCAAATAATAATAGTTATAATGAATATCAAAGGAGTGGAGGAGGTATGCAAATGGACCGAAACAACAGAGACAGAGACGTAAATGACGGCAATAGTGATAAAACATTAAGTGACCGAACATTTGACGACCAAAAGTCTTTCAATAATTCTTTCTCGAAACAAGTGAATTGCAAAAAGAGAAAGTTATCGAAAGGTGACAATGAAAATGGCGCTAAAGGTCTTAAACAGCGACGAAGTACCAGCTCTTCAGAATCAACCGATTCGTCGAGTAATTCGTCTTCAATTTCTTCTTCATCATCGGAATCGAGCGATGAAGAGGAGGTGCATAAGGAGACGGATAAGGAAAGTATCAAACAAGAAGAGATATCAATCTCAAGACAAGAGACGCCAAAGACAGGTCAGACAGCTCAGGCACCAGAGATCGCTGTTTGGGATTTGGAGACATTCATGGATAAGAAGATAACGACGACGACCACATCGACCACTGTCTCAACGAATTCATCTTATAAAACAAGTGCTCCGAATTCATACATCGATGTCATTGATAGAGTGGCCAAAGGAGAGCTCGGCGAAGGAGACGTATCGGACAGTAGTCTAAGTTCGACGTCACAAAGCTCTGTAAGTTTGTCTCCGCCAACACCTATATCGACTCCAACGCCGACAAAGAAGCGACGAAAATCAATACAAAACAATATTAAAGATGAAGTGATTGACAATTATAAAAAATCGGTCGATAGTTCCCAAAATAATTGGTGGGAAAAGACACCAGAGATGATGACACCGAAAAACAATTCACAACAAACACATTCACAGAAGTCAGAAAAACATAGCGACTATAAAGCTATGGACAGAGTATTATCACCGCAAAAACGTTTTAAAGAAGAAATTAATGTAATCGACAATTCGTTTCCACCAAAAAACTTAATTGTGTCGATAAAGTTGACACTTTTGAAGCGAATCCCTGGAAAGACAACATATCTTGACAGTAGTTCCAGTAGTAATGACGGTCACATGAGTCCAATCGTTAATAATCATAATATGGACACTAAGGACAATAAAAACTTTATTAATGAAGATATTAATAATAATCACAGTAGTAATAATAATAAAAACAACAATAATAATATTAAAATTAATAATAAAATTAATAATAATAATAATGATAATAGTAATAATAATTTTGTGAAAATTAAAAATGAAAACAAATTAAAGTCAAATAAAGATTTTAAAACAAAAGATGAAAGAAAAGAGAAAAAGGAATCAAAAGAGTCATCGAAAATGTCTAAAAATAGTGTAAACAATATAACTAAAAGTAAGTCATCGAAAGGAGGACAACCATTACAAGACAATGATTTGCGCAATGGATTGGACACAAGTCTGTGGTCGTCCACTCCTCCAATCGTACGAGAAAATAATAACACGTTTGCCACTAATAATCCCATTAGTCAAACAAGTGTCAAACAAGAGGTTCACTCACCCACTCCGCCACAATTATTGCCACTAATGAGTAACACATCTTCACCATCACTTCCAATACCTCCCATATTAACGACAGCCGTCGCTAATGTAACACCACCGACATCAACACGAACTACTCCAGAGATCTCACCGAGTGTTGGCCAACCCGACGAGTTTCTATTGGCCGCTAAGCGACTGAAACACGCGGCCGATAAAGAGACTGATAGAACTGTGCAGACGTGCAAATACTTGGAAGCAGTTCTTTATTTTATACTCACCGGTAATGCTATGGAACAGAAGGCTAACGAACCCGACAAAGTGTGTGTCATGTATAAGGAAACACTGAATCTGATCCGAACCATAACTAACAAGTTTTCTAAGTCCCGGTCGCAACACTCAGCCGATGTGCCCACTACTGACCACAAGTTGACAACATTGTCATACAGATGTCAATCATTACTATATCTAAAGTTATCGCGGATTAAATCGAAAGAGATTCGCGACAACAATAAGATATTACAAAATACAAGTCAAGAAATGATTGCAACGACAAGTGATAATATGGTTACCATATCGTCCACACTGTGGAATGCCTTTCAAAAACAATTGTTTTTATTACAACAATACCATATGGCACATGATTTGTGGTCACAGGCTGACCATCTCATTGAAAAGTATGGCTCTTGTAAAGCATTTTTTGTAGCCTTAGATAGTGAATGCGGATCTCTGAGTCTCAACTCATCATTTGATCATTTAGTCCATTATGTCAGATCTGGACTACAGATCCTTAAATGATTTGATGATATTTTTCTATCTTTGAGATAATATATGACTAATATTATTATTAATAATGAAAATGAATTAATATAGAAATGCTGTAATGTGCATACATTGATGTTATTTTTATGTAATATGAATTGTGTATATAATTAATCAATTGATTACTTATTAATAATAATAAATTAAGTGTAATAATAATAATTTTTGTTGTATATAGATTAATTGAATTATAAATAATAATTATTGTTTATTAAGATTATTATATACTTTAGATACTATGTGATACACTAATTAATGATGTATTTCACTAAAATAATTGATTAATTGCAACTGTTATTATTTTTTTTATTTATACACACTTGTAATTATATTATTATAATTATTTTTATTTATATATATATATATATATATATATATATATATATACAGTATATTTATTACAAATATTAATTATAAATATCGAAAGTTTTATATCGATAGGCCATTAAAAATGTTTGTTTTACAATCAAAAAAATGAATACTATTTATGTTATTTTTAGATATTTAAATAATTTTTGTTAATTAAAAACACATTTATAACTGTAATTTATAAATATTGAATTATAATATATATTCTTATCGATATTATAAATATTTAATTGACAAATAAAAATTATTTTTTTAATAGTTTATAAAAAGTATTAATTTTTATTTTTCATTAATATAATATAATCGGGATTAAAGTACATAATAATTATTATTATAAAAGTCAATATTAATACTTTAGTTAAAATTAAATCCACACAACCATATTTGATAAACAAAAAAATTATCAATTGAAAATAATATGATTAGTGCAAGGTCATCCTTATTGTCTAGGTAAGTTAATCTTATGATTATTATTTTATTATTTTTTTGAGTTTACTTTTAATTTAAAATGTTACTGTTATATTTAGAAAAAAATTTAAAAATTATTTTATAGATTTACTAAACTATATGTAAATTCTCTTCAATTATTCATTCATACAAAACTTTTATTTTATAATATACTTATATAATATAAACTTTATTATAATTAATTTTTATCATCATTTTTACGGTTTACTTCACTATAAAATTTATACCAATATTAAAATTTATTAAAATTAAAAAATATATATAATTTGTTTCAATTTACAGTTACAGTACTATTAATATAACATGTGATGTGGATATCAATCACAAACAACATTTTCACACAATATATATAAACATATGTTTTCTATTATTATTATTATTTTCTTGAATGCAATGCATTATATAATAGTCACATAATATGATGTAATGTTTCCCAAGGGTTGCATAATTGAAGACAAAATTGTAACGTTGTTTGTTAATAATAATAATAATAATATTTGATAACCGTATTTATTATTATTATTTGCAAATTTTGTTTAAATTGGTTTCAAATATTTAAAGTTTATTAATAAATAATTTATTATTAATTAGTATATTATTATCAATAATGCGGACAATTTTGATACCGATTTCAGTGTTAATGTTAAGCATTGGTTGGCTCTACCTATTGGTCACAATCGCCCCAAACATTGGAAATCATAAGAGGTATTAGTTATTCAAATTGATATGAAATTTCAAATAAAATAATTTATTTTTCAATAAAAGTTTAATTATACTTTTATATATAAAATATTTAAATTATATTATTTAATAAATACAATAAAACATGACATAACACGTTGTGTGATAAGCGATAATATAATACATTAGCAATAGATTTGATTTATTGTTTGTTTTTTAATTAAATTGTTTATTAGATAAACATTAAGTTAATTAAATGTTTAATTTTGACATAAAGTGATTTAAGCATTTAAGCATGCTAATTATTTGTTGTTATTATTAAATTAAATTGTACTAATACTATACAATGTATATTCTAATGTGATTAACAAGCGCACCGGTATATTAACCCAACTAACCACCAGCACTGGTATGTTAGGTAAAGGCACAAAACAACTTTAATATAGTTAAACTAATTTTATAAATGCTATTATTTTTTATATTTTATTTATGTGTTTTATTAATTATTTAATGCTATTTTTGTTTTTTGTATTATATACAGAATTAGTGTCAATTAAGTTGTCTTATAATTAATAGAAAATATACCAAAAGTATAAATACTTTAATATATTAGTTATAGTCTATAACTTATAAGGATTGAAACAATAATCAATTGTATGTTAATTATTTAATATTATTTTGTTTTATAAACATACAAATTACATATAAGTTGTATAATATTAAAATATAAATTAGTAAACTAAAATTTTTTATATACATGTGTATATCAGTTGAATTTATTGAATTATTGACTTTAAGAAATATTTAATATACAAATATATATTTCGTTTTTTTAATGAAAAACATAATTTATATATTTTATATACTGATATAATACTATACAAAAAGATAATTATATAGTAGACAATTTAATTGCTAAAACAAAAGTCAAAGTATTATATAAACTTATCAAAATTAATACAATATTTGCAACTATTTGTATTAATTTGTATTAATGGTATTATGCTTTATAATGTATTGACAATTTAATTATAATCTACCAAATGTTTCCATTACATATAAACTTATTCATTCAATAAATAAAAACTTTTTATCCATTAATGAACTTTACTTACCATTTATATCATTAATTATATTATTGTATTAGAGAGCATAAGCCACCCTTAAGCTTACTTTTAATTTGCATATTATGTACATATTATATCATATAATTTGTATAAAACATTATTTCATATGTAATGTTAAATATAGTAATAGTTACAATGCCTTTAAGCAAAATTTTTGTTTAATTACTCTTAAAAGTAAAGTAAGAGTTTTTTCGTGTAACTGAATTAAAGTTTTAATATAGTTATAGTAGAATAGTTGTACCTTAAAAAAGTAGACATTTAAAAAAATAGAGAAAGTTTTAGTAAATAAGATATAAATTTAATTGTAATTTAAAGAATGATAAAATTTTGTAATGTCTATAAAATATGACATTTTGGCTTATGATATAAAAACACAATATATATATATATATATATTTACTAACAATACATACATTTAGTACATTATATTTTATACGTAATAATAGCGTAAATAAAACACATGAATGTTTAGGAAAAAACTGAATTTTTCTTTTTGTTTAGTTATAAGGGAAACACATTTTCAGAGATAAAAGTCAAATCAAACAAACATTTTCTATAAAAAACATTTTCAATGAATTCCGAAACACATTAAATGTCTATTTTATGGATTTTATCAGTAAAACTCTGTAAAAATATAAGGGTTATGTTTGTATTAGCAAATGTATACGAAAAATTACATAAAAATTTCTATATATGAATCAAATTTTAAAATAATAATTTGATAAATTATAAAAATACATTATATACTATATAATATATAGTATCACATTTATTTTGGATAAGAAATAATATTACACTCAATGTAATGTATTTTATCAGTAAATTATTATTATAAATAGATTAAAGTTAAAATATTATTCATGTGTAATTATATTTTTTTGAAAAATTTTACAGAATTAAAAAATTATGAGTAAATTAATTAGATTATAGTAAATTACAGCTAAATAAACAACGTTTAAATAAAAAAATAATCTCTTGTTTGTATTTAACTTAGAGAATAATTTTGAATTGTTTCTCTCATTTATATATATTATTTAACTTTTTTTGTATTTAAATACTGTAATATTATTGCACTAATATTATATGCTTTATTTGCAGATAATTTTGATGTATAAATATTTTTACCATAAAATTAAATAATAAGACAAAAATTATTTAAAAGATCTAAAAATACAGTATTATTACTATAATTAGTATAAAATTATGAAATAGCTAAGAGTCGTTTTTACTTAATAACTATATAAAGATATTAATATGTTTGCAACCAATTTTTCTTGCAACTGGAATTTCTGGCAAATTATAATGATATACAAGTTTTCATGTAACTCAGCACAGGTATGTGAGGACAGGGATATGTCATATACAAACAATAAAACCTAGAGGAATTCTGATTAGACTATTTTGTATATAATTTAAATTTATATGATACGTGTTTGAGGAAATTTATTGAAATTATTTAGTTTATTCATAGATTACATTTGATATGAAAATTGGGATTTTTCAATTATTAATACATAAAAATACCTTGATAGAATTCGGTGAATTAATTTTAAATTATCAATCATTTTGAACATATTTTATATTGAATATAATCAACTAGCACAAATACTTTTTAGATACTGTTATAACTCATAAATTGTTTTATACAAATGGTTTTATAAATTAGATACAAAATACTACTGTATTAGATTATAATTGCAAACTTTATTTAAATTAATATCTAAAAAAGTATTTGTGCTAGTTGATTGTATTCAATATAAAATATATTCAAAATGATTGATAATTTAAAACTAATTTCCTCTATTTGTTTAAAATTAATAACTGGTAAAAAAGTAATTATGTTACAAATAAAATATTATTTTAAGATAATTAAAATAATGATAATTATATCTACTTTATATAAGAATGTTTTTTATAAATTACTTTTATTTTTTACATTTAACAAAAATTATTTATTTTTAAATTTTACTCAAAATAAAATATTATCAATTTAAGAATTAGTTAACAGAAAAAATAAAATAATTAAAAATTAATTTAATACTAATTTTACTATTTTATATAAGTATATAATATTATTTTAATAAAAATATTTAACTGAAAAACTTAATAATTATATATTTGTTCGAAAATGTAATTATGTTACAATTAGAATATTATTTTAAGATAATTAAGATAATATTAACTAAATATTCTGTAAAATTTAATAATTTTTAAATTTAGTTTGCATTTTAAAGGCAGAATTATTTTTTACTTTTATAAATTTAATTAAAGTTATAGTTTTTATTAATTTTAGAAAATAATTCGAAAATTTAAGGAATTTATTGGTAATATTCCTACTTTCCTGGGATCATCTTTCCATTTACACGAGAATTTTGGGAATTTTTAGGAATTTTCTCTTGACCCCTGAATTTTAAAATTTTGAGATAATTGTCGTTTAAAATACAATAAAAAGTATACCCACTCTATACCACCTTTTAAATCAAAAAACCTTGCTTATCCCTGATATAATAATAATAACAAATATATATTAAGTGTAATGTATTTTTTGTTTCAAAATTAATGGCAATTACTTGTATAAAAATGTTATACTGGTACTCGCAATTGAAAGAGACGCATTTTATATATAATAAAGTAACTTTGTTTTTGTGTGACCCATGTGTTATCTACAAATTGTATTTTTTTACAATTAAGTACAATCATCATTAGTCTATAATTGTCTTATTCAAGATTTTTGATAAATCTTTTTATTAATCTTTTACATGGGTTAAAGTCACATGACGTCTAAGGCAGATATGCCATAAAAAACATATATTGTCCTGTAATTATAGAAACAATGGCCGACAAAAATATTAATAGAATATATTCTAAAGCCTTATGTGTGAAGACTTGTCAGACATAATAAAAAAACTAAAAAGATGAATGAGTAGATGTGGAAGACAAAAAAAGTTCATAAAAAATATCAAAAGTTAAAATCGAAAAATTGTATGAATTTATAAAATTATTTCACAAGTTTTCTTGAAAATAAATAAAAGAGATATTATATTTTTATTTATTAAATTCTAAATAACATTTGCCAACAATTTTCGAAAGATATGTATAATATCTTTAAGTACTATCTACTTTTACTTCTTATCTATGGGCTACATATGCAAAAATATAGCAACTATTATATTTATATCAAATAATAACGGATTTATAAAATGAAATTAAACCTTTTATATATCATTATATTCAACATATATTGCTTTGTTAAATTACTATTTGCTTTGATTAATCTAACACTTCTTTGAGTGTAAAAAATCAAAATTTGTGAAGGGGTCCAAAATGGTAATCGAAGGGGTTTTCGATTTAAAATCATAAGAAGTGGTTTACTGAAGATATTCAAAATTATCATAACAAATGAAGAGATATTATAGAATCAAATGACATATAAATAATTAATTAAACTTCAATAACTTTTTAAAAAAATTAATTTAAAAATGTAGTTATGAATGCGTCTCTTATAATTGCGATCCCTAGTATTTTAAAGATTGTAAACCAATGATTAATAAGTATAATTGACAAGTTTTTATTATGCAAAATGAAAGTAATATATAATACAAATATTATACTGTATTATACAATACAATATTTTGATAGAAATTTAGACAATTAAAAAAAGGATTTTCAATTATTTAAGCATAACTAATGATAAAATATGATATTAAAAATAGATAAAAATACTACATTAAAAATATATAATGATTAGTTTTTATACATAAATTATATATTTAAAAATTTTTACATTAAACAAAACATCTTGATTTTTAATAAATTATTTCTTAGTTTTTTATTGTTTGAATTGTATCTTATTTTTTACTTATAATCAAATATTTAGTTTTTTAAAATTTAGTTATAAATATAAAGTTGAAATTTATTTTTAAAAAGAATTTTGTGATTATATAAAATATGTATCACATGTTACTATAATATTAAATATATTAAAATCTAGTATTTTTTATTTAAATGTTATAAAAGAAATTTAGAATGTAATTCTTTATTTATAATTTATGATTAGTTAACATTTTAAAAAATGTAATTAGATTTTATAATTATAAAAAGTATATGTTTAACGATAATTGTTTACTTTGTTTAACAAACGGCTATTTGTTGACTAAAATGTTTTATTTACTTTTGTTTGTTTAAAAAAAAACTGAATTACTCGGTCAGTCTAAAAGTTTGTAAATATATTAATTGCTTGAATTATAATATTAGAGTTTGTTTATAGTTATTAGTTTTATTAAATGAGATTTAGTTTTAGCTCTATATTTATGTAATATTCATAAATATTTAATCAATATTATTGTTGAATAGATTATAGTGTTTAGTTTATAAAGGTTTTATGAATATCATAATACAGTAATTATGACAAAATTATTATGCCTAGAATAAATATATTATCATAAAAAACTAATTATAATTTTTAAATATTATAATAAATGAAGTATCTAATGAAAACAAAAAGGATTTATATTTTATGAATTTTTTTTTGTTTATTACTTTAATATTTTTTCCTATAATGATTATTATACTAAACTCTAAATGTAAATAAAAAAAATTAATTTTGGCAAAATTATTGATATTTTTGTTTATAAATATTGAAAGTTTGAAAAATGTCTTTTATGTGTTGTACGTGATATTGATATCGATTGGTTAGTTAGCATTTTTTATTGGTTAGACATTTGTAATCTATATACAGATAGATAGTATAGACATGAAGATTGTCTTAATTGTGCGATAATTTTAAGGAATAAATTGTTTGTTAAGCCATTAGTGTGTAATTATTATAAGTATAATGTTGAAGACAAGCAATTTTGTCATTTAAGTAAAATCAATTATGTTTTGTTTTACTTAAGCTTATAGTCAGAAACATTGAGTTTTACTTTTGAAAAAAACGATTGTCTAAAATAAGTCATTGATTTTTATGTCAGGCATTTCCTATTAAACTAGTATTTAATTAAACTTTTGTTTTTCAAACTTATTAATTAAATATTTTCTGTACTATTAATAGCGGGTAATAGTGATATATATTATACAAATGACATATTAATGCTAATCATGTCATTTCATGTCATCAAATAAGTGTTGACATTGATTTTTTGAGAGTATTTATTATGAATTAAAGCATATTATTAATTTAGATGATATATTACTGTATATATCCTCTTGATGATAGTTTTTATCACATAACATACATATTAATTTATATTATTTATTATTTACAACATTAAGCTTGTTTTTGGCTCATTTGATAAATTATTGGAAAATATAATATTCAATATATTTATTAATAATAAAAATGTGGTAACAAAATATAAATTTATATTATGTATTATGAATTTAAATACAAGTAAATATAAATTTAGGATATTATAGTTTTCTTAGTTTTAATATTATTATAAATAAGTTGTAATTTTTATTTTATATAAATAATTTTATATAGTATATTTGAATATCTACATTATGCGTTTATTTATTGTAATATTTATACATTAATATTGTAAATTTTTAAACATTTGCTAGTGTCTACAATGATAACTTTATGATAATATATATTTTTAATGTTAAACTTATGTTTTACTTGTTTATATATAAAATTAATAAATTGAATGTTTTTATTGTGTAAAAACTATCCTTATTATACATTTTCAGAAAACATATGCTTTTTAACATAAAAACTTGACTTTTTAGTTGTTTAAACTCTTTTTAAGGGTATTATCTAAATGTTTGATCTAAACATAAATGAAAAATGTATTGATTTTTTTGGTATTTATATCTTTTTATATCCTTTTTATATGTATTGAAATGATTGAAGCGAATCGGATTCACTGCGATTTCCCAATAGTCTGACACAATTGAAACAACTATCGGATCTATTGATGGCTTACAGTCAAGTGAACGGCACATATGTTTTTATACTGTTTTGTTCAGCCTATCTGTTCAAACAAACGTTTGCAATTCCCGGCTCACTATTTTTGGTCAGTTACATAACAACAACTAATGTCCTTTTTTGTTGCCCACAATTATCAATGAAATGGTATTATTATTGTGTTTTAATATAATATTTGTTGTATTTGTACCGTATTTGTAAATATCCAGAATCTATTGGCCGGTGCTCTCTATGGTGTTTGGCTGTCATTCCCATTGTGTTGTCTGTTGACGGCAATCGGCGCATCGTTTTGCTATACATTGTCTGCCATTTCCGGTAAACATTATGTGATTAGGTATTTCCCGAAACGTGTTGAATGGTTTCATCAAAAAGTGATGGCCAATAGATCACAACTTATTTATGTATTACTGTTTTTGCGATTGTTTCCAATGACTCCCAATTGGTTTTTAAACATTGCGTCGCCTATTATTCAAATACCTATTCATCTATTTTTCATATCTGTATTCATAGGTTTGCATAAACTTTATATTAGCATAATATCAATGGATAACATTTTTTTCATATATATTTATGATACATATGACATAACAAATAGGTCTAATGCCATATAACTTTGTTTGTGTCCAAACGGGATCTATTTTATCACAATTACAGTCATTAGACGACGTGTTGGACACATCGACTGTACTTAAACTGATTGCCATCGCTATGATTGCTCTTTTGCCCGGATTTTTATTTAAAAGAAAAAAAGACAAAATTCAATGAATAGTATAATACTGTATAATCAGTTAATTTTTATTTAAATTCTTTTATTTTAATAACAAACTTATATATATATACATATATCAACAATACATGACTTATTATATTAATTTTCTAACAAATAGATGTTATTTTTATACAATTTAAATGTACAATTACATATTATATGTTTGTGTGTATGTGTGTTTTATCACATTTATATTTATTAATTTATTTGGATAATAAATAATTTTTATTTTATAGATTTGTTTATTTTTTATAAATGCTATTTTGTATAATATATTTTTATTTTATTAAAACACTTTTTACTGTGTTTAAAAATTAATATATAAAATATAATTTATTTATTTTTGATATCTATAGTGGAAAAGTGCTTTAATAATATTGAAAAAAACACAATTAAATTTGATTTAGAAGTTCAAATAAAAACAACAACTACCAAAAAAGGAAAGTTATAGCAAATATAAAATCTTAAAAATATTCAATTATTTATATTTATATTTTTCTGTTGTGAAAAATAATGACTAGAATAATAAATTGTTGTATAATATTATACTATATATTGAAAAAGTATTGAAAAGCATTGAATAATAATAATACTAAAAAAAGCAAAATAGGATTCACCGGAGTCTTATACGTGGCAACTGTCGATTCTATGGGCAAACAAGCTATCGGTGCGATCGATAATATCAATTGAGCACAAATTTTATGCTAGACTTTTCCTATAGTGTATATATTTATAACGTATACATATTTCCAGAATAATTTAATAAACCAACACAAAAATATGGTCCTAAAAATTTGCATGAATTTTTTCTTATTTCCCAAAAGTTATACATATATTTTATGTAATTTTATACTGTATATTCACTATATTTAATATTTTGGCCCAAAATTCATGTTTTTTAAATAAAATTTTGATGAATATTAAGATATTACAGATTTTTTTTGTAAATTTATTCTTTAGTAGGAATAACTTAAATCATATGAGTTATCAATGAAATGTTATTGAATTTTGAATTTTGTTTATATATTCTCAAGAGAGGTGTATATAAGTTATATGTTGGCGTTTGGGTCGAGAGATTCGTTAAGATTTTAATAATAAGTGAATTATGAGACAAAAATGGGTTATTATTGATTGATTTGAAGCTTAAAAATTATGATCGCTTACAGTTAATTGTATATCTAAATATCAACATAAAAATATTAATATCTCCAAAACAACCGATTTTAATGTGGTTTCTTTTATTTTATAAATTTAAATTAAACTTAAAATTTTTAACATTTAATATTTAAATAAAAATATTTTAAATTAGATCTAAGCTATTTATTTATGACTATTGAATTTGGTTTTGAACAATTGGTATAAAAGATAATGGTTAAAATATAAAAAATAAATATTATTTAAAAATTGATATTCTTTAAACTATAGATTTTATATTTTTAAATAGATTATTTTTGTTCTAATAGACATGAGTTATAATTACTAATTAAAACTAATTGATAATAATTGAAATTATATGATTATTTGAAAATCTTTGAAAATTAATCACAAAATACTGAAACTGTTAAATTTAAACTAAAATTGATTTAAAAAAGTAATTACATATAATGTTTAAAATAATTTTTATGATTCATCAATCGGGTGAGTCTGTCTATAAATTAAATTAAACAGCACTAAAATTGATTTATATGTAGTAGGTAGTTTTCGAGATATTAATAGTATTATAAACTATATAGATATACTGTATACATAGTTTTAAAATTCACTGTATGTATCTATACTATTGGTATTTGAAAATAAATGTACTTTACTTTATAGTACCTGTATATATATATATATATCCTGTAATTTTTATATAGAATAAATTTTTAAGTAAATTATTTAATTTGATTTTTAAACATAACGTTAATTATTAGCACAATTATGAGTTGAGAAGGCAATAATGTTTTTAATTATACCCTGCTTTTCAACATAAGTTTACATTACTGTATATAATGAATAATTATATTACTATAAATTATTTTAAATAACAGATTGTTTGATGATCTTTTAATGTACAAAATATTTGTAATTTAATTAAGCATTGATTAATAATAACAATTTGAACTATTTTGTATATATGAAAAATTTTGAAATATATATATATAATAGCAAAAATTAATGTACATTTACAACATTTAAGTTATTATCTTTATGTATCATAATTTTATAGAAATAATTTATTAATTTAAGCACAAAACAACAATGGTTTATATGAAATTTTAATGTATCACCAAAAATATATAACATCATTAAATACTGTATAAGTTATAATAACAATAGTATTAGTAATAATAATAAACAGCGTTAAAGTAGAAAACAATGAATTATTAATAAATAGTTATTATTATGATATTGTATTGTATTATTTGAGTTTTAGCCCAAAACACACTAATTAATTATAAAGAAATAAAGGATGTGTTGAGTTGTTTTTGGATATATATAGTATGATACAACCTGTATACATACAGGTGCCAAACACTTACAGTTTTATGTCATTTATTTATATGACATCCTATTCATTGGCCACAATCTCTGACATTTGTTGTCAAAAATAAAAATGTTTTATATCTTATGATAAATAAATTAATTGTCATTATTATTATAGTTATTATTATTATGATATTTTATTAATTGGTAAACAAAAATCATTAAAATTTCTATTTGTAATAACTATATTATCCAATAATTTAGATAAAAAAGTTTAGATTTTTAAAAATATTAAAACTCATATATTTTATTGCTTTATATAATAAAAATATTTGATTTTGTTTATTATTAAATTTTAATATATCTATAAGATATAGATATATTCTATTAATATTAATACAATATAAGATTAACTACAATCAAATATATGTGTCTTAATAAAAAAATCATTTATTAAATTTATGAATTTTACTTTATGTTAGGAGAACTTAACAAATAAATATATATACAAATGTATATGCATTTAATTTATTGTAATATAATATTATTATATACATATATTATATATCATTATATCACATTTTATGCAAAATTTTATGTTTGCTTATTAAATATTTACTGTTTATTTAATTTATTTATGATAAAATCAAATTAAATAATAAACTTATTAAAAATACTGATCATTGTTTAAAAATAAATATAATAAAACAAATACTATTATTATAGTTTACATTACATAAATTAAATATTTTCTAACAAAAAAACTAAATTAATTTTTTAAAAACTTTTTCAGTAATTAAAAAAATAATATAATTTTAATGATGATGATATTTACCCAAAATTTAACTAATAAAATAATGTGTATGTTTTTGGCCAAAATTATTTTGTTAATTTTATTTAATATAATATCCAAAAAATTTTTGAAATGTTGTCTCAAGAATAAGTAATTATAAGACAAGATTCTCATGAGATTCTCAAACTAAATATAATTAAATTCTAACAAAATATAATAAATGACTTTTTAAATAAAATTTGAGAATAAAATCATATTTTTTAATAACTGACAACAAAACGTAAAGCTATCATAAAAATTATAAAAAATTGAATAATATATTGTTTTTATTTTTTTTAACTCTAATTTTTAAAAAATAATAGTTTATGTGTGCAAACACTTGGAAATCACTGCACTTTTTGCATTATTTTATTAGATTTGATTTTAATATTTTAAACGAAATAATGATTTTGAATTATAAAGTAATGACTTTTATGAATCCTTATACATGTATTTGTTGTGAACCTTATATTCATTATTTTTGTTGATATATAAAGTTTTTAAAAAATGAAACAAAAATTCAATTTAGTAGACTATAATTTTTGTTATTTTTGTTTTTATAAAAATGTATATATTTTAGAAAAAACAACGATTGAGAAGACATCAAAGTGTTGCCTCATTTTGCATCCTATCCTTTGCTATGATGTCAACACTACTACTGCATAGACCACCAGTACTTCTTCGCTCATCTTTATAATGAATCATATTTTTATTGTCCGTAAAACTGTCGGCATTGCTGGCGGCGAACTCGTTGGCCACGTAATGGCCCCGTTCGGTGCCGTATTGGCTTTGATAAGCTTCCGCCCGAAGCCGTGATCCCATTGTAGCGCATTGTAGGCACAGAAGATATTTGAATGCGCGGCGAAAGTCCTGATGAAATGTTACGTAAATAATTGGATTCAACATCTATTGGACGGTTGTGTCGTATAAATGGGATTCAAGAATATAAGAATAATAAGAATATAAAAGTATTTTAATGATTTGTTTGACTATTTATCTAAAAATTTTTGCTATTTATTATTATTATTATTATGAAAGAGCATTAAATGGAAAGGCATCTTATTATATATATATATAATTTATATTTATATACTATAAGGTTGTTTAATATATAATATTGTATTATACAGTATATGAGGCATTTAGACGATAATACAGTATTAGTGTAAAGTAGTGGATAAATATAAGGTAATACATACAGAGTTGGCGTAACCCAACCATAACGTAGTGCTCAAAACAAATCTGGGAATTTGTACGACCGATGCTGAGAATGGCTTCAATAGAGCCAATATAAAGAAGGGCAGCCTTTAAATAATTATAGTAATAATTGATATAAATTATTAGCAATCAAAGTACACTACTCTACGGCTTTAACCATAGAAATAAAATTAATTGTAATCTATATATATATATATATATATATATATTGTGAACAATCTTACCAGCAAACAGTGAAAGCTGTCATTATTACTCCTATGAAAAGTAAACCATTTAAAGAAAATAATGTTTTAGTCAATTAAGTGAAACATAATAAGGTATATATATTTAGACAAATATCAATATGTTTGGATCAGTTGTGTGGTTAACAGCGTGGTGTGTGTCTGTGTTTTGTCATTATGTAGTATTATATTTTATGTAACAAAATCAGATAATATGGCAAATAATTGGTAACAATGTTAGTCGAGGAGAGTATGCATAAAAATGAAGACAAACCTAAAGTAAACGATGCTTTTCGCTCTCGCAGTGCATTTGATGCTCTTCTCTTATAGACAGAGCTGGCATTGATTGTTGATGAGTCTGACCATCGTTTTTGTTGGCATTCAATGTTTGGCCTCAGAGATGATGATGTTTGAGATGCGAGTGCTGTCGTGGATACGGCGCTTCCTGTGCTGGACATACCATTTGTTTGTTGTTTCAATATCTTTAAGCCCTTTGAGGATTGGTCTGTATTGATGGCAATTGTTTCCGTTTTTTGAGTATTTTCATAACAATCGCATCCTTTGATTCGCGTCCAGACGTTGTTTGTATTACTAGAAGTAATGTCTAGTTTGTTCATATGATTGTCGTTTTGCTGACACTTCAATAATGGTAACTGTGCTTTAAGTGCGGCTGTATTTGGCGTTGTTGTGGTACTCGGTCTTTGATCTCTTTGTTCCGCTTCAACCACTCGTTTGGCTGCGATATAGATCTTGTAATACATGACAATCATAACAGACAGCGGAATGTAAAAGGCGGACAATGTTGCGTATAGTTGGTAACCGATGTTTTGGCTGACTTCACAGGTGGCCGATTCATCAGTGCCGTGCTCGTTGCCTGACACTAGTAACGGAGGAATACTTATCAACACACTGGCCACCCATACGGCGCCGATAAATGACAAAATACGTTTGGCTGTCCGGCGCACACCATAAGTGAGCGGTTTGGTTATCGCCAGATAACGATCTTTTAGTTTAATCACAATAAAGACATTATTAGTGATTATAATTAATCAAAAAGATATCTAATACCATATATTCATTAATGTTTGTTATACACATAATTTACATAGTATTACATACTTTGAAATTATTTATTATATATGATATAAAAGCTATTAATAGATATTCATACCAATTGAGATCATACAAAGATTAAGGATAGATGAGGTACAACACGTCACGTCAAATGAGACCCAAAGATCACAAATAGCTGGACTCAGATTCCAGGTTCCCGTCAGTTCATAATGAAGTGCTAATGGCATCACCAGAATAGCCACACATAAGTCAGATATTGCTAGAGATACCTAAGCCATAGTAATAATTATGTGAACAAACATAAGCATTATATTTATAATAAGTATTTTATCGTCGATATATACATCTATTGATATATAACTTTCACTAATAAACCATTTTAAACAAATTTATTTTAAATTGCTATTCATTGTCATCTCATTTATTTTTTATACAATAAATATCGTTAAATATTGATATATATTATATATATGTTTGCTTTTATTTAGTAGTAAAATCCGTATTTAAATTGTAAGTCATTTTTTACCAGTTTTAAATATATAAATAGCATTTGCCTAAATATAATATATCAATAGAAAAAAGTATATATTTGTTAAAAAGCGAAAATTGGTATAAATTTCAAATAATTTTATTCATAATATTATATACAATATATATATATATATATATGAGATGTAATGATGTGATATGCTTTTTGAAAGATTAAAGTGTTTGCATTTATATATACACAAAACTTTTTGACTTAAATTCCCAAAGATATTATTTATAAAAATATTTTGATACCAAAAATATAAGTTGAAATGATAACTTTATATCAACTATTTTTAATATATACAGTATAAGTATTTATTATTATTATTATTATTATTATTATTATTTTAGATGACAATCTTTTTATGTGTATTTTTTTATCACAACATAATATAAATGACAGCAAAAATAATAAAATAAAATATTTTCTCAGTTTTTAAACTTTTATATTCTATTTTTTATTCAATATTATTTTTATTGTAGTTTAAAAATTTGAAATTTAATAAAATATAATATGTTCTAGAAAATTGAATTAATTAATTGACATTTACTAAACATATTTGTATTAAATATTAACATTATATTTATATATTATAGAAATTGTAAAAATATTTTATATAAGATACATAGTGTGTATATATTTGTCAAAATTATATCAATAGTAAATCTATTGACATTATTATTATTATTTATCTATCATAAATATGTATTTATACTTATTAGAATAGTCATGGATACTATAGATGAATAATATAAATATAAAATAAAGATAAATATAGTCTATATTTATCTTTATTTTATATTTATATTATATAGATATAATATTTTGATTATTTGGCATTTTTATGAATAATTTGTTTACAATTTTATAAATTTAATGCTTACGAGTAAGTAATTGGATGGATGTCTGAGTTTACGGACCAAAACTACCGAAAGGCAGACCAAAATGTTACCGATAACTGTGGCCACAATCATGAAACCTAATGATGCGACTAACAGTGCCTCGAGTCCTATATAAGGGCATTAATATGGAGACATTAAAACCAATTATTTAAATTTTTGTTGATTTGTCTTATAAAATGCTAATATGACTGACGGGGAGATAACAGATCTTCTTCGGTGTCTTGAAATGTGTAGTTAACGATAGTATTGCAGATTTCACTGAGCGTTAGATTGCCGTCAGTGATGGCTTCGGTCTCCAAATTAGTCACAATATCTTCGGCATCGATAGCGTCGGTATCATTGACTCCACATAACGACAGTATTTGCGATGTAATACTTATTGAGTTATTTGTTGTGCTGTCCATTGGTTGGTTGTCTGGCGCTTAAGGACAGGCCATACAACTGGACAATTCGTTTACTTGTTTGTCTCATTCATAATATATTATTTATTAATCTATTGATTTATCTTTTACTTTAACTTTATTTAATATGAACTTAATTTTATTTATACCAAACTTTTCATTTATTGGTATATTTTGATAAATTATTTACAATATACTGTAATGTATTATTGAGTGTATACTTGTTTACAAATTAAAAGCCAGATTTATTTCATTTATTATTATATATGTGGACAACAAAAATATTTTTTCCTCAAAATATATCTTCTTCTTCTTCTGTTTTTAAAAGATTTTTATTCTGAAATGAAAAAATTAATTTTTAGAGAAAAATAGATTTAATAAACTAATAAAAATCAATGAAATAACTGAAATGAGTGGTCAATAGTGAATTAAATGTTAGGACACAGTATCAGAAAAGTATCAATCAATTCAATGACAGCCACACACACACACACACACACACACACTATAGCGACTATAAAAACTTTTTATGGCCACAAATATTCAATCAATATAACATTTTTTTTATTAATTCATATCTCTTTAAATACTGACAAAGTTGTGATTGAATTAAAGAGAAAGATATGTTTGAAAATCTCTGTTGTATTTCTATATTTCTGGTGAAACCTAGTCATCAACTTCACTGATATTCTGATCAAACAATAGTTTTTCATAAAATTTAATATTTTTTTCTTCAGTAAAAAAGAAGAAGAGGATGAAAACGACTAAGAATTTGACACAATTTTATCGTTTTTTATATTTTTCTCTCTCATAAAACTTATAGGAAAACAAAACTAAATACTGTATACATATATCTGATAATAATATTGTCTGAGATTTGAACCAAAAAATTATTATTCAAAATATTATTTTAAATAAAATATTCACAAATTTTTTCTGATGAATATTATTTAGCAAAAAATATTTATTCAAAACTTAATCAAAAAACGTTTTTGTTTTGTATTACAATATTTATGTTTTCTCGTAAAATACCATTTTTGTATCTAAATTATATTTACATTAATTATTAAATATACCCATAAATTAATTTTAATATAAAATATAATCTATTTATTATGTATTCAATTTCATAAAATTATTTAATAAAATAGTGAAAATATTTAAATAAACACAAATCGTATTAATTACTTCATTATTATTTATATATTTTATATATTTACACTTTATTGTCTTAAAAATTAACTTAATATAATTTTTCTTTTGTCTTTTTAAGTTTTATTGTTTAAAATTAACTAAAATATCGGTCATATTTCTAACTTATACTATTTAATCAAATTTGATTTTATAGATACAATTAGAGCTTTAAATAAAAGTTTAATTTTGTTATATTTTGTATATTTAAAAATAGATTTAAAATCAAAATTGTTGTCTTAAAAATTTGCTAAAAAATAATTACTTAAGCGTAAAAATAATACAAAAGATATTTAACATATTATTAGCAATATAACAATGAAATCATTTAAATTTAATTAATATAAATTAAATTTATAATAATATTAAAAATACTTAATTATACAAGATTTTGATTATTTATGAATGAATTTTATTAGACTAAATGTTTATATGAATGGGTATTATGTGGAAAACAATTTAATTTAATTATTAAAAAATTATTTTTCAAAAAATTTTAATGTTAGTGATAGTACATCATTTAGTACATAATACCAAAAACAAAATTAGTAATATAATACTATAAAATATTCAAACATTTAAATAATTAAATTTGAAGTTTTCACGAACTCCTGAAAGGAATACGTGTCTGAATTTTATATTTCCGTCCTTTTGTCCGCATTTTATTCAATTTTTAAATTTTGACTTCAGATTTAGATTAAGCATCAAAAATAAGGTATAGGGGATCAGCATTAAAATATTGATATCTCATCGGGAACATAGAAAAAATGGCGGCCAAAGTCAAAAAAATTTTATGAAATTTTTTTTTGAGTATGGATTTGAATAAAGCATCAAAAACAAGCAAAGGAATAAGCATTAAAATTTTGATATCTCTTTGGGAACATAAAAAAAATGTAAACCCAAGTAAAAAAATTTTAGGTAAAAATTTTAACGTTAAGAATTGTATAGAGCATCAAAAATAAGGTATAATAGATCAGGATTTTTTTGAAAAAATGACCCCTCATGACTAAAGTTGAGTTTATTTTGTCATACTGAATCATTTGATACCCCACATGACTATAGTTGAACTTATTTTGTCATACTGAGTAATTTGATTTTAATTTAATTTTTAATTCGGATTAGGAGTTCGTATGAAAATGCTTTCTAGCATTCTCAACTGGTTATTTATATATTTTGAAATTAAACTTAAAAAATAACGTATAAAAAGTAAATTTTTATGTTTGTTTGCTTGTGTTGTAATAAATAGAAACACATTGAAGATACAGTATTATTGAAGTCTTATCAAACTTTACTACTTTAACACTAAAAACTAATCTTTTAATAGTATTTTCTTAAAAATATTTACTATAAATAAAACTTCTCACTTTTCTGGTTGTAGTAAATACTAAAAATGTTTAAATCCATTTAATTTATAAATGTTGTTTTTTGTTTTTTTTTATTTCCGCTTTATATCACAAATCAATTGGTAGTAAAGTTTGCTGTCCTTCACTAGAATTTTTATCAATATATTTACTAAATACAGGAAATATATATATATATTATAATATTATAGAAAAAAACGTTATTAATATAATACATTTTAGTAATTTAATACAATAATAACATACAATCAAGTATTGCATGTTAGATATAATTTACGTTATAAATAGGTAGATATTTCTTAAACTGTAGAGTATGAAAGTCTAACTACTATATAGTAATATTGCAACAAAATTTAAAATTAAATAAATCTTATATAAATGTTATATATTGCTATATATTGCTATTTAATTTTTGTTGTTGCAAATGATACAATGATAGTTGATATTGTTATTCAAATAGCTAATTTTAATTTTAAAATTTGTGGTACAAAACATTTTTTTAACAAATGGTTTTTAAGGCATTTAAATCTTTCTTATAAAACTACAGTATATATTAGATTATAGTAAAGATTTTTTTCAGTAAAGATATGTTGACGAAAAAAACGATAACTTTTTGAAATTCAATTCAAATGGAAGAATAAGAATATTAATAGTTTTGTCACGTTATATATCAGATAAACATTTTGAAAGCTCTCTCTCTCTCTCTCTCTCTCTCTCAACCTCTTAACACAATCACTAACTCAACTCTCTTCACAACAAATTCAACGCTTTTATGCTTATAAATAGTCTTTAATTTCACATCACTTATCACAAACTAACAGAATATTCTTTTAGAATATATATATATATACTATTAGATATAGATATAGTATAATATTAAATAATTTTTGTGTGAAAAATATAAAATTAAAGTTTGAAAATTATAATAATGTAAAGAGTGTGTGTGTGTATGTATGTATGTATGTATGTGTGTATGTATGTGTGTGTGTATGTATGTGTGTGTATGTATGTGTGTGTGTATGTATGTGATGTATGTATGTGTATGTGTGTGTGTGTGTGTGACTTTTATATTATAATTGTTTGTTTGGATTTACATTAAAAAAAACTTCAAGTAGGCGTATGAATGATGAACATAACATATAAAAAAGACTTTTACATTGTAAACATGCAATATGTATGTATATCTGTATAATAAATCCTCAGAATAAAATATTTAGCAAAAAACGCGACAAAAATTATATAATTTATGAAATGTATTATTAAAAATTTAAGACATAATAATTAACCACATTTTCATAAATTTGTAAGATATTGTATTTTGTTGAACAACTTATTACTCCTAAGTTATGAGAAATGTATAAATATTTAAAACTAATACAACGTTTCCATTGATGTATGACTGCAGTCATAGTACAGTATGTCCTGAGGTTATACATTAAGTGATGAGTATAATGACTATACTATGACTATACAGTGCATTCATAGACTATTCGTACTTTAATAAATTGATAAATTATACATAATATGCTATTTCAAGTATAACAATGAATATATATATAGTAAGTTGTAATTAAGTTACAAAAAAAACAACAAAATTAATAAATAAACAAATGTCTAATACACCAATTTATAACTAATGATTAATATTCAGGATTTAGTAAGATTTAAATATGTTAAGTACAACAAAATCTATAATAATAAATTAAGCTTTAATATTAGATTATTCAATACAAGACCAGATTTAAATAGCATAAACCTATTTATATGTCAAAAATTTTTCATCCATCAGTTAAATTGTTAGTCAAAATACACATTTAAATATTAATAGTAGGTATGATATTATAATTTATAATACAGTAAGTAATAGTTGTTTGTAACATATTTGTGAATAAATAACAATATAAATTTAATTCATGTATTATATGTATAATACTTACAGTACAGTACTATATTGTAATTTGTAAGTTAAAATATATGAGAATATAATACATGTATTATATTATACATACAAATAAATGTCAAGTACTGAACATACTGTACAGTATGATTACCGCTTAAATTATAGTGTATCACAGTTTAAGCTATAATATATACTCAATACAGTATATTGTAGATTATATTACAATACAGTAGTTGACTTGTGTTAAAATAAACTTATTGATAATTAATTACTAATAATCGATATGCTGTGCAATATTAAAGTCAAACACATATCTATATATTATTTGATATAATCTAACATATTCTCAGATATTATCCATTGATATAGTCATTAAACCAATCTATAGTAACCAAACAAACTAATCATTGATTATTTCTTTGTTTTTTGAGAAAATTAAATTGAAATTTATCGATACAATGGTAAAGGAAACGGTATATTATGAAATGCTTGGTGTAAAACCCAACTGTTCACCGGATGACTTGAAGCGTGCATATCGTAAGTTAGCCCTTAAGTATCACCCGGACAAGAACCCAGACGAAGGCGACAAATTCAAACTGATTAGTCAGGCGTATGATGTGTTGTCCGACGAGAAGAAACGTCGTGTCTATGATGAAGGCGGCGAACAGGCCATTAAAGATGGATGTAATGGATCGACGTCACCGATGGATATATTTAAACATTTTTTTGGTTTCGATGACTCAGAAAAAGGTCCAAAACCTGTCGTCTATAAAATGGGTGTAACACTTGAAGACTTGTATAATGGTACCACTCGTAAGCTATCGATACAGAAGAAGGTGATCTGTGGACAATGCAAAGGAAGTGGTATTAAAACTCCAGGTGTAGGACCCGCACGGTGTATAAGTTGTCGCGGTAATGGTATGCAAATTGGTATTGAATATATAGGTCCCGGAATGGTTCGCAGATTTCAATCAATTTGCTCCGATTGTAACGGAAGTGGTCAACAAATTGCATACAAAGACCGGTGCAAACAATGCGATGGAAATAAAGTTTGCAAAGAAACTAAACTTCTTGAAGTTTATATTGAAAAAGGTATGAAAAATGAACAAAGAATTACGTTCACCGGTGAGGGCGATATGAAACCTAATGATGGAGTGGCCGGTGATGTCATTGTGATATTGATTATGAAAGAACATAAAGTCTTTAAAATAATTGGTACTCAAGATCTGTCAATTGATATCAATCTAAGTCTAACAGAAGCGTTGTGTGGATTTAAAAAAACTATCAAAACTCTGGATAATCGGACACTAGTGTTGAAATCATTGCCCGGAGATGTCATAAAAGATAGAGAAGTTAAGTGTGTGTTGAATGAAGGTATGCCTCGACATAAAAATCCATTTGAAAAGGGAAAACTCATTATACACTTTATGGTGGAGTTTCCCAAACAAATTAATCCCAAGTTTGTGCCTCAATTGGAGAATATATTACCCCATAAAACATCCAGAGATTTGCCATCCAGTGATGAACCGGTCGAAGAAGTAATACTCGAAGATTTTGAAAGTGAACAACAAAAGACTGATTTCGATGATTATGACGATGAAGACAAACAACACATGCAATGCGCCACTCAATAAAAAAACATTTTTATTATATAATTGTTTAACAGATTTAATATAATGACAATTGAAATAATTATTATCTATAATAAAAATTAAATATTTAATTAAATCAATAAGATGTTTGTTATAATATATTATTAATTAAACATTTTTAATTATGTTGTCTTTACTATATTAATAAAATATAAAATGAATATAAAATTTTAAAATAAAAATTTAAGAATTATTTAATATTAAATTTATGATTTGGTTTCAAGAATAATGGTTAGATTAACAGTTTTAACAATACTATTATAACCCGAATGTTTACAACAATATAATAAAGAAATAAACGATTTTTATTTGTTTAATATGAATTTGCATAATTATTTATATATATACGGTATATATATATATAAATATAATATAACTTTTCATATTTATTTATTAGTGCTTTCATAATGCACTTACAAGTTAGTGTTGAATTTTAAAAATAGACATTGTATTAAATACATACATACACATACACACACACACACACACACACACACACACATACACACACACATACATACGTTGATAGTTCACATCTATTGTCAAAAACTGTACTTTTCATAAATTTTAACATTAAGTAATGATTATTTAGTGATATAATAACTTAAAGAATAAATTATTCAAAATATCGTATCAAAAAAATATTAACTTAATTAAAAATTGATATCATTTTTTAAATAATATGTTACATTAAAAAATCATTTTGAGATAATTTATCTATACTATTTAATTATATACACTATGCTGTATTTAAAAAACAAATTAAACATATTTATGAAATATAAATGCAGTACATATATTAGTTTAATGTTGTTAAAATATATCTAACATTTTTATCATACAAAATAATTAACAAAATAAAAACAAAAAATATATATAATATTTATAACTAACAGAATCAATAAGTAATGAAGACTTTAGATAAAAGTCAACTAATAATCTAATTTAATAAAATTGTTTTATACAAAGTTTTTTTTGTGATGACATTGGATAATGAGAATATTTGTAATTAAATAAATAGTATTTGTAATTATATATATATATATATACTTATATACTATATATACTGTACATATATGTGAAATACATGGCTCACAATTTGTTAGCAAATGACAGACTAAGTGAAGTGATATTACAAGAGTTGTAATTAACTGATCCATTCGTTATCGTGTATAACAAGTCCTTGTGATGTCAATAATATAACATCAGATGAAATAAATAATAGAATGAATGTATACTTAAAACAGTGTATTTGTGGTTCACTTTTCAGATTCTTGTGTCAAAAAATGTCAACAAATATATAAAGATATAAAAACTAGAAATAAATTATAGATTTATTCATATGAGTGATATAATGTATTATAAGACTCATAAAAAAATAATAATCATTATTATGAGGATGTGTTGAACAACATAAATAGTCAAATTTCATGTGTGTATGAATCGCTTATCTATGATATTTATCTATATATCTATCTATCTATTTATGTGTGTGTTTATGTGTGTGTTTATGTGTGTCTATATATATATATACTGTTTATGTATATATATATATATATATATATATATATATATATATATATATATATATATATATATATATGTCTGTGTGTGTGTGTGTGTGTGTGATCCCAAAGATTGCTCAGACCTAATATTTTTTAGAGTTATTTTTGTCTGTCAACGATAACAGGATTAATGGCATCAGAAAGAAAGGACACTTCAATAGTCAACTATAATGTCTTGAAAGACAACATTTTATGATTTTTCAAATCTAATGTATAGAATATTATATATTGCATACTATGTGTGGAAATATATGATGCGATTGGAACTGGTATTGCCTGAACCCGAAACACAATAACAGTCCTAAAATAAAAGCTCTTTTAGGAGACATTGTCTCAAATAGATTTAAGAATTGGTTTCGCTTTACTAAACAAAAACGGGTCGATTGTTTAAATGGATACATATGTGTATAGGAAAGGCTTTAAAATCATTGAATACTTGATGTATGATATATACTATTTCACTATTAAAGTGTTTATATCAACAAAAATATATAACAAACATACACTTTGTTTTAATAAAAGTTATTTATTTGCTCAATATTTTGTTATATATTATTAATTTAATTACATTATATGTACTGTATTTATATTCTCAGTTTTTATTTATTAAATAGAGAAACAGTGATCAATAATTTGCTTGAATTATTACTTAATAATACGTGTTTTATTTATAAATATAAGTAATACTTATCAAACTTTAAATATCAACAATTTGATTGAATATATATTTTTATTATTTATTTGCTGGAAAATAACATTTGTGAATACAAAAGAAAAACAAAACACAAAGTGAATTGATTTTATTTTTTATATATAATATATAAAATTTTTATTTATAGTTACAATTATAGTTTTATTTGATATATTATATATTGTATGCTATATGTTGTAATGGTTAATAGCATTCAATATTTAATTTAATGAATACTGTATTGAAGATTCAATGAATGAATGAATATGTGTGAGTGAGTGTGTGTGTGTGTGTGTGTGTGTGTGTGTGTGTGTGTGTGTGTGTGTGTGTGTGTGTGTGTGTGTGTGTGTGAGTGAGTGAGAGAGAGATAAAAATTATTAAATATAAGAAACATTTTATTGGTTGAAAACAAGTGAAACACTATTAGTTTATGAGTGAGAGGTCTGTCTGTTTCACAGCAATTATTTCAGTCCAATGATTAATGGCTTTCAATGAATTCAATTCAATACACAAATAATATCACTCTTAATATATATCGATGTCTAAGAAATCATACAAATGGTCACACAATGAATGGTATTATTTTTTAATTATTATTAAACGAAAAAATTCTTTTACAAATAATAATAATAAAACACAATATTATAAAAGCAGTCATTATTTAGTCGGTATTTATTAAAGTTTTTGAAATGAATAACCTATAGAAAAGTATTAGTGTTGTTGTCCGACAACAATACCCGTATCACTACTACTACTACTAATATTACAATTTTTACGCTAAAGTTGTTATTATTATTTATAGCCAATCCTACACATTCACATCATTTAGCCATTTATTTATTTGGCAATTAATAAATTTATATCTATATATACAGTAGTATTAATATATTAAATGAAATAAGACATGTTTGCCTCACATTTATTTTAATGAATAGATGCCAGTGTTTAACCAGTAGTAGTCCGGAATCAAATTACTCTTAAAAATGCAATTATTAAATCTATTTATTGTTATTATTTATTATAATTAAATAATTTTTGTTAACTAATGTTAAAATTAGTAATTATCACCAAAATTAACATTATTGTATTTTTGCTGAGTATAACTAAATAATAATATTAGTAATTTTTTAGAATTTTTTTCATTAAATTAACCTTATACTTATTTATTTAATAAAATTTTATGATGCTTATAATTAATATAAATTTGTTGTAAATAAAAACTATCACGATTAATTATTTAATAAATACAATTATATTATAACACCACTAGTTTATAACTTAAGTTTCATATAGAAAATATTAAAAATTATTTTTTTCAATTATTAATTATAAAAATATATTAATGATAAAAATGTACTTAATATTGTATTTCACAAAGTAATAAAAATATATCTAGTATAGTGACATATTTATAATTTTTAATATTATATAATCACGTAATATCTATATAATAATAAAAATTAGTTTTTTTATAGTATACTACAGATACGGTTGTCAGGTTAGGCATAACCCACAGGAGAATCCAGTATTGAAACACAATTTCCAGTGGACTTAGTTGTTGTGTCCGGCATTGTTGTAATAATAGTAATAATATAAATGTAATATTAATTATATCGTTTTTAAATTAACATAATATTAAATGTATAACACTTTTAAATAACTAAGGTTTATTTATAAACTTACTGTATATAAATAAAGTTAAATTTATTTGAAATACTAATATAAAAATTATAAGAAAATTAAAATGATTTTGAGTTGTCCTCAATGATAATAAAAATCGTCAAAATATACGATAAATAAATAAATATAAAAAATACGAACATATCTAACAGTTTTGCCTGTCCGACACAACTCGGTATTGATATTTTTAATATCCGTAATAATAGGGTTAGAGACCTGGCAGTCGTAACTACAGTATAAATGACTATTTATTTAACATTTTTTAAATAATTAATATCAATATATTTTACGAGCCATCATGGTAAAAAATTAATTTTATAAAATTAATAATTTAGCAACTTTTTAAATTTATGTTTACATATAATATATTAAATATATAAATTATTTAAATCAATTTATACAATACATTAGTTATATATTTTTTTAATCAACATATTAATTGATGTTTTCTAAATTTTGCTTTCATTAAAACTGTATTTTTCATTAGTATTATACCGGTATAATGAATTCATAATTAAATTGGACTTAATTTAATATTATAAAATAATAAAAGAGGAAATACAGTAGATTATAATAATAATTAGTAAAAATAAGAACTAAATAAATATAAATATGAGAAATATTTTATATTAAACATTAATTATTTTATAATTTAATATAGTATACAGGTATTTATACAACTTTATTAAAAAAATAATAATAATATATTTACTTTCAACATAAATTGAATTACAGTATATGAGTTATACTTAAAATTATTGAGCATTATTTATAAATATACTGTTATAAAGTATAAACCGTATGATAATATAGAGATTATATAATATTACAGTTTTGGCTATATTTTTGTTGAATGAATTATAAATGAAGACTTTAGTGGTATTGTTGTTGTTATGCAATCAACTTCTTGTCAAAAGTTAAATGAATTCAAAGACATAAAAATACTTTCATTTCATCGCAATTGTCGCATAAAAGTTAATAATATAGACTATAGACTAGAGTGTAGACAACTTGTCAAATGTGACTCAAAAAAGTTGGTTCAAACTCTCTCTCTCTTTCCTTCTCTCTCTCTCTCTCTCTCTCTCTCTCTCTC